CCTTCACCGCATCATCCATTACAGAGATACTTGGATGACATGATACAGATGAATGTGAGGACATTGTGTAGCTATATTGCGACAGAGAAGCTTGCAAGATGCCCTAGCATTATGGAATCTATGTTGGAAATGGTGGACTATTATGGAGACATGGCTTGTAGCAAGACCATCATATCGGATGATATTGTGCGACTGCTACATATAATGGGCGGACACCTGTCAAAGGATCAGCATACGGCTGAGCAAGCGATAGGCTACTTGGAGAAGGGATACCTGGCCTCGAGACTGACGCCAAGCACCGCCGACAACTATGCTAAATTGCTGCGGCAGGTCTACCATCTGATGCGATTGTACGCCAAGCATGGACATCGTCGCAAGGCCATCGAGTACACCAGCGATGCACTCCAGTATCTGGTCGCGTCGACTGATGCCGCCGACATGTTCACGCCACAGAATCCCTCAGTCAATCGCGAGGATGCCCAGGTCACGCTGCCCCTGATCCTCAAGCACTTCATCCAGTGTCAGGTGGCGCTGTCGGGCGACGAGCAACTGGACACGATACCCTTCTTACCCGACCTATTGCCAGAAGACTTTGACGTCGAGTCTCGCGTGCACCTCTACGACCAGTGCATCGTCACGTACAACACACTCAAGGTCAACGATGACATCAAGCTCGAGGGCATCAATCGCATCCTGGCCACACTGTCCGACGACACCCATCCCATCCTCTTGGGCAAGTACATGGTGGAGAAGGCCAAGCTGCTGCGACTGGTCGACTGCACACAGGAGGACAAGGAGGCCATCAGCAACGAGATCGAGCAGCTGTTCCAGGACGCAGTCGACATGCTCAGCAAGCACAAGCAAGCCCCGATGGACCTGGCCAACGACAACGTGCTCGAGTTGGCCATCGACAACGAGCTGGCCAAGGCTAATTTCTGGAAGGCCGTGGCATTCATCGAGCGACATCAGAACAACTATAGCACAGAGCTGTTACAACAAGGCATGCGATCACTTGACACCAACACTGGCGAGGAGGATATATACGAGAGCAGCGAGGGCAGTAGCCAGGTCGCGCGTTACATCAATGCCGAACGCCATCGCTACTGCCCACCCGTGGGCACCGAATACGTGGGCCAAAAGCTGAAGCAATCGATCAGGCAATGGTGTATCATCCTGGAGAGGCTCCAGAAGCCAAGCAATGACCAAGCTACGGACGACACAGCAGTGTACGCTGCCAACTCCAAGCACTTCATCACACCACTGGCGACGATCAGAATTCTTCAGACTATTGCGGACATTTACGAGTTTGAGGGCGATCTCACCATGGCCATCTTTGTGATCAAGCTCTCATTGTCCCTGCTCAGATGTCTGTTCCCCGCAACAAACGAGCACTTTGCCAACGAGTCGGCCAAGTGTTACAGCCACCTCTGTACCATATACTCTGAGCTCGAGTCACATGACAAGATGAAGCTAACAATCCAACTACTCCAATCGACCCTCAGCCAAATGTCCGACCAGCACATTGACAAGGCCAACCATCTGCTCATGCTCCAAATCCATCAGCTGGACTTGCAGCTACACACCAGTTCAAGTCAATCATGGTATGTCAATATCACTCATTCATTCATTGACCTCGCCCCTAACTCAACTCACCGACACACCTTTAGCCACGACCAAATACTGGACTTGTACATAAGTTGTAAGAACAAGATGAAGGAGAGCCATAAGTTGGTGGACTACCCGGCATATATCAAGCTCACTCGATTGGCATCAATTGTACATTTGGAGCGAGGCAACTCAAACATGGCATTGAAGCTCTCCAACGATATGTTGAGTTATATCCAGACACTCATACCAACTGAGTCCAGACTCACACTACGTCAATCCAACACTTCATTCTCATCAAGTACCAGCAGTTCATCATCGTCATCATCATCACGATCCAGTAGCAGTAGTTCAAGCTCATCATCATCATCATCGTCATCGTCACAAGAGGAAAAGATGTCCATTGCAAATCAAGGTCGTATATCCAAATGGGGATGTCTAAGTATATGCTTGGACTCACTTCTTCACCTTGCCTCTATATACGAGCTCAGAGGCAGACCCAAGGAAGCCCACTACTACTATGAACGTGGTCTTCTCGTAAGTATAACCCGCCCTTCGTCCATTCTGGATTCATTCCACTCACTCATACAACACACAACACCCAATAGATTGGAACAGTTTATGGATCACTCAAGGTTAGTTGTGAGTTCCTGATTGAACTTGGAGAGCTATGCTTCAATCGCCATAACTATACGGACTCAAAGATCAATTTGGAACAAGCTATTGGGTTGGTTGACAAGTATGCACCGAATGAACCCAGACTCCAAAAGGTGTACTTGATCGCCAACATGCTACTGGGCGATCTCTACCGTCGCCAGAACATCACCTCTCAGTCCATGCACCTCTATCGAAAGTGCCTCAGTTCGATTGACCAGTTCACCCAGTCTGAGCAGCTGATGGAGCAGTTCATGGAGACACTGACCTTTGCCAACGACTCGACGCCCAAGGAGAAGCGCATCCTCAAGCTCACTGCCGCCACCAAGAGCGCTGTCCCCAAGTCAAAGACAGCGACTACCAAGGGCGTGAGCAGCTCACGATCAACAGCAACTGCAGGCAAAGCAGAGGGTAACCTCGAGTCCCTCATTGACATGTTGTCCGGGTGCACACTCTCTGGCACGCCCAAGGACGAGCAGTCCAAGCTGAACGTGGAGGTATCACTCAATGCAATACGTTCGAGAATCATTGGCAAGCAGGCAAAGATCATGATCATCAAGAGCAGACATGACCAGGCCATCGAGACACTGGAGCAGCTGATCGACGACTATGAAGTGCTGGACTCGCGTCCATCAAGCATCATCACATTGTCACTTCTCCAACTACACCTCGGTCGTGCGTACTACCTCAAGGCGCCAGAGTCCAGCAGGGAGGCCATCTGGAAGCACTATTACACGCCAAAGGCTATGCAGCCAGACAAGTTCATTCTAAAGGCGCGAGAACTATTCCTGGCATCACTAAGACAGTGTGGCAAGTACAACATCATCAAGCTGTCCTCATTGCTCTGTCGCCACCTGGCCTTCACCACTGGACAGTCGCTGCCCTATGCCACCATCCACTTCCTCAACCTCTCGCTTGGCATCAGGTTCAAGCATGATATACAGACGATCGTACAACAGCAGGACAAGGACATGGTGGACGATGGCAACATGCTATTGAAGCAGAAGTTGTTCAGTTGGGATGGTGGCGTGGCCATTCCTTCGAAGCTCGATGACAAGATGTTCACAGCCGAGTTGACCAGAATGTACTCTGAGCGCATGCCCAGTGAATGGACTGCCAGCAACATCATCATTGGCATTGATCGCAAGTCCATCATTCTCACTCGACTCATTGGTTCACAACAGCCGCTACTTATCAAGGTTGCCATGCCAGTCTACGAATCATCAAACATGGATGAGGAGGACCGTGAGGAGCAAGATGAAGAGGACGACGACCAGAATGATCCTGAGATTGTACTACCATTCATTGACAAGTTGAGGAACGATATGAAGATGTTGTCAATCGAGAACTTGAGGAACAATCAGGAGAATACGCCAAAGAGTCCAGATGATGAGACAGAGACGATGAGACAGAAGTGGTACAAGAGGAGGAGGAATCTCGAGTCTGAGGTAGACCAGCTACTACAATCCCTGGATGGAGTATTTGGCGTGTGGAAGTCATTGTTCATTGGTACACTCTCGTGTGACGTGCTCAAAGAGAAGCTAGCTACACATATACCTGCGCTGGCGGCCGAGCTGACCGCGCTCCACCCCGAGGCCAAGAACAGGGTGGTCCCAATCGGACTGCTAGAGAGTCTGATCATGTCGATACCATACACCAACGAATCACATCTACATCATGGAATCATTCAACTTCTCGGCTACTCATACATGGATGGCGTGCATCCCGCTGCAGACGACTACCTCGAGGTGTCCAGCCAGCACAACCCCGACTGGAAGAACATCAAGAAGGCCAAGGAGCTGATTGTCAAGTGCTTCAACGTGCTGTTCAAGACAAAGAAGACCGGCGCGCAGCTGATCCAAGAGTCTATCGACTACGCCAAGACCATCCCCAAGATGCCCGTCGTGCTGGTCATGGACAAGAACCTGCATCTCTTCCCCATCGAGTCGATGGAGCCACTTCGCGACTCGTCCGTCTACCGCCTTCCCTCGTTCTCTCTGCACCAACTGCTCACCATGCTCAATCGCAAGGAGACTGGTAACGACTACACGATGGCCGACTCGAGCAGCCTGTATTACATCCTGAATCCCAAGGGCGACCTGACCAAGACCGAGTCGATGTTCTCCAAGGTGTTTGCAACACTGGCACCCGAGTGGAAGGGGCTCAAGGGCCGTCCGCCATCAAAGAAGGAGTACCGCCACGCCCTGGAGCAGCACCAGCTGTTCCTCTACATGGGTCACGGCTCTGGCGAACAGTACTACCCCAGCGACGACATCCAGAAGCTGAGCAAATGTGCCGTGTCCATGCTGTTTGGATGCAGGAGTGGTGGGCTGGAGGAGCAGGGCGAGTATGAGCCGACAGGCGTCATATTGGACCTGTTGCTGGCGGGCAGTCGCAGCGTGGTTGGACATCTTTGGGACATACCATCGATGGACTCTGATCGACTGGCGCAATCATTCATGGACAAATGGTTCAAAGAGAACAGGATGAAGGTTGAGGGCAGTGAATGCACAGACATTGGCGAGGCCGTGGCAGTATCGAGGAGGTCCTGCACATGGAAGTATCTCGTTGGGTCAAGTTGTATCACTTATGGTATACCAACATACCTAGCTCAACAACAATAAATACTATTATTATAATATTATAATTTGCAAAAAAAAATGATGGGTGGGAGAGTTTGAAGGCCTCCATATTGGTCCTCTAGTGATCATCACTCATTTGGTTGTTAGATTGTTGAAAGCATGTACAAGCTTGGCAAGTCTTTGTTCATATTGTTGGACGATAGAAGCGACAATACCAACAACAAACTCAACGACAAGAAGGACAAAGATGTATCATCACTCACATCCAGTGAGTTACAACTCTGCTTCCAATCGATTGATTCAAACATCGAACAAGATCAAAGTAGCACCAACAACAGCAATAGTACGACATTACAAGTGATCGAGAGCATTGCAAAGGCATTCGTCGAGCAACACAAGATACATTTCAAACAATATGACATCAGACAATGTACACTCAATCGACTTGTGGTCAATGATAAAGAGCAGCAACAGTTGGTTGTCGACAATGTACACACTCCACCTGCATCATACTTTAGAGTACAACGTTTGTTCAACTATTTGATGACACATCATCAGACCTCATTCTGGAATGCACTTACTGAACAGCTGGTGGCAAACTTGAAGCACAGTGACAATGACTCGAGACGACAGTTGTTGGATGTGATCATGATGGTCAGCCATATGATACTAGCATCAGACAAGTGGTCACTACAGAATGACATCATCTTGGATCATGTGATGCCACAACTTATCAATACCATTAGGTTGTTTGGACAACCAGACCCGGCAACCGAGGGCGGAGTGCAGCCCACGCGTCTAGCAGTTGGTGCCAGTGATCTTGCCCTATCAATATCTATCGCGATACTACAGTGCAAGACTGCTGCCAATGTTGAGCAAACAATCAAGTTGTTGAACTTTGTCAAAGAGGTCACACAATGCCTTTCAAGTTGGAGTCACAGACAACATCTGTTACGCTATGCACTTGATCACCTTGTTGATTTCATCAAACAAATGTCACCGGTTGAGGTGTCCAACCTGTCTCAGTGCTTAGTCTGGTATCAACATGTTCTGCCACTACTCTACTTTCAAATGTCAACGCCAACCAAGTCCTGCATCACATCAATGGAATCACTGATCAATCAATCGATCAACACATTGATCACAATGTCTGGACAGAGCGATCAACTTCAAGATGGTGACTCCAACCAAGTGATCAAGGTTATCGATGTCATTGATCTATGTTGTATCACAATGTTCTTGCTAATTGGATGCCAATCACAAAGAAGACAACAGGACATTATAACAAGATATAATGATGAGCTGGTCGACATATCATCATTCCTTATTCAATTTCCAGAGCCAACAATCCAATCATATTGTGTCAAGTTGTTGGAGTTACTATTTCCACTCACATCATCCAGACTACATGGCACTGGCGGTGTTGGCACAATGGATATATTCACCACAATGTTGAGTGAGACCGATGCGCTACCTCGTCCACTCGTTCACTTCATTGCATCAACGTTGTCCAAACACAACACACAGCTTGGACATCTACTTGAACTCATCAATTCATATCATTCAATCAATGTACAACTTGTACTTAAGGAATTATGCACAATATCACCATTGCAATTCATCAACAATGAGTCACAGGGTAGGATCCTAGTCGATTGGATTCTCCTACAAGATACCAGCGGTGACGATCAACAATCAAATACAATCTTCATAGCCAATCATATACATCCTTTAATATTACTACCAACATTATTACGGAATACTATCAACAACAATCAATCCAAACTCGATCCACTTATCATCAATATATTCACCAAGCACAAGATGACCAGTGTGGCCTTTGATCAACTACTTGATATTCTAATGTATGTACCAAGGTTATCAGAAGTCCTCAAGGCAGACCAGGCCACTCATTCATTCAATCACTCATTCATTCAATCAATCATTCAAGTACCAACAAGATAGATGAGGATTGGAAAGGTGGCGAAGTTACATTGGATAGTAAGGCGAGCGATAAGTTGATGACATTGGTAACAACAATCTCGAGCAAACTAGACGCTAAGACATGGAAACAAATCCTTCCAGTCTTTGTGATCAAGTGGTGGGCAAATGCAAGGGATACAACAATGTCAAAGATACTACAGCGCATGTTGCCATCGATAGACACGGACACTCTTGGACACTTGATGATCATATCCATCAGAGATAGAATGCAACAACAACAACTAGTGTTGGGGACGAGTGGACAGACTCAGGGTCAGGAGGAAACCACGGTCTTTCAACTACTCTCTCCACTTTTACTCCTTAAGATGTGTCTGAAGGAGTTGTTGCTTGGTGGCAAACGTGATCAATCATGGCGCAATACAGATTGTCGACGCGTGGAACTTGACCAAGTGTACGCAATGTTAATCTATCGCGTCGTATCCAAGAACGCAGCATTGTTGGTGGAGATCCAACGACTGGCTGCAGAATGTATCAGTAACCTACCATCAATTTATTGGTTACAATCAGTGTCCGAGTCATTGGAACGAATGGTTATACAACTGACGGTCAATAATGATAGAGTTGATGTAGACACTCAAACTGCCAAACTACTGCTATTCACTCTATGTAATGGATGTTTGGTGCAGTATAACAACATATTGATGGTCAAGGATGGCGATGGAACATTCATACATCGACTGGCAACGGTAGTCTGGAAGGTGATAACATGTTCAAACACTCCACGTCTTCACATTGATGATGCCGAGTTTAAGAAGTTACAACTTGGCGCAGGTGACCTTCTGGCCTTTATGACCAAGCCTCTGTTCTCTAGCAATATCATCATCAAACCACTCACATCCGAGGCGATCAGGGCGAGCCGACTCGATACCCTGGACCAAGCGCACACTATCAATGACTTGCTGATCACCCAGTTCAAGCTTCTCTTCTCGCGCGACCCAGCCTCACACATGACCCGCACCAAGCAACTGGTGCTCAACTCGTTGATGACATTGGCAAAGCTGCTGGACGATCATGAGTGCCAAACATTCCAGGCGGCTGTGTTCACACCACTCATCAGATTGTACTTCCACCTGCAACAACAATTGGAGCAGCACATGCCCGAGGGCACCTCATGGACCACGACATCAAGCAATGTGATCGGGATCATGGCCAACATTATACAGATTCTGTTCACAGTGACGATGAAGCTTCACGAGTACCAGCTGGCACCACATGGTGACGATCTGTTCGATATGGTAGTTGACGCCATTGGTAAACAACCCAGTGCAATGCTCAAGTTGTCTGGCCTGAGACTACTGGGAACAATGATGAAGTCTGCGCCAGGTGTACTATTCTCATCACCAACTCGTCTGGTACAAGTGAGCTCAATACTGATGGAGCGGGCAGCCTCATCCAACACAGACCAAGACACCAAAGCATTGGCAGTTCAGCTACTCGATATACTCAAACAACGACAAAAGTAACATTAATGTTAAAGGTTACTCCTCGACTCGTATGTACATTGATCATCAGTTTATTGATCGATTTTGATTGATTAATTGATTGATGGATTGATTGATTGATGGATTGATGGAACTATACCAAACAGGCTCCTTACTTGGCAAAAGAACGAGCAGCTTCATCAATAAGGTTGGCTACCTCCTTGGCATGGGATGCGAGGGATGCATGGCTAGAGTCGAGCGAGATGATCTTCTTGGGCTTCATACGCTCGGCCATGGACTTCTCAGCCTCTGGTGGGATCATGTGATCTTGTGAAGAGACCTGATACCAACTTGGCTTGGTCTTCCAGGCTGGTTCATCCGACTTGTCATCGAAGCAACGAGCAGCAATTGGTTTTTGAGCAGTTGCCATCACCAATGCCTCGGTGCTGTCGAGATCCTGGCAGAAGCTCTCCTTGAATGCGGGCTTCTCAATCCAGAGGAATCCATTGGCATCAGGTTTGATGTGTGCGCCTCCAGATGGTGGTGCCTGACGGGAGAAGATACCGTTGAGACTCTCCCCCTTGTCGGGAGCAAAGGCAGCAATGTAGACAAGTCCAACAACGTTTTGTTGATGACCGGCTCCAGTAATGACAGCGCCTCCGTATGAGTGGCCAACTAGAAGAGTAGGTCCATTTTGAGCAGCGGCCAACTTCTTTGTACGATCAATATCATCGGCAAGACTTGTCAATGGATTTTGAACAGCAGTGACATTATAGCCCTTTGCATGTAATATTGGGATAACTCCTCTCCAATGCGAACCATCGCCCCAAGCTCCATGAACGAGTATAATATTCATTATAATTATAATTTATTATAATTTATTTAATTTAAATAGTAATATAGGGTATATAGATAATTAATATCAATACAATATGAATAATGATATTGATTATTGTTGTTATTTATCCATTCATTCGTTCATTAATGTTGATGTGAACATACACCACACGCATCTTGTAACTCCCCACTTTAATGCAAGTTCAGGGCGTCGTTTCAATTCGTCGGTCGAGGGAAAAGGGTTAAGTTAAAATGGAATGTATGACCAATCAACAATGTCTTGATATAATCTTGTAATATTTAATAATGACAACAACATCATATCATAGGACAATGATGATAATTAGGAAAACGATTAACAAAATTTGACATTTCGGCAAATAGAGGACCCGAGTAAGAAGTTCAATCATGAGTCCAGAAAGGACAAAATTATGTCATTTATTTATTTAATTATGAATAGTATTTCTTAATGATCTTATTATGATCAACTAACTGGACAGATACTTTAGTGACTTTGTTCAATTTACCAACTATATAGTTTGATATTTCAAAGATGTCTTGAAATAATTCACCATAGACTGCACTATTTCCCTATAATATAATCCGAGGTTTCGGAGAACTTCCTATTTTTATTGCTGACCAAGGGAGTATATTTGTATTTTTAATTCGTGGTTTATTAATTAGACCACAATCAAATGTCTCCAATCTACAATTCTAAACATCAGTACAATATATTCTATTATTTAATATGATCTCGGTTATATATATATCAACCAGTCAACAAATGACTCCCGAATCTAATAATATGAATAACAGAAATCAGTGACTATATAGTCCAAACCACCAAGTTTGCATTTATTGTTCCTTCCTTAAGATTTATTATACTTTGATTTAATGATTGTCAATAGATTTATTGACTGAGTGACTGACTAAGTTTGTTCATCACACCACAAGAAAGAATCTCTTATTCGTCAGGGTGTGTTTGTCGAAGGTAGAATGAGTGTGTTTGCAAACCAACTTCCCACAAGCGTCATGTCATTGTTGTTGTAGTGTTGTGTGATGATTACGTCTTTTGTGAACTATTGGCATGTCATGTTATTTTTTCAATTCATCTTCTTTATCTCATTGCTAATGAATGAAGATAGATAGAGATAGATAGATAGATAATAATAAGAAACATATACATATACTAACATCAATCAAACAAACATCGAACGCCATGAGAAGCAATAGTTTCCTATTGTTGTCAAAACATGCATTGAACAATGCACGTGTAACTGGTACACAGCAGATACTGCATGGTCAGTTGAGCAGTCTATCAACAAGACAAAGAATATCACAGACACAGCCACAACAACAAGAACAACAACAAGTTCAACAACCAATCTCATCAACAACAACAAGAACACCAATCTTGTCATTGTCATCACCATTGAATCATCAACATGTATCATTTAGCAACCTCTTCGACACAACTCACATGACTCCAGACTTCCAATACAGATTCGCCTCCACCAAGAGGGAAGGCAACAAGTGTAAGTTTACCTTGGATCACTCACCCGTGAACAAACGAATGAACTAACTAACAAACGAATGAATGAATGAAACGAATGAAACGAACAGATGTTCTCAGAGAAGAAGGATCCAAATGCGAATAGTTATACCATTGATGAGGGAGGATCACCTTCAAGACAGTCGTTCATTTCACTTCCTCAACCATTGGAGGTGAAGGTTGCCTCGGGCACATCAGGGCTGAGGATACTGGTTGCGATTGGAATTCTCTCTGCCGCATTCTATTACTACTTTGCACCAAGCACAGAGTCGACTGGCTCCTCCAGCTCATCATCGAGCGGAATACTATCAGTGCTCTCGTCAAAGCCCCACAAGCAGGTGCTGCAGCGTCCCAAGGAGACGTTTGACGATGTGGTCGGTGCCGACGAGGCAAAGTCCGAGTTGCAGGACCTCGTCGACTTCTTGAGGAACCCATCAAAGTACATTGATCGCGACATTGTCATCCCCAAGGGCATCCTCTTGGTGGGTCCACCAGGCACAGGCAAGACCCTGCTGGCCAAGGCATTGGCAGGCGAGGCCAAGACCTCGTTCCTTACAATCAACGGATCAGAGTTTGAGGAGATGTTCATTGGAGTTGGTGCCAAGCGTGTGCGCGACCTCTTTGACACTGCTCGCAAGAACGCACCATGCATCATCTTTATCGATGAGATCGACTCGGTTGGAGGCAGTCGTTCGAAGCGTGTCAACTACCACCCATCAGAGGCGCTCAACCAGCTGCTCGTCGAGCTGGACGGATTCAATGGTCGCGAGGGTGTCGTTGTGATTGCTGCGACCAACTATCAAGAGACCCTTGACGCTGCCCTCATCCGTTCAGGTCGTTTCGATCGTTCAATCCAAGTACAACTTCCAGACTGCAAGTCACGTCAGAAGATCATCGAGCTCTATCTGAAGAACAAGAAGTTCGCAACCTGTATGTTAATTTCATTCATTCGCGAGAGTGCACTCTGGCAAGCTCATGCACATGACTAACCTCATCCCTCACCTGCGACAGCTGTAAATACACATACTCTTGCTCAGAGTACACCTGGATTCTCAGGCGCAGACCTGTTCAACTTGGTGAATTGGGCCGCATTGGACTCGACCAAGAATAACTTTGCAGAGATATCGATGGAGTCGCTGGAGAATGCAAAGGAGAACATTATAATGGGCAAGGAGCGACACTCATTGATCTTGACGGACGAGGCACGCAAGCTCTGCGCCTATCACGAGGCCGGCCATGCGTTGGTCGCTCTCAAGACTCAGGGCGCAAAGGGTGTGCACAAGGCCACCATCATGCCTAGAGGTGAAGCACTGGGTATGGTTTCGATGCTTCAGAACGACGATCATTTCCAGACCAAGAGGCAGTACCTCGCTGAGATGGACGTGGCCATGGGTGGTCGCGCTGCTGAGGAGCTCATCCTTGGACCAGACAACATTTCACAGGGTGCCTCATCAGACATCAAGAAGGCCACCTCCATTGCCAAGACCATGGTTATGAAGCTTGGCATGTCGGACAAGGTTGGCAAGATCTACATTGACTCGGAGAAGAAGTTGAGCGTCCAGCAAAGAGAGCTCATTGACTCAGAGGTCAAGTTATTGTTGGATGTAAGTTGGTTCATTGATTGAATGATTGAGTGGTACTAACACAATCATCCTCCACCTCTAGCAATCCTATGAACGTGCTTGCGTTGTACTTAAGAAGCACTCTGAGGAGCATCACTTGCTCGCCAAGGCATTGCTCGAGTATGAGACACTGAACTTGGATGAGATCAAGAGCATCATCGAGAAGAAGAAGTTGTTGAACAAGAAGAGCCATGAAGAGCTGAAGAAGGAGCGTGAGGACAAGGACAACAAGCGCCAGGAGGAGTTCAGGAAGCAGAGAAAGGCCTTGCCTCAGGCGATACCAAATGCAAAGGGTGGCATTATTGTGATGCCTCCAATGAAGAATCCAGCGCCCAGTCCAAGCAGCGCAGCGGCTGGCACAACGACCACAACACACAGCTCGCCATCGGGCAGAATCAACATCACAATCACACGACCAGGTTCCATCTCCAATGAGCAGGTTGGCACTGGACAGCAAGCGGCAGCCAACAACACTGGATCATCAGCAGCACCAACACCATCAACTTCACAGGGAAAGAACATCCCAGTAACCGACAACAACAACAACAACAACAACAACAGCAGCAGCACCAACACAAGTACAAACAACAAGACAGAGTCTAAAAACTAAGCCTAAATATACATATATAATCTATCTATAATATCTGTCTGGTGCTCGTCTGTCAACTTGGACGAGTGTGTTTGACTGATCACTTGTATTTATATCATTGATTGATTGTTCGATTGATCGAGAGTATGTTGCCAGCGTCTGGCAATCAGCATTATTCCAACAGGGAGCTGGACGGTCCATTGCTTCATCCATCCATCGAGGTAATCCACTGCGTCATATAATGCAATGGCATTATCGCAAGGGATAGTCGCGGGTGCTGCTGCACCAGCGTTTGATGTCACTGAGCCAGCCTGAGATGAGCTGAGCTGAACTATTCATAATGATGTCCTACTCACTGTAGGTCATCTGTGATGGTCTTTTGGTTGGCCATCCCACATATTTGTTGCTTAAGCAACAGTGATTGAATTGTCTGCTACAGACTCCTCCTCTTCGACAACAAAGTCATCAGGTGAGTAGATGACATGAAGTAACAATGAACAACTTGGACACTTTGCCACCTCTTCTCCTGCCAATATCTCCTCCTCTGTTATACGGAATCTGTCTCCACTGTTCATTGTTATTGTGTCAGTATGCTCATTCTATAATTGAATGAATGTGATGTACATATACATACCATGGACAAGGATAATAGAATACTCTTTCATCTTCGTCAAACTCCATATCCTCAATCTCGATCTCATCGTAGAATGAGGACGAAGTGGAGTCCTTGGTCTGATCAGTTTCCTCTGTCGTCGACATCTTGTATCTTTATATATGTGTTGTGAATCAATCAAGTAATGATTATTATTGTTATATATTTATACTTATACTTATACTAATACTAATTATAACTAGGATTGTTGAGCAAATGTGGGGTCGGACTCGTCTGGGTTTCAATGACCACTTGTCGAATGATGAACAAAACGAGAAAGTTGGAAGTTCGTTCAAAATGAATGATGACCCCATGTTAACGACTTGGACTTGATCATGCAGATCACTTTGTTGATCACCATTCAGTTCAGATAACAATTACAATTAGTAGTAGTAGTAGACAAAGAAGAAGAAGGGATGAGCAGTAATAACAAGGTCAATGCTATTTATCAGGCATTGGACAGTGAGAACTACAAGAATGCTCTAAAGCTATGCAATGCTGTGCTGACAAAGAAGGACAACAATCCATTGGTTGTTGTATTGAAGTCAATTGCAATGCAGAAGCTAGGTGATACCGAAGAGGCCATCAAGAACATGGACACCGTCGCATTCCAAGGTCACACCGAAGACAACATCCTATCAAACGTGCACTACTTCTATCGATCAGTCAATCAAAGTATGTTGTAACCTAGTGAAGTGTACATACATCACTCATTCAATCAATCATACTAACTCAATGAATGAATGATACTGAAGTGGACAAGATGTTCAAGGTATGGGAGTCAACATACTTGAAGCATCCAAAGGAGTTGAAGTACTTGCAGGGAGTGTTCTTGACTTGTACAAAGAACAATGATCTGAAGAATCAACAAAAGTATGCTATTGAGTTATCAAGGAGTTTCCCAGAGAACAAACATAGCTTCTGGTACTTGATGACAACATTGTCACAGGCCCTTGACAACCCCTCCAGCACTCTCTCCATCCAGTTGGCTGAGAAGCTGGCCGAGAAGTTCTACTCGACCGACAAGTTCAAGACGAGCGAAGGTATGTTCATGGTGTCGCGCCTGAGTCCTCACGATCCAACACTAACGTCGTCAATCAATCAAACAGAGTCATACATATATGAGACTATCTTGATGCAGCAGAACAAGTACAAGGAGTGTCTAAAGGTGATGCAGGAGAAGCTGGGAGGATTGTATACTTATGCACCAGAACGTTTGAAGACTATGGCCAATCTTTATATTAAGTTGGACATGCATAAGGAGGCCGCAGAGAGCTTCAAGGAGATTATCACAAAGTATGAACCGGACGAGTGGTCATGCTACCTTGGTTACATGGATGCGATGCAGAGTCTTGGCGATGTGGACAAGGACGCGATGTTCCAATGGATCAGATCGATGCAGCCAAAGGACAGTGCCAAGCCCATCCGTGGACCATTCATTGCCGAGATCGAGTTCACCAAGCGATGTGGCCTGCCCATCACGCCTCTGCTCATCGAATACTTTAAGCGATTTGGAACGAAGCCTGTGCTCTTCTACGACTTTAAGAAGTACCTGGTCGACCTTGAGAAGACACCTGTCGAGGACAGGACCAAGCTGGTGGCCGACCTGTTGGCCTTGGTCGCGGACCACGTGCAGGACAGGATCGCACAGCTGTCCAACGTGTACAGGATACAGCGTGCACTGGGTCTTCAGTACAACATGTCGGGCAAGGAGGTGGAGGCCTTGGTCTCCACATTCCTCACAGAGTACGAGAAGAGTCGTGTGACCAACTTGGCCACACAACAGTCGTCCGAACGACTTCTGGGCGACGACCTGCTGCTTCTCAGCTACCATCTACTCAACGACGTGTATCAACGCGACGGCTCGCTCGACACATTGGTACGGGCGGCAGCCATACTCGAGTATGGCCACAAGTCCAGCAGCAAGAACTTCCAGTTCAACCTCGCGTTGATCAACGTGTACTTTAGACTGGGCGCCAGCTCGCGTGCGCTGGAACACATCAAGAAGCTCACCGTCAAGAACATCCAATGGGACACGCTGTCCTACCTTTTCTTTGACGACGTACTTCGCACGGGCAGCTTCACTGCGATGGCCGCATCCTTGGACAAGTGCCACAAGTTCTACACAGAGAACCAGTCGACGCCCGACTTTATCGCACAGAGCTACACCAACGAGTCGTACACCAAGGTGTTTGAGCTCCGCAAGTTCATGGCCCGCATCGTGCATTCATTCCAGCGCGCATGCAACTTGACCGAGCAGCAGTTGATGAACTTCTTTATCGCCCACGCCAGCAAACCCGAGGACGCCCGCGCCCAGCTCAACTCAATCCCCAAGGAGTCTTACGACGTGCCCACCGAGCAGCAGTTGCAGCAATACACATTCAATCAGGATCTGAACGTTCTGGATCATTGGGACTCGTCGGAGCATCATGGCAACACAGCCAAAAACGCCGCAGCGGTTGACTCATTCAGCGCATTCACGTGGAACAATGATCAGACTGTCGCCAAGAATCAACTTGTGGCACGTCGTCTCATACTCTCCCTCCTGGTCAGGTCGACCAATCAGCTGACATCAGAATATCGATCACAGTTGGACAAGTTGAACGCAATATTCAATGGGCTTGGATGTGTACTTGCCACTGCCAATTCAGACACATTGTCCATCAACAATGACAAGGAGTTTGGACAAGCCATCAACTCAATCACATCAAACATGTTTGAGTACTACTATCAACAGCGCACATCAATCAACTCTGCGCACAAACAAGAGGATAACCAACGAGCACAGACCTTGATGGCCACCGTCATGTCACTCCACAAGGCCTTGAGCACCTATATACACCAGCAACAACAGGACAAGTCAGTTCTGGGCCGAGGAATCAGACTAGTCAGCACATATCTCGAGACAACCACCTGGTTGTCATATGTCGTTGGTGAACTCAACAAGGTGATGCCACCCAAGAAGCAGAAGAAGAGGGACGAGGTGCTGCTCGAGATCAGGAAGCAGTTTGATCAGTTCACCGCATCATTGCAAGCTGGTCATAAACAGGTGTGTGACTTGGCCTCAACCTCCTCGATCGAGCAAGGCATTGACAAGCTTTCTGTGAATGGTCCAACAACAATCGAGTTGCCACCATTCATCAATGTGGAATCTGTTCAGCAATCATACAAGGAGAGCTCACACAACACCTACTCTGAGCTAATGAAGTACGCTACACTGATCAACTTCAAGTAGCTGGTCCAGATGATCTGGGTGGTACCACAATAAATCTGTCTTCTTCCAACAATGTCAAAGTGTTGGAAAGATATTAGAAACAACTATTATTAAGTCCAAAGGTCTATATTATTAATGAATTATATAAGTTTAATTGTTAAATATTTAAATATGCCCAAGATATATATATTCCCTGGGCAGCTATCTTGATTGATCAATTTAATCATTGACAGATCAAAACTGAGTGTCCGATTATTGGACGTTGCCAATCTGGAAAGTGGCAAAGAAGGATACAATGAAACTAACAATTACAAAGGCGGTAGATGAGATGACACATGGGTATCCAGGCATCAATCCAACCTTGGTATTATCATCGGAACCGATCATATGGTTGTAGAATGGTCCAGTACATCTTACATTGTCAGCGTCATAAGCTATTTGTTTGATTGAATGAGTGAGTGGGAGTTAGTATAGATTTATGATGAGTGGACAGGCCATGATAAGAGATAAAACATACCATCTACACAATCCTTATTTCTGTAGTCAGCAATCTTTGAAAAGATTGCAACAGAGATGATGTTGAGAGCAATGGCAGCACCCAACAAAAGCCTGATGCAGAGACCAACACGGAACTTTTTGTTCTTGAACACGTTAAAGATGGACAGTCCGATGAGGATGAGGATGGGCAACTCGACAATCCAGGCAATAATGGCAAAGGCCAACGAGGCACGGAATATTGAACGCTCGTGAAGTCTGTTGATTGGTTGGCCGGACAGAGTCTGGTAGATATTTTCCCAGGAGGTGCTCTTTCTCTCTTGATCACCATTTGGACCATCAACAACCACAATCTTCTCCTCAGTGGCACTATCATAGAACGTTAAAACACCTGGTCCCAATTGGTTGTCTACTTGAACTTTGGTCCAATAAGTCTATTTTGAGTGGCGAGTGAGTGATTGAGTTAGTTTGGATGGAATGATTGATTGATAAATAATGATTACATACCAGGTATGATCCAATTAGGAGACCAAATGAAAGGAACAATAAGGCAAATGTAACAATTGCAAGTCTGTTAAAATTCATTATTATTATTATTATGTAATTTAAATTAGTTGGATATCTTTTAGTTTAGATATAAATAAAATGTTATATGTTTGAATGTGATACTGAATGAATCAAATGACAATCAACCTTTTAGTTATGATGACGAGGTGCTCCTTGATCGTTCTAGGAGTTGGAAACTTTCCCTCATCATGTCTAATTTTTTTTCCTTTTGAGGCAACTCTCGTTGTTTTGATCAGTTATTTTTGTCTGATTGGTCGACAAAACATGATGCATTCCTCGATCACTGTGATCGAAAATTATGGGCAAAAAATCAAACTAACAACGACACTAATCAAAAATGCATTGTGATTAAAAGAGAATCTGATAATAATATCTATGATTGATGACTCATTATGTGTTAATTATTATTATTATTATTATTATTATCTCTTGAATTATAAGTACACTCGAGTTATACACAAACAAACAATGAATCAAACCAAAGTGTTGTTGTTGTTTGGTTGAACCAAGACAGCCACCTGGTGGTGTCTTCCATTGAATTCTGAACTTTCACACATATTCAAACAAACACATCATCATCATCATTATCATCATCGGTTACACTATTAGTACCTCTGTTTATTATTACTATACATTATTTATTTATATATAAAATACACATACACTCATGTTTTATAAGTATGCTTGGGACCCCAAGCTTATAATTGGACAGATAATATCAGTACAATGCTTATATTATGTATTCTTAGCAGGATCATTATATATACTAGACTCTATATTCTTGTCTGCACTATCACTGGAACAGATATTCTCATACCATGCACTACATATACATAATCAAGCTGGTTGGGTTGTAACAATATCATTCTTTCTAAATGCCTTATTAGGGTATGTTCACAATGATTGAATGATTGATTGAATGATTGAATGAATGAACATAGACACTGACATTGAATGAATGGATGATATATATAGTGCAGTTTGTTTAAAGTATATAGTTGAACGATCAAAGAAATGCTTGGATCATGCTGCAACAGTGACGATTATACATTTGGTGATGGTCTCGATATTCAGTGGATTCCCTTCGACGGCATCATGGTGGATCATTCAGATTATATGTATGATAGTGATGGCAATACTCGGTGAATACCTTTGTATGCGAAAGGAATTGATGGATATACCATTGGCCCGAGCCAAAGAGTTGGACTCTACGCCCATACTACTGAGGCCGCCCATCACCTCCATTCAATCATCGTCATCCTCACACTCGACGCCTCAATCCAATTCACCATCTCCTCTATCTGGCAGTAATCAATCAGTTCTAATATTAGAGGAATATGACTCTGATGGCGAGGATAATGTCTAAGATCGATAGATGGATGGATGGTTCATCATCATCAACATCATTATAATAATATAGATAGTCTACTTTTGCGTAGAATGTACACAACAACAGATAGATCTAGTCAACATTTAGATGGTGTGATGGTCAACATATAGTTCGATCATTGATCATTGTTCATTGTCATCATCTTCGTCGTTATATGCTTCGAATGCATTGTCATCCAACATATAGTCCTCCTTAAGTGCATCCCAACCTTCTCCTCCTTCATCATCATCATCGCGCTCTGACTTGACCTCCACCTTTACTGAAGGCTCCTTCTTTGTTGACTTTAGTTTGTCCAGGAACTGATTCTTTGACACTACATTTGAATTGACGCGATCGCGAGTTATTAGTATGATTGAGTCGAATTGAGGTTGTATGAGTGCCGACATAACATAACATACTGTTTGGCTTGTCGTCTAGCTCCACTGTAGTTGTATCGCGTTGATGTTTGGACACGGCATTGAATAGCTTGATTACACCTCTTTTGGCGGTCTTCATTAGATCTCGCTCACTGTTTGTTATCAGTATCTCGATGGTCCTGTGATCCTTAGTCTCTAGTATTCTCTTCTCAATGGCCTTTTGCTTGGCCAGTCGTTCGTGTTTCTGCTCCTCTGCAATTTGTTGATCGGCCTTCTTATACTTTGCCAAGATTGGTGCGTCCTTCTTTGGTTGTTTGTTCAAGATCGATGACAATACACTTGAGAATCTCTCTTCCTTTGATTGTTCTACAGGTGGAGCTACCTCCTGTCTCTTCTTCTTCTTAATATTGCCCTCAACAGCAGCATCATTATCATCACCATTCACTTGTCCTCCTCCTTCAACATTATCATCTTCAAACTCATCATTATCATCATCCTCTCCTGATTCATCTTCACTACTGCTTTGATATTCTGATTGATTGATTGAGTTAGTTAGTGTCGCGACCGATACAATCAAACACATATCTCTCTATAGCATACCTCTCTTTTGTACTCTCTTTACGACCTGTCCCTTCTCTTTCCTGATCTTCCTCTCCTTTCTCTTCTTTGATCTATATTTCTTGCTGTCGTCCTTTGATTCAAAGCTAACGACAGGTAGTTGTTTCTCCATCGTATCACTCATTGTGTTGTATATCTCTCTCTATCACTTTATATATATAATGTATTCAAATACATTAACATTACTACCCCCCATCTCACTTTCATTGTCTTCATCCTCGTGCTTCGTCTGACGTCTTGAATTTTTAATTAAATTTGAATAAAGTTTATTTTTTTGGATGGATCACCTTGAAGAGATAATAATGAGCCAAAACAGATAATCTCTCCAAACACAAACATTTATTACCACTACACACACACACACATTCATCCAAAGTAGTAGTGTTACTAATGATGTCATTGACAACAAACACATAAAAGAAGCTCCACCCCACCATGACCCAACACCTACATAAACCACACAACCCCATCATTGCTACTCCTACAAACAAACAAGGGAGAGGATACACACATCATGTACATATCCCCAACTCATTTACCAACTCGCACTCGCACATGTGGCCATCTTAAAGACCTCTCACTACTCTATTCTCTCCATCCTTCTTCTTTTACCATCTTCTCTCTCTCTCTCTCTCTAGCACACTGATATATTACTTATGTGTATAAGGTGGTGAACCACCCTCCTGTTGCTCTCTATTGCCACTATTGACTGGATGGAGGGATGGATGGATGCTGTTGCCTCATTCATAATACTAATACTCTTGTATTTTACAGGATGAGCTTGCTTGTTTGCTCATTCATAATCATCTTCATTCCATCACCTTCATCATAATAATCATTACATACATTATTACATCAAAAAGTATATATACATATATTAGAGATAGATAGAGACTAAAGAAATGATTGAAAGTGGAATACCAGTTGCATTGTCCAAAGCAAGGGAAAAGGATGAAGATAACAACAAGCCAAATTTTGATGATGACCAGATGTTGGAAATAGAGAATGAGAGTGACAATGAGAAAATGGTCACTGGCAATGTATCAGTTGCCAACAACAACAACAACAATGTAGTTGATAATAATAATAATAGAACAAGGAACAATGAGTCATTGGTAATGGCAGAAGACACTCCAATATCATCACCTCCAACAATCCAACAACAACAATCAAACAACAATGAAAAGACACCTACTACCCAAAGGAGTGAAGGTGGTGGATCTTTGGGCAAGAAGTATACTCATTCTCCGGAGATGATTGGAAGGAGTGGACACTTGGAAGAGATGGACAACAAACCAAAGACAAACAACATTCAGGGCCGAGCCACCGATGATGATATCTCGGACGATCGCTATATTGAAGAGAGTCTGGTTAACCTGGCCAATGATGACCCTAATGTCGCACCAGGCCGTGAGAACTCCAAGATCTTTATTCCATCAAGCCAAAGACAGTCGGGCAATCAATCCTTGCCCCTTACACCATCCACTACCAAGGCTACGTCAGTCGCCCAGGAGGAAGACTTGGTACCATCGGGGAACAATGTAATGGGACGTCCATCAACACCACATCATCCACAGTCACCATATAAGAACAATGTCCAATATACATCTGCACAGCAACAACAACAGCAACAACAAATGCAGTTGCAACAACAATTACTACTACAACAACAGCAACAACAGATACCACCTCCAAATGGAAACAGAGGAAGAAAGCGAACCCAGTCATTGGATGAGAAGGGGCTGGCTCTCCAAGCAGCTGCCGCAGCTGCTGGTCCAAAGGGGACGGGTGTCATTTACCCTCCTGGCGTCCAACAGCAACAACAACAGCAACAACAACATAATTCCAATGTTATGAAGGGTAGTGCCAGTGACAAGATGTTCTTACAATATAGTATGCAATCAGCTCCAACCCAACAGCAGCAACAACAGCAACAGCAACATATGCAATCAATGTTCCCCAGCAATAATAATGGCAGTATGGAGGACTTTGAAAGAAGGCGCAGGAATCAACTTCAACAAGAACAACAAATGCTTCTGCTTCACCAACAACAGCAGCAACAGCAACAACAACAGCTTCAGCAACAGCAACAGCAGCAACAGCAACAACAACAGCAACAAAGACTTATGGGTGATGCTACCAACCGAGAGGAAGATCTTGCTGCATCAGCATACTCAATATCAATGACAATCAGACAGTTGTGTAAGTATATATGTTCGCGACGTACCCTGGATCAATCAATCACATACATATTCAACTAACATTGATTGTTTGATTTCCAGTGACCAAGGTTGAGAGAATGGAAAGGGAGCGAGAGATATTGGTAAGCGAGAATAAGAAGCTCAAGAAGGATGTTGGTGAGCTAGAGACACTTGGCCAGAAGGCTACCATCTCCATTGGTCAGCTTATGGATGACACATCTAGGTTGAGAAGCAGTAAGGAGTTGCTGTCCAATCGAAATGCACTGTTGCAACAAACAAACGATATCATCCAGTCACAGCTGAAGACTCTACTCTCATGCTGTTCACCGTCCACCCATTGATTGGATAGGACTGTCCTACCTTCATCCTTCCATTCACCTCAAGGAATAAACAACCCAACTAATCTATTATTGTCATGATCAATCAGCATGGTTGTTGACTTAAGTAGTAATTTAATGTAGTAGTTTATGTAAAGGGAGATTGATGATGTGTGATGGTTGCAAGAGCGGTATTGAGGGCAAAGGAATGATTGGATGCGTGCTTAGATCAAACTGTTCTGGTTGTCAATTGGGGCAGCAGTTTCGTCAGAGTCAAGTGGGATGTCCTCCTCGTCCATGTCAAGTGACAGTGGGGCACGTGCAACAGCAGGTGAAGGGGTGGTTGCGGGTGGCGACACTTGCTTTGGAGGAGTCGACAGCACGTTCTCAAAGCTCGAGCTGCCAGGCGACGACTCGCCACTGATGGTGGGTGCAACAGTTGGTGGGGAGGGCTGAATGTTTCCAAGTAGCTGATCGACACTGCTGATTGGTGATGCGGCCTTCATTGGTGGCTCCACTACGGCAGCGGCTGGCTGTGGTGGGCTGACCTGTTGAGGGACAACGGCTGGGGATGATGAAAGGTTAAGATCGTTGAGGAGATCTGCTGCGGATTGTACAGCAGTGTCTCTAGCCGAGTGGACGGACTTCTCACGCTCCACTGCTGCCTCGTAGCCAGGGAAAAGGTTGGGGTATTCGGTGGGATTGGCCAATGACTCGGCAATCTTTGGACTGATGGACTTGAGTGACTCGCGCCATCTCTCAACGGCAGTGGGCACTTCGCTTGGTATATAGGTACGCGACATCAGTGCAGCCTCAGAGTGTGCGCCGCTGTTGGACAGGATGTCCAGACATTGCTTCAGGTTGCCTGGCACCAGCAGATTGCAGAGGAAGCAGATGTTGGTCTGTCCCTTCTTCTCGGCGAGCTTGGCCAGCTCGACCATGCCCCTCAAGTCGCCAACCGATGTGTACAACAGCAGCAGGCCTGGCAGGTCCTCAGCCTTCTTCATGCAGTTCTCTGCCAGCGCAATGTCTCCAATGGTCAACGCCAGATCGGCAAGGTGTCTGTACTTCTGCTCTGAATCGGACTTCAAGGCGATTGAATGTGCGACCTTTAGGTCCTCCAGCTGAATGGCCAGCTCAAACTTGTGGTCGAGGTCCATTGATGTCTCGAGGGCCATCTCCTTGTGTCCTTGCGACTCCAAAAAGTGAGCAATGGCGTTCCTCTTGTCCTGTGGGATCTTTGGCAGCAGCTTGGTAGCAGTATCAAAGTCCTCTCTCAAGATAGCGGTCTGGTAGTTAATGACATCAATGTGCAGTGTGTAGCTGACAATGTTCAAGTTCTACAATGAGTGAATGAGTAAGTGAGTGTCGCCCGTGGGTCTCTGGATGCGATGAATGATCATACCTTGTCAGACAGATAGAGCTTGCCTGTTTCTGGAAGGTATCCAAGGAGATACATATGCTTTTCGAGATGCGATATTGTTACAACTTCAGTGCCAACGCAGTAGTTGAGCTTGCTTGAGTGGTTGGTATAGATGAAGCAGTCGCCAACCCAACATGCGGTGCCAATGCGCTCTTCGATCTCGTGGATGACATCAAATGCGTCCTCAATGCCCTCCTCCTCAATCGGTTGACCTGATTCCAGATACTTCTGTACAGTGTCCTTGTTGTACTTGAGGATAAAGGCAGATGTATCGGTAGTGACGGCCAACATCTCACCATCCTCTGACCAGAATATCTATATGTCAATAATTGATTGATTAGTATGTATTAGCACGTGATGGGCTTGATCAATCAATATCAACAACTTACATTCTTTGGACAAACTTTGATCCTGCGAATGACATCACATGTGTCCCAATCGTAGAAGCAGACAAAGTTGGTCGATCTAACGGCCAGCAGGGCTCCACCAAAGATGCCCTCCGCCGAGAATGATGGCTTGAAGTTGTGTGTCTCCTTGAAGTTCTTGAACACCTTGACTCTTGATGTGCTCTCTCTTACTCCGTACCTGAGTGTGGCAACGACGAGGACATTGTTAATACTTGTTGTGGTCACGATGGATGGATGCAACTACTTACTGTCCAGAGTCGACGCCAGACCAAACAAACTCGAGTGCTGAGCCGAATGACTTGTTTCTCCAGGCGAGCGCAGTGTAGATGATGAACTCACCATCACCACAGACAGAGACAAAACGTCCGTTGCTGTTGTGATGCAGCTTCTGTGGGAAGATCTCACAGTTGCCGAGGTCCTTCACCTGTAGAGAGGTCAGCTTCTCACCATCTTGAACCTCAGTGTCGAATGTGGACTTGAGGTTGGCGATCTGGATCTCGTTGTGACGTGCCCAGATGATCTTGCCACCCTGGTCCATGGAAGCGGGTGGCTTGTTCTTGCCGAGCTTCAAGACGACCGTACCGTCGTCGTAGCCTAGACCGATGAAGTTGCTGCCACGAATAAAGTTCATCGCCCAGACGTGACCCATTCCATAGTTGAGTGTCTTCTCCAGACGATAGGTGCTTGCGTGCCACAACTTGACAGTGCCGTCCTCCGATCCAGACACGATCAGTGGCAGCTCAGGGTGGAAGCAAACCACCGACACATTGTTACTATGTCCCTCCAATGTCTGGACACATGTCTTTGATTGATAGTCCCAAATCTTGACAGTCCTGTTTGATTGATTGATTGATTGAGTGATCGTGTTAGGTCATGAGATGCTGGCTTCTTCATCTGGATACATGAAGTTATACATACTTGTCATCAGCACCAGAGACAAGGTATGGCTTCTCTCCACCCATAAAGTATTCAACGCTGTTGACTCCCTTCTCGTGCCCCTCGAGGGTGAAGTGAGGAGTGGATGTGGTCAGTCCCCAGACCTTGATGGTCTTGTCCAGGGAAGCCGTGGCAAAGACATTGGTGTCCTTGGGGTTGATGGCGATGCTCATGACATAATGGCTGTGTCCCTCAAACACCTGGATGTTGGCCCAGCCGCGCTCCCAATCCCACAGCTTGATGGACATGTCGTCACTGCTTGTGATCACGTAGGGCTGGGTGGGATGGACGACGATGCATCTGATATAGTCGGCGTGCGCCTCAATCGTCTTGACCTTCTCCATCGTGTTGTAGTTGTAGACACGCATGTTGGTGTCATCGCTGCCAGTCACCACCCATTGCTTCCTGGCCACAAACTTGGCGGCACGCACTGGGTTCTCCGGCGACACCTCGAATGACTTGACCATATTCTGTGTCTCATAGTTCCAAATGAACACATTGCCATTATACAACGATGATAGTACCCATGGCTCTGTTGGATGAATATCCACAGACTTGACACGATCTGATCGTGTAGATAACTTCTTCTTTATGTCCAACCTGAGAGGCTACATAATATGATTGTTGTTGCATATCGGTCAGTCATTCATTCAATCAATTGTTCAAGTGTCCCTGTCTGTCGTCTGTCACTGTTACTGTGATTGATCAATCAATCAATCGAACACATACCATGATCGATCGATGCTTATGTTATGTGTGTAATCCTATTAAAACACTACTCCTTAAGCAAACAAATATATTATAGAATATAAGTAATGTATTGAGGATGTAATGAATGAATGAATGAATGAAATGAAGTGAAAGTGTGATGATCATCACTTCATTGGACCCTCAGCAAACACAACAACACCTCACCATCATCAATCTTTTTTATGAAGTTATTTTATTTGAGGTGAATGAGTCAAACACACACTCTTCATCACTTGCGTGGCTCTTGCTGACTTGGTTCATTCAATCATGCATGCATTCATTCATTCATGACAAGACCTGTTGGACATTGGATATTGGATGTTTGATTGATCATTGAGGAGGTTTGGCAACTGATGTTGGAGTGTAGGACACTACTCTCTTTTGTCTGGTGAATGTCGTGGTCGCAACTGCTGGTGGTGCTGTTGGTTGTACTGTTGGTTGCGTTGACGCTACAAGTTGGTGAGGAACAAGAAGATGTGGAAGGACAGGAATATGGTTAGACTCTTGATCATAAATCTTAAGAAACTAAGTTTATTGTTTACAAGAGATAGAGAGAGAGGAAGGGAGAATATTGATAGGTAGTTGGTTTGATTGATTGATTGATTGATGGATGTTGTGTGATGATGATGGTGAAGGGTGCTCTATGATGGACATGATACAATGATATATATGATTAAAGATATATAAACACAAGGTATGGTGGATGGATGGTGTGGCGTGGATGACAATGACCGACCAATCATGCAAGCAAGAATGTTGTTGATATGATGATGGGATTGAGGTAGATGTGTAGATGTGTAGGATGTGTAGGTGGCTATTTACTTTCAACTTGTCTGGACTTGTCTGATATCGATGTCGATGGATGTGCAGATGAGTTGGCTACGTTGGTTGTTGATCGCTCCACAATCATTGAGAGATCCTGTTGTTGGAATGTATAAAGTTAATATCATTGTGTCTAACTCTACAGTGATGTCTGTCTATCTATGTCCTGTTCTATTCATCATTGATGGAGACCATCGTTTACCTTATCTTTGCTATCTTTGTTGTCACTTGCTGTGATTGCTCCGGTTGGTGACACTGGTGCAGTTCCTGGTGCGTTATATAATGGGGGCTTCTCGCGCAGCTGATGATATTGATTGAATGATTGAATGATTGAGTACATTAGTATCCTATCAATGTGAACATATGACTGCTACCTCTACTTCTACCTACCTTCCTAATGATCACCCAGTCAAACATATAGTCATATTTGTATCCCTCTCTAACGAACATCTCACGAAGGAGCTTGCGGAGATAGAGGTAGTCTGGCTTGTCCTCGAATCTGAGGTACCTAGTGTAGTTCAGGAATGAGTGGAACTCGGCTGGTTGAGTGGAGGTTGTTGAGTTAGTCATCAATGAGTTGAGCTGCAGATGTTGAATGAATGCATACATGGGAATCCCTGACAGAGTGCCTCCAGGTCTGTGTGAGCCTTGCGGTCGCAGATCCTCTCGTACTTCTCGCGCTTGGTGTACGCCTTGAGACCTTGCCATGGGAGTGAGCCACGGTTGAAGTACATGAGAACGTAGCCCAGCGACTCGAGATCGTCACGTCTTGACTGCTCGATACCCTGATGCGTGTTCAAACTGGCGTAACGCGCTGTACCTGTCAGGTTCTTGTTCTCTCTGTACGAGATGTGCTGATGCGTTCTTGGATCACGGTATCTCTTGGCCAGACCAAAGTCGATCAAGTTCACAACATGACCGCGCTTGCCAATGCCCATCAAAAAGTTGTCTGGCTTGATATCTCTATGAATGAAGTTGTTGGCATGTATGAATTCGATTCTTCGTATCTATGTTTGATTGATTGATTGTATGTTTGTTTGTGTCAGTATCAGGTGTCAGTGTCTTTGATTGATGGATCATGTTTGGGCGGTCTTGATGTTGTTGTTGACATTACCATTTGATCGCCGAGCATAAGAACGGTCTTCAATGAGAACTTGCGTCCACAATAGTTGAAGAGATCCTCCAAGGATGGACCAAGAAGGTCCATGACCATGATGTTGTAGTCTCCATCGAATCCGAACCACTTTACAGAGGGGATACCGACTAATCGATCATTGTGCGCAATGAGTAAGTAAGTAAGTTGATATGATCATCGATAGACATTTCTATATTCGCCGATATACATACTGCCTCCAGCGAATATCTTGTAGAGCTTTGATTCAAACAACAATTGAGGATGAATAGCCTTTGCTGGTTCCTATAAACATTATAATTAAGTTAGCATCTTCTTGTATGATCAATCAATCATTGATGCATCGTTATCATCATCATCACTTACTAATTTAATGGCAACCTCTTCATTGGTGACGATGTTTGTTCCCAAGTAGATCTCTCCGAATGAACCACCTCCAATCTTTCGTCCGATCCTATACTTTCCTGCTATCTTCAAGTCCATCTGTTATGTTGTTCTATCTATCTATCTATCTATATATACAAGGTGAGCACCACAACAACAAACTACTACGATATATAATATAACAAGTATATAAATAATAATAATCAATAATCAATAATCAATAATCAATATAGTTAGGAATATACTATCTCTCTCTTGTTATAGCAATAAATATATATGTATATGTTGTCTTTTGTAATGAATGGGGAAGTGTGAAGAGAGTGGAATGAGTGAGGTGATTTGTGTGTTGTTTGTTGTGTGAGTCGTGTCAACACCCTACAACATCGCTCGATGAGAGCTCATCGTATGAGTTTTTTTTTATTAATTGAAAAGGGGAAGGACACAACAAATACAGTCTGAATTCCGGGCTCTGGAGATTGTCAACCATGTAATCAAAGTAATAAATGATAACAAATAGATAGACTTTATATATTTATAATATTGATTGACTCTTAAGTCAATCTTGTCAATTAAATCAAATAGAAACACACTCTCACTCACCCTGACATATATTTCTCAATCAATCACATTGACAATTTGGAATGGAATGGAAGCATGCATTAATTTTTTTTTATGGTTTGTTTCATCAAGATTGGTGGATTGATTGAGAGAAACAAATTGGATCATTATTATTATTATTATTCTATTCATATACACACATATACTTATATATATATATTTATATATACACACACACATACATATACACTTGTCTTCACTATATCTTCACTCCACTCTCAATTAACAAACAATAACAACAAACAATAACAAACAAACAACTTTCTTGTATACACAAAATCATGGATAATCAAAGCTCATTACTGTTGAAGAAGCAACTTAGAGGTATATATACATAACATACATACAAGTAGTCCTTAGTTGTTGATCACTGACTAACTAACTAACTAACTCATGTCATGTTATATATACATACTATTATGTCAACAACAGACCTTACAAAGCACCCAGTAGAGGGATTCTCAGCAGGTCTAGTTGATGATTCAAATATCTATGAATGGCAGATCGTCATTGTTGGTCCACCAGAGACACCTTACGAAGGAGGATACTTCAAGGCTATTCTAACCTTTACACCTGAATATCCAAACAAGTATGTAGTACTAGCATAACTGTAGCAATCATGAATGATGGACAGCGACAACATCAGTCATTCATGATGGTCAGCGCAAAAGCAAGAGACATTCAATTGTTCACATTCTTACATTCAATCATTCGGAATACTATTATAGACCTCCAAAGATGAAGTTTATATCAGAGATGTGGCATCCAAATGTATACACCAATGGTGAGGTCTGCATATCTATCCTTCATGCTCCAGGCGAAGATATCTATGGCTACGAACAAGCAAGCGAAAGATGGCTTCCAGTTCATACTGTCGAGTCTATCTTGGTGTCTGTAATATCAATGCTTTCAAGTCCAAATGATGAGTCTCCTGCGAACATTGATGCAGCCGTATGTATCATCCTTCTCCACCCCCCTCATTCCCTCATAATGATCATGATCCTAACAACTCAATCAATCAATCATCTCAATCAACCCTCATTTCAATATTACAGAGAGAGTGGAGAACACAGAAAGATGTATTCAAGAAAAAGGTAGCAAGGACCGTGAGAAAGAGCCAAGACAGTTTATAGTGCCCATGTCGATTGATTACTACTGTACTCCCCTTTCAAATACAAACTCAAAACAATACATACAATCGAACCCTGAGATAGAGAACTACCGACTATTACATTATCACAACAATGGTACTTGAGCAGCATTCCATGCCGTGCCACACCTTGCCCTCCTACATATTTATATTATCTACTACTACAATGACGAATAGACAATGACATTAATGAGTTGAATGAGTGTGTGGGCGATGGCTTTGTAGTTTCCCCCCAATTGACTCCTCATCCTGGACTCGAGTATGAGTAATGAATTGCAACGAACTTAACTTGGTCAAGATATTTATGTGGTTGTGTGTGTTTGAATGAATGAAAGAATATTGAATAAAAGTGTAAAGGGGGTCATATAATTTCCAAATGAGTACTTTGAACTGGATTGGATAATAAATGAATAAAGTTAGGTGACCAGGCATGACAATAAACAAACAACATGCTACATAAAGATGTCAATGCTTTGTGAATAAACTGACATTCTACACATATTCATACACACACATAATAAATTATTCAAAGTCAGTCAAATGTACATATATTCAAACATACATACATACATACACAAAAATAATAATAATAATAAACAGACAGTTGTGATGAATTACATGTAATTCTTTATTCAAACTTCTTGACATCCCCACACTCATATCCAATCACCTCATCATCATCATCATAAGCAACTCACACACATTAACAGACACTTGGAGACATACACACACACACACACACACACACACACACACACAGAACGTTCAAACACAACATTCACATCATCAAACACAGATTATCTCTTCAAACACAATCACACACACAATAGATAAACACATTTGACCCACTCTATGATTTACATCACCTGATCATTGATTAATGGGTGATTTCCAGATGCCAATCAACAACGTCCAACCATCGAAAGGTCACCCCTTACACATCACACTTAACAACGACGACAATATTGTGTCGTCCATCATAAATCACAATCAATCAAATATCAATATACATTACCAAATCCACAACAATCATCATCAGAATTACAATCCAGTTTGTTCTTGTTTCTTTCATTCGCAAAGAAGCCAGTTTAGTCTATCTACCTAAATTAGCCAACTCCATCCATCTTCATAATCCCGCCTCCTCATCATCATCTTAAATTTGTATTTAAAGGAAAGAAACTAATTATAGAATATTAATATATCTTACTTTAATCAATCCATCAAATCAATCAATGGATATATTATCAGAGATGATTAATTTCCCTAAACTACCATTTAAGGAGCAACTCCGATCCCAGATCATACCAAGGAGGTCACCATCCAAATTGTTTACAAGATTGATAAAGAGAGACAGCGATTCAGTACTCTCATTCAGTCCAAAGACTTATAGTTTCAGTGTGGAAGACGACAGTAGTGGAAAAGAATCAAAGGAGATTGAAAAGATAACATTGGAAACAGATGATTGTTTAGATTATTGTGGATCCGGTCAATCAAGTGGAAGTAACTCTGATAGTTCCGACTCGGAATATTCCTCATCAACATCATCTCGTGGAGGAGTACTATCCAAACAAAATGACAATAGCATAGCCAACTCTCGTAATCAATTCCGTGAGAATTATTTCCTTGGTGTGGAAATTGGAAGGTAAGTGAATTCCGATCACGTGATTGAATATCTGATCACATGACACTTACCATATATGGAAATATTTCCCAATGTCTTCCAATAACAGTGGAGCAACCAGTACAGTATATTTAGTAACTAGGAAGAAGTCTGGAGAGAGATACGCTGCCAAGATTATACCTACAAAGAATATATTCACAAAATACTTCAAGACAATTTCCAAGGAAATTGCCATCATCAAGAAGTTGAACCATCCCAACATTATCAAACTATATGAATGTTTCCTAACTCTAGAGAACTTATATATTGTTATGGAGTTGTAAGTACATTATAAATCATCTGTATCTGTTGTCAATACTAACAAACATTCTTCATTCTTTAGTGTGGACGGTGATGAATTGTTCGATGTAATGCTTAGAAGGAGGGTATTTAGCGAGGCCAAGGCAAAGGTTATAATTAGACAGATACTGGATCCATTGGCATACTTGCATAAACAGAATATTGCACATGGTGACCTGAAGCCAGAGAATATCAAGTTCAATGGCGCAAAGACTTCCGTAAAGTTGTTGGACTTTGGTTTTGCACGACTGCTGGTGGCTGATGGCGCCAAGGACAAGGACAAGGACAAGCAAGAGAAGCAAGAGAAGGAGAAAGAGAAGGAGAACCTGGGGAGTGGAACACTGGGCTACGAGGCACCAGAGATTATCACCAACTCCAGGAAGCAGACGTGTGCAGTGGACATGTGGGCATTGGGCGTGATAATCTACACAATGCTCTGTGGCTACACACCATTTGTCAGTGATGAGATGTACCATGACGAGGATCACATCGACAGCACACCGTTCTGGGCCATGTTCAACGAGAACACATTGGCACTGCGCAATGCCATCAAGAATGGCCAGTATACTTTCAGCACATACCATTGGCGCGACGTGTCGGACGAGGCCAAGGACTTTATTTCACAGCTGTTGACGGTCGACCCCGAGCAGCGTATGAAGGCAGAGGATGCCCTGAAGCATCCATGGTTCAAGAGTGTCTTGGACCTAACCTCGATATCGCTATCAATCCGAGAGTTATAAGAATACAATCAGACAGATAATTGCATATGTATATATCCAAGTGTTGTTGCTTATGTTGCTTAGTTTGTCTTGTTTACATCTCGTGATGTTGTTGTTGTTGTTGTTTGTTGATGTTTGTTGTCTAGTGGCTGGCTGCGACTACTACAACGTCGGACTATGATTGTTCCTTCTCTTTGGCATCATCATCTTCACCATCGTTCTCATCATCATGTTGCGGCGCATCGCCACCCTTTATCTTTTGTAACTGTTGTTCAACCTTCTTCCTTATCTCATTATGTCTCTTATTCTGTTTCTTCTTCTTCCTCTTCTCTGCCTTCTTCAATGTTCTCTCAGCCTCTTCCAATCTTGTTGCTTCTCTCCTCTCCATGAACTCTCTATTTATCTCTTCCTACATGTGTGCGTCTTAAAGTTAGTACAATACATCAATACCAATCGATCAAATGATATCTACATACCTTTGTACCCTCCTTTTCAATACGCTCTAGTCTGTCCAACTCCTTCCTTCGCTGATTCCTGTAGATGTGGAAGTCACCACTTCCACTGCCAGCAGTTGATCCAGATACATTATGTACAGTTATCTTGCTTGAGTTGGGATTGACATCCTCCTTTGGACGTTGTACTTGTTCCTTAATAGCTGTATCACTCATCTCTCTATCTCTAACTCTCTGTTTCAATCTTCGCGATTCGTCAAATGAATGAACCTCAGCCCATTCTTTCAAATTTATCAATCCAACTTTACATCTTTCATTCATTCATTGTCGTCCAATCAAACAAATAACAGTACATAGTAATAATAACATCATAACAATGGAGGATAAACAACAACAACAACAACAACATTTGGTATCAAAGGATATATTTGTTGAGAAGACTTTAAAGTTGTTGGATATAGAGAAGGAATCAGAGATTGAGTTATCGGTCAGTTTACAGAGTACTTTGTCAAATAGAGAGTTGGAACTAAAGGGAATATGTATAAGGAAGTTATGTTTGGAATCGTTCTCAACTGGTTTGGGTGGACGTTCATTGGTCAGATTAATACCCGCCGCATCAAAGTCTAAACAGCAAGGAGATGGCGGCGGAGACCTGCCCCCTCACAAGTTCACTCCGGGTGATGTCATTGGACTGCGCACATCCAAAGCCAAGCCAGGCACTGCGTTGCTCACGGGTGTTGTGTACAGAGTGGAGAGGAACAAGATAACAGTGTCATTCGATGATATATCCGATGCGATATTGGAGGAGTTGGAGTCGGGCACGTTCGCCATCGACAAATTGGCCAATGACATAACATATCGAAAGATGCGCGAGGCTGTCGAGCGACTGAGAATGAACCAGTCATCTGGATCCGCCACACCATCATCATGTGCGCCATGTCACAATGTTGTCCAGGCGATATTCAGTGGCATCAAGCCAACACATACAGACGCGCTGCCCAAGGTCCAGCCACTGAACACAGGACTCAACCAGCCACAGGTCGATGCCATCCGCTTCGCCCTGTCATCCAACGAGATTGCACTCATTCACGGACCACCTGGCACGGGAAAGACTACAACCGTTGTTGAGTTCATTGTCCAGGTGTGCAAGGGCGGAGGCAAGGTCCTTGCCTGTGGACCATCCAACCTCTCTGTGGACAACATGCTGGAACGACTGATACAGTATCCGGGCGTGGTCAACCCCACGAGAATTGGACATCCTGCTCGTATCCTGCCTGGTCTCACTAAGTACACACTGGATCACAAGACCAAGAACAGAGACGATGCCCTGCTGCTCAAGGAGATGCGTCGCGAGATCTCCACCATTCTCAAGTCATTGCGCGATGGAAAGATCGACAAGAGTGAGCGACGCAAGGCATATGCCGTGGTCAAAGACCTGCGCAAAGATATCAAGCAACGCGAGACATCAATCATGGAGCAAGTGATCAGGAACTCCAATGTGATCCTGTCCACCAACACTGGAGCCAGTGACTACTCAATCAGAGACCGCGATGACTTTGATTGGGTGATCATTGATGAGGCAGCTCAATCACTCGAGGCCAGCTGCTGGATCCCCATTCAAAAGGGCAAACGACTGCTGCTCGCAGGTGATCACCAGCAGCTGCCACCAACCATTCACTCGGACCAGGCCTCCAAGGACGGTCTGTCCACTACATTGTTTGAGCGATTGATCAAGGCGTGGGGCGATGACATATCCCGTCTGCTTTCAGTGCAATATCGTATGAATCAAGCGATCATGCAGTGGTCATCAAATGAGTTCTACAATGGCAGGATGGTGGCTCATGGAAGTGTCAAGCACCGTCTCCTCATTGACAAGTCGGCCAGCAATCGTGTGGCCACCTCAACTACATGTCCTCTGATGATGGTCGATACGAGTGGACTTGGCATGGAGGAGTCGGCTGATAATGAGTCCGAGTCCAAGTTCAATATTGGCGAGGCTGATCTGGTCAAGCGATACGTGGACAAGCTGATCAAGTATGGAATACAACAGGAGAGCATCGGTGTGATCACGCCCTACAATGGACAGGTCAAACAGTTAAAGTCAACGTTGGGTGACTACAAGGCCATTGAGATTGGAACAGTAGATGGTTTCCAGGGTCGTGAGAAGGAGGTCATTGTGCTCTCATTGGTACGATCGAATCCGCCTCCACACAAGGTTGGTTTCCTGGCTGAGGATCGAAGAACGAATGTTGCCGTCACCAGAGCCAAGCGACAGGTTGCAATCATATGTGACAGCGAGACCATATCATCATATCCATTCCTCGAGAGAATGGTCACCTACTTCAAGACCTATGGTGTGTTCCGTTCGGCATTGGAGTACACTGAGGAGTATCAAACATCTGATGATGAGACATGGGTGAGGGAGGAAGATGACACAGAAACATCCACAACATCAACGACAACAACGACGACGACGACAGCCTCCAAGGCAAGGACATCAGTGGCGGAGCAAAAGAAGGAGAGGAAGAAAAAGAAGAAGCAAGATGAGTTGGCCAAGAAGGATTTGGATGATCTCAATAATCCCGAGAAGGTGAAACAGATGGAGCACATCAAGGTGATCGTTGAGAGCTTCATTCAATCATCCAATGAGGTGCACACATTCCCCGCCTCATTATCAGCCTACCAACGATTGATAGTTCATCAAATGGCTGAGCTGCACAAACTCAATCACGAGAGTACAGGTGAGGGTGATAAGAGGATCATCACCATCACAAAGAAGCCATCAACAAAGTCGGCACAGACACCATCACAACAACAAGTTGACAATGAAGAGGACGAAGAGGTGGATGATGAAGATGAGGAGGATGACAGCGAGGAGGAAACAAACATTGTGGCAGGTGCCAACAATACATCGACGGCTACTGGAAAGAAAAAGAAACCAGCCAAGAGTCCAAACGCCAGTGCTGGAAAGAAGCCACCAGCCAAGAAGAAGAAGAAGCCAGCCACACCAAAGAAAGACCTTGGTGAGGAGCTGCTCAGCAACTTCAACAACCTGGAAGTTTCTCAAATGTATGTTAATGATCAATCATATCCATCCATCAATCAATCAATTAATCCACTAACGGCGACGCTTGGACCTGACATACTCTAGCGACCTGAACGTATGTGGAGTCAAGAATTGCACGGCCAATGTGATACTGCTTGGAAGGATATGTGAGTTCTGCTTGAGAAAGTATTGTAATCAGCATGCGTATGTACTTGATCGACCACGTGACCTTCCTCATCACCAACTAACCAACTGGATGATGTAGACTATTTGAAATACACGGATGTGGAGCACAGGCCAAACTGAAGGCTAGAAAGGACTGGTTCGATGCCTATGCAAAGTCGAGCAAAGATGAGAAGACACATAATAAGCTACAACAGGCTGTATGTATATAGATGTTGGCTGGTGAGTATGTGTACATACTTACAACTGACTTACTTACGACCTAATGACCTTACATAATAGATTCAGGATGCAGAGTCCACCAGGAGGAAGAAGGCCACTGACAAGAAGACAAAGAAATAATAATAAACTTGGCAATGTGATCGACACTATTGGGGAGGGGAGATTGATTGGTTTATTGGATGATCATGTGAGAGATACAGGAGGAATGCGGATGGCAGTCATCATACTACCCTCTGTTACACATTAAGGATATACAATATGCCAATGGTATTTCTAAAGTAGAGGAGAGGTTGGGATTGGGGATGGGTATTGGTTGTACAGTTGCATTGTATGCAAGCCAAATGACTTGCTGCATATTCATCGAGAGTTGTTATCATTATCATTGTTGTCGTTGTAGTCGTCGTCATGCATTAGACGAGTCAGATGACTCGTTTAGTTGTATGTTTGGTTGGGTGTGGCTACGATGATTGAAATGATGATGATGGCGAGAATGAAGGAGAGGATGAAGAGGACAACAGAGAGGATACCAAGAGCACGAGCGGTGGAGTTCTTTGAGCGGAAGTAGATGCAACCAGCGAGCCAGATGCAGCTCAGGAAGAAACCACAGAGGAAGATGATGAGGGCGCCGGTGACCTCCTCGGCGTGGAAGTAGCTGCGCGAACCATGAGCTGGGGCATCCTCAACAGTGGTGGTTGTGATGATAGCTGCGGCTGGCACGTATGCTTGGTAGTAGCCTGGTGGTGGTTGAGCAAACTGACCTGGGTATCCATTGTATTGATTGTTGTTGTTGTTGGTGTTGCTGTTCTCATTGTTGTTGTTGTTGTTGTTGATTTGGTTTGGTTGTGGAGCAATGTACATGTTTGGAGCCATGCTAAAGGCTTCATTCGATGCTGGACCATTCAAGTAGTTTGGTGGCTGATACATCATTGTGTTGACCAATGGAGTGTACTGTGTATCATTCGAAACAGTGTTGTTGTTGGTATTGTTGTTGCTATCGTAACCCATGATTGATTAATTGATTGATAACTATATATATATAGTAATAGAGATAGAGATAATTGTTTATAACAATGTGGTAAATATTGTGAGTATGTGTAATAAATAATGTTGTGTATTGTGTGATTAGATTGTTGCGAAGGTGGAGTCGTCAATCTTGGTGAATGTTGTGTGTTGTGTGTGTGTGTGAGGTGATTTGGTTTGGCAATTGAATTGCTCATTTTTGTGAATAAAGCAAGGCGCAAAAGGGTCCACGTGATACCCACCCATTCTTGCTTTTGCGAGTTGTTTGTTTTTTGTGTGTTTATTGATCAAATGGGGGAACAAAAGTTGGGAACAAGACTCTGGATGGTATTCCTTCGACCATTCAATCCTCATTTCTCTGACAAGAACAACGATCCATCTGGCACCAGTCCGGCATCCTTCAATGTTTGATCCAAATTTGTCAACTGTCTCCTGCAATGAATGAATGATTAAGATTGATTGGTTGTGTGATGGTCAGTACCAGGGTTCACCATCATCCACAAGAGACGACTCGTGCGCCTTCCCCAGTGACTACTTACTTGGGATAGTTGGTGGAAAGAACAAACTCCTCGATTGGTTCATCAATCTTGGTATCTACATAGTCCATAACGAACTTGACAGTGTCTGTGATGTAGAAGCTTCGCTGTACTCTTGATCCGTCGACCAGCCTAATTGCCAGTCTGGTGATGTCGGTGCCAGTAGGCTCCTTTGAGAACATTTGCTCCTTTTGTTGCTTCCTCAGCTTCAATTCCTTCTCGGCCTGCTCACGCTCTTCCTCTTCTCTCTGCACTCTATCCTCCTCCTCCTGTCTAAGTCTTTCTGCCTCCCTTGCCCTCCTCTCCTTCTCCTGATCCTCGCGCAATGACATCTCATATGCTTCATCCTGTTCCATTCTAATCATTCTATCCATCTCCCTCTGGTCACTAAGTATTGGTTGATTGATTGATTAGTATTGGAGTGTGATTGATTGATTGAATGATGGTATACATACTGATCGGCCTTTGATGCAATGAGTGATGGTTCATAGGTTGACGCGGCGTTGGTCAAGAGTGTGACGACGTTGTCAGAGTTGAGTGTGGAGCCTTGGAAGGATTCGAGACGTAGTGTCTGTGAGCCATTGGAAAGACCTGGTATATTATTACAACAAATGAGTGCCATATATGGATATGTTGTCGCTTCCAACAAGTTTGATATCTTCAATCCATTGCTCGATCGTACATCACATGCCCAAATGATAAAGTTCTCATCAATGAACCTTGTGAATGCATCTGTAAATATAACATCTCTATATTGTTGTTTGATTGTTAGTATGATTGACTTGATGGACTTGATTGAATGAGTGAGTGAGTGATTGATACTAACTGGCAGAAGGATTGTGCACCGGGATGCTTGTCAGAGTGGACGTAGACAACAAGCATTTTGAACTGTGAGCGTGCGAATTGAACGGCATCATTGTAGGATGAGTCTCTAAATGCTGGATGCTGTGCACCATACTTCCCGTAGAAGTCCAACAGGAAGCGTCTTGTCTCTTCAATCGGGTCTATATTGATTTCATTATATAATAGTCGAGCTGCCAAGAAGAGATAACATGTTAGTCATGATGACGTTGATGATGATCATCATCATGATGTTAACTTTGACTTTGACTTACTAAGGTATGTTAGGGATTGGTTTATATATGTTGACAACCAGTATTGAGGTTGTGGAGGCGGTTGCCTGTTGAGATGATTCATTGATGGGATGTGGTAGTGGAAGTCTTTAATGTTTGATCGAGCACGATGCTCTCGCTCCAGTTGTTTAGATCTCTGCTTGAGACGTTGGTATGTGGCAATCAAAGCAAAGCCGACACCAAAGCCAAGTGCACCAGCGACGGCGATAGTCTGCAATGTCTTTTTGTTGGCGAGTCGCTGGCGGAGTAGTTGTTGGATGTGACGGATCGAATGTGTCGGGTGTAGTGCTGCAAGCAGGGTTGTAAACTTGATACCAATATCAGATGTTAGAGATGCTATTGTTGATGTTGCTGTTGTCGTTGTCGTTGTTGTTGTTGATGGAGCCACGATGGATAATGTATCGCCACCTGTGTAGGTAATACTTTGTTGTTTAAAGATGAGATAGATAGTAGTATTATTATTATTACCTCTCAACAAACAAAGTGTTCTAGTAGTAGTTATTGATTGGATTAATGAATATGATGTGTGGTTCACAATGATGTTCTGAATGAATGAATGAAGTAGTGTTTGTGTTGATGATGATGCTGTTTGTGGTGATGTGTTTCATTTTATTTAATTTAATTTCTCATTAATGATTGATTCCAAGTTCAGAGTAACTCATGGATGGTCGACCCAAATAGTAGGACTCTTGACAAGGATGGAGTGTTTGCGACCATTGTCTGCAGACAACTGGTTCAACCAAATAATCAATAAAGAATGTGTGAAAGGTTTGAGTTGATGGAAAGATTGATTCTTTGAATGGTCATAATCCAAAATATCCTTTCATAAAGTTTCCAAAGAGATAGATAAAGATAGAGATAGGGAGAGTAATGGATGCATTGACCATTGTCCAGGAGTCGAGGTCTAAAAAATAGTAACAAATTATCCTTTGTTTGTCCCATATTGCATTTGGCGTCAGAGACTCGACTCGTTCAAATAGTTTTCGGGTGTCGCTCGTCTGTTAATGATTTACTTAAATGATGATAACACTGATCGTCTATTGAGCTCTGCTCCCTTTAGGTTGCTAGGCTTTGAAACAAAAAACAAACATCGATTGTATCTGACCTCTAAATCATTTATTATCTCATCGTTGTTGATGATTGTTATCAATCTTATCTTACTTTTGTAACCTATCACTCCTATTATACCTGGTTTGTTTGTGAATAGACGAACGAATGTAAGGTTAGTGAATGAGGGAAATCCAAGGACCAAGGCCTTGGCCACACTTGGTAACATCAACATACTCTCTTTCAGATCTCTCTTGAAGCCTCAGCTTCTTATCCTCTTCCTCCAACACCTTTGATTTACTCTTTACAACCTCCTGTCTTTGTTCTTCTAACTTCATCTCCTGTATCATTGAATTAGAACGAGAATGAATGAGATTGAGAATGAATGAATACTGCAACTATAACATACTTGTAATGTTGGTATAAGATCACGTCTAAAACCCAACCAACTACTCCATTGTGTTGGTATTAGACGTGGATTGGGATCACCATCAAAGTACTCTATACTCCTCTTCTCTTTGCCTTCAAAATGATCTACATAATATCTATTCTTTAACAAGTCTATACCAACAAACTGTTTCGATCTAATATTGAACCTATCCAACAAGTTCTTACAATGATGTAACATTAATCTTGTACCCATCCCTATATCTATATTCTCTATATCTCTATCTCTATCTCTTGTACAATTGAGATTGGCTGCACAAAGTCTCGCGCGAGACTTTAGACTTCGCGAAACACACAATTTGTTGGTGTAGAGTGGCGCGTGTGGCGTGGAGTGGAGTGGAGGGGAGGGAGGGATGCGGAGAGTCCACACTTCTACTAGTTTATTTATGAGAGAAGGGATACTCAAAGGGTATTTGGTCGGTCTTGTAGATTATGTTCTCGTAGGGATGAGGTATCTGTTTGATCGGTCGGAAGACCCGACGCTTCATCCACACGACATGGATGTTGAGATCTTTGGCAAACTCGGCACACAAGCCTGCACTATACTTGCGCTCAAGTAGTATGCTACCAATCATCATACGCGCCGGCAATTGTTTGCTCTTGTTCAGTTTGAGTAGACGCTGCTCGGTGGCCGCTGGCAACTGCACGCTTCTCAAACATTGGATATAGGCAAACAGTTGGAAGAATGATAGTATAAGTGCGATACATGATACGAGGAACATGTCGTAGAACTTCCAGTTGGGTTGGCCTAGACTGCTGGTGTAGGACAGCCATAGTAGTCGTCCACCAATCACTACCAATAACAGAACAACAATGTCACGTAGTCTTGCAAACTTTCCATACCAGAAGCTGACCTTTAACAAACTCTTGTAGCAACTCTGTGTATATAACTTCTTCTTTACATATGATCCAAGATCTAGTTCAACTGTTGGTGTTGTGTTGTTCGCGCGGAGAATGTTTGTGCGGCCAGAGGGTCAGTTTCCATTTCGCCACACACTCGCCACACTCGCCATACTCTCTCCAAATTGTTACCGCGAGGCAAACTTACGTAAAATAAGATGTCGACCAAATAGTATTGTAAAGTTAAATAGAACAAAGAGGACTGTTGCCTCATAGTATTCCAATGCTCCAATGGTCAGTGTGGCGACGATCAGTGCAGTGGATAGTGGGTCGGTACCCTGTAGCAGTTGGGAGTACTGCAGGAATTGGTTGGCGTGGAAGTAGATTGGCAGGGGGTCGTTTGTGGCGCCATCCAACAACAGGTTCTGCTTCTCGGCATCGTCCGACGACAGACTGTATCTCATCATACTGCTGCTAATACTGCTGTTGTTGCTATTGTTGCTAATGTTGCTGTCTATACTACTGTTGATTGTACCGTGTAGTCCAATGATGGGTATAGCCGATACACTGGATGATGTTGAATTGTTATTGTAAAGATGCTCCATTTCTATTGAATTACTATGTATGTTAATGCTAGTTTGATCGATACTATTGTTGCCATTGCCGTTGCCATTGCCGTTGCCATTGCCATTGCCATTGCCATTGCCACTCGACATCATGGTTGGAGAAGAATGGAATCCTGCGGGAGGGGGTGGCATCGGGATAACTTGTTTATTGGGGCGCAACAACACCTCACCAGTTGAACTGTTGTACATATAATATAATAATGTGAATAAATAAATAAATATAACTTAATTATCTCTTTGTATGAATGGGTATGTATCTCTCTCAATCAAACAATCAATCATATGTTATTGAGTGAGTGACACCCTCTAATACAAGTAAGAGAGACATAACTCAACGTGGTTCATCTAGAACCCATCAACATGACCCCATCCCCCCTTCTGGATGTCATCCTAACATTCTGAGGAAACCGATCATCATTTTTTTTGATCACTAACCACACTCTGTTCGTTGTTTATGTGATTGATCAATCACACCCCACTCACGTTCGCGCACATTCGTCGGTTGACCAGCAATGTGGGTTTACCCAAAAAACAAAACGACACTCCAAACTTTGCGCAACATAATTATTATTGATTGGTTAGTGTGACCTGGTGTCGGTGTCTATTAATGGGTCGGGTTATTATATGATTGAGATTGGTCGAGTCAGACAATCCAATCAATCAATCAATCAACTCATCTCTTATATCAATCGTGCGAATAATTAGTCCTTTGGAATTCTTTGGACAAACATCAATGACCACCACCAATATGCAATGATTGTCCATTCTTCGTGCTCTGAGTGTGACCGCGATCTTCTTGACTGTCTCCTGATGAAGCAACATACGATGAAATGTGATCTTGTAATCCATGATGGTTGGCTCGCTCGACATCACTCTGGTGATGGACCGAATACCCGCTGCTCTGAGATCCACCGTCTTGTGAGAGTATCTGACCTCAACAAACACATTCAAAGTCCTTGTGTTCATTGGTAGAGCGGGTACATTCACAATGGACTGGAAGTAGTGAATGTGCATGGTAACGGTGTCCACTGTTGGAGGGGACTTGGACATCGCCAACACACATTTACCATCGGTTACTGGTAAGTAATGGAAGTGTAATGACTTCAAACCATGTGGCAACTCAATGATTGTTTGATTGAAATCAATGCCAGTGGAAAGATGTTGTAGTGATGATGGTAGATTGATCAAAGGACGATTGAAATATCTTCCAAAGTTAATCTCCCTCACTCCATCCGGTAACATACCTTCTATAAGCGGTTTGGAAAAGTATGGACCAAAGTTGATCGTGATCAATGATTTTGGAAGTGAGAATCGTTGAATGAAACGATCAAAGTTTCCACCAAGTGTCAACTTGGTCAAAGTGGATGGCAGTGATTCGATGATGATGTCAAAGTTAAGATTGAATGTGAGCTCCACCAATGCGGGAGGGTATGTGGAGGGCTGGTTGGGCTTCCTTCCCAGGGCGAGGCTGGTGATGGACGGTGGCAAGTCGGTAGTCTTCATTGATCTCTTACGTAGCCATGCCAATCTTGTGAGTGACTTTGGGAAGACGTTGCGTGATGGGCGTTGATCATACGTCTCCCCGAGGTCCAGGGTGATCAGGGAGTCTGGCAGATCGCCTGGATTGAGTGGCATGTTGAAATGTTTACCAAAGAGGAGAGTTTTGAGTGATCGAGGTAGGGAACCTGGAACGATAGATTGATTGAAACAATCACTTAATGACAACTCTGTAAGCGAGGTTGGTAGAGTGTCAACTTCAATCAATTGATTAAACAAGTTGGTAAACTTAAGGGATGTGAGCGAGATAGGTAGAAAACCAGGCTCGATTGGATGGTTATAGTTGCCAAATGACAGTAAGGTGATGCTTTGAGGTAGTGATCCAAGGGGAAGTCGTTTGTCGAACTCATAGCCAAACCTCAGGGTGGTTAAAGATGTAGGGAGGGAGTCTACGGCAATGCTTTGATCAAAGAAGTGACCAAACTTTAGATAGATGAGGCTGTTGGGCAGCACACCCGGAAGGATTGGTTGATTGTAGGTTGTTCCCAACTTTAGGTATTGGAGGGAGTTGGGCAGTGACCCAACCGGGATGGGTACCTTGGGCCCTCCCGTTGGTCCAACTAGACCATGGTAAGTGCCTTCGGGGATGTACACAGAGAATGAAGGTCCATAGGCAAGGGAAGTGATCGTAGTTGGCAGGTTGGTAGGTATGTTCTCAAAAGTGGCAAGTGAGAGATCGATGGTTGACGATGGGATTGGTGTTGATATGCTGTCAGGACTACCAGAGATATGATATGATGGTAAATTATTGGAGTTGTAGAGTAATGTAGAGCTAATAAATATTGAGTGTAGTCTTTTGTTGGTTAGCGACAAACTTGTTGCGTCAACCTCTTCATCATTCTGATGAAGTAACTTGAATATTTGTTTGATAGTGATAGTAGGCAATGATTCCATATTAATATGGATAGTGGAAAAGTGACAACTTGTCAAAACACACTCGGTTAGGCCAAGATTGATCATCAATCACCCACCACTGATCAATCAATCAATCAAACAATCAGATACAAATAAGAATGGATACACTATTTCGACAAGTGATCAATAACAAGTTGTATTCAAGACAGTTGTTTGATTGTGTAGGTTGGATACACGAACGTCGACAAGTGTCAACTAGTGGAAGAAAGATAACACTCTGTTGGAGAAGACTTGTATGGTGTTGGTGTCTGACAGTCGATACTTACTTCAATGACAAGGTTGATACTGGAGGCCTGACAGGATATGGCCAAGAACAATCATTCGAGTCATACATTGGACATGGTGATATCATCAGGTACATCATCAACAACTCTGAACAACGTCTTAGATTGAATAGTACACTTGTCAATGCCCTAGACATTATGGCGCGTCTGGGCAGAGCCGACCTCGTCAAGTACATGCACAATAATGGAGTCAAACCGTCCACTCGTACAATGGATGTAGCTTCCACGCTGGAGATCGTTCAGTTCCTGCATCAAGTGTCTCAAGTTGGATGCACAACCGAGGCTATGGACAATGCAGCTGCCACTGGCCGACTATCAATCTTGGAGTATCTTCATCACAATCGTAGCGAGGGCTGCACAATCGCTGCGATGGACAGAGCTGCAGCTGGTGGCCACTTACAGGTTGTTGAGTTCCTGCACCGTAATCGAACGGAAGGTTGCACAACAAAGGCATTTGACATGGCTGCATCGAATGGACACATGGAGGTTGTCCAGTTCCTACATCACAACCGAACCGAAGGTTGCACGCATCGGGCCATGGACTGGGCGGCGTGTGGAGACCTGCCAATGGTCAAGTTCTTGCATTCCAACCGCACAGAGGGCTGCACGACCGACGCAATGGATGACGCAGCATCAAAGGGTTGCCTCGACACCCTCAAGTTCCTTCACGACAATCGATCAGAGGGATGTACTGAGGTGGCCATGGACTGGGCAGCACGTGAAGGACATCTCGAGGTTATCGACTTCTTGCATCGCAACAGGACCGAAGGCTGCACCGTGGAGGCGATGGACTGGGCGGCACAGGAGGGTCATCTCGAGCTTGTCAAGTACCTGCATCTCAACAGGTCAGAGGGGTGCACAACCGATGCCATCGACAGTGCAGCACGCAATGGACACTTGGAGGTCGTACGGTATCTTCATCTCACCAGGACCGAGGGATGTACAAAGGTAGCAATGGATACTGCCGCACGACAGGGCTATACTGCAATCGTTGAGTTCCTTCATCACAACAGGACAGAGGGCTGCACGATCCATGCAATGACCTTTGCGATCCACAATGGCCATATGAATGTCGTGCGATTCTTGCACGAGCGCAGGACAGAAGGGTGCAGCAACGTCGCTATGGAGCTCGCCTGTCAAAGCGGCCACCTCGACATCGTACAGTTTCTCCATAACAACAGGATCGCTGGTCCTTATGGCTCTATAACATCGGCGGCGGCCAGTGGCCATCTGGACGTAGTTCAATTTCTCCATCACAACAGGACTGAAGGCTGTACAAAGAGTGCAATGGACATAGCGGCAGCAAATGGATACATTCGAGTAGTCCAATTCCTGCACACTCATCGAACTGAGGGCTGCACGGTGCAGGCTGTGGACAAGGCAGCAGAGAATGGATACATGGATGTAGTGCAGTTCCTATGCGATAACCGTCACGAAGGATTCTCCATGGACAAGTTGAGTGTGATATCAGAGAATGGCCACTCCAACATCGTCGAATACCTTAGTAAATGGAATGCTTCAACAACATCAACAACATCAACAGAGACATCAATGACAATAGAACAAATATTGGATCAACTTAAGGCTATATAATAGTCCTATGGGTTGATGGATGATGGAATAAATGAGCATGTGAGTGCTCCATTTAATAGAGGTTTACTTTGGGTATTGACAGGACTGTTCCTCCATAGTTGGAGGTGAACTCGAATGATAATAGGTTGATCGAAGGTGGGATGTTGGGGAGGTCAAAGTAGAGCGTGCTGTTCAGTCGGCTCTTGGGTACAAGTATCTGAGACAACTGTTATGTTTGTTCGCGGGCGAGGATATTGTTAGGAACTAAAAGTGATCCATGGGTCACGCCATGACTTAGTACTTACGAATTGATGTGACAGTAGCTCATTCTTCTGATTGACAATGACACAGCTGATGGTGATTCCTTTCACTTGGGATCGCACACCTTCGTTGTCGTCGTGCGAGATGATGATGCTCACGCCCTTGACTGTGACGGTCGAATCGATGCTGATGTGGATGGTCCTTGCAGACTTTTGTGCTGTGATAATCTTGGACAGGTGAATGGGATTGCGCTTGGGCGTCACCGATGATACCGAGTACAAGGTATTCTCATAAAGCTCTTTGTCGCTTGCCTCGAGGGGGATTGACGATGAGAGGAACGATGGAACCTCACTCAATGAGTCGTTGTAGTATCCATGCACTGCTATGCGTCCTAGATGAAGGAATGGTTTGACTGGCTCGCTGTTATCGTAGGTCAGGAATGTTGGAAGGTTGGGCAGAGTGAATCGCAGTGAGATCACTCTTGCCTGGCGTGGCTGTGGAAGAATATATGAAATACAGGATTGAGGTTGGATGACTATGAATGATTGAGCGAGTGAGTTAGTGAGTGATTGGATGCTGATGAGGATTGGATAACATACTTTGGCTTGGATTGGAACTCCATCCATTTGGTTGGAACACCCATGGTCCAACAGACTCCATGTCGCTCTGACAGAGATTCTTGCCAATCTTGATGTCGACTGATGGCACGTTGTAGTTGTAGTAGCCGAGCGAGTCGACAAGTAGTGTGATCGAGTAGACTTGCGAGTCATAGGCCAGCACTATGTTGACGTCCACCGAGTTGACATTGGGTGGGGCGTACCAGAACATGGTGAATGGCAGCACGCCAGGTGGCAACAGTATCGTTTCGATTGGTGGCGAGTTGATGTCCGTTGGCACTGAGTTGAGGATGCCACTCTTGGGATACTCGGATAGCGGGATCAGCGTCTTGTACAATGAGTCGAACGAGTGGTTGGGCTGCGACGAGGTGTTCTGTTGGAGCTGGTGCAACACCCTCTGGTAGAATGTGAGGTTGAAGCTGGCCAGATCCTTGTAGTAGATGTTGTTGGCTTCCGCCATGCGCTTCAGGTACGATTCCTGCTTGGCGATGATCATCGAGCAGTTGTTGCAGACGGCGATCGGCTTTGTGCTCTCGTACTCGATGATCTTGACCGTGGCGGCCGACATGCACGACGGACAGAAGCGCTTGTAGCAATAGTTGCACTGCTTGTGACGGAACTTGTCAAAGTATCCAAGCTCCTTGCCACACTGCGGCCTCTGGCACGTCCAGCTGGACGACTGCTTGTTCTTGGTGTTCTTCCTGATAGAGTGCTCGATCTTCTCCTCACGCTCGAATATGAATCGCATCGGATTGACCGAGTTGCAAGGGATGCCCAGTTGCTGTAACAGTTTGTCACGCTCCATCGGTGTGACGTTGAGCTGTATCCTCCTCATCTCGAGCTCCAATGCCTCAACGAATCCAAGTCGTTGAATGTGCGCGCTGTTGTTGTTGCTTCCACTACTACTACTGCTGCTGCTTCCATTCAGGACAGTCTGTAGCTCCTGCTCATAGAGCATAGTTGGCGTGTTGGAGGCTTCGGCGCCACGCTTCCTGTGTGATGATATCTTGAATGTCTCGGCAACCTCTTGCGAGTTCATCTCCTCCATGAATGTCTGACCGCCACTGTAGTCTCTGATGAGAAGGATCTCATTGGGGCTGCCCATGTCTGGGCTCTTGTTGCCCGTCTCTGGCGCTGACTCTGGCGCACCATTGCCAGAGTGTTGTAGTTGTTGCTGTTGTTGTTGTTGGAGCTGGGTCGAGTTGTTTGACGCGGTCAGGTTGGCAGATGCTGTGGTCGCGGCTGTGATGTCTACACCCTTCTCACATTGTAAGATTGATAGGATGTTGTTGATCTGATTGTCAATGATTGTGTCGTACAAGTTGCCGTTGCCATTGCTATTGCCATTCATATTGCCAATGCTCTCTGATGAGTATGTCGGTCTGTACTCGCCATTGCTACTGGCGTGAGCCTTGGAGTGCTCGGTGCCGGCGGCGTCGCTGTCCAAGATGAAGTTGGTGAAGTTGTCGTAGCCATTGTTGCGATCGACAGAGCTGTGTCGGGTACTCTCGATCCGGGCCACTTGGTCCGCGGTGCTCCTGTGTACGTTGGCAACAGGCTTGACTACGCGGTTGGAGTAGTGTCCAAACACTTCGATCTTGCCAATGGTCAGAGGGAGGTTGTTTCCCTTGAATATAATCTTTACAAAGCGGTTGAAGAAGCGGTTGGAGGGCGTAGCGGTAATTCGCAGATCGTCGGCGATCGCAGAGTACTGATCCCACGGGCCGTACGGCAGGTGGTAGGACAGCTTGGTGCCGGTCGTGCATCGTGGGATGGCCACATCCTGAAGCACGACGTGCATGTCGTTGTGATAGTCGCCCAGCAGCACGTCCATGACCTGCGGGTACGTGTCGCTGTTGGTGCCATGTGCCACAGTCAGGCAGAGCTCGGTGACGATGCATGGCTGCGAGAGGTATATCGTGACGTCTGTGTTGTTGGTGTCGCTTGGGAATATCCAACTAAAGTCGTCGATTTCGCGCACCAATATCGATGGGCTCAGATTGCTCTTGGCCAGTATCGTTGGGATGGAACTAACACAACTGACTGGCGCGATTGAGATTGTGTAAGAAGGTCGCTCGAGCTGGAGGCCCATGTTAGACGGGAAGAACCTGGACCCCAGCAAGCCAAGGAATGTCAAATACTGCTTGTTCCTATTCTCCTCTTGATATGTGTTTGTGTACTTGCGATGGAATGACTGTGGATGGGATGGGTTAGCGATGATTGATTGATCGTGCGAGTGAACAAACACATACCAATAGATGGTTCATTGATGTCAGAGACACACTGTTGGTGAACTCTTGCATGATCTTGGGCTGCTGAACTGAGTTGTGGTGGTAGAGGATGTTGCATACGTCAGAGCTGGTGGCGTAGAACTCGGTGAGAGGCTGGAAGAGACCATGTTGCTTGTGTGTGTTGATCATGTAGTCCAGAGTGACATTGTTGGAGAATGTGAACATGTCGTTGAAGCCGACGCCCAGTGCGCGACCCATCAGTGCCACCAGTTGGAACGAAGTGAAATAGGTGGCGATGTTGACACGCTCCAATGACTCGAGACAGCTGTACTTGATGATCTCCTTCTGATGGCTGAACTGTTCAAAGACCAGCTTGCGATCGGTCGGGTTGATGCTGTAGTCCACGTTTGGTGTACCGTGCGTCTCGTGCTGAAGCGACGAGGCGCCGCCGTCGTCATTGACCACTTTGGCAACGCCCTTTGAGAAGCCAGCAGTGTCCATCAGCTCGCGCATTGTGTTCCACAGCGACTGAACAGTCTTTGCCAGCGACTGGTTCTTCAGACACTGGGCCCAATCAAAGTGGACGAGGTTGAGATTGAGGTTGATCAGTGACATGACGCGCTCGACACCTTGCTGGTACAGCTGCGCCAGTGGGCCCTCCTGCGTGTCGTCCGCGCGCAACAGGTTGACCAGATGGATGTTTGGTAGAGACATCTTACTGGGCTCATACATCGATTGGTAGTGCTGTAGTAGGCCGGCAAAGTATTGCTCGGAGCCCTCGAACGGGTTGTCCTTGACCTGTATATCTGTGCTTTGGTTCTTCTGTCGAGATCGCCACCACAAGGGGATGGTACCACGTCGCCAAACATTCGATGTCCAGTTGACGGTTGAGGAGGGCGCATTGGAGGAGTTTGACGACATCGACGTCGATGTCTGTTGCGCCTTTTGAATCTTCCACATGATGAGCTCGCACTCATACTCGTTGGCTGCACCTGCTCGCTCATTGATGCCATGTCCAAAGGAGTAGGTCTCGGGGTTGAGCTTTGAACGCTTCATGATGTAGCAGATCGAGAGCGACTGTGATGCCACCGACTTGATCGACACGTAGCCCTGTAGCAGCACGACGCACAGATGTGACAGCGAGAAGGTGTCGAATGGGCGACGCAGCCACTCGTTCCACGTGAATTCTGAGCAGTACTGGTAGGGCGTGTTCTTGTGTGAGGGGAAACAGCTGGTGAGGTCGTAGGTCTCGCAGAAGAAGTGTGTGCCGTCCAGTGGGTAGGCCTGCAGCTGTTTGAGTACAGAGGCCGCAGTCTCGCTAGAATCCTTTGTCGCTGCTGTGCCACCTGTTGACGAGGACATTGAATGTTGTCCCTGGCCATGGCCGTGGCCGTGGCTCGATGCCGTAGACGAGGTCGACGAGCCCAATTCAGACGTGCCATAATAGGCTTCGCTTGTTGATGATGTAGATGCGGACAAGGGTTCGCAAGATGATGCTTGTCCACCACCGTTGATGTTGTTAATATTGTTGCTGTTGTTGCCATTGGCGTTGCGAGATGATGATGAAGAAGCGGCAGAGGTGAATGATGACAAGTAGGACAGTTCAATCTTGATCCAGCTGCTCTCTTGCACCATGAATAGGGGATGCACACCAAGCAGCTCACCCTCTGATCTGATCTTGTTGGCCACGAGCAGGTAGGCGGCACGCTCGCCAATGATGTAGCCGAGCAATGCTGACACACGTACCTTGGACTTGAGATTATACTTCTTCTGTAGGAAGGCTGTTGCCTGACGATGATTTGGGAATAGATCCAAGCCTGGCAGGCCCTCATACATCATCAGGCCGCACCTACCATCGATCCTTATAATCTGTGTATCTCTTCTAAATGACAATGTGGACACAATGAACTGAGATGAATGTGTGTCGAGAGTAAGTATCTCTCACTTATGAGTTGATGAATGATTGAATGATCACATCACATACATAATCACCATGTGCACTATCATATATATCATGATATGTTGATCGTATTGTTGTCGCACTACTATTACTACTATTACTATTACTATTACTATTACCTATACTATTACTAATGTTGTTGTTATTGTTCTGTTGCTGTGATGATGATTGTTGACTTGTCCTTTGAGGTTGTGTTCCTCCTCCTCCAGACTGTATATCCGATGAGTTTAGTGATGATCGCATGATAGGCGATGTATCCATCATCAAGTGGCACTACTCTTATAAGTGTTTGTTTGTTGGTGATTATATCTGTCTACCTATTGATCGTTGTTTCTTCTTTGCACAATATATAATAATGATGTTGTGATTAAATGAAGTAGCAGTAGGTCAACAGTCGACTAGTCGAGTCGTCTATGAATGAATGGATTGCGCAATACACTCAACAACAACAACAATGGAATGGGGCTGATGCAATGTATGTAGTGTCTGTCACAAGTTGCCTGACTCTGCGATGAATGAATGAATGAATGACAGACCAAGAGTGTTCACTCTACCTTTCATTCATTCACATCTATTTTCAAACAATCCACGAACCCAAGTCTTTGATAAAAAAGGACTCCTCCCATTCAACCCCCCCACTAGATATTAGTTGACGCGTCCCTTTGGGCCAAGCCAATCAAAGTCACTTCCATTCGGAGATACAACAACTACAAAAATACGACTACTACTACTATACATTTTATATATTATATATAGGATTGAATAGATGATGATGCCATCACAAAAAGAATGCACAAAGACTTCGAAGTGACTCGGCCTTGATCGTCTCGCACCCGAATCCAAATGTTTCCCGGATATCCATTAGTTCACCATCGACTGTCAATGGTATACTACTGTTGCGAACTTGTAGAATGAGTTCTTTGGTCTTGCAGTACTGTAAACAATTCTTGTTGTCGGCCAAAGGCATGCTTGGGGCGTTGATGTTGTTGGAGTTGGAGTAGTGGTTGGAGTTGGTCGAGTCTTGTATCTTGTTGTCCGCAATGATATGATTGGACATTGATGCTGGTCTCTTTCCATTCCTACGTTGTTTGTTACTTGACTCATCGTCATGTGACATTGCAGTCGCTGCTTCACTTCCATCATGATGATGTTGTTGTTGTTGATTGTAGTTGCTAAGTAGTTTGAGCGATGTATTTTGATTTGGCACGGGCTGGAAGATCCATTGCAAAAGCTGACTGCGCTCGGATTGAGTGCACACCAGCAGGTCGATGAATCCATCGGAGAGATGAGAGTAGGGCAGCACATTGAAGTCTTTGGAGAGGTGTGTGCACTTGCCAGCGATCAGGAACGTCATGCCTGCTGGGTTGTCTTCGGTCGATCCCTCGATGGACTTCCAGTTGGTGATGTCGTTGATCAGTCGCTTGCCCTTGTCCGATTTGTACACTGTGTTGCAGCCTCGGCAGTTGCTCTTGCTTGAGCAAAAGTGGTGCTGTTGCACGTCGCCGTCACGCGACTCGACGTTGGGATGTGTGGCAGCGGCCGCCAGATCGTGCTCAAAGTGGTGCGCAGGCTCAAAGTAGAGCGTCGAGTCAAAGTGTTTGAGTGGCAGTGAGATGAAGTATGAGTACATTGATGAGATGTACGGTTTGAAGAACTTGGTCCATCTGATGTTCTCCTGGACCTTCTCGCGAAAGCTGATGATGCCCCATCCAAAGTACAACAGGCTATATATCTTCTTGCTATCATTGTGCGCCGTGAATGCGTATGACGGTTCGTTGCTAGTGACTTGGGCGCCCATGTTGTTGTTGTTTGGTACGTATATATTGTTGAAGCTGCTATTTACAAATGTGAAGTCGTTGATGATGTTTGTGTTGTTGTTGCTGTTGTTGCTGTTGTTCATGTTGATGTCGATCACCTCGTTGTTGTTGTTGGTGGCGCCATTGTCATCAATGATGCTCTGATGTGGTTGATGTTGTTGTTGATTGAGATCGATTGGGGAACCAGGGGAGGTGTGATCGGACGCTGGTCGTTTGAAGAAGTTGAGATAATCATTGCTTCGGACGTCCGTCGACTGACCATTCGTCTGCGGCATATTGATGTCCAGCGTCGTCGTCTGTGTTTTGCCACCTTGTCCACCATCATCACTGTCGTCTTCAGACGCATCTTCACCGTCGCCATGATTGTGTCGCGTCGCCACTGGGGCAGGAGGCTGCTGCTTGTGTGGATAGATATACTGATTCTTGTTGCGCACGGCTGACAGAGACATGACGTCGACATAGTGGATGGAGCCATTGATGATGATGTCCGCAGCCTTCTCTGGAGATGTGATGCCTATTGATGAGGCAAAGGAGTTCTTCTCGCCAGCGGGTATCACGCCAATTGGTATGTGGCGCGCGATGGACGAGTCATCCCTACACAGCAGTCCGTTGACCACCTCGTGTATCAAGCCATCACCGCCCACACATACAATGCCATCGCAGTCCTTCTGTGACAGTTGGGATGCTATCCTATGCGCATCATACTTGTATCGTGTTTCTGACACGTGTAGATTGATGCCTCTGACCTCGAACAAATGTCTAACACTCTCGAATATCTTTGTCGCTCTATGATCACCGCTCACCGGATTGATCAACACCACCAAGTTCCTATGTACACTATTACCTCTCGTTATCGATTCAAGAGTGATGTTCTGATCTGTTGTCATTGTCGTTGCGTGTGTAAGTAAGTGATGATTGATCGAATGAATGAATGATTGGTTAATGGATTTGAATGAACGAGTGACATACCTTTGATACTGGGACGATTCCTCTTACGTCCAAACAAGGGTGTTATACCAGTGAGTCGATAGGTCGATGTCCAATGTGCAAGTAGAAGATAGAATGAGAGGAGGAGTGCGTACAATCGATGTACAGGTAGTTTGAGTGCTTCTATAATGACACGCTTTGTCAATGCCAATGTACTATAGTTATTATTATTATTATTATTATTATCAACATCATTACTATTAACTATATCATTATTATTATTATTATTATTGTTTGTTGTCTGTTGTTGTCTTGTATTATGTATCAGAGTGTTTATATCGGCACTTCCACGTCTTGCACCAGGAGTAACAGACACTTTACTCTTGCCTCCATTGATGTTTAACATCCTACAAGTATTATACTATCTATCTATCTACGTATATCAATTATTGCTTGGTTGATTGAATGATTGAATGAGTGAAATGAATGAATAGATGAAGTTGATCTCAAGTTGATTGAAGTTTGGAGGTTCAAACACACTTTTGCGAGATTTATTCAAAGATTTAGAATGGAAGTGCGGCAAACGAAGGTCGGCTAGTGAATGTGGACATGTACTTAGAGTTCCATGATGTCATCCGGATCCTTCTGTACCTCACGACTTCTCTTCCTCAGCTCACGCTTCACAGTCTCCTCCATCTCAACGTCACGCTCAAGTTGTGATTCGTTACATGACTTGTTACATCCAACAACTGGACATCCAACTGTCTTTGTCCTCTTGAGCATACTAAGCATAGCATCCCTCGAGTAAGTATGTCCACATGTTACACTACAATGATTGATTGATTGATTGATCGAGGTTGGACCATGTAAGTTCAGTGAGTCTTGCGAGACCCAGATGGATGGGGAACACTTACGATTTGACTGGATTCTCGAATGGCTTCTTTGTCAATGGACAGATAATGTTTACAGTCTGTGATGCAATGAAGATATCTTCGTTGTCTACTCCATCTTCAAATGGTTCCGTATGATTCACTTGCTGTGTATTGTGTTGTGTGTTAGTGACTGATCGATCGCGTTGTCCATCAATGACCTCGATGCCTGTATGACCTACCCATATCTTCTGCTTGTACTCTTTGAACTCCTTGTATGACTTTAACTTATCTGCCTCCTTTGGTACATTAGTAAGCATTCCCTCCTTCTTGAAGAACTCCTCTGCGTCCCTAAACTGTATCTGTGCATTTGGATTGGCCTGTAGTTGTCTCTGTATTCATTCCGTATTTTAGTCATTCATTCATTCAATCAATCAATACTATCTATTCATTCAATCATACCCTTGTCGTCTCTACATAATTCTTCAATGCTGCCAAGTCCTGTTTATGCTTATTGACAAACTGCTCCAAGTATAGAGTCTTTAGAAATACATTATCCAGTTGACTGGACTGTTGTGTTTCGTTGGCATCCATGTCAGTCAGTCAGATGTTAGTCAACTGCGTACAGGTGTAATGATACACCATGTCATGTCATGTGATATCTTACGAATTCATATTGTTCATTCTCGTCTTCACAACTCAGTGCGGCACTAAGTGCATTCTGTCTAGTTGTAGTGAAATGTGGTAAGAGCTTAACATAGGCTCTCTCTATCTGATCAATGTCTGTTGCCTGAGGTAGACTGTCCATTCCTGTCTGTATATATTATATATAAGTTATATCTAATCAAAGTATAATAAGTTTGAAACGAATGAATAAGACAAAACGGCGCAAAACCTAGAAATTGTCGATTTTGAATGAAACTGACACAAACACAACAACCTCAAGCAAGTTCAATGATTCATTCAATTTATTCATTTACTCGACAAGTACAATGGACCTGTTAACACAACTACAAGATAAGTTAGATTACTTGTTCTTGGTGTTTGGTACTTGTATTGGTGTGTTGCAACGTGATGCCCCACCATCACCATTCGATCAGCAGTCCGTAGTCAACAATCAGGAGCATCAAGAGCGAGTTGTAAAATGGAATGAACAGACAAAGGACATGGCGATGCAGGTGATAGAGACATCCAAGCTTATAGAATCAATAATAGACTCACTGCCTGGCTTCAACTGCACCGAGCCAGAGCAATACCAACGACTAAAGGCACTCAATGCCGAGACCATCGAGACATCACAGCAACTCGAACAAACAAAGAAGGAAGCAGGTAAGCAAGCATGTTTGATTGATCGATTGATTGATTGATTGAATGAGCATGGATATTGACATTGATGTTCGTTATACCAATATAGAGTTGATGTTAAAGTTGGTCAAGGATGCGATAAGGATGCTCTCGAATGAATCACAGAAGATATAACATTGCATTGCCGCGACGCGATCAACTCAATGAATGAAAGAGACCATATGGCCTCATTGTATATTAATTAATTGATGGATAACTAACAGTAGTGATTGATCAATCATACTACAACTTTATTGTGCCTTTTGTTGCTTGGCCAATGCTCTCTTGCGCTGCGAGGCATGCATGTCAAAGACGGACTTGACAGCGATGAACTCTGGGAGGTTGGTGAGCACAAAGGTCTGGATCTGGTGTGACCAGTAGCCAGCGGTGACCTTGTCGTAGCCAACGGTGTTGAGAGCGGAGCGAGCGAATGCGTTGGGCAATGGGATCATCATTGAGGGCTTGCGCACCTTGGACATGTTGCTGACGACGATGCCTGGGGCGACGCACTGGACAAAAATGCCCTTTGAGATGTACTCGTTGTAGAGCGAGGTGGAGAAGCGCTCGACGTAGGCCTTGGTGCCTGCGTAGACGGCGAGCAGGGGCATTGGAGCCATGGCCGAGATCGAGGAGATGTTGATGATGGCACCACGCTTGCGCTCCAGCATGCCCTTGAGCACGAGCTGGGTGAGGATGGTGAGCGAGCGAATGTTCAGGTTGATCAATGCCTCGATGCGGTCCTGTGGCAGCTCCTCCAGGTACATTGGGTAGTCGTATGAGATGCCAACGTTGTTGACCAGCATTCCGACCTCAATGTCGCGCAACTGGTTAGAGAGGGCGGTGTAGGCGCCATTGTCCGAGACGCCAAAGTCGAACGAGATGGTCTTTGTCTGGACCTTGAACTTCTCAGCAATGACGGCAGCCTCCTGAGTCAACTTCTCCTTGCTTCTGCTGACCAAACAAACGTTCATTCCACGCTTAGCCAACTCATGGCAGTATGCCTTTCCAATACCATCTGTGGCACCAGTGACAACTAATGATTGATTGATTGATTGRAATGTGTCAGAGGTCTGTCGTCGCTATCTGCGTCTATTGATCGAATGGAATGATTGAATGAATGATACATACCAGCCCATTGACCATACTTCTTGACGTTAATTGGTGCTCTAATTGTGAATGCGTAGACAAAGGACAGCAAATGATAGAGGCCCTTAATGACCACAATCAGGCCAGCAACCCAACATAAATCTCCAAGTGATACCATTGTTAACGCTTATATGTGTATGAATGTATAACAACAAACAATATATGTATGTATATTAGATGATCGATTTGATTGATTGAACGTCGCGCAAGAATGAACTTGATTTGAATCAAGTGGTGGCATGTCCCAGCACAAGTCAAAAAGAATGAAGTTCGGTGGCGGAGAACTATTGTTTGGCGAGCCTCTCGATTATTGACCATGATTGGTCTTTGGTATCAACGTCACCTACTTGGATACATAACAATCGATCACCCTTGTCATCTTGCCTTCTAACCGTCAATTCATGTGTTCGCCACTTATGCTTTGTTGAGAACTCAAGAAGATTGATTGTGTCTCCTTCCAAGTCATCACTATTGCCGTTGCCATTGGTCTGGCCAACATCCTGTTGCTGTGGCATGTTACGTGATGACCTTTTCCAAATGCCTATTTTCCTCATATCCACTAGTTTACGCTTGACCTTTTGCATCTCCCTGGTTGATTGATTGATTGATTGGTGAGTGAGTGAGTGGGATGATTGATGGATCGAATGGACACTTACAGTTGATCGATATGAAGTATCTTCATTGATGATACCTCATCCTGGACAAGTAACCTTCTGATACCAGTTCCATCGGACACTTCACATTCCAACTGACCTTTGAATAGCATCTGATCAAAGTCAATGCGTGTACAATGACATATGGCCACATTGTCATTGATACATGATTGACATGAGTATGACAACTCCAATGATATTATCGATGTGATGTCTGCTACAACTATATACATGACATTAAGATCAGATGATCGATTGATATCACATAATGATACATTCTTCTTGTTTGTCATTGTGTCATTATTGATAGGAGCTGGTGGGATAGCTCGCGAGGTAGTCGTGGCATTGTTCTCAATAATGTATGAAGATGCACGACTTGAGTGGCATATGTTGGCACTGTTGATGCCCTCACCTGATCGTATCCTCATGTCGGTGAAATGTACCGAACGGCCAGCCCTAAATCCACAACAATACTCCTTCAAAACCACATACATGATGCTTGATGAGCCAGCTTGTTCAACACAGGCGAGCACCAATGATCGTTTGCTAGTTAATGTATGATTGATTAGTATGTGTTGGCGGCTTGGAGTCAATGTCCGAGATTGATTGGACATACCCTTTGCCATTGATCACAATATGACTGGATTGGATTGTTGCCTGGAATGAGACATGGGAATATCGATGCTTGACTTCCATTTGGAGAAGGTCTATAATCTTGTAATGTTGTTGTGATAATGATGCCATCTGCATGCCATCCAACAACCTAGTGGTATCAGTCTTGATAGCAGGAATACCAAACATTGTGATTGAATCTTGGCAAAGATGTGGAGGATATAGACTGTTTGATAACAAGTCTGCGCAGAGTGCTATTGATCGCATTGTGTTGGTGTTGTTWATTTGAGGATATTGACATGGTGTACGCCAGATCAATTTGTCGAGTGTCAAACTTGCGAAGTTGTTGAGTGGCGCTATCACCAAGGGCCGTGCAACCATCGATGCTGTAGAGATGCCTTTCATGGAGAATGGGGTAGTGAATTGATTGAACGTTTGTGATCTTGATCCTTGGTGCTCCAGGATGTAGTAGGATAGCATATAAGTTGAGCATTCCCTTGTGAATATGTTTGGATATGAGCATAAAGAATATACATGTTGTTGGTTGTTGTCGTTGTGGTTGTGGCTGATGTTGTAGGTGTTGTTTCAAAGGTATGGCTTGTATATAATTGAATTTCTGTTGTTGATACTTTGCTGTAGTTGTTGTTGTAGGTGGGGATATTAAAAGATGATTGATTGGGGCGACTGGACTGCAGTCTGTAATCGAGAACTCCAAGTAACAGACACTCTCAGCACCTATGTTCGTTGGATAAACTGCATCACAGTGATAGTAATATTGATTGATCTTCCAGATGTAGTTCAAATGGTAATCGCACAACTTTGATTGATTGAATGATTGATTGGTTAGTTGTTTGATAATTCCATGTGATCACATCAAACTTACACCAATCACATGACAAAGTAGTGATGATGGTCCTGCTCCATCCTTGATGGCAACTAGACCCCAACCCTGGTCCTGTTGTACCATCTCAAACTGTCCAATCAATGAGTACTTTCCTTTACTCATATATGTTCCTGGTTCTATGTAAGGTTGTTGTGGAGTTAGTCCACGAATGAAATGGCATGCCAGGGAGTAACAATACTTACTGTATCTTGGTCTGGGTATCTCTGATATCTTGACGACGAACAGATAGTCTGTGGCACATGATTGTCCTTTGGCAACACACTTTGTGTCATGACCAAACACTCGCTCAATGTTATCACCTCTAGTCTGCGGTGCAATATTGAATGTGCCTGCTATTGAGTCAATTATATTACGATCGCTCAAGAATGATGAACTGTCTTTGAATGTCGCTGGGAACTTGATCATCAATCGACCGAATATCTTGATCAGTACGAATGTATCAATGATTGAGTATCGTCTTGATAATGTCCGATGCAGTTCCGACACATCATGTTGTGGCCTCGTGACAACACTCGTGCAAGCAGTCTGGAATCCATCAAACTTGAATGAGCTTGATGTACACATTCCAAAGCCCTGACATGACCGATGGATGGTGTTAGTTATGTGAAGGGGCAGGTCATCAAACCAAGTGAACTTACAATGAGCTGCTTGTTTACGATGATGGGATGCGCATTGTGTAGTGTGATTCGTGTGCCTTGATGTAGTCCATGTCCAATGAAAGTATTGTGAACGGAGAAGTGAGTGAAGAATAATCGATACACTTCATCAATCTTGTAGCATCCTTCGTTGGCAAGATAGTCCGATGTGATCATTCCAGTGTAATGAATAGTGCTCATTGTCTGAATAGTCTGTAGACTACTCTGTTGTTGAATTGATTGTTGATTGAATGTACCCAATGGCCCATCCACCTGGTCACCGCTATACATAAAGTACTGAGTCTCTTTGATACATTGTAGCAATCGGATATTGGGATAACGTGAGCCTGATCCTGTCATCTGATGATTGGTCTTCAAGTTTGCCATGAGATATTGCATGCCAACATCCAACAAATGGTACCATCTCAAGCATTCGGTGCCATAGAAGAGTACGAATGTGATCGTACCTGGTCCAGCTCCATGTCCAGGTCCAGGCTCAAGTCCAGTTATACAGTTGATGCGAACAAAGAACATTGGCGTCTCGACTCCACTGCTACCCTTGGTCGTGAGTATCGATGACTTGGTAGTGATCACGCCATAGAGATTGAGTCGCGATGAGGTGTGCGGCGTCTTGGTCATGCTCTCTGTTGGGTAGTGTTGTTGGAGATATTGCTGAAAGGTCAAATCATTCTGTTTGCTCTGTTGCTTGAGGAACATTGTATAGCACTCCTTGAACCAATGTGTCTGTTTACGATGCAGTATCTGTATTGAGTCCACTTCGAGATAGTATGCCATACTGTTGTTGTTGTCATTGTTGTTGTTTTGGGGCGCTGACGGACACCAACTGCCACTTGGTAACGAGTACAACAGTGTCCATTGAATAAAATGCTTCATGACACTTTGATGAGAGGAGGATAGGGATTGAAGAGTGCTGGTCTCTGATGGTTAGTGTGTTGTACACATTGCTTCCTACTCCTCCTTCGGTGGCGCCACCTATGATCCCAACAATGAGGTCAGTCTCTTGTGGTGAGCCAGTGACCTTGGCATGCTTGTTTATGACATCACCAATGCTGAGCACTTGTCGATGCTTTGGACACCAACTGTTGTTGTCATCATGATCATCGACGATGTTTGACGTGGACTTGCCCGAAGGTGATGCTACAGAAGACACCTTGCGTGACTTTAGAGGTATGTCGTCAGAGTCACTTGCCAACCTTGCTTGTCGCGTCTCGTGGTGAGTGATAAGGTAGACAACCATTCGTTGCAAGGCATTCTGTAACTCATCGATCGAGACTAATTCGCTGAGACTGCTATCAACAGTATCCACAACATCTCCAATCCATTTGATAACATGTGCATTGTACAAACACTTCTGATCTGATTGATATCGTTGTCGTAGTTGCTTATGAACAAGTAGTTCACGGATCGAGTTGAATAAAGACACAGTATATGGTCTCTTTTGTATATCCTTCGTGTTTACAATGACCTGTCTTTGTCTCTTGTCCATTCATTGATCGATTGATTGGTTGCTTGATTGATTGATTGAGTGGTCGAATATCTCTAAACTTTGTAAGTTCAAAGACTTTGTTTGACTCCGTTCATTTCTAGGAAGTGAGAGGATAATTTATGGGACGGAACCATTCCATTATAATAATTATTTATTAACTATTACTATCTTGTAGTTAATAGAACACTAAACTGATTGGGATGGATTGATAAACCATAGACTATTGTGAATAATAATAAAATAAGTTTACCGAACTCAACTGATTGAATGATTGATTGAAAGATGGCGAAGGGTGTACCTACTCTCTGTATCATCCAAAGTCTTTCCAGTACTTGATGTTAATTTAAAGTTGAGTAATATGTTGGCGGCAGCAATATAGATCTCCTCAAGTGCCAAGTTTGATCCCACACAGTCCCTTGGTCCAACACTGAATGGTATCCAATACTTTGTATGATTGTTGTCCAAGAACCTCTCTGGTATAAACTCTGATGGCTTGTCCCAGTACTCCTCGTCATGATGTACGGCATAGATATTCATTGTCATCAATGTCTTGGTTGATTGGGTCAGTGGAATCATCCCATTGATCTTTCCATCAATCATTCATTCATTCTTACATCTTTTGGAATGAAGTAACCTTCGACTTCAACATCTTGAGTGCATATCCTTGGAAGACCAAGTGGACCGGTGGGCTTGATACGTAGCACCTCTTTGATAATGGCCATCACGTAGGGAGTGTTGACCCTGTCACTCACAGTGGCTGCTCTAGCCTTTCCAACATTGGTCAACAACTCATAATAAGCTCTCTCTTGAATCTCCTGATTGTTAACCATATATAATATTAACCAATTGAGTGTGTTTCCACTTGTATCCGTTCCTGCCATAATAAAGTCCATTGCAATCCTTATAATAGACTCCTCACTCTTGCCAGAATACTCATGCATTATAATCTGATCGAACAAGTCTCTTGGGCTTTGAGTAGAGTAAGTATGATTGAATGAATGTATGTATGATTCTGCATACTTCTCTGGATCAATATCCTTCAGATGCTCATGGTAGACCTCTGAGATGTAAAAGTGGAGACGTTGGAGTATCCTGGAAGGTCCATACTTGAGGTATAAGAGATAGAATGGTTGGAGAACTGAGATAAAGTCTGCTGGATTTCCAGTTCCAATCATTTCGAATACTTGTTTGATTGGCTCCATCAACTCTGCTAGTCTTCCAGAGGCCTCATCTTCATAAGACATCTCCTCACTACACAGTACCATCATAATAATATTCAATGTGTACTTCATCAGATGATGGGATGGTGTGAACTGTGATTGTAATGAGAGTAAGTAGGTATGATTCGGGGATTACACATCATTCAAACTTACACTTTGACCAGACTTGGCAAACTCAGACATCCTGGTGATGAGATTGAGACATTGACTATCGAGAACATTGTGGATTGTTTTGAGTTTGGTCTTGGTGAAGGCTGATGCAACAATGTGTCGGTTGTGCTTCCAGAGCTCATACTTTGATGATACCAAGTTGAGGAAGTTGCCACTAAAGTAAATGAAAGAGGGGATGATCGGGCGATCGGTAAAGCTCTCAAAGTTCTTGTACCAGATCTCTCGAATCATCTTTGGATCACTGACACTGATGCTATATACATCACCCATCCAACATCTAAACACACCTCCATAACGTTTGGACAATGCTGTCAGACCCAAATGGGGCCTATCCGTCAGGTATGGCAGACTTCCAAGGATTGGGTACTCCCAAGGTCCCTTAGGGTCACGATTTGATTGTCTCCTATTCTTATTTAACTTTTAATTTTAAGTGATTAGGATCAGTTAGGGATCATTCCAAAATAGTAGTGCAATATTTACTACTTACGAATGATAACAACAGGTAAGTAAGGAACAAAACTAATGTCAATGCAAAAGTACCCATTTTAATATTAATGTTTGATTGATTGAATTGCTATTGAATATGAATATACTGAACGATTATATATGATTGAATGAATGACAGCCAGGAAGTCAATCAGTATTAATAATTGACATTAGTGACCTATTTAAGTTGTGAATGTGGGCGAGTATGTTCCAATTACAAACCTGTGTGAATGACAAACACACGAGAAATAACAATAGTTGGGATATAGTTTGGTAAAGTTAAGATAGTTGGATCGATCATACATACATACTCATGAGTTATCATCATCATCAGAACACTGATTTGGGTTGGTGTGTGTGTATTGTAATGTAATCATCACTCCTATCATTATATATCTAACTACAGAGTTGTATTCTTACCGATCAATCAATCATTAATATTTAACATAGTAGATTGCCATTGACTTGTTGAGAACCAGCGAACTAAACAACCCCCACTAGAATAGAAGTTCCATCGGATCTGTCCAAACAGGATGCGCAACAACAGATATTATTTTTCCCCATCACCCCGAAATTTACACTCCTTCCTGATCAAAAACGTGTGCTGGTCCTGTGAAAGACCACCTGCCTAGGCCCTGCTTTGCATGCTCTTCATTCAATTACTCTTTCATTCATAATAATCAAACAACAACCAGCACAGATACACACACACAGACAGACAGACAGAATAATGATGATGGTATCCAACTTTACAAAGTTGTTGCTGATCAGCTGCGTGCTGATCGGAGCTGCCATTATGGTCGGTGCTCAAGTCATCCAGCCAGTCGGCATCCAGCTCACACCATGGCCCGAGGTCGTCGGAACAGGCCCCGAGCACTCATGTCTCGCCCTCAACCCACATCTCTTCACGGTGAGCAGCAGCATCAACAGCGCCATCCTCAACGTCGCCATCCAGCGCTACCAGTCCACCCTCTTCTTCCCCTTTGGCAACGGCACCCAGACGCCCTCGGGCGCCTGGTCGCTCGTGATCACCGTCAACAGCGGTGACACCAGCCTCACGCTCGAGACCGACGAGTCCTACTCGCTCTCGGTCAAGACCACCAACACCATCACTCTGACCGCCAACACCATCTACGGTGCCATCCGCGGTCTTGAGACCCTCTCGCAGACCATCCAGTGGGTGCAGTCGGCCAACACCTACCAGATCTGCTACCTGCCCATCTCCATCATTGACGCCCCACGTTTCCCATGGCGTGGATTCCTCATCGACACTGGACGTCACTACTACCCAGCTGACTTCATCCTGCACATCATCGATACACTCGGTTACAACAAGTTCAATGTTCTCCATGTAAGTGATCACTTGTGCACACACATTGGAATCATTCTAGATCAATTACTAATTCAATCAATCAATCAATCATTATAGTGGCACATTGTTGACGCTCAATCATTTGGAGTTGAGTCCAACACCTTCCCCAACTTGACGATGGGAGCTTTCAACCCAGTTGCCACTTACTCGCATGCTGAGATCCAGGAGATCGTGGCCTACGCTCAGTCCTACGGTATCAGAGTTGTCCCAGAGTTTGACGTGCCAGCCCATGCCGACGCCATCGGAACCGCCTTCCCACATCTGATTGCCAACTGCCCAACTTACGCCGACGACATCAACAGTCTGTTGCTCAACATTGCCAACGACTACACCTACACCTTCCTCAACGGCCTGTTCACCGAGATGGCCAGCCTCTTCCCCGACCACTACTTCCACACTGGAGGTGATGAGGTCCATCTGGACTGCTGGAGCGAGGACCCCACCATCCAGGCCTGGATGAAGCAGCACAAATACACCACCGTGCAGGCCGAGCAGTACTTTGAGACCCAGGTCACCGACATGCTGCTGCAGGTCAACAAGACCAAGCTGGTCTGGAACGACCCATGGACCAACGGCGTCAAGCTGGCCGAGGGCACCGTCATCGAAGTCTGGGACAACTCCGAGATCACCCAAAAGATCATCAACGAGGGCTTCCGCGCACTCGTCTCCTTCGCCTGGTACCTGGATGAGCAGATGCCCTCGGGCGTCTCTGTCGGCGAGTTTGAGAACACCTGGCAGACATTCTACAAGGCCGACCCATACAACGGCATCAAGAAGAACCAGCAAAACATCCTTGGAGGCGAGGCCTGCATGTGGAGTGAGCAGGTCAACCAGATGAACTTTGACACCCGTGTGTACCCACGTGCGCTCGCCGCCGCCGAGAGACTGTGGTCGCCAGCATCCATCACCGACATCAACAACGCCCAGCCCAGATTCGACCAACGTTCATGCGACATGAAGATCAGAGGTGTTGCCAGCAGCCCACTCCAGCCATCCTTCTGTCTGTTGCCACCAAACAACGGAATGGTGACCAAGGCTCGCATGGGACCAGTCCACAGACTCACCCAGTCTGAGATCAAGGCCATCCTCACTGCCTAATCATTCATTCATTCGATCAATCAGTAGTAGTTGTTTATAAATAAACTACAGCATCAACTCCTCGACAACCCTTACCCTCACTCTTGCCCTTGCCCTCGCGTTAAATTGTGGACTTCGTTTTTTGAATGTTTTCGATCAAACTTGTGACCCATGCTGCCATGAATGTTGATCATTCGTGTTCTTTGTTTCATACTTTAGTATCTGTTATACATTACATTGTACAATCTATATCAATGAATCATATACTTAGATCATCAACATCATTGTTGATTAGACAATGCAACAGATCAAGCAAGAGTGGCGCATTCAACAACATCCTGTCATCAAGCAGCAGCATTAAATCTTCGATCTCAATCAATAATATACAATACATGAATGGCACTCAACAGCATGCTTATTCGACGACTACGACATCAACTCAAACAACAACAATGACATCTACACCATCAACACAAACAACTACTACAACTACAGCATCAGTGAATGTGAATGAAACTATTGTCGATCAATCATTCGCAGTTGTACATCTGGGCGGAAAGCAATACAAAGTGATCAAGGGCGACATTATCATGGCAGACCGTCTGCCAAACATTGATGTTGGCGAGCATATCGTTCTGGACAAGGTGTTGATGGTGGGCACGAAGGAGACCACTATGATCGGCACACCACTGGTCGAGGGTGCCAAGGTGCACGCCTTCATCGAGGAGCAGTCCAAGGCGTCACACGTCACCATATTCAAGCACAAGAGAAGAAAGAACTACAAGAGGACCACTGGCTTCACTCCATTGGCCACTGTAATAAGGATAGGTGATGTTGTTATGCAGCAGCAATAATAATTAATAATAATAATAATAACAGACATTAATAATGCGTTAGTAACGACGACCAAGATAGTAAGGTAGTTAGTAGAATAGAGTTAAGATGTATCTTTATTTATTTGAATGAACGATTGATTGAATGATTGATTGGAATGAATGAATGAAAGAATGAAGCTCAATAGATGTATAGGAAACACGGTAACAAAGAAACAAACATGGATGATGATGATGATAGGGTAGGGCAATGATAACTGTCGACAGTTTATTACCTTCTCCTCTTTGACCTTTCTTCATCGGGATAGTCGTCCATCTTTCGTTTGTAGTCGCTACTGTCGCGTGAGGACGATGAGGATGATGATTGGTAGTCGCGACGACGATCTGGACTGCTCCTACGTCGGTCATCCTTTCGCTCGGGACTGCTCCGACGTCGATCTTCTCTTGATGAGTAGTCACGCTCTCTTTCTCTCTGGCCGCTGCTGCTGCTCGTTGAACTGGTGCTGGTACTGTTTTCTTCTCTGTCTCTCTCGCGGACGTTGCCACTGCTCTCTCTGTCACGCTCTCGCTCTCGCTCTCCTCGTCCACTGTCGCGCTCACGTCCGCCATCTCTCTCTCGCTCGCCACCGCGACGTCTGTCTTCCATTGGTGCTCCGCCCTCCATGTAGGGTGGCATGTGTCCTCCACGTCCATCACCTCCTCTGTATCCACGCATGTGGGGTGGTGGTGGACCAAAGTCGCCTGGGATGCCGCCTTGAGGCGGGTATGGCACTTGCATGCCTCCGTACGGTCCTCCGGGAGGTGGTCGCATGTGTGGGGGCATCTCCTCCATGCGAGGCCAGGCATCATGTCGCTTGGGCCCGCCTCCACCACCACCGGCACCGCCACCGCGCTTGGCCATGTCGCGAGACTTATCGTTGTGTTGTTGTTGCTGCTGTTGCTGATCGCCCATCATCATGAACTCGGGCGGCAGATCATTCTTGTGATCCTGGTTCTTGCTCTCGTACGACTTGATCTTGCCCAGGTTGGCCTGCTCGGCGCGCAGCTGATTCTGTCGCTCGCAGTACATTCTCCATGTCTCCTCTGTGAAGTTATAGTTGAAGTAGTCTGTGATATCGGCACCTGGCTTGTTCCACGGCTTGTCCTCGAGCGAGTCGAGGTTGACGTCGTAGATGCTCTTCTGCGGCCTGTTGGCCTGATACTGAGTGTTGGCCTGCTTGACCAGTGAGTACTTGCCACCTGTGCCTGGCGTGATTGATGTTGGGTTCCTCAGGAATCCGGCCTTGGGTCCACTTGAGGACTTTGTTGTCTTATTAGCCTGTTCTGTGTCAAGTACAATGTTTACATCGTCATCATCATCATCGTCGTCATCGTCATCGTCATCATCTTCCTCTGCATCATCATTATTATCATCATCATTATCTTCATTGTTATTATTATTATTATCATCATCGTATTGTATTTCATCATTATTATTATCTGTTATTGTTGTATCTTCTTGTTCACTATCAATATGATCATGGATGTTAGTCATTTATTCATTCATTCATTCTTCATTCAATCAATCAATCAACCTTATTCATTATACATACCCATTGTTTGATTCTTCATGATGTGTATCACCATTAGTATGGTCAGTCGACTCTACATCAGCCATCTTCTCTCTATATATATATAATAATAAATATAACTACACTAAATGTAAATGAATGAATAGATGAAATGACTTCAATTAACTTCAGAAGATCACAAGTTCATTCAAATTTCGCAAAGTGGTGCTAAAGTGCAATAATGTACATTCATTCGTTTATTGAGAGGGAAGGTTGGGCATGTGATCGGTGGTTCAAGCGTGGCACCACGTTGACATGAATATCAATCAATCAATCAATCAATCAGACTGATAGACCTTGCTGGGACTTGATTGCCAACTCCATTATTGGATTGAGGAATAGTGCCTCATCGTAACCACCTCGCTTGGCTCGCTCTGTGATGGTCTGTTGTCTAAAGTCCACTCCACAATACTCTTGATACTGCTCCAATGTCCTTTGTTGTCCAATGTTATATTTGTCCTCGATGGCCAACTCGAGATCACCATCATTGTTGTCTACCATTCTCAAAATGACTTTGAGCCTTTTGATTGATTGTTGTTTCTGTTTAATCGCCAGTTCGGTGCTGCCAACCTCTCTGAATGTGGGACGATGGTCTCGCTTCCACAGATGGAATATGATTGCATGTGTCGGACAATAGAGGTCGTAGCCAGATGTCCATAGTCGCGTAGACATAAGCATCTCCTCGCCAAAGAATAGATGTTCCAAATGTGGATCGTAGGGCACCTCCTGGATCATGGTGGCGAGTGAGAAGCTGAATCCAGCGATCCAGAATAGTGATGGCACGGGCTCACTCAACTTGGGCTTGTTAGCCAACTTGGCACCCAATCTCAACATGTTGTCGGCACCAAAGTTGTTGGCCACCAGCAGCGTGGGATAAGTGTAGGGCGGGATGTTGTTGGGCAGCGTGTAGCCCATGGGATAGCCCGTGAGCACTGCTTTGGGCGACGGACATCTTGCCAACATATCGATCAATATTGTATCCCAATGACGAATGAATCGCATGTGACTGTCTATCTGGAGGTAGTAACGCTCTTGTTGCCACAGTGTCTGACAGAGAGCACGTGCAATACATGGTCCTTTGGCATCAGTATAAGGCATTCTTATAACAGACACCTGAGACTCCCTTGTCTTATCCATGAAGCAATGATCATCCAGTCCACCCTCCATATCATATTGCCAACATACTCCAACATTAATCCTATCTGGCCACTCTGCCTTTTCAAACATGTCCTTGATGGTCCACTGGCATTCTTTGGGTATGTGTGATAGTGTAACGTTGTTAGTATGATTGATTGAGTGAGTGAGTGAGTGTGATGTAAGTATCATACCAGAGTCCCTATAACTTGCAATGGATACAAATATCTTATCCATTATTATCTGATGATTAAGTGAGTATGTTCAAATGAAATGAAGTCGAAGGCTACAAAGAGCCAAATTGATCAATCAGAATTTTCGATGAAAAGTGCTAAGTTGCGAAAACGAACGAAAGTTGTACAGATAATTACATGTTGTCATTCATTCATTCAAACAGTCATACTTGTAATAATATATATACTTACTTATAACAATGTTAAGATGTACTTATAATATTAATAACTCCCACAATTATATATTGTGTTTGAGGAGGTATACTACATCGTCCTCGACCACGACGACAACCACAACTGGGACTTCATCGTCAAGTCGCAATCATAAATATAGTTTATATAACTTACCACTTAGACATCCATCAGAGTTCCCTCGACCCGAACAGAAACACTTCAACTTCAAACTCATTCATCAATCCACAAAGTCGGCGGCACGAGTCACCGAGATAACAACACCAAATGGAGTGTAAGTCACTCAATCACACATCGGAATCATTCCAAATCGCTCACTCAAAGAATCAATCAATCAATCAATGATACCAAAAGTATACAGACACCAAACTTTGTACCAGTGGCAACAGTTGGATCAATCAAGTTTGTTGATCCGATGACGACTAGAGCACAGGGATCACAGTTGATGTTTGTCAATACTTATCATATGGTGGTCAATGCAGACTTGGACGTGATTGAGAATGCAGGTGGATTACACAAGTTTATAAATTATAAAGGTCCAATCATTACGGATAGTGGTGGATTCCAGGTCTTCTCAATGGGCCATCCAGATCGAAACAAGACCGTGTTGGACCACGAGGCCACACCCATTGACAATGGCGACTTGGACGTGCGCTCACTCGAGTTGACAAAGCGCGAGCTCAAGGGCATGTCGGGCAAGCAGTATCCTGGCAGCATTGAGTCGATCACCGACGCCGGCGTGGCATTCCGCTCGTACAGGAACGCCAACCGCATCGTCCTGACGCCCGAGTCGGCCATCCAATTCCAGAAGAAGCTGGGCGCGGACATCATCATCCCGTTGGACGAGCTGCCGCCTTACCACATGGACATCGACCGCATCAAGGACTCATTGCATCGCACGCATCACTGGGAGGGCATGTCATTGATGGAGCATCTAACAGACATGCGCAAACAGGCTATCTACGCCGTGATTCACGGTGGCATCGACATGGCCCTGCGCCAAATGAGTGTGGAGTACCTGTCGCAGCTCCCCTTTGACGGCCTGGCGATTGGCGGCAGCATTGGAAAGGATCGCGACGAGATGCACGACCTGCTGTCCAAGCTGATGCCCATGATTGATCGCGCTCGTCCCAACCATCTTCTGGGCATTGGCGACTTGGAGAGTCTGACGCGTCTCGTGCCGCTGGGCATTGACACGTTTGACTCGAGCTATCCGACACGTGCTGCACGCCACGGCGCATTGATCCTACCAGACAGCACGAAATTCCTTATCACCAAGCAAGAGTATCGCGCGGCATATGACGAGCCACTGGACCGAACATGCGACTGTCCGACATGCGCCAACTACTCGCGAGCGTTCCTCCACCATCTCTTCAAGTCCAACGAGCAAATCTTCTACACACTGGCCACACAACACAACCTTCGCGCCATGGCTCGTATCATGGAGAACTATAGAAATAGAATATTGGCCAATGAACTGTAACCCTCTTGGTCCTCGTTGGGTCTGGAAGTGGTCCTGGACCTGGCCTTATACAATATTGTATTATTATCTGTCTTTGTATTGTTTGATTGATTGATGTGATTGATCATAGTTATTTATAAATCTTTGATTGATTGATTCCACACTCACACTCTCACACTCATAATCATCAACGTCCAATACCACCAATCAATCAATTCGCACACTGTTGTCTGTGATTGATCGAGTGAGTGTGGTGTGGATGTGGTGTGTTACTCTCGCACACTCATGATCAATCAATCACAATCACACACACAACACATGATCAATCAATCACTTTAAACACATATATTTATAATTGATGATATTGTTGATGTATTAATGTCCATCTCTTGAAGTATATACATATTATAATTTGTACATCTTTATGTCTTGTTGAGATAGAGAATAAAGAGACAGACCAATCACGAGGTTTAGTTACAGAATCACCCAGATTGATATCAGTTTTGATCGATCAAAAATAGACCAAGTTGGGCCTCACTATCACCAAGGTCCCAAACAAGACCACACCCTCCACCAAATCATTCATTCCAACTCATCATTCTCATTCAATCATTCATCCAATCAATCAATCATTCATCACTAATCACACAGTTGTAATATTACAATCAACAACATCAACAACATCAACAGCAATAGCCATGAGTTGGACTTCATCCAAACTGTCAAAGTTGCCTGATGTGTCATTGCCCCTGCATGGACACACGGCCACAGTCTCAGACAGCGACATCTTCCTGTTTGGCGGCTACGACTTTGTCAATCAATGTCCCACAAATGCTACAATGCTGTTAAGTACAGGTAAGCCCGCACATGCCAAGTAGCAACTCAGACTCACACACCATACTCACTCATATACTATACACCCTTGTGGACAAAGTAGCAGCGGCATCATCAAGTATCAATAATAATGGTTTACAAAAGTTGAGCACGAGTGGAAGCGCCCCGCCACCTTGCTTTGGCCATACGGCCACACAGGTCGGACGAAAGATGTTTGTGTTTGGTGGCAGCCATAGTCAGTCGAACGAAGATATGCGCGACCTACAACATCAGAGCAACGACATGTATCAGTTCAACATTGGCAACTACTCTTGGTCGCGCCCAAAGGTGTCTGGCGACATCCCCGCGGCACGTACCGGCCACTCTGCGACACTGATCTACGACAACTTCATCTTTATCTTTGGCGGTTTGCATGGCGCCAAGCCCCTGAATGACTGGCACTTCTTCCACACCGATCGCAACAATTGGACACGTCTGTTGGACCCAAGCGACGCGGGTGCCCAGCCCGCCACCTCGCCCCCTCTCGCTGGTGCGCAGCAGACCAGCAACGGATTCTACCTGAGCGTGGTCAACTCGCCGCAGTTCTACTCGGCACAAAAGTCGCGCGGCAGGTCATCGACCATCTCCAACCCACAGACGCAACAGCAGCAGCAACAGTTGGAAAATCACAATGCCGCCACGATGGCGTCACCATCGCCCAAGCTCGGGCTCGCCTCACCGCAGCCCACAACTTCACAGATCGCCAGTCCACATTGGCGACCGGACACCCAGCACCACGACGTGCGCACCTTCCCGTCAGCGCGATACAATCACACGTGTACCAAGGTGGGCGGCCATGTCTTTTTGTTTGGAGGCCACGACGGCACCTCACTGCTCAACGACCTGTACGTGCTGAGCCTGCACAATCTGGAGTGGTCGCGACCTGAGACCCATGGTGACGTGCCCTCGCCACGAAGCAGCCACTCAGCCGTCGCCATTGGCACCAAGATATATGTCTATGGCGGACAGACCTCCTCGCCGACCAGCGATGCAGACGCAGATCTTTACATACTCGACACGGAGGAGCTTGAGTGGACAGTGTTGCGCACCACAGGTCAGCCCCCACTCTCGCGCCACAGCCATCTGTGTCTGGCCATGTCCAGCCGATTGGTGGTTCTGGGCGGCTGGTGTCCAGACTCCAAACGTGCGATGGCCGTCCCATACAACATGTACTACATCCTCGAGACGCTACGCCTGCAGTTCAAGGTGACCAAGTCGTCCCGCTCCAACAACCCTTCGTCCTCTTCGCTGCTGACCATCCCCAGCTCGCCCAGCAAGCGCAGTCTGCAGATGTCTCTCGACTTTGCCAGCGACAAGTACGGCGACACTCACAGTCCGCATCGCAAGTCGTCATTGCCCATCTCGTCGCCCGCCGGCTACGTGTACGACGCAAGCGACCACGTGGAGCTGCGCAACAACAACAGGAAGACGCTGAACGAAGTGGACATGCTGAGCGTGGGCGAGTCTTGCACATCGTCCTGCAACTTGCGATACAACATCATGAAGGAACACTACCTCGAGATGAAGGACCTGTACAAATCAGAGATGGAGCGACGACAGCGACTCGAGACAGAGGTGCAGGCGCTCAAGACTGCCCTGGCGCAAGCATTGGTGGCAGAGCCCGCAGCAGGAGCCAAACCCCCCACCATGCACACGCCACACTCAATCGTCAGCGCCGTCAGCAGCGTTCCACAGCGCGCACTCGACTGCTACGACGACCTCTCAAAGGAGATGCAAAAGTATGAGCAGCGTCTGCGTTGGGAAGAGATGGCCAAGAAGGAGACCAAGTTGCAGCTGCAGCAACTGCGATCAAAGATCGATCAAATGTCGGGCACGCTTGGCCTGGGAGGTGAGCGCACGCCCGGAATCAAACTGGCCATGTCCGACTCGACGAGCGACTTTAGCGAGTCAATGTGCGATCCCAGGTCCAAAATGATCAATGGAGGCCACTCTGATGTGGACCCTGCAGACTTTGGCGACCATTCATCAGCATTGGACTCGCCGGCCAAGCGATATGGTGCAGCACCAAGCAGCGCACCTGCGTCACATCAGCGATCGTCTTCGCACCCGACACCCGCAGTCTCAACACTTACGCGCGAGAAGAAGAAGGATAAGGAGAGCACGAGCATGGGAAGTGGTCTGCTCAAGCTGCTTAAGTCCAAGAAGGCTGGACGTAGCTCGGCCAACCTGGACAAGTTGGCCATCGATGAGGACCCTGCTGAAGTCCCCCGCTCGCCAATCAAGACCATAGAGGAGAGCAATGAAGAGGCATCATTCTTTGACCAGACCCCGCCCACATCATCAATGGTCAGTTCAGCATCGAGTGAGGCGCTGGCAGACTCCCTTGATGGCAAGTCCAAGAAGCCCAAGTCCACATTCAAGACACTCAAGCCATCAAAGAAGGACAAGGACAAGGACAAGGAGAAGGAAAAGGACAAAGAGCGTGAGAAAGAGCGTGAGAAGGAGCGCGAAAAGGAGAAAGAACGTGAGAAAGAGCGTGAAAGAGAGAAGGAACGCGAAAAGGAGAAGGAGAAGCGAGCCAAGATCATCAAGTTATTTGGAAAGGCCAAGGAATCACACTCGACCATCCGAAAGGATATCTTTGAGAAGGTGATCACACATCTGGAAAACAATGGTACGTACTGTCATCCTTTGGTCGTTTGATCCATGACTAATACCCTCCCAGCATTGGACACTGAGAACATATTTAGAATGTCTGGAAACATGGATACAGTGCGCCAGGTGGTCAAGTCATTCAGCGCACATGAGCCCAATCTTAACTTTGAGATACACAACATATCCAATGCACTGAAGCACTACCTAAGATCCCTGGATCCACCACTGATACCCTATGAGTTCTTTGTTCCATTGTTGGATGCATACAGTAAGTGCTAACAGATCTGATCACGTGACGACGTTATATCTGATCACGTGACATCAGATAAATCACGTGACATCAAATAATTGACACGACATTACCTTTTAGAAAACGAAGATGCAGAGACTATAAGGAACATCTGCTGGAGGATACCAAATGACAATAGATTGGTATTGACTAGATTGGTGTCATTGTTGGTCAAGATATCGGAGAGATATGAGATCAATAGGATGGACGCAAAGAATTTAAGTATTGTCTTTGGTCCAACCGTGCTGAAGCCTCGCACGCCAACACTGGATAGGATGGCACTGATGAGCGAGACACAGACCCTATGTGGCATCATGCAGATGCTCATCGAAGACTTTGAGTACATCTTCTCGGACGTTGCGCCACAAGGTCCACCCAAATCATTCACAAATCCAGGATCGACCTCGTCTGACGTGGTTGTCGTTGCCCTGGACAACAGTAACAACAGTATCAACAACAACACAGCTTCAACATCATCCACCAGCACCAACAACAACAACAACAACAATATAATGAATACCAGTAACAATAGTATGATATCTATCGATTCGGACAATGCCAACCAGACACCAATGTCCTCGACACCATCATCCTCCTCGCCCTCACCCATCATACCCCAGTCATCCGACAAAGAATCCACACCTCCATCTCCATTAACCCTACCAGTCCAAGCCGGCTAACAATTAATATAACAACAATATAATATAATAACAAATAATCTTCATTCCATCCATCCATCCAACCATCTATTATTAATGTGATTGGCAATGAAGTTCGTTTTATTGAAAGGACTTCAGTTTTTTTTTCATGATTCGAGCGAGATGGACGCAATTCATTCATTTTTGTTGTTGTACTTAACTAACTTACTTAGATATATCTATTTATTTATTACATTGTTAGTGATTATTAGTATCGAGATCATCGATATAACATAGTAGCAAACAAACAATGAGCATCGTTCAAAAGATTAAAGAGATTGAGGATGAGGTATGACAGGACAGGCACAAGACATGAACATGGATGTCAACTACAGGATACACAGACACTCACACCTCGTCACATGCAATATATAGATGGCACGTACTCAAAAGAACAAAGCCACATCATACCATTTGGGTCTGCTGAAGGCAAAGTTGGCCAAATATAAGCGTGAACTTTTGCTTGGACCATCAAAGGGAGCAGCTGGTGCTGGTGAAGGATTTGATGTGTCAAAGGCTGGTGATGCCCGTGTCGGACTCATTGGTTTCCCATCGGTGGGCAAGAGTACACTGCTCACCAAACTGACGGGAACATCGTCAGAGGTGGCCTCGTACGAATTCACAACGCTCACATGTATTCCAGGTGTCATTCAATACAACGGCTCCAAGATTCAGTTGCTCGATTTGCCAGGTATCATTGAAGGAGCCAAGGATGGCAAGGGTCGTGGTCGTCAGGTCATCGCCGTCGGAAGAACATGCAATCTCATCCTCATCGTGCTCGACGCCATGAAGCCATTGGTGCACAAGAAGATCATTGAGCGCGAACTCGAGGGCTTTGGCATCAGACTCAACCGCCAGCCACCCAACCTCACCTTCCGTCGCAAGGAGAAGGGTGGCATCTCCTTCTCCACCACAGTCACCAACAACCATCTCGACGCCGAGCTGGCAAAGGCTATCTGCTCCGAGTACAAGATCCACAACGCCGACATCATTCTGCGATGCGACGCCACTGCTGACGACCTCATCGATGTGATCGAAGGCAACAGAATCTATGTGCCATGTCTCTACGTTTTGAACAAGATCGATGGTATCTCCATCGAAGAGCTCGATCTCCTCGATCGTATCCCTCATTACGTACCAATCTCTTCTCACTTGGAGTGGAACCTTGATGTACTCCTGGAGAAGATTTGGGAATACTTGAACCTTATTAGAATGTAAGTTCATTCATTCATTCATCAATCAATCAATCAATCATACCAACTAACATATCCATCCATCAATCAATCAGATATACCAAGCCCAAGGGACAGATTCCAGACTATTCATCTCCAGTTGTCATCAGAGGTGGAGACGTGTCCACAGTGGAGAACTTCTGTAACCTTATTCACAGGACTATTTTGAAACAGTTTAAATAGTAAGTTGATTAGAATGGACTGGATTGGACAGGATATGAACTGGACAACATACTAACTCATGAACAATCAATCAATTAACCTATAAACAGCGCAATGGTTTGGGGATCTTCAGTGAAACACAATCCACAAAGAGTTGGAAAGGATCATGTTCTGGCTGATGAGGACATTGTCCAGATCGTAAAGAAATAAACAAGCACGCGGCAACAACATTACTACAGCAATCAATCAACATCCATTCATCCATCCAAACAACATGTGAGTATGTGACAACAACAACAACAACGTCGTCGACGTCGAAGATGTTTTATTGAGTGATTGATTGATTGAGATCGGACCATGACCGCTCGCTCAACATGTATGAGTCCAAATGTCCTCCTTGAAGTAATCGTTGGGCGTGTCGTCACCTGGCTCACGCGTTAGACGCTGTACCAGAACAATCTTGAATGTCTTTAACTTGCCATAGCCCTCGTTCGGATAGTTGATGTTCCAAGTGCGACAAATGAATCGACCATAGTTTAGCCTTATCTCCTCGTGGTAGATCACCGACATGAGGAAGTTCCTCTGGCGCTGTCCACTGTTGAATGTGTAGACGGGGTTGGCAACATAGTCCACTTGTTTGAGGTCGTTGAGCAGGTCGACGTCCTGCAGGTTCTCAAACTGTGCGGGCACGGCCAGCCAGCGGCTGTACTTTGGCGGGTTCGGTGCGAACATGCCCCACCACTGATCGGCCTTGAAGATGTAGGCCCATGTGGCAAACTTTGGGCTTGGATATGTGGCGTCCAATGATCGTCTGTATCCATTGTAGTTCCAATATGGCACATAAAGTATGAATATAAGAGGGATTACGATCGTTACCAATATCCTTCCAATGCTCCTCTTGTCTCCACTTGTGTTATTGATGGCTTGCTTTCTCTGTTTGAGTCCAAAGCTGTCCCTGCTGTTGAACAAATCCTGGAGATGTCATAATTGATTGATTGATTGAGTGAGTGGAATGGCTCCATGTGATGATCCACAAGCTTATTATACTTACAACAAAGGCTGAGCATATTGTTGAGAGGAATTGGCAACAGGGCTTGGTCTTTACAATGGATTGAAGTGGCCACAAGAGCCATGATTGTGATACCAGGACAACAAAGGCCTGATAGTCGCAATATATATCACCATCGAATTGGACTGAGAAGTATCTTGACTTAAGCTCCTCTCCATGTTGTTGAGCAGACTCGTCGACGAATATACCATCCTCATGTAATTGTTGTACATCGCTTGAATGTGTGTGCGAGTGGTCGCCATGATCCACGCTGCCTCTGCTTCCATTGATCTTCACGATAGGAGTATGTCTAATCAAAAAGAACTGCTTAAATAAGAACAAAAGGTACTCAACATACTTGGCCTTTGAGTCATAGTATATCTGATTGATTGATTGATTGATTGATGGATGTTAGATGACGCGTGAGATTGTTGGATTTGGATAATACTTACCGTTAACATGTGTCGCTCTCTGACACTGGTGATCACTCTATCGAAGTAGTCCCATATCAGTGATGGTGTGTAGGTTGATACAGCGACCATGGGTATAAAGATGAACAGGTAGATGTTGATACATAATCCGAATCCAGCGTGCATTCCAACAAAGCCCAATATAGAAAATATACGGCAATAAGGATTGAGTACTGGAGACACCATTAATATTGGTCCAAGGTACTCAAACAATAGTGTGGCCTAGATCAATTGATCGGTTTGAATGAGTAAATGGAATGGTACCAAGAATGATTAATTGGTCATATATACCTTTGTGAGGAATCTGAGGAAGTCAGGATACTGGAGGAGTGTCCAGGTGAGTCCATAGTTGAACTCGCGAAGATTGAGTGAGTAGTAGACAGCATTGAGGTTGACGTGCCAGTCATCGCCATGTTTGAGCAGTGCAGTGAATAGATAGATGCAGGTGAATTGTGTCATGTAGCCAAGTGTGGATAATGAGATGTGTGATTGATTGGGCTGCGCGCCACCACCCATTGTCTTATCGCCAAGTGTACCGACATCCCTATTGCGAATGATGCGCTGTGCGGTGTAGGTTGGTTGTGTGCGCACGGCGTCCACAGCGAATCTCTTGGCCGATGGCAGTAATATGAACCAGAACAATATCATTCTGTTATAATCATCGCTTCCGTCGAGCACGTAGACGTTCCTGTTCTGGATCGATGCCAACATGATGTAGGAGAGCAGTGCGGCAATGCGCGTGTGATAGCCAATGAGCAATGCAAAGGCAAATAGTGCGGCCATTGCAAACATAAATAGCTGGAAGATGTAGGAGCCATTGAACAAATGCAGCGTGAACCTATACTCTAGCAGTGGTGCGGCCATTGACGCGGGGAACTGGCCCCACTGTGTATAATGTATATCTGCATCGAGTGCTCGAAAGAATATATCGGCCAACAAGTACGATGCCACCATCACACGACCAAATGCCAGACTCCTGTAGTCCATGTAAAAGGCGGGGGCTATACACGAATCATAGAATGACCTAAATGTCGACTTGCCTCCGCCAGTGATCATGCTTGACATATCTTTGTTGTTGTTTGATTGATTGGTTGTGTGATTGTGATTGAGTGATTGATTGTAATAATAATAATAACTATAGTTGTAGTAATAATATAATGATAGTAATATACAGAGATAATGAGTCAAATCAAACAAGATTCATTCAAGATGGTGACAAGGCTAAATGGGCCGAGATGTCATGTAGTGCCTTGAGGCAACAAGTCGTTCAACCATTCACACGCACGTGGTTCTGTATGTCGTTGGAAGTGTGGGTGAAAACGAAGATGATGATTGAGTCGTGTGAATATCTGAATGGATCGTCACGTGTGTCAGTGTGGGTGGGTGGGTTTGATGGAAGTTGGAATAAGATGTGTGATTGATCAAACGGATAACTTTATTACTTTGGACGACTCCAATTGGAATGAACATGAGAGCGCAAAGGATGGTAAAGTTGGACATGCATGTTGCCAGATAGGTGAATGGCCAACAACACTCGTTCAATTGATCAAGATGACTGGACGGACATCTTAAGAGGAGATGTGGTAGACACGGATCAAATGGTCAGAGTATCCGGCGTAGAGGGTGGTTCCATCTGGGGACCAGGCGAGGGAGATACAGGCTGGGGCCTTGGTATCACGACGTCTCTTGGAGTCGGCAGCGATGGCTGGCTTGGGGAGGACGATCTCAATGAGGACGGACTTGGTCAAGAGGTCCCAGATGATGATCTTGTCGTCGGTGGCAGCGCACAACCAGTACTTGTTTGGCGAGAAGGCCAAAGCGTTGATGGTGTTGCGGGCATCCAACTTGTACAAGTCCTTGCCGGTCTGGAGCTCCCAGAGGCAGGCAAACTGGTCCTTGCCACCAGAGGCACAGAGCGATCCGTCTGGGGAGATGGTGACGGTGTTGATGTAGCCGGTGTGGCCCTCGAGGGTACGGGAGACCTTGTAGGACTTGATGTCCCAGACCTTGACCTTGTTGTCCCAGCCTCCAGACACGATGGTTGGGGAGTTTGGCGAGAAACGGACGCAGCTGACCCACTCGGTGTGGCCGTCCTCAGAAAGGACGTACTTGCACTCACCAATGGTGTTCCAGACACGGATGGTCTTGTCACGGGAGCCAGAGATAATTTGACGGTGGTCGAAGGAGAAGGCAACTGACATGACGTCCTTCTCGTGACCCTGGAAACGACGGGTGGTGGCACCAGAGTTGATGTCCCAGAGACGGAGAGTTCCGTCCCATGAACCGGACAGAGCGAACTGACCGTCGTGGGAGATGACGACATCCTGGACGTAGTGGCTGTGACCAGTGAGCGATCTCAATGGCACTCCGTAGGTGTCCTGCTCGCGGGTGAGCTTCCAGACCATGACGGTCTTGTCACGGGAGGCAGACAAGATAATGTCGGGGTTGTCAGCAGACAAGGCGATGGCGGTGACTGGACCGTTGTGTCCGGTGAGGACTCCTCTCTCGGCGTACTTAGCAGCGACGGTGGTTTGCTCCATTTTAATCTCACTATTGGTGTTGTTTGATCAATTGAGTTGTTGTTGTTGTTAGTATCATTGTTATTGTTGTCAATGTTGATGATGTAGATGTTGAGTCCAAGCAAGATCATTAATTTCATATCAATCGATCATTCAATCACATTGATCGCTATCATTGTGTGTCTTTGAATGTCAATGTCCTGATGTTGATTGTTTGATTGAATGAATGAATGCTCTGCATCTTGCTTGCTGTGTGATTCATTGATCATCATTGTCACAACCCAATGGCTAGGATGATGATAAGGTATTGAGTCTTACATTTATCTCTTTGTGATAGGTTAAGGCAAATAGGGTGATTGATGTTTATGCACGATTCAGCCTCATGTACGACACTCAGCTTGCCAGACACTGGATGAACACATTCACTCTCTTGTTTCACACTCGGTTCGCATGAAAAACAAAATATTTGAAAAATAAAAAATAATCATCCTTACTCCTCATTTACACAACTTTGTAAATATTATGTAATTTTCAACTTTAGGAATGAGGGCAAAACTCTTGAAAGAGTTCGGGTTCATCACAATGATCAATCAATCAATCAACAATCACAAGTATCCTCTTATGTTCTAAGGCCTTCCACATCTAATACACAATTCTATACTTTGGAGATGATATGGTAGACTTGACCATTGTTAGAATTCATCTTGTCAGAAGTTGGACTTCTAATCATTGACAAATGAACTTGAATGGATTAAACTAGTTTAATCTGTCCTTTGATTGATTGACTGGTCCAAGGTTGGGGTTTGTTGTTGATCAATGACAAATCGATAATAACCCAATCATGTTAAGATGGGTAGTTTGGACATCATCACAAAAAGAGAAATCAAAATTGTCGTTTTTTTCATCAATGCAAACTTATTGATGTGATGTGGGGTCACCAATGAATGATGTGGTGGTCTATCTGAACTAGTTGCGATCGCAATGGTTGGTGTGTGTATCAAGATGTGGTGAGTGTGTGAGGGAACTGTTGTTGGATTGGTGTGTGTCTCTTTCCTCGTGTGGTGTTGTTGTTGGTGGTAGTTATGAGTGTGTGTGTTTGTTTCCATGTGTTAGAGAGAGAGAGAGACAGAGAGACAGAGAGAGAGTGATACATCAGACAGTCAGACAGACACATAAGGTTAATACCATTGTTCACGTATAATACATATACATACATACATATAATATATATATATATAACACGTGTTGTTGTGTTTATAAATAACCATTATTGCTTACGTTCAATCAAGGAAGCTGTGCAGTACTTCACATTCCATTCATTCGACCGACGGATCATCTTCGCATTGTTATTGTCCACCACTCCGATTGACGGGATTGGATTGGATTAGACAGACTAACGGAAGGAAGGACTGACGGAAGGACGGACACTCGGCAGCATTTCATTCAATCATTCGATCAATCATTAATATTAGCAATAACAACAACACCACCACCAATTCGTTGTTAGGATATATATCAACTCCATCTCTCCGTACTCCGCAACACACTTCCATCAATATACTAGTTGTTGCCAAAGTGTCGTAGTCAGTGATTCATACACCACCCATTCATTCAATCAATCAATCAATCATTCATTCATTCATTGGAGTAGCACTCTTTTGCGCAATCAGATAGAAGTAGTAGTAGTAATTGTAGTAGATATAGATAGAGATAGAGAAATATGAACAATATAAAGGTGTCTTTGGGAAGGAAGAAGGTAGTAACTCCTTCGGATGAGTTGTACACTGTATGTATCTCCAGTCTTTGACTCCTGATTGGCGTCATGGCCACCCACTCACATCCACTCAATCACTCAACCAAAGAGAATCGTGGAGCACTCTGACATGATGGATGAGATACAGAAGAACTTGGAGAAGCAACAACAGCATTTATTTAGTATGTATATTTGATTGATTGATTGATTGAATGGTCGGAATGATTCCAAGACGACACCCCGACACCCCCAAACACTCAAACTCACACTCAAACTCAAACTCAATCAATCAAAAAACAAAGGCACTGCACTTCATTCCAAGACGATATCAGAGTCATTTAGAAGGTATGGTGATGTATCATCAACTTTCAACACAAAGATACCACTGAGCGACTGCATGCAGCGCGCCGCAGAGTGGCAAAACACATTGAGCGATTGTTTCAATCATCTGGGCAACGTACTCTATGACAGGTCCACACAGCCACTGAAGGAGACTATCCGCATCCAGCTGGAGGTGGTCAAGGAGGGCAAGAAGCGATTGAAGAAGCTGGCGCCCAACGAGAACACCTCGGCACACAAGTCCATGGGCCCCGACTTTAAGAGGGAGCTTGATATATATGATCGCGCGTGCAAGGAGGCCTCGCAGCTCTACAACGACTCGGAGCTGGCCCTGGAGAACTCCTCGGTGCAGACGATGCTCTCGGCGTTCGAGGCCTACCACGACTTCTTCCAGAAGGGCGCCTTCCAGTTTGCGCGCATCAAAGCCGACATTGACAACTATCGCAAGGTTATAATGGAGACCAACAAGGTGCAGGCCAAGCTGAGAAACTACATCCCGCGCAAGACGTTTGGCATCAAGTTGGAGGAGGTGTTTGCTCGCGAGTCCAATCGCGGCATGCCCCAGTTCCTCGATGAGATCTTCAAGCATCTTGAGAAGTCGGCGCCCACCCTCGAGGGCATCTTCCGCATCAGTGCTGGCAAGTCCTCAATCGAGACCCTTCAACAAAAGATCGAGTCCAGCCAGCCCCTCGACCTGCACACACTTCTCGACCCTCACATCGTCTCGTCCGTCCTCAAGCTCTTCCTTCGCTCATTGCCAGAGCCCTTGATATTCTACTCCAGCTATCAGAAGTACCTTCCATTGTCCAGCCAGCCAGCAGCACAACACGTCCCTGAGCTCATYAGGAGACTGATCTCTGCTCTTCCAATGGCCAACCAGACCGTGCTCAAGAGTGTACTGTCATTGTGTAAATTAATTAAGGAGCACAAGGAGACGACCAAGATGGATCTGACCAATCTTGCCGTGGTCCTGGCGCCCACACTGCTCGAAGCAATTCCAAACCTAAAGGCTGAGGACATCCAGAAGCCAGAGACATTTGCCGAGTTCAACGCGTTGTTCATACTGTTGGTCGAGAACACTGACAACATATTCCCATCGACCATCAACAATCAGGACAATGGTGTGCGATCAAGATCACATACAGAGGTTGCAGTACCACCATCCGCATCATTCATAGCATCGACCACACCAATCAGCAGCAACAGCAACAACAATGGCGCACAACAGACATCACCTAAAGAGCGTGGACATGCACAGGATATGAACAAGCCATTGCCACCCCCTCCACCAATGACAAAGTCCACGTCGAATCTCTCAACTCCACCCTCGCCCACACAAGAGATGAACACGTTGTCACACTCTGGCGACATCAAGCCGCCACCCAGCGCCACATCAGATGTGGCCGCAGTGTCAGACCGCTCACCACTCAAGAACAGCTCAGACTCTTCATCCAACAGCAGTTTCTCATCAGACACCGACTCTTCATCATTCTCTTCATCGTCGACGGCTTCGGTGCCTCAGCCTGACCAGGCCAACACGCCACACAAGGAGGACAAGCCAACACCTCCTCCAGTATTGCGAGCCAACAGTGGTGTATTGAACATTGGAGTGCACTTTATGAACATCAACAGGAACCTACAACGACTCAAGGCCATGGTGGAGGAGACGCAGTCCACAGAGCAGGGTATCAACCTCATCAAGATATACAGGAGGATATCAGATGTAAGTACATCCATTGTTGTGTTGTGTTGATGATGGCCAAATCACTCACATCCAATCACATCCAATCAAGATATCAATGTCCATTCAAAAGACGACCAAGTTCGCATTCATTAGGGACAAACCATCTGTAAATAACGACGACGATAAGATTAGCAAGTTACGAAAGACATTAGTATATACGCACGAGAATAACATCGACTTGATCAAGGACGCCAAGGAGATATATGAACGCAGCGAAGACTTGGCAGTATGCAAGGAACTGGAGAGATATATTGCACAGATGAACACGGCCATCATCGAGGAGTTGGACAGCATTGTTCATCAATAATAACCAGTCGACCATGCATCCCTTAGGGGCGTTGGTTGTAGTTTGATCAAACATAGGGTGGAAGGGATCAAATAGATATCCATCAGTTTACTCGTTTGATGAATGATGATGAGGGTGGTTAGTGTCTATTACTGTGGCACTCGCCAATGATCCAGCCACATGTGGCCAAGCCCAAAGCCCTGTCTCTATGTCTACTTGCAGCTACTTCAAATCATGATTAAACTAGTTATTATTGGTGATGCGCCAGAGTTTATTAATGGATCAAGTTGGAGGTGTTGGACTACCAACACCACATGACATTCCTGCTCCGCCTAGCTGGCGCACATGTTACAGAGGTGGTAGGGGTATATGACGGATGGTCGATTGCAGGTGGGAGGGCGTACTGTTGTTGTAGATGTAGATGTAGATGAACTTAACTTATGCGTGGTCAATTGGGGATGGGTCGTAGCCATTGGGGTTCTGGCTCTGCCACTTCCAGGCATGCTCGCACATGTCGTTCTGGTTGTAACGGGCGGACCAGCCCAGCTGCTTGAGCGCTTTGCTTGGGTCGGCAAAGGATGTGGCCACGTCTCCCTTTCTTCTCTCGACAATCTTGTAGTTGATCTTCTTGCCAGAGGCCTTCTCGACGGCGGCAATCATCTCAAGCACAGAGTAACCACGACCAGTGCCCAGGTTGTAGGCAACACATCCCGGCTTGGTGGAGAGGTGGTTGAGCGCGGCGATGTGGCCCTTGGCCAGATCGACGACGTGGATGTAGTCACGGACACCGGTTCCATCGGGCGTCTCGTAGTCGTTTCCATAGACACTGAGCACCTGGCGCTTGCCAATGGCGGTCTGAGTGATGTATGGCATCAGGTTGTTGGGGATGTCCTTGGGGTCCTCGCCAATCAAACCGGATGGGTGAGCACCGGCTGGATTAAAGTATCGCAGCAATATACAGTTCCACTCTGAGTCGCCGGCACTTATATCCTGGAGCATGCCCTCGATGTGCAGCTTGGTGCGGCCGTACGGGTTGACGGCAGAGAGGGGTGCATCCTCGCTGATGGGCACCTCCTTTGCATCGCCATAGACAGTGGCCGACGATGAGAACACGATGTTCTTGCAGCGATACTTGGCCATGACCTTGAGTAGAATAAATGTGCCCATGACGTTGTTCTCGTAGTACTTGAGTGGCAATGAGGTCGACTCGCCAACAGCCTTGAGGCCGGCGAAATGCACGACCTGGGTGATGTGCTTGGAGGCAAACAATTCTTCGAGACCCCTCTCGTCGAGGATGTCCAACTCATGGAACTCAATCTGCTTTCCAGTGATCTGTTCCAGACGATTGATACTCTCTCTTGATGAATTGCACAAGTTGTCCACAATGATTGGAGTGTAGCCAGCTTCTATCATTTCAACGACTGTGTGACTACCAATGTAGCCAGCACCACCAGTGACCAGTACATAATTATCGATTGGATCCATGATGTGTATATATTTTGTTTATGAATGTGTCTCTGTTCGATGAGATGTCAGTGAGTGATGATGTTTGTGTTGTTGTTTGATTGAGTTTGATTGATGTGATTGATTGATCGATGCTTCCTGTTGTTATTACAACAAGGAACTCCCAAACTCTTTCTCTCTTTGCTAAAAAAAAAAGTAGTCTAATGTCTATGTCTCTGTCTCCTAAGAGGATCAATGAATCGGCTGGATTACAATGACAGACCTTCATTCAGACAACAACACTACCACCCTACCACCTACCACTACTACACAATCTGCAGACAAAGACACACTTTAAAAGTATGCATGTGAATGAATAAGTGTGTCGACACACACACAGGTATGTTGTCTGGCGAATAATTGCCTCTTATGTATACAGATGCATCTAAATATAACATCTGCGCAGTGGTGAGGTGAAGGGGAAGGGGAGGTGAGGAGAGCTGTCGTATGTGTTGTTTGTGTGTTGATACCGTATCACATTCAATAAAGGGAATGAATGTTCGATAATACAAAGGACTGACTGATGTGATGTTCACCAATACACACTCACTTACTTCCCTTTCAATGAGTGGACATCGGGTATCTGCAGTCAGCCAGTCACTGCCGCTTAAGATTCTCTTAAACAGATGTGAGTGTAGTGACTTCTGATGGCGTGTTGTGGTGTGGTAGTGTTTTGGAATGAGGAATAGTTATACAACCCGATATGATGTCAGTCAGTCAGTCAGTCCATCTGTTGACCACGGTCAACACAAACACACACACATACTAATACACACACACACACACAACAATAACAACAAATAATCAGACGAATGTTTGGATACTTGAGTGTTGGTATGTATGTATGAATGTGATGTGTTGTGTGGTATTAGTGAGGATTGATATGAATTGTGGAATCGTTCGCATATTCATTGTTTGGGTGTGACTGATGGATAGAATGAGACAGATAGAGTATTTGATTGATTGATTGATGGGTGTGTGTCTGTGTTTCTGACACCACTTATAAGTATTCCTACTTACTTGAAGATGATGATCAATATGTTCTTTCGTCAGTAACAATGTAATACTGATTGTAATATTTATATATCTGTTTTATGTATGTATGTAATGTTTGTATATATATGACTTTGGTGGTATTGAGGATGTTTGCAATAATAGGCCAATCAATATCTCTGATCGGGAACAAAACTCAACGTTGCAACACTTCCTGGGGGTTGAATGAATCATTTCTCAAAACATGCCCTCTTTGGCTTTTGTTGTGTGGAAGGATCTTTGTTTCTTTTGCCATCTATTGTTTGATGGGAAGGGGGTCAACCTTTAACGGACACTAATAGATCATACACACGAGTGATTCATTCATTCAATCATTCAATCATACATACTTTCACCTCACCTCACTCATAGTATAGGCATGGCATCATCAACACAACAACAACAACAACACAGTTTAAACTTGATGTTTACCAATCAGGCGGCGGCATTCAATCAATCATTCAATGATGTGTTGTGTGATGAGTTTAACATATTGTTATCAAGCCTCCTTACAAATGATGATGATGCTGCTGGTACCAAGCCTGGTAACCTACACAGCCTCGTATCCAGGTTACTACAACCAAAGCCCAATGGTTATACACTTAAAAAGGTTGGTTGTTTGGTTGGTTGTTTGGGTCATATGATGGCTTAGGCTTTGGTTCGGAGTTCGGCATTGTGTGGGCAGGTCGGAAGCGGGAACTCGTGTCCACGTTGACAATAATAATCACTCACTCACCTCACCTCACTCAATCACCAAACAAACAGAATCGAGATAGTGATGCACGAGGTGATTACTCAATCAATCTAAAGTTGACGAATGATAAATCCAATGCCAATGATGATGCGTTCGAGTCATTACTCCAAGCACTACAGACATTGATACAGGGTCGCTCTGAGCAGTTGACCTCCAACTCATATATCCATGGCCTAGCTCTACACAAGTCTAGCCTAAACATCACATTGAATAGGGAGTTGGTGTTCCAAAGATGGTTTGGACAACAAAATTCCCATCCAGAGTCATTGCCCATCAGTGCCACAGCGACATCAACAACAGCCCTATACAAGATTGATTATCCATTTGACTTTACAACTCTGGTGTTCCAACATCGACTTCAACATCTAAGACATCTATTCATTGGCGATGTTATATCAAACTCACTTGCATTGAAAGGACACACAGTCAGCCAGACAATATTCCTTCAAGATTACAATGATCAATCAATTCTACTTGTTATCGCGACTCATGGTCTGATCAAGAGTGGCGCATTATCTCAGTCCACATTGGATCACACTATACTATCAACCATATCAAATGCTTTGACATCAACCTCCACTTCTGGATCAACAACACACAATGACATACACAATCATGTTGTTGCCAACTTGACAGAGTATCAACAATCACTACAATTATACTACACAGGAAATAATGGAGAGTATAGAGATGGATTGAAACATACTACCAATCTCGTACGATCAATATTGGTGGCATCCACGCAAACATACCTTGCGCAGTTTAATATTCACATCGATCAATTCACATTCGAGTCTGATCTTATACATCAAGATGACATATCCACAACCAAATTGACATTGACCAACAATGACTATTTGATCAAAGACATTGATGGATCATTGACAATATCTCCAAGTCTATTCAATGACAACATGGTATCAATCAAAGAGGTATGATACATGATGAATGGAAATTGGACTCACTGACTGACATGATTGATCATTCAAGATGTTCAATATTAATAATAATATAGAGTTTGGATCAATTCCAATTCAATTGGCAAATGGACAATATTCATCATACTTTAAGGAGTTGGTGTATATTATGTATAGAACAAGAGAGATGTCAATGTCAAGTATACCATCAGTCTATCTGATAGTGACATCGAACAATAATCTATTTAGACTGCGGAAGAATATAATAGCATTAACATTACTCAAACTAAAGACTGGCAATAACATGGTATGTTATTTGATCAATCAATCAAAGAGTAGAGATGGCTAACTTTATGTATCAAACAGTTCATCATACCTTGTGGCGATGTAATTGCACCTAGTCATGTTGATAGTATTGATTTACTTAACAGTTTAAAGACAGAGTTGGAGGACATGACATCAGAGGAGAGTCAACAGACTGAGCAACAGAGGGAGTCCATGGTCCAAGAGTTGGCAATTTCAAATATCAAGTCTCCAATGCTTTTCAGTCAATACAAGAGCAATGTAAGATATTTAATGGAGTTAGTGATGTCCATCAACTACAATCAATCCATCAATATTAATCGATCAATCATTCATAACAAACTTGAAGGTGACACTGGATCCCAAAGGCATTGTGGCTCTTAACGATAACACATCAGCATCAATATATTATAATCACTGCCGTATCACATCGATCATTTCCAGTTACCAAGAGGCTGTTGGTGACAGGCAGGATCAGCAACAACAGAATACCTTTACACTGGAAGATTACAAGTGTTTGAATGATAAGGTATGTACGGTCCACAGAAGTTTGATTGATTGACTCAACTGACTGGCTAACCAATCAATTATTCATTCATAGTCCGAGTGGAAGTTGTTTGCATCATTTGCACTTAATATCAATTGCTTGCTTGATGGAATGAATGTACCTGGTGCTAACGATCCAACAGTCGATATTGTTCAAGACCGTCTTGCAACACAATCAATCTACGAGTTTATCAACCTCTTTGTTCGCGAGTACAGCAGATACTACACAAGAAAGAGAGTATTGAGAGTAAGTAATTTGTTGGCACCAACCAGTTCCTATTAATGTTAATTAACATTCGTCAATCAATCAACTCTAGAACAAACTGGACAAGTCTGTTATTGTTAGGATAGAGATGCACAAAGTGTTGAGCTCCACTTTGACAACATGCATGGCACTCATTGGATTCCAACCATCATTCTCAAGAATGTAGTACCACACATTCAATCAATCAATCATTCAATCAATCAATGAACTTTATTGATTATGATTGCTCCAATGATTGAGCTAATTAGTAGTTATTGTCAATAAAGTATATCTTATTGCCAATGCTTGTCTTGAACACTGTGTTGGTCTTGTCAATACTTCTGAAGATACCTTCAACGTTGTTCATGCCTATCTCCAGGATATAGGTCTGTACATTTGGGAATACCATGGCCAGCACACGATAACATTGGACCAATTGATTAATGTCATCTTCTCCAATAAAGACTTGAACGTACAAATTCATCATTGGTACCATGCAAGACTTCATGACTTTGCAATTATCTTGGAGCACAATCTTGTCCATGAAACAGATATGAACCATCTCAGGCTTGTATAAAAGTGCATCAAGTAGCCATATATTTGGGTTCGATCCAAGAATCAACTTCTTGATATTACTTGGAAATACTATATCTCGATTGTCACTTCCCAGACTGTGTCCAGTGACCAGACTTGTAAGTGACTCGGGTAGTACTCCCGCCACTATGTGTTGGTCATAAGATAGGCCCAGCGAGAGGGATGTGAGTGACGATGGCAATGATCCAGGCTCGAGGACTTGATTAAAGAGAGATCCGAATGACAATACTTGAAGTGATTCAGGGAGTGTGCCATGATGGTTTGGCAAGTTGTAATGATAGCCTAGTTTGAGAGTAGTCAGACCTTGTGGTAGTGCACCATCTGGAAACTGATGTATAAATCCAGAGTTATAATTGAATTCCAAATAGACCAATGAGTCGGGTAGAGAACCAGGTGTGATTGGATGATTGAATGAGTCATTGATGATTAGTTTCTTGAGTTGTCTTGGAAGTGCACCACACAAGAATGGTCGATCAAACGTGGATTCATTCTTTAACTCAAGTGCCGTCAATGACAAAGGTAATGATCGAGGTGTGATATCTTCTTTCTCATCAATGAATCCAACGAATGAGAGATCCTTAATAGTATCAGGTAATAAACCATGGGCAATCTTTGTACCTATCGATAGATTGGTGAGTGTGTTTGGTAGTGTTGTCCTGTCCAATACTTGGTCAAACTCAGAGCCAAGTCTGAGACTCTTTAGAGAAAGAGGGAGGACACCATCATTGATTGGTTGGTTGAACATCTTGCCAAATGTAAGAATGAGTATTGATGCTGGAAGTACGTTGGGCTCCAAACGTTGATTGAACATCTTTCCAAATGTGAGATGTTTGAGAGAAGATGGTAGAGTATGATGTGTGATTACTTGGTTGAAACGATATCCCAGCTGAAGGATACGTAGAGAGTCCGGTAGAGTATGTTGCTCGAGTATTTGATCAAAGCGATCACCAAAGGTCAGTGATGTGAGAGTTGATGGTAGTGTGCAGGGCGGTATGATCAAGTTGAAGTATGAACCAAATGTCAATGAATGAAATGTTCTTGGGAATGAGTTTGTAGTGATCGCAGAGTCACAGTCATCATAAGTCATTGATTGATCACTGTCGTCTGTGAATGCATTGATTGAGTATGCATCATTCATTGACAACAACAACGGAATACGTAATGATCCAATGTTCTTGATCCATGTGACATAAATCTGCTTGCATGTAAGAGCAAGACAAACTGGATCGATATGTGATCCTTTATTGAATCCATCTCTGTTATTCAATAAGTCATAGATTGATCGTACTACTGTGTATGGTAGAGAGTCCATTATATGTTTGTTTGTTTGTTTGTTTGTTGTTTGTTTATGAAAATGAATTATCTATTCTAAGGCAATTCTGGCATATCTTATTATCACTTAGACTACAGGATAGTTTGACCCTTTTTATGTCGTCAGTTTGGTTACACAACATACCGCCATCGTATCCGATAATGTGGTACTTTTTCCCTGTAGGGGATGTTAGATATTCAAAGGTGGTCGTCTGTGTCACCTTCGGAGTTGAAGGTTTGATTTGATGATTGTTTGGTTTGCTCCCCTTCTTGGGTGGTCGATGATGTTGTTTACTCTGGGATCGCAACTCCTTTAGGATATGTTTAGGGAACTGGATCTGTTCCTCCTTCTTCACCTTCTCCTCCTTCACAGTAATCTCGGTCTTTTGTTCTTTTGGACAACTTAACTTCAGAACTTTAGCAATTTTAGCTAACACGTTATGACCAATGTTACCTCTGGAGGGATGATCGATGTATATAATTTTTGTGTCTGAGTATTGACTCTCGTCACAAATCAACTCGAAGAATATCTTTGACATCTTGCCAGCCACCAATAAGACCTTGGGGTTCGAGTTCATGACTCTTCTTGCTTGTTCATGCATGAAAGGCTCTCCAGTGATTGGGACACCAAGATGTGCATTGCCAACGTAGGGAAACAAATCAGTGATAAATGATTTATCTTTGACCCTTTGAGGTAGCCATTCCAGTTGCTTCCTAACTCTTTTGAAGGTGTGGCATATCTCATCTCCTCTAGCGTTGAGTGCTAGATGTCTGGCATTCATCGGATCAGACAGGACCACTCCGATTGAGCTCCAGTGAGGGATAGTTGGATAACTCAAGAAATCAAAGTCGCATACCCAAACTCTAGGAGTTGGACGTAGTTTGCCAAATTCTCTAGGAATACTTGGAACATCAATGGTACTAGTAGAGTCCAACTCTTGATTGCCATTCTTACTCCACTCGGTATTATATTTCTTGAACATTTTGAATAGTTCTTGAGAGTACTCTCCACAATGATGTGCATGATTCTCCCAATCGTCCTTGGGTTCATCCAAGTGTTTACAATCCACTATAAGGAGAATATGGTGTGAGTATAAGGTCAAATGATAATCGAGAACTTGAAATAAGTACCTTCATCTTTGCACTCAAGACATAGTCTACTTTGTTTCATGTCTGGTTGTATGGCCTTGATATCCAACTCTCTGGCTAGGTAACAAATGAACTGAGGCTGGTTCTGGGATGAAATCAAGTCTGATGATAAATCCAAACAACTCAGACATTTAAAGTCTATGTTACTATCATCTTGTAGAGGTTTGCCAGAGACACGATCTGGCGCAAATGTCTTTGGACTTGTGAGTGGATTCTTTCCAGAATGTCTTTGGGAGCTCTGGGTTTCAGAAATTGAAACCTCTGACAATCTTTGAGTAATAGCACTTAATCTAACATCTGATGATGGAATAGATGTTACTGTGCGTGTTGGTTCGAATGCTGACTGATCAGGGATGGGGCGGCTCCTCCCAGTCACGGTTGTTTGAGTAGTTGTAGTTGGAACATTGGTGCGATGTTGTATGGAGGTCGTAGTCTCCTTTGTTGGTGGGTCTGCACTTGACGTCTTGTAAGTGGTTGAGGAGCCTGGAGGAACAACACGATTAATTATATTAATACTATTACTTTTGTGATAATGGTGATAGATGCTCACTACATACTTGTTGAGGAAGACTTTTCAACCACTTTTGGACGGGATGCCTGTGATTTGGTATCCTGTCCAAGATGTTGCTTCAGACTTCCAAAGTTACCTCTCAGTGATGCAAGATTGGATTTCATCTGCTTCCTTGTGGGTCTATCACTGTCATGTTGCTCAACTATCCCCTCCAAGTATTTCAGGTCCCTTTCCATTCTCACCTTGATCCACTCCCAATCGTGATTGAACGTACAATGTTGACCTATGCACAATTCTATCTTGCAATCTCTCTGGTCTCTATGATGTTGTCCTTTTGACTTCATATTTATGGTGTATATATATAACTAAGTAAATGTCATTAGTGTTATGAACAAATGAGTGAGGAGGAACATCTTCTTCATGGTTGTGTGTCCCTCCACTTTGCAAATTCATTGCTGGAAACAAAAATTAAAATAAATCAATTGAATCTTGATTTACTGATCATTCAACAACACTGGTTGATTCATTGGGTTCCAATGAATGATGGTGATGGTAGTATTATATATATGTTTAATATATGTATATATGTATGTATATGGTTGGTTTTGTAGGATATTACTACTCTACATGTAGTTTAGTTGGTTGGTTAGGTGTCATTATCGACGAGTCTGGCAATTAATTCGTCGACGATAACTTATTAATTATTATTCGGCTGTGATGGATGTCATTGAGGTGAATAAATGATTGATGATTGGTTGTTGATATTGTTGTTGATGCTGTTAATGTTGTTGTTGATTGAAGACATTCCAATGTTGGATGTAGAGGCTGAAAGTGGTGAGGATGGTGGTGAGCTAGGTGTTTGAGTGGACGAGGGCGAGGAGAATGACAACTCGCTCATGCTGCCACCGCCAGTGTTGTTGAGTGTGGTTCCCGGCGATGCCGTGGACATGCCACTTGGATCCTCCTTCTTCTTCTGATTCTTGAGGTATGTGTTGACGTGTGAGCGCACTTGATGATGCGTCCTCGTCTTTACATGCTGTGATATCTCGTGGTAGGCCTTGTATCCATACTTGGCCGTGGCCTCCAAAAAGAGTGCGTGCTCCTCCGGACTCCAATGTATCGTCTTCTCCTTGGGCTTCTTCTTCTTGGAGCTGCTCGATGGCGTCTTCTTGGGCGTCTTGACGGGCGAGTCGGGTGGAGTGTCCCTATTGGTGGCGGCCTTGGGCGTGGGCGGGGATGGCGAGGCCGTCGGAGACAGTGGATTGTTGCTGTGTTGGGGCATCAGCGAGGCGGCACTCATCTGCTGCTGTGTTTGTGTCTGTGGCGCCTGCTGCTGCATTGGCTGGTGGAACGGCGGCTGGCACTGCTGTTGGCGAATCTGTCGCAGTTTGGAGATGTGCATCTGGTACTGTGGGGGACCCTGTGACACCATCTGCGACAGGATGTTGATCTGCTCCTGGATGAGCTGGTAGTGATAGTGCAACAGTTGGTATATCTGCTGTGTCTGAGGCTGCTGCAGCTGGGCGTGCAGCTGCTGGAAGTATGAATATAGTTGCTGGTACTGTTGCTGTATCAACGCCACGCTTATGCTGTTGTTCTGCAACTGATGATCCCACGACTGCACGTACGCAATGATCTGGTTGTGCATCTGCTGCAGATGTTCGAGTGCCGCGTAGTCTACAGGCTGCGTGCCGTAAGGCACTGGCTGTCCCGCCTGCGCCAGGGCCTGAGTTTGTTGCTGCTGCTGTTGTAAATAGAGTTGTTGTGGTTGGGCTTGTGCCATCTGTGGATGTTGCTGAGGCTCTGCCATCTTGCTCGAGCCCATCACAGGTGTCTGTTGTGATTGGGCTTGCGGGGTGGTCTGTGATGAGCTCTGCTGGGCCTGTCCTTGGAACTGTTGGGCCTGACCTGGGTACTGACCAGTGGCCACAGATTGTTGGACGCCCTGTTGATGGTACATTGGTTGTTGTTGTTGAGTGTAGGCCACCTGTGCTGCTACTCCTTGTTGTTGAGTAGTGGCGGCCTGAGTGCCAGCCGCTGCAGCAGATGTCTTCTGAACAGGTTTGGCCTGTTGCTGCTGCTGCTGTTGTTGTTGTAATTGTAGTTGCTGTTGTTGTTGTTGATACTGCTGATACAACATATTGTACTGCATTGATACTTCAGGAGGTATTGGTAGATTACTACTTTGATACTGTTGCACAAGGGTGGCAACAGATGAGAATTGTTGATAGACTGCCGCAACCGCTGCTTGTTGTTGCTGCTGTTGCTGTTGTTGAAGTGGACCAACACCATTGGAATTCTGTTGTTGCTGGTTTGTGTGTGTCTGTGCCTGCTGTTGAGCAGTCTGGCCACCGTGGGCCTGTGTCTGTCCAACCATCTGTGAATTTGGCAGCTGTTGCTGTGCTGCCTGTGTCTGCCCAATCTGTTGCTTCATCTGATGCTGCTGCTGTTGCTGCATCGCCAGTTGATGTTGTTGCTGCTGCTGCATTTGCAACTGTTGCTGCTGCTGCTGTTGCTGTTGCTGCTGAATGATTGGAGATTGAACAGGATTGAGTCGATAGTGCAAGAGTTGGGGGAAAGGCTTGCTTAGGTGTGCTCTGAGTTGGGCCGTGGGCACGAAGCCTCCGGCCATGTCCTCACAGAGCAACATTGACCAGTGATCGTCCAGTCTTCGCAGGTTATAGAGTCGCGACTGATTCAGTGACAGTTGGACATTCAGATTGATGTGGCTGGCCATCAGCACACACTCGAGCAGGTCGCCATTCAGCAGCACCCTGTTGTTGACGGTCAGATTGGTGAGGTACAACAGATGGTGCAGCGAGAGGTAGTGGCTGAACTGCCAGCCCAGGTGCAGCGTGGACACATAGGCGGGGATGGCGCCAATGGGCAGCTGTCGATTGAACTCGTCGCCAAACTCTAGATGCGTCACGGACACGGGAATCAGGTTGGGTTGCAGGTCCTGGTTGAACCGACTGCCCAGTATCAGGTGGGTGACCGAGGGTGGGATTGTGGAGTTATCAGCGATGGGCGCCACCGACGAGAACTTGAGATAGGATACGGTCGAGGGGATCGAGCCATAGGTGATGGGTTGTTGGAAGCTCTCGCCAAACTCGAGGTGCTCGACGCTGACGGGGATCGTGCCAAACGACACGGGCTGGTTAAACGCCGCACCAAACACGAGGTACGTCACGGACGAGGGGATGGAGCCGTACTCCAGCTCCTGATTGAACGACGCGCCAAACACGAGGCGCGACACGCGGGGGATGTATCCCATGCCGATCTGTTGATTAAAGTCGGCGCCAAACTCAAGACTGATGGCGTCCTCGGGAATGAAGCCGCGCAGAATGGGCTGGTTGAATTCGTCGCCAAACTTGAGGTGGCGAATACTGCGCGGCAACGTGCCCGTTGTGATTGGTCGATTGAAGCGCTTGCCAAACTCGAGCGTCTCCACCGACTGGGGGATGCAGTTGGGCGCCAGCGGTTGGTTGTAGTTCGCGCCAAACTTGAGTGATCGAAGCGTGATAGGCAGCGTGCCGATCATCAGCGTCTGATTGAAATTGGTGCCCAGCTCCAGGTGTGTCAGGGCCGTCAGCAGGGTGGGAGGGATGATCTGATTGAATTCGTTGGCCAGCCGCAGGTGTGTGACGCCGGCGCTGACCGTGACGCCCAGCACCAGCGGCTGATTGCCGCCGCCGGCGTAGACGTACTGAGTCTCGGCGGCTTCGTGCCGCGCCAGGGACTGTCGCGCATTCTCTCTGAAGCGGGGTATTACAAAATCGAGGGCGGTGCGCTTCAGCAGAGCGCCGTTCAGTCCAAACATCTTATCGCGTTCGCTGTACCACTGTCTACAACACATCGAGAGACAGAGTCTGTCGACATTTGACTCTAAATGCTCTACGATATATGGTATGACTTGTGATTGCAACATCTTGTTGTGTGTGTATGTATGTATGTGTATATCTGTTTGAATGAATGGTGTGTATGTGTATGTTTGTTTGTGTATGTCTTGGTCCTGTCCTAGCTCCAGACCAATGTCCTGTTATGTCATTTATCAATGTGTCAGTGTCAGTGTCTCATTCAAAGTTGCACGTGTCGCTCTCTGTACCTTATGATTGGAGATCACAGTGTCGCTATCCTGTGTTTCCTTCCTTCATACATGCAAGCCGAGTAGCAAGCAAGCGATCAAGCTTAGTCTGTCTTAAGCGACTGTTTGTTTGAATGATAATGATTGATTGATTGGATTGTGTTGGATTGGATCGTTCTGATTGATTGAATGATTGATTGAAGTTGAATAAATAGTGTTTCTTAATTGATTGTACACCTTTGTTCTATCTATCTATCTCAATCCCAACTCAATCTCTTTATGATTGTTTGATTGAAGTTGAAGTTGATTGAATTATTAATTAATTATATATATATTAAATATATATATATTGATTCTTTGTGTGTGATTAATTGTATGTGTATGTAATGTGTATGTATATGTGTATGTATGTATTTGTATGTATATGTATATATAAATAATGATTGAAACAAACAAACACACATCACCTGGTCATTATTGATCACAGATAAATGAATGAATGCATTCAACAAAGTGCATCATGAACACACTTCTAGTGTTTGTTTGAAAGTTCATCACCTCGCACACGATCACTTTGAGTAATGAATGTTTGTGTGATGTTCACTTTCAAGAGTGTCCTTTGAATAAGTAACATTGATTGGTTGGTTGGTTAGTGTGATTGAGGCGAGTGAATGAGCGAGTGATCATTGGGTGAGTGAGTGAAAGAGTAGTGGTACCCGGTCCATCATCGTCTCAACTTAATAATAATACTCCCTCCCTCCGGGATACATATTTGGACTCGATCTCATGATGATCGATCGATACAATGATTGATTGATTGATTGATTGATGGACTGATGATGCGTAATAATACTAATTTCCTCGTTTATTTAGAGGAGGAGAGCAACGAGACCAGAGGCAGCGACGAACATGGAGGCAGAGACGATGGCAGCAGAGCTGGTGGCGGGGGAGGTGGACGAAGTGGTAGTGGTCGATGCTGGGGCAGTGGTAGTGCCGGTGGTAGTGGTGGTGCCGGTGGTGGTGCCGGTGGTGGTGCCAGTGGTGCCGGTGGTGCCGGTGGTTGCTGGTGCTTGGTAGGTGAGCTGCGAACGGGTGATGGCGTTCTTCTCTGTGGTACCGTCACAGACGATGAAGATACCTTGGCCCATGGAGCCAGACTTCATCATGGCAACTCCGGTGTTGAGCTTGGTGGCCAAGTCTGAGTTGCCTGGCACTGGGATGAAACCGGCGCCGACGAAAGTCTTGCCAGTGAATGGGAGGGACACGTTGAATTGGACCTCGAGGTTGAGCAGGTCGAGACCTGCGGCATTCTTCTTGGCAAATGAGACGTTGACGGAACCAATGGTGAAGTCCTCAGCGTTCTGGAGGCTGACAATGTAGGTGACGTTGAATCCTGCGCTTGCGCTTCCCTCAATCTTCAAATAACCGCTGCCGGCAATGTTGTTTGGAACGCCTGGGACGTTGGTAACGTTGGCCAAGTTGTTGTAGTCGAATGGTCCAGTAAAGACGTTGACGTCTGTGTGTGTTTGATTGGTGTGATTGATTGAGTGTATGTGTGAGTGTGTGAGTTAGTCGACTAATTGAGTGATTGTGATTGATCGATCGATCAGATTACATACCTGCGAATGAGACGGAGGCCAAGGCCAAGACGATAGCAATGATGGCAAAGTACTTCATTTTTTAAATATGTGTATGTGTATGTTTTATGTGTATATATTATATGTTTACAATGTGTTAAATAATAATGAATTGGAGGTTGATTGAGAATGAATGAATATCGGATGTAGGGCTGTCTGTGGGGCAATATGTCTCATTGTTTGGTGCTCATCATCCCCTTTCTGCGGGCCACCTATCCCCCATCGCCATCACGCGTCTTGTGTAAACTGTTAGGTGTAGGTTGATACAAACTTAGATCCAAATTATTGTTGTTTGGACAAATATTTGAAACGACAATCAGATGTTGACCTCCATCCACACACGATCGATATTAATAAAAACATTAAGACACCAACAAAATAAATTAAATCAAAATATCTTTGCCCATTCGGATTGGTGGGACGGGGCTCAGTAGATCTTCCAAAAAAGGTCGGGCCTCAAGCTTATGTTGGGGTGGGCCTTTGGACCATTGATCTAAAGGCAGACATTCACACATCACGGGGCAGGCTAATGGGGGTCGTGACTATGTTGTTATTACTCAAAGAGATAATAATGTGTAATTACTTTCACCAAAGTTAAGAATAAATAACAAAGTATACTTTGTTGATGTTGATGTTTATAAGTTTGAATATATATTACATGAATGTTGCTCGGTCGCAACAATGATTGTGATTGTGCGTGCAATCAATCAAATCAAGTAATTATACTTGATCAGAAAGGTCATTTGCTGAACTGTTGCTGCCAAGGTTGTCGGTGGATGAGTTGCCATGTGAGACAATGGATATTTGGGACATCTCCAGTGACATCTCTTCAGTGTCCAGACGAATGCCAGACTCGAATCCACTCTGACCTTGACTCAGACCTTGACTCTGATGACTGTGATCCAGTGATCCACCCGATGTCTGACATGTCTTTTGAGACATGTACTTGGGCGTGGCGCCTTGCAACGACGAGTTGTTGTTGTACTTGTTCTTCTCCAACGTGCGATAGGTCTCTTGGAACAGTCCCAGCAGGGTCAATGGGAACAACAGCTTAGCGCCAAAGTATCGCCACATCATTGGATTGTTGTAGATGAAGACCAGTGATGCGTAGAAGCCGTGTGACACTGAGAGGTATGTGTGAAGTAGGTTGGTAGCGTACGGATACAGATTGAATGCGTTGAGTATGCGGTTGACCACGGCAAACACCCAGCAGATGAGGAATACGATGATGTAGTTGATCAACTTGAATTGATAGGCGCCATGCTTGCTCTCGACTGTCTTGGAGATGCCGCTCGTCAGAACTTTGTAGGTGTAGTGGCTGGTCAGTCCGACCATGATGGCCGCCGCCGCAAAGATTACAAAGAATGGAATGTAGAAGAGACCGAAGCGGTAGCCAGGGTACTTGGCACCAATCCAACACCAACTACCAACGTTGGACACCAAGTTTGGTGTAGATACCATTATTATACAAGATATCAGAGGTAGACCCCATGATACAATCATATAATACTTCTCGAACCTATCAGGTACAACATGTATCTGTACAATAACAATATATATACTAATAGCTACAAGTTCATCGTAATCATCAAGATTGTTTAAGTGTGTGAGGGCAAGGGTTGAGGAGGGCAAGGGTTGGGGTGAGGGCGAGGGTTGAGGGTTTGAGTTGGGTCGAGGGCCAAGGGCAAGGGCAAGGGTTGAGGGTAAGGGTAGGAGTTAGTAATGATTGAGGTAGGATAATGGATAATGATTGGAACACATACCTAGACATAATGTCCACATCCAACAACTGAAACTACCAAATGTAATATCAACAGCATATAGATAACATGCGAATTTACTATTTAGGTAGGCTTTGGATAATGTTAGAGTTACAGCAACAATGTCTTTAATTGCAGATGTAACACAAAAGTATGCTATTACTCTTGTAATATGATTGCGCATCAATCTTAATCTCCAGAATCCAACTAATACTGTTATGCAGCCAATAATACTTGTAAAGTCGGCTGTGAGTAGAAGACCATAAATGGCATCACTCTGTATCTTTGTCATTGGCGCACTTATCCTCTAATATATCTTACTACTAGTTACTACTAAGAATAATACTAATTAATAAACAATATTGGTATAAGATTATAAATAAATAAGGTCACTCGATCAATCAATCAATCAAACATTGATCCAGGTTATTGTTGGGTCGTCCAAAGTATATGCTCGTAACGGATAAGTTTGTCCAAGGTAACTGACTGCCTGACTGTTTGAATGTTAACAACTTGTGATTGATAATGTTGAGTTATTGTCTCTCCGATACCAAGCGTCATTCGAATATTAATTGTTTGAATAAAGGTACCCTGGTGAATGATGGATGGGTGGTGATCGACATGTGGCAATAACTTATGTCACCAAGTTGTATCAAGTTGGAACATGTTGATCGAATGTGGTCTAGAATGATGGGACCCTAACACTTTGGACAAGTCTCCTTCGATCACCATCCATCTGACGAGCTCTGGAACCAGATGTATTATGTTGTCAGTAGTTAAGGCCTATGACAGGTCGTAAAGTAACTCATTGTTTTAGATGAGTGAGTTGGTGGAGGTGAAGGGTTGGTCCTAAAGTCGTGATGAGTGTGCAAAGATGTCTCCAACATCCAATCCACTAAACTCTCTCTGTCTCAATCAAATGCTTACCATGAAGAACCAACAACAACAACAACAACAATCATTCATTAATGAATGAAGAGCAATGGGGCGCGCGGTGATCCATCAGTTTGTGGAGATTCTTCGTTGAAGCAGGTGATTGGCCACCCCCTGTAACCCGGAGAACACACGAGCATTTATAATAAAGTGATTGATATCTTGCGTACCCTGCGACGGACGACAGCGAGTACTTTTCTAGATTAATAAGTTTGCAAGGAGCCAAGCTCAGAAGATACTTTTGAAAAACCGTTCGTTCGTTCATCTCCCCTGATTGTCGCTCCAAACATCACCATCATCATCATTGTCTGATCAGAATCTCCTGGCCATCTCATTTATCCATATGCGTAAGTAAGTAAGGACGAGGTACCGGCTATAGCCATGGGCAAGTCCTTTGAATGGTCGGGTGTGAGTGTGTATGCGTGGTATAGATTGATTTCGAATGTGTCTGTGTGAGTGCGTTTGTTTGATTGATTGGTTGTGTGTGGTGTGGTATTGATGAGTGTGTGAGTTGGCACCGCCTGATCGATTGAATGGATGATGGTTAGGTGTGTGGCGAGATAGAGTGGGTGCGATGAGGGCTTTGGCCCGATACCCTACTTCCCTTCATGGTTAAACAACCTTCTTCTGACTGCCTGACTGGCGCAGCCTGATTGCTTGTTTGGTGTCAATCTATGCTTCGCATCCTGAAAGCATGTACAAGTTTGAATGAAGGCAATGACTATGTAAGGGAGTTGAGGTCATGGTCCAACAATTCATTCTAATCCATCATCCTTGTATCATTATTACTACGTACAATTACTTCTTATAACAGCGTGCTACAACAATGTTGTCAACTAAATCATTGATGTAAGTGCAGCCGCTGGACGATGTTGTTGGCGATTTTCCGTAAAGTCACGTGATCGAAAACTTGTCACGTGATCAACCACTATCTGATCAGCTGATCGGTTACCATACAACTTCAAACCCATACTCATACCAACACATATTAGTGTCCTATTTATTATCGCTACTTCAATAGCAGTGTCCATCTCAGCCGACTCAATCTACGACTTTGAGTTTGACTATGATGAGTATGATGGAGCCGACTCCTACTTAACTCATCGCGCCTGCCGCGGCAAGTCATTCATCACATTGCCATTGGGCACCAATGGTGGTCTGGACGAGAGCAACCTGTCGTCTTTCTTGCTGGCCCGTCGCGGCTCCAACGTCTTCATGGCAATGGACGCCGGCACGATCTGGAACGGCATCAAGCAGTACATCAGCTCGCGCAACAACGTCTTTGACATCCAGTACCCCGAGTACGCCGACTCCAAGGACCAGAAGATCGCCTGGTTCATCCGCAATCACATCGTCGGCTACCTGCTTGGCCACTCCCATCTCGACCATCTCGAGGGTTTGATCGAGGTGTCGCCAGAGGACTACTTGGCAAAGGCCACACTCGACTACCAGCCCGCCATCACCGACGGCATCCTCAGGATGGTGCGCGCCCAGTTCCCCAACGTCACCGCCGCACCCGTCATGCTCAAGAAGAAGGTGCTTGTCGGCCTGCCCCAGACAGTCAACGCCGTAAAGAACAACCTGTTCAACAACATCCTCTGGCCCAACCTGCCAATGTTTGGACGCTATGACTACGTCACAATGACCAGCAATGTCTCGGCCAAGCTCAGCGACGTCGCCCTGCTCAACACTGCCACGGCCAACATTGCCGGCACCATCTTTGAGAACATGACCCTGACCCCCTACGAGGTGTGCCACAACGACATCATCTCGACCGCCTACCTGTTCACCGACGACGTCACTGGCGAGCAGATCGTCTTCTTCTCAGACACTGGCGTGCCCTCTGGCAACTACCCATGCAACTGGCAGGAGCGCATCTGGGCCGTGTGGAGAAACATCAACATCTCCAAGCTCAGAGCCATCTATTTGGAGAGCTCGTTCGTCAACAGCATGCCAGACTCTGGCATGTTTGGTCATTTGCGTCCAAAGGACATCATGGCCTTGATGACCGATCTCTACAACATGTCCATCCACACCGCACCCGTGCCATCAGATTTGAGCCATGTCAAGTTGATCATCCAGCACATCAAGCCACTGGTCAATGCCAACCCATCCGGCTTGCCAATCCGCGAGCAAATCTACGACGAGTTGCAGCAAGACAACAACATGCATGTCAAGGTCGTCATCCCCAAGCAAGGTGTTCCAATCTGTTTCTAATAGAATACATGTAACATTATCCAGTCAGTCCCCATCCATTAATAAACAAAGTGCTCGCTCCCTTGAGGCAGTTAGTTTGTTGGCCTATCCATCCACCTATGGACCTCAACTTGATGTTGTTTGATTGAGTGTACATATTTGTGTCTGTGTGGTGAGTCTCCTTTCTTATCCATTTCATTGACCTGGAATGTATATTTGGACTTGAAGGGACTCTTCCAAGTTGGGATACATACCTTATTAGGTAATATACTTATTTGGAATTATTAGGAATAATCAAACAAATTTAACTATGTCAATATTATCATTATTCAATCAATCAAATATCCATCTTTTAACCCTCAACAAATAATTCATCAATCAATTAAGAATGTTTACAATGTTCCATAGACATACAGAGGAGGAGATTAATGATCTCAATCATACAATTCAATCGTTGCAGGACCAGGTGAAGCACTTGACCTCAACAATCTCTGTTAGAGATAATACAATCCAAATGAGAGATGCTACAATTGACATAAGAGACAAGACCATTCACGATAGGGACATAACAATAATGTCACTTGCTAATCCTAACCAACTACATCAGCATTCTAATGCCAATAATGACAAAGCCCAACATCAGTTGATCAATGATGATGATTCCAAAGTTGGACAACACCATCAATCACCCATTTGAACTTCAAAATGGCGCCAAATTTCAAATTCAAATGTTCTAACAATCTCATGATGGGTGATGGTCTAGTGTTGTGTGATTGATCAATTAATAAACACCAATCAATCAATCAATCAAACATATATACTATTATTACTTATTACTAATAAATTTGGAACATTCATAATCAATTACAACAACAATGTCAAGCGAAAACCTACCTCCAGATGTGATCAAAAGGATTCTAAAAGAGTTGAAGGACATCTCCAGCAACCCAATGGAAGGCGTCACCATGATGCCATGTGACCAGGACATCTCAAACATTGAGGCTTACATAACCGGTCCAAGTATGATCAATCCATTACCTACTCATTCACTCATTCAATCAATCATCCTAACACGATCATTTACTAATTCAATCAATTGATCAATCACTCAAACAGGTGGAACACCATATGAAGGTGGATACTTCAAGGCAAGATTGACTTTGTGCTCAGACTTCCCTCGTGTACCACCAAAGGCCAACTTCCTCACAAAGATCTTCCATCCAAACGTGTCCAAGAAGGGTGAGATTTGTGTCAATACTCTCAAGAGGGATTGGACCGATGACCTTGGTATCAAACACATTCTGCTGGTATGTTGACCCAATCATCACATGATCATGTTGACTGGTATGATCCCATCCTAACCCACCAACCCTCTCACTCACCCTCGACCAGACCATCAAATGTCTGCTGATTGTACCAAATGCCGAGTCTTCGTTGAATGAGGATGCATCGAGATTGATGCTTGACAACTACGATGATTACTTCAAGCATGCCAAGATGTTCACTTCGATACACGCACCAAAGCCAGCTTCAATTGTCGAACCATCTAGCACAGCTACCCCTGCCACCGGCTCAACCGATGAGTCGTCCACCACACCAGCAGCAGCCAGCACCACCAGTAACATTACAACATCATCGCCAGTCAAGAAGAAGCCAGTCGACACCAGACCCGAGGCGAAAGGACAGGTGAAGAAGAGTTTAAAGAGACTTTAGATTAGTTCTCCACTCCTTCCTTCATCCTCCTCACTTTCTCGTCTTTCCATTCCATTGTGATCGATCCAATAAACAGTATTTGTGTATTGTTTGTTTCCATAAGTTGTTGATTGATTGATTGATTTGATCGGTTGATTGATTGAGCTAGTGTGGCAGTATGACATCTTACTTGGACGGTGATACCTCCACTGTTGACGCTGGAGCCGCCAGTCCAAGCTTCCTCATGATCTTCATTCTAAAGTTCTTCTTCCTCTGTATGATGCGCGCATGGATCAACAAGTTAGTAAGTGTTGTTCTATCTGGACCATTCATGGCCTCGGCTTCAGCCTCATCACACATACCAGTCCTTCCTTTGCTGCCTTGGACAACTTGGGCACAGGGATAGTTGATGTGGTCGATTTCTTCTTTGACGAATCAGATGATGATGACGATGACTTGGATGAAGAAGATGATGACTTGGATGATGATGAAGATGACTTGGATGAAGATGATGAAGACTTGGACGATGATGACGATGACTTGGAGGAGGATGATGATGAAGTTGATGTTGTTGAGGTTGTAGTCGGTGCTGATGTTGATGATGATGATGAGTTTGATACAGAGGAGTTTGAAGCATTCAATGCTCTGTTCTTTGATGATTTGCTCATCGCAGCTTGGACAGCAGCCATCTCTTCGCGTTGTAGTCTCTCCTTTTCCTCACGCTCCTTGTTGGCGGCCATCATAGCCTTGCTTCTTGCGGTCACGGGTCTGGCAGGGAGCCTCTCGTCCTCATCACTGTACATACCCTTGCCTGATCCAGCCAATGGTTTAGCACCACCGGTGCTACTATTCAATGGTCTGGGCGGTCTGGCCGCTTGCTTCTTCTTGAAATTGGGTAGTGTAATGATCGTTGTCTTCAAGTCCTCCTTTGGTGATTGTGGTGTAAGTGGTGCAGTTGTAGTTGATGTTGAGGTTGTTGATGAAGTTGATGTAGTCATCGGTACATCTGATGTCGTTGATGCTGTAGTAGATGACGTTGTTGCTGGTGATGGTGGTGCAGTTGTGGTTGAAGTTGATGAAGTAGATGGTGATGTAGGGATTGTCTTTGATGTTGTCAGGTTCGGTGACAATGTATGATCTTTATCATTCGTATCTTTGCTGTTGTTGCTGTTACTGTTACTGTTACTGTTGCTATTGTTGACATTGACACCATCGGTGGGGGCCACACTAGTAGTCAGTGGCTTATCTTCAGCAGTCTCCATGCTATCTTTTGTTTGGCTGTTGTTATCCATGATTGTGAATGATTGAATGATTGAATGATTGAATGATTCAGGTGAAGATGTGAATATGAGTAGTGAGCGAATGAGTCCAGAGAGATCGATGATGTCAGGTGAGTTCACACTTGCAGTCAGTCTGGGCTGGGGGAAAAGAAGGTCTTCTTCCCCCTTGCTCAAGGGTCATTAATGTGAAGAATTGCGGTCCATCCACAGTCATTGCAATAAAGTCTTCACTTCTTCTCAAGATATTATTGATCGTTCAGTCGACAATCTCAATCAAACAACCAATCTTAATCACTAAACATAACAATCTTGAACAGACAATCAATCAGTCAATCAAATATAATAAGATGAATAGAAATGAAGCAGCAGTACTGGTTGATGGTAATCAGGAGGATGAGAATGATGATGGTCTAGCAAGACTAAATCAAGTTGATGAATATATAGAAGAAGAGGAGGACGATGATGATATAATGCACAACAACCGTAGTCCTCCATTATTGAATGATGGTAGTGGAAGTAGTGGAGGCATTGATAGTGGACGACATCATGATGACGAATTAAACAAAGCAAAGAATGTACGAAGACACATTATCGGTGCAGTATGTGTACTCATCGTTGTATTCCTTTGGGTATTCTCAAGTATAATGACCCAGGTATGTCATCACTTAATCAATCAATCAATCAATCACAGTCACTCACTAACTCAATCAATCAATCAAACAGATCATATTCACTACAGAGTCATTCGATAAACCATTCTTCTTGACATACTTCTCAACATCAATATTCTCATTCTATCTGTTTGGATTCGTATTTAGATGGAAACAATGGTCTTCCATACCAATCCAGAATGATCAAACTCGTCCATCATTCAGCAAGTTGGACCAATTATCATATAATGGCGAGGCTGTGGAAATTGACAACAACAACTCTTCGCCAAACGTACCATTATCACCTTCATCTATCAATGGTGAGCGTCGCCCACTGCAGATGCAACCTCATTCAATCAAATCAATCATCAAGTTCAGTGCCATCCTCTGTCCAATCTGGTTCGCTGCCAACTATACATACAACATCAGTCTGGACATCACAAGTATCTCGTCCAACACCATCCTCAGTTCACTCTCTGGTGTCTTCTCATTATTCATCAGTGTGGCAATGAAGGTTGACAAGTTCACAATCGAGAAGTTGTTCGCCACCATTATATCGTACGTCTCAACATCCATTCATGGCGCCAAGTACTTACTAACATGACATGACATGAAAACAGACTTACTGGAATCATTATGGTCAGTTATTCAGACATCAGCGGAAATAATGGAAATGATACTGTAATTGGAGACTTGTTGGCTGTTGTTGGCGCTTTCCTTTATGGCCTATATTGTACAATGATAAAGAAATTGGTCATATCCGAGAACCTGTTACCAATGCCAATGTTATTTGGTAAGTATCCATCACATGGACAACACCCAAACCATCACTCTAACTCACTGAATCATTCAACAACTTCCAGGATTCATTGGATTGATTAACTTCTTGGTGTTGTGGCCTGGATTCTTTATACTTAACTCCATTGGGTTCGAGGTGTTTGCCTGGCCCTCGGGTAGAGTATTCCTATTCCTCCTGTTCAATGGCATATTTGGAAGTTTCTTGTCGGATCTGATCGAGTCCTACTCAGTGGTATTGACAAGCCCTGTCATCAACACAATTGGTCTATCATTATCAATTCCACTGGCAATGATCAGTGACTTTGTTCGCAAACACAAGATGTTTGGTTGGATGTACCTGTTTGGCTCAGCACTGGTCATACTTGGATTCCTGTTGGCCAACCTCGCCAGCTCGCTCTTTGAGTCTCGTCTGCGATCGATCGAACAAAAGGTGTTGTCCAAACTCAAGGGAATAGTAAAGAGTGATTGATTGATTCAATCAATATGCTTGTATACAAAAGGGTTAGGCAACCATGTGACTGTTTATTGGTTACGTTGGATTGATGAATGGATTGGTATATTGATGGATGGGTTGGATGCATGGTTGTAGTGTTTGGATGTTGCTCCTCCATTGTTTAATTACATGGATGGACTGGGAGCAAGATGATGCCGATGTTATTGATGATGGGAGTGGAGTGTATTATATACTTGGTACAGTTGTACTACTGCAGGCTCTGCAGGAGATGATACAGCTGGTTGGTTGTTGGGTTTGATATCGGTTCGAATTGAATGGATGATGGCGGGTTGATGTGTGTGGTAGGTAGCTATGTAGATGTAATATGGTTTAGTCAGTGACCAATCAAACCAATCGATTGATCATTCGATCAATCAGTTGTTGGCTTGTCACTGATGTTCTCAGAGGCGGCGACAACACTGTTGAAGTTGTCCCAGGCCCATACTCGGATGGTCTGGTCGTGTGAGCTGCTGAGCAGATATCGCTTCTCCTCCCAGAGCGCCAGACACTGCACGATGGCGTTGTGGCCTTCCAGAGTGGACAGACATCTCTGTGAGTCCAAATCCCAGATCTTGATCGTGTTGTCATCGCTGGCACTGAACAGGTATTTGTCCGAGACGACCATGTGCTGCACCCAGTGGTCGTGGCCGCGCAGCGTGCACACGCACTCGAGCGACTTGAGCGACCACACTCGGATCGTCTTGTCGTAGGAGCCCGAGTACAGGTTGGTGCCGACGATGCATATGCACGACACCCACTTGGTGTGGCCCTTGAGCGTGTAGTTGCAGCGCATCGTTTTCAGGTCCCACACTTTGATCGTCTTGTCGTTGCTGCCACTGAACAGATATTGGCCGCTGACGCACAGCGACTTGACCGTGCGCTGATGGCCTTCCAGTGTTGACTTGCACTCCAACGTCTTCAGGTCCCAGATCTTGATCGACTTGTCCGCTGATCCACTGAATAAATACTTGTCATTGACAATGACAGTGTGTACAGGCTTATCGTGACCTTCCAAAGTAAAAATACATCTTAGTTTCTGTTGTCGTATGATCGTAGGACGATCAGTTGGTTAGTCAATGGTGTCCTTTGATGCCATGGGTCATCCTAATCAAACATACCTTTATATCCCAGACTTTAATCGAGTGATCAGATGATCCAGTGAAGAGATATTGGTCATTGTAACAAACTGATTCGACTGCACCATCATGTCCTTTCAGTGTTTGTGTCAACTCCAATGTCTTATTCTTCAACTCGTATACCTATTGGTAGTCGATGTGTCAATGAGTGTAGTACATTGATCAATCAATCAATTAATCGATTAAACATACTCTTATCGTATTATCTGAACAACCAGCAAATACTTGATTGTCATATATGCATAGGGCACTGGTGTTGTGATATCCTTTGATCGTGTCCAATAGCTTAATGCCGCTGATGTCCCACTATGAGTGATGCGTACGCGCGCAATATGTTAGTATGATTGTATGTAACAGCCCATCCAGGTACTTACATTTGATTGCTCCTTCTTCCTCTCTAACCTCTCCTTTTCGATCTCTATTGATTTGGACTTTGATTTCTCGCGAGTGTCGTCACGTGTCGGTTTGGCGATCTGGGCCGTTGCGCTTGAGCCATTGTTGTTGATGTTGTTGTTGGTGCTGGTGCCGCTGGACTCGGTCGATGTGTCCGGCAGGAAGAGGTCGGGACGGGGCACGGTGCCGCAGTCCGACTTCTCTGACTTGGGGTTGATCATCTGCAGGTTGAGATACTGGCAGATGGCGTTGCACTTGTGCGTGTCCATGAACTTCTCAAAGCCCTTCTGGCCCAGGTTGCCCTGGCCGTAGCCCACGCCGTCGTACGTGTGGATCTGCGGGTCGGTGTAGTGGTCGCCCACGCCCTGGATGTCGATGATGAGCAGCTGGTGGTTCGAGTGCTCGTAGGTAAAGTGCGAGAAAGACTGCGGCGTGTTGCGCTCGTCGTTGCTGACGAACCCGCTGTTGTTGTTGTACTTGCGATATTGACCCTCGACGTATGGCTCCATTCCACATATGATGTCGGTCGACGTCCTGTCGACAAACTCTAGCACGCACGACTGCAGGAAGTCGATCTTCTTGGGCGGCTTGAACTCGTTGTACTTGTCGGCCCACTTCTTGGCGATCATCTGCATCTTGACGTCCTCAAAGTAGTTGGCCCTGTTGGTGGGCTTCTTGCCAATCTTTGCGACGTACCTGCCCGACGCCTCGGGCCGGCTGAGGTCCTGCAGATGGTAGGCCTTTCTAAAGGCGCCCTCAGCGAATGGCACCTGCTCCATGCGCACCAATATAGCCGTGCAAGTCCATTGTGCTGTGGCTGTATAAGGGTTGTACTCCCACTTGACCACTCTCTCTGAGTTTTCCAACACGCCCATATGAAGAGTTGGTATCGATGCATTGTCCGCAACCTTTACCTTGCCTAATAAGTTCGATTGATTGATTGATTAGTCACTCACTCATACATTGATGATCACGTGACGATGCCGATGATGATGATGATCTTACTCTTCTTGACAATGACATGTAATGTATCGCCCACCTTATATTGGATGTCTGATAGGGTGTTCCTGGCCTTGTACTTTTCAAACTTGTCGCCAATCATTCGGCCAATCTGTATGTCGGTCTGTGATGTGCCATAGGGGAAGTGGAATATCTTGCCCTCGTGTATAATCTTTCGAATGGCCGACACTGTCGTCTCGAGATTCAAGTCGGCAAGCTCCACCTCCTCATCCTCGTATGAGAACCATACTTTGAATCCCATAATCAATCTATCAATCTATCTATCACTCTATTCTACACACACGATCGATGTTATAACTACAACTTGTTGCGTTGCTTGATTCTTCAAAAGTATCTAATTTTCTAATTGTCTTGTCTTGTCTGTTGTCTGTCTATGTCTTGTTGACTGTCTGTCTGCTTGTTTGATGTTAGATTGTTTACTTTGATGTTGGACGTATGGACAGGCGGGTGTGTACACACGGCCGTTGAATGTGATCACTCACGTTTGCCGTTTGCGTTAATATTTGCCCGTTTGTTTCAATGAATCGTTGGGTTGTTGTTCCTTGATGTTAATGTAGTTGATCGCAATGGGCTATGTTGTTGTTGGTCCTGATGTCTTGTAATTGTCGTAGTTGTATTTGAACTAGTAGAGACTGTATTATCAATAAGTGTCACAAATCAAGCTCCTCCTCAGTCAGTCAGATGTAGTTATAATTAGATGTGAAGTAGTTGAAGGAAGGTAAATGTTGTTATAAAGTAGAGTCTGTTGTTGTTATTGTTGTTTGTGTTTGTTTGCTTGCTGTTGTCCTAGCACGTGATGTTTGTTTGTTTGTTGTTAATATTATGCAGGGAGAGAGAGGGTAGTGTAGTGTGGAGAGGAGGATGAAGGGATAAAGTTAGATGGATGGATGGGGAGGATCGATTGGCCTGAATGAGTGAGTGAGAGAGGGAAACACACACACACACACACATACACACCACCTTGTTTGAATTCATTCATTCACTTGAATGAGTGTGTGTCTATTAATTTGTTTTTTTTTAATTAATGGTGTCTTGAAGGTGGGTGGTTTATCGATGAACTTCAAATTTTTTTCGAATCTTTCGATCGATCGGTGAGGTCGTTGATTGTTTGAAAAACCAACAATCGACGTTGATGAGCTGTCATGTCATTATCTGATTCCTATGAAGAATATCTCAACCTACAAGTACGAGTATGTAGGTTCCCAACACTCACCGACTGTCTTCCAATGAATGACTCAACAATCAATGACTCAACAACCAGCTTGGATCATCATTTATTCGATCAGCAAGGAGCACTATCACTATCATGTTGGATTCTTGTTGCTGTTGCTGTTGTTGCCCTTTCTCTTCTTGTTGTTGTCGCTCGTGTCTGTGTTGGGGGGAGTGCTGTTGGACGATATGTTTGGAACAGCTGTCATTGTTGTTGTTGATGTTGTAGTTGTTGGAATTGTTGGAGTTGATGATGTTGTTGAGGTGATTGTACCAGTGGGTAATGTTGGCGATGATACTGGAACACCAACACCACTGGAGTGCACCATTCCTGTTGTAGTCGCTATGATCATGTCCTCCATGAACTCATTCAAATCGATACCTTCCTCTCGCATCGTGGTCAACTCCTTCTCAAACATCTTCTCTTCGAAAAAGTGTGGACCTTCCAATCTAATGCCCTCCATTAAATCGTCGTCACGTGACTCTGACAGACAACTGGTGGTGGAGCCAATCGATGATCCTCTCCTGCTGAGCTTGGCCGACGAGCTAACGCTCTCCTCGACCTCGCCAGACACATTGGGTCGCGTCTGATCATCCTCATATCGCTTGAGGCTCTCTAGCTGCTGGATCAAGTAGTCCTGAGGGCGCTCGACATCGCTCGTATGGCTGTACTCCGAGTCTGACCTCTCCAGCCTATCGTTGGTCGACTTGCCCAGTCGTGCGGCTCGCTTGAGTCGCCGCAGTAGCCGCTTGCTGGTCTTGGCCGTTCGATGGTCGCTGTTGTCCAGGCGTTTCAGACGTTGTTTGAGCCGCTTCTCTTGGTGGAAGTTGGTGGAGAAGTTGACGGCCTCGATGATAAAGGCCACGACCAGGTTTAGCACGCAGATCACTGTGAGGAAGTAGAACGAGCAGAAGTAGAGGATGGACCAGGGGCTGGTCGCCGTCACCGCCGCATAGAATAGTATGAGCCAGTTGTTGACAACCATCAGGTAGAACATTGTGATCATCGCTGAGCCCATATCATCAAAGTTGGCAAAGTCATAATAGTTTGATTGATCGTATAATGTACCATTGAGTACTGGATTGCCACGATAGAATACTCCACTGTATGCCCATATTCCAATTACGGAATACAAGTAATACATCATAAAGATGATCACAATGAAGTTGGTAAATATGAATACAATATTTGCCAGTGATCTCAAGAAGCTTCGCATGCTGTTACAGTTGATTGTTTGATTGATTGTTTGAGTTAGTGAGTGAGTTGAGTGATTGGGCCTACTGCCACACTTGGTGCACATACCTCTTGACGGCGGATAGAAGTCTAAACATTCTGATGAAGCGGAATATACATGCCAGACGAAGCATTGTTATTGGGTCGCCATGGTCTTTGAGTGCTCCTTCAATCACAATCTTGCCAATCAATGATATAGTAATGATTGAAAGGTTGAATCTAAGATGATGGCGAGTCAGTATGATTGAATGCATGAATGAACCGGCCGGCCTGGGTGTTACTACATACATGATCCAAAAGTTATTGATTGAATGATGAGCAGATATCTTGAGGAATATCTCAATGATTGAGAAGACGAGTAGGATGCTATCGAGTATCTCTGTCCATTGTGGATGGTAGAGGTCCCTCGCCCCTACCATTACATAGGTGATGACTGCCGCATTGACATAGAGCAGCAGACAAACACATAGTTCGAATAGCCAATGCTTGGTGAATGGTTTGATCCTGCCACTTTGTACATAGTTCTTGGCACTGATCAATCTGTTTTGTACACGTTTGAACATGGATGTTGTGTCGTGCTCGTGCTCCACAGTCTGTTGCTCCATGTTCGCATCTATTGTCACTGGACTGGGTGTTTGTTGTTGGTCCCCAACAATGTCCAGCTCGACCCCTCCATCGCCTCCATGTTGTCCATGTCCAATGTCGTCGCCATCACCATCTGGTATGCTGGGAAGTGAAAGATGGGCCTGTGATTTGGCATATTTGTCGCCAGAGTGTCGACCAATGGAGCTTGGAGGTGTGTCGTTTGGAGTAGCAGTTGGCGTAACAGGCTCTTCCTTGTCCGCAACATCCTGATCAGGCTGATGCTGCTGTTGTTGTTGCTGTTGCTGTTGCTGTGGTCGTCGTTGTTTGTGTTGTTGTTGTCGTTTGGAAGGTGATTGGCTCTTGGCCTTGCCATGTTCATAGAAGTAAGGTGGTATCTCGGGATACTCAAAGTCCAAGTGATGCACGCAGGCAGAGTTGTTGAACAACGAACGGTTGGAGAGGAGCTCACGGATGTTGTGTCCACCGCCCACCCCGTCATCGGTCCTGAGCTCATTGAATATCTTCTGCTTCTTCTCCATCAATTTCTTCTTTGCCAATGATTTGACACGACTGCGCTCGAGGAAGAACACATCGCACATGGCAAAGAACTCGCGGATGTTGAGGTAGCCGTTGGCGTCGGTGTCGATCAGGTCAAAGGTGGCTGAGGCCTCGTCCGCCGTCGCCTGTGGCTCGAGTAGTTTGTAAATGTGCTCCCATTGATCCAGTCCAATGACGCCAGTCTTATCGTAGTCAAGGATGATGAATGCCGCGAGCAGGGCAGTGCGACGTCGTCGGAAGTTGTTCTTTGTCTCCATCAGCACCGCCTTGCGGAATGATCTGTACACAAAGGCGATCATAAAGTTAATGCCAAGGAATAGTCCCAGTGAGAGATACACAATGAAGAAAACGCTGTACCACTTGTTCTTGAAGTATGCGGGGAACATTACATCGGGGAAGTTGGCCGTCGTCACCATGACCATGTTGTTCAAGAATGATTGAAGGATGGTGTCTGAGAGAGAGGAGTGTGTTAGGGCAAGGGTTGGGGTCGATGGCTTCGCGTGCGCGGGTGTACTCACCATAATAGTCGGATTGATCTGTGGCGCCATTGGAGAATAGGATTGAGAATAGGACTGATGAGAGGAAGATGTAGGTGAAGAAGACAAGGCTGATTGGTGCCATGCGATAGAATGTGTATATGAGCTGAAGGGCCAGGTCGCGCGTGAATCGATCATAGTCAAAGATGTAAAAGACGCGAAAGAGTCGAGAGATGCGTATGCTGTCCGTGCCATATGACTCTAGGATCTCGGCCACGAGTATGTCAATGACGTTGGCCACCAACAGCGCACCCTTGACCCAGTTCCAGTGGTTTCGACGCGCTTGTGCACCATAGACATAGAAGCGCAGTGCCAGCTCCCCGCCCAGTATGGCCAGGAAGATGAGCTCGACGCCAAGCACAACGCGTGGGTAGTAATTGTGCAGTGTTGGCTTCTCAAAGTATGTGAGCGCCAGCAGTCCGAGACAGGGCAGCAAGAATAGTATGCGCACCAAGGTGTGGAAGTAGAGCTTGTAGAGTGTGAGCTGCGGGCGCGTCAACAGATGGTTTGGATCACGATAGTTGATGGCGTCCAGGATGAGGATGTTGGCAATGTAGTATCGACGTGCGTGCTCTTCATGTGTGATCTCATTCTGTTTGATTGCCTCGCCCTGTGACGACGCCTCAATGACGTAGTCGGAGGCTTGATTCGCCTGCTCGTTGGCCTTTGTATGAATGAAGTCCTCGTCTGCAAACTGAGGGATAAGCGGTCGGGACAGCCGCTGATTCGGTATCACCGAGATCTCGTCACGAAACTGAACGATCTTGAGTTTGGGCTTGTTGACGGACGGATTGAAAGCGGCAGGCGGCAGTGGAGGTGGCACGGGCGATGCGAATGGTGGAGTCACGTGATCAATATGAATGTTAACTTGTTGTTGTTGTTGTGTCTGTTGTTGCTTTGACTTTGATGGTGCGCCGATTGCCACTCCACTAGTGTCACTGAGTGTTCGTTTGAGATACTTTCGCTTGGGAGTGGCTTCGCTTGGGGACCATGTTGTCGTCGATGAACTAAGCCCTGGGAATGAGGGCAGAGCAGACTTTATCTTTGTGAGTTTTGAGCTTGGTGATGATGAAGGTGCCACCGATGTCCTAGGTATATTTCCATCCCAACTCTCTGGTAACTCTTCAACATATAAGTAACTATTGTTGTTATTGTTATTATTGTTGTTATTGTTGTTATTGTTGTTGTCTAGGTTTGATGATGATGAAGATGGTAGGGTAGTTGAAGACCTCTTATTTAGACTTGAACTTGTTGTTGGAGGTGAGGCCATGTTGAATTGGGAAGTCCCAATAGCAGTCACAATCAATTATAATATCGAATGTTGTTATAACGTTATATGTTGTCGATCCCATAGACGATACAATAGTATTGATAGTTATATATTATCTGTATCTTTACTATCTATTACTACACTCGCGAGTATCATGCACTTTAGTTCATCCACCTTCAATGGGCTATGTTCATTCAAGTCAAAGTCGAGACGTCGTTTCAAAAAGGATTGACTTGAACTTTGTAGAAGTTGTTTGTTTGTGTGTTATGAATGAGAGTGTGGGTGAAACAGACGTTTGAGTGGTTTGTCTCGGACTCAACGCATGATTCACACACTCCATCTCATTCATAATTATGTCTTGGCAATCAATCAAATCAAATCAATCACTTTACAATTACACATATATACATGTTATACATATATATTAATTAGTTACTACACAATATATTAAGTTATATATAATAATACATATATATATATATTAATTAGCAAAGATAGATAAGATAAGATTGATTGAGTTGTGTCACGATCTTGATAGACAACAACAACAACTACAATTAATATTGTGTGATTCAATAATCAACAATGACAACATTGGCATTGAAGAATATGATATTGATGGTTGGTGCAACAGGTGTATTACTGTTTGCATTGTTAATGAGCTATGAGTTCATTGAGCTACTCACCAATATCTTCTACTCTGGTGTCTTGTTGATAATGGTCGGATTCTTTTATCAGAACAGAGACAATGCCAAAGTTGTACTATCATTCTTATTCGATATAAAGTTGGATGATGGTGATCAATCAACTTCATCAACATCATCAACAACATCAAAATCACAATCAATCTTATCATCATCATCAACATCAACAACATCAATAACCAATGGTGATGTATCATCATCTACAACCTTGACATCACCTACATTGGACAAGGTCGGAGTTGGAGCAACATTGACAAACAGTAATAGTGGAGCACTGTTTGGTGAGACATCTAGAAGCATGCGCAAGTCCGACAAGGAGATCATCGATCAATTGTATGAACAGATAAAGGAGTTGAACTTGTCATTCTTCAACGAGCGAATGTCCAGCGACAAGGAGAGACTGGCACTGCAGCAGAAGCTAAAGACGATTGAGGCCGCCGCCACCGACGCCAATCAGGAGCGCGCCAAGTGGAAGGTGGCCGCCGAGCAGCAAAAGGCCAAGAACAATGAGTTGATAAAGGATCGCGATCATCACGTGTCCTCCGAGCAGAAGTACCAGTCAAAGGTGGCCGACTATGAGAAGCGTGAGAGGAACTGGACCGACAACGAGAAGACGCTCGTCAAGAAGGTCTCGGAGCTGAAGGATACCAACTCGACTCTCAAGAGGGACGTGGACGACAGGACGAAGCGCATATCAAAGTTGGAGGATCAGGTGGTCAAGCTTCAGAAGCAGCTGGCTGCCGCCACGGCCTCGGACGGCAAGGAGATGCAGGTGATCAGTAGCAGCACCAGCAGCAGCTTTGGCAGCTACGGTGCATCCAACCAAACGATGCTCAGCACGCCACTCGCACAGCAGATGCAGTCAATGTCGCCCAGCGAATCGCCTAGCACATCACCTGAGTCCGTCATCACGTCGATGCCCATGGTCATATCGACCAGCGTGACTGCGGCGATGCCTCAGCCAACCGCGTCGCTCTCCATGAACCCCCAGTTGGTCAACACATCCAACAATGGATTGTTTGGACTGCGCGACTCCTCTGACGACGAGGACGACAGCTCGCCCCCATCAGACACACCCAAGCAGCTTAAGAACCTGTTCAAGAAGGTCAAGAGCGGCTCGTCCAAGATCATCAACAAGGCGCAGACCCACTTGAACAAACATCTGCACACAGAGTTCTTCACGCCGCCAATCACCACAGCGACAAACCAGCCTCCTACGACAAAGAAGCTGCCAGAGACCCCACCCGCGACCCCCTCCAAGGACAAGGTGGCAAAGGATATCTTTGGTGACCCAGCCACAGCTCTGGCCACTAACGAGCCATTCATGGTGGGCAACACAAGTGACGGGGCTTCAGACAACTCAAAGAGCATACCCGACATATTCGTCTTTGAGGGCGAGGAGGAGACACTCAAAGACTCGACATCTCTATCTGAGCTCCTTAGTGGCGGCGATGACCTCAACTTCTCACTGGCCTCACTGATCGACACCACAAGCACCAGTGCACACGGCAGCGGCGACACAGTAGGCGATCTGTTTGCATGCATCAAGGAGTACTCGATCAAGGAGTCCGAGAATAAGGCGGGCCTGCGACGTGCCAAGAAGAAGCCACTCACACCAAACGCAAGCATGATGGAGGATGTCTCGTTCGCCGTCTTCCCCTTCAATGGCTCAAGCGAGATGGCACTGTTTGGTGTTTGCGATGGTCATGCTGGACGCGAGGCTGCCGACTTGGCCTGCAAGTTATTCCCTATCGAGATCGCCAAGATCATCAACAGTCAACCAAACCACTGCGAAGGATGTGACGTGTCCGACTTGTTTGTTCAAGCCTTTGCCGAAGTCGACAGGCTCATGAAGGAGGAGTGTCAATACGTAGGATGTACAGCTACCGTCGCCTTTGTTTGGACCTACAATGGCGGTAGATATCTTCAGGTGGCCAATGTTGGTGACTCTTCTGCTTTCATATGGTATGATAGATTGATTGATTGATTGTGATTGGAATGATCCCATACTAACATTCCCTTTCACATCCACCCTCTTTAGTCGAAGCGGTTCAGCAGTAGAGATGACATTTGATCACAAAGCAAGCCATCCATTGGAGAAGAAGAGAATGATTGAAGCTGGTATTCCAGTGACTGATCAACAGACGAGAATCAATGGAGTGGCCGTGAGCAGGTCACTGGGCAATCACTTTATCAAGGACCAGAAGATTGGTATGATTGGCGAGCCACACCTCTCCAAACCAATCCTACTGCACGACTTTGACACATTCCTGGTGATGGCCTCTGATGGCCTGTGGGATGTCGTAAGTGGAGATCGTGCCATTGAGATTGGACACGAGATCATATCAAGCAGAGGCGCACAATCAATTGCCTCTACACTATTGCAGACAGGTCTGCAGTTCACCGATTGTAAAGATAATGTCACAGTTATCGTTGTAAAATTATAAATAGCGCTTATGTTTATCGATGAAGATGTCTATGATTGATTGATTCAGTCAAGTGTGTCCTTCTTTGTCAGTCTAGTCATAGTTATAACTAGACTAGGCTATCTATTATTATGTATGTGTACGAATAGGTGTACACAATCGCAAGGAAGGGATTCAAATAATTATCCAAAAGTTATTTGAAAGTGGATTTTGATGGGTTTGATCAATCCACTGGCAAAAGGTGTGTGAAAGTGATCATTCCATTTAGGCTCTTGAGTGTCATTGTAACTTCATCTTCATTAATTACATTTATAACTAAACATACATACTAATATAACAATGTCAGAGACTTGCCCAACTTGCGACAAGAGAGTTTACGCTGCAGAGGTTTGTACTAACGACTGGGATGATCCCTTGATATCACTCAACCACACTGACACCTGATCAATCAATCAATCAATCAATCAACCATTCAATAGTGGATCCACTGCCTTGACAAGCACTACCACAAGCTGTGCTTCCAATGCACTCACTGCCACAAGATATTGGAGAAGGGTAACTTCTCTGAGCACGGTGGTCAACCATACTGCAAGACTGTAGGTCATCCATAACACTCCATTCACAGGCAGCAACAGCATATTGACCATGACCATGACCACCTATAGGACTACGACAGAATGTTCAGACAGAAGGGTTACGGACATGGTGGTGTCACTGACTCTTTCAACCCAGCTGAGAAGACTGATCAAGCTCCAGTTGAGCCAGTTGCCGAGACTTTCTCCAAGCCTGTCTTTGAGGAGAAGATCGATCTGTTCCCAACCAACTGTCCAAGATGTGGAAAGAAGGCCTACGAGAATGAGAAGAAGGTCTTTAACTCGAGAGACTGGCATAAAACGTATGCGATCAGCTGATCAATCAGGCAGGATGGATGGATGGTGGAGGCAAGATGGAGTTGACTGGATGGACAGAAGGATGGATGGCGGAGGCTGGAATGAAAGGATGGAGGCATGGAGAGGGATGGAAAGAGGACCTAAGGAGGCAAGTAGTGATCGCGTTCATAGACTAACAAACTATAACACTCAACCAATTACAGATGCTTCACCTGCTTCATGTGCAAGAAGAGCTTGGTGAGTGGACAATATTCAGAGAGGAACGGACTCATCTTCTGTCCCCGTTGCTACGAGTCTAAGTATGGAGCCAAGGGGTATGTATTATTAATGGATGGTTATGAATGTGGATTGAATGGTTACTAACATTGTCGATGTGGACATACACATACATCACAGCTTCGGATTCGGTGGTGCCACTGTACTTCATTAAATCGATCAATCAATGTATCCTCGGCAGGACCAACAACAATCACCATCATTCAAGATACATCCTTGTAATGCATAAACTATATTGTTTATTGATCAATGTCTTGCCTCTCTCTCTTTGGTGTTTTGTTGGAGGAGGTATGAGTATGAATGATAAATACATAACTAACAAACTAACTGGATATGAATATGAATATGGATATGGATGATAGTGATGATGACCACCAGGTCAGAATTTAGTAGATCCACTCATCATCATCATCATCCTCGTCCTCCTCTTCGTGATGGGGGGGCATCTCTCCCATGTGCTTTAGTCTGTCCTCCATGGCATCAATGAGAATCTCGGCCATGGTCTTGGTGGCGGGCTCAACAAGGACCTTGGGGTTTGGCAGTGGCTTGGTTGTGTCGACTGGACGCAATGTAACTGGTTTTCTCAAACTCTCAAGGACTGCATCTCTACTGTCTTCAGCTGGTGGAGGAGGCATTGATTGACCAACGGGTGCCTCTGCCTGAGCTGATACAGCGACACCGTCATTGATTGATGGCAACTGCATCTTTGGCTTAGGTGCTCCACAATTGGCAATTGGAGGACGAGGTGGTGGAGGTGGAATATCAGAAGGTGCTGCCAGAGTCTCCACCACTGTAGGACTTGGCATCAATGGCCTCGGAAGACTCTGAAGACCCATTGTCTCCTCTTGTAACACCTTTGGCAATGGAGGTTTGATTGAGGGGAGAGGAGGTTGCGATTGTATCACTGGTGATGATGACGATTGCAAGATAGTCTGTGGGATCTTTGGTGGTGGAGGTGGCACTCTGGCACTGGGCTTGTTGGTAACAAAGGTCTCAGGGATGTTCCTGATCTCGGGACCATTCTCTCCCCTTCCTATATGGCCCTCATGCCTGAATCCAGTTGGAGCAGAGATATCCAATGGTTTGTCATTTGTGGAAGAAATATCATTCTTATGTAATATCTTTGACAAGAATCCACTCTTTGACTTCTTTGATTGAGAAGCTTGATGTTGCTGTTGCTGTTGCTGTTGTTGGACTAATGATTGATTATAATTAATATCATCATGATTATACAGTGACTGTATCTTCATTAACATACTCTTAACCTTTGGAATGATATTGAGTATCTTTGTTTGGAAGTCCAATGCTTCTTCCACACTCACGAAAGAGAGTCCAAAGACAGCACTGTCACCCTCAAACGTATGGAAGAAGTCCCTCTGTCTCTGATACTCAAACCTTTCATAGATCTCTTGTTCGAATATGGTCTTGGTCGTCTATCCATGTATGTATGTTAGTGATGAGTATGATCAAACGTCCAATCAACGAAAGTTTGAACATACTTGGAGGTCAACGATTCTGATGTAATGTGCCTTTTCAAGTCGATGGTAGACGATTGAGATTGCACCTTGGATACCGGTATAGTCCCATTTGCCATTGAATCCTTGATACAATTTGGCAACAGTCAATGCGATTAAATCACAACTGCTTCCATTCACAAAGGAAACCTTTCCTCTTTCCTGTTCATTCAATGTTTGAACTGCTGGCATCTTCTTATTCTTTCTTCTTCTTCTTTCTTATTATAACTCTTCTATTACTATTACAATGTATAAATAATACTACTACAATGATATGGTATGTTATCTTTGATCAACTATGTAAATATAAGTCAATGTTCCAACTTGGTGCCTATTTGTGATTCTTTCTGATCCTGGTGGAGTGGGAAAAGATTTCAACGAACTGTTGTTCAATTCAAATAATGAAGAATACTGTATATCTCAAACATTTATTGATCAATCACATGACAAACTAGATATCGACAATATGGATAATAGTGATGATGTTGATCAACACTTAGATGTCCCACTCGTCATCTTCTTCATCCTCCTCCTCTTGGTGCATCTCTCCCATGTGCTTACGTCTGGCCTCCATGGCAGCACTGAGAGACTGAACAAGGGTCTTGTTGGCGGGCTCACCAAGCTCCTTGAGGTTGGGAAGTGGCTTGGTGGTGTCGACTGGATGCAATGCAACTCCCTTGCGGATCGAGTCCAAGAATGCATCACGACTGTCAACAGCGGGAGGAGGCATTGGTTGACGAGCTGGTGCTGGTGCTGGTGCCTCTCCCTGTGCTGAGGCAGCGCCACCATCATCATTGACTGATGGCAACTGCATCCTTGGCTTGGGTGCGGCAGACTTGGTGGGTGGAAGAGGAGGTGGTGGAGGTGGTGGAATTCCTCCGGATGGTGCCACCATTGACTCCATGGACTCCACGGACTCAATTGTTGGACTTGGCATCGATGGCCTCTGAGGAACCAGTGGCTTCTGCAGACCCATTGCCTCCTCCTGCAACTCCTTTGGCAGTGGTGGGTGGTTGGGAGGGATTGGTGGATGCGATTGATACTGCATCACGGGTGATGATGACGATTGAGTGTAGGTCTGGGTCGTCATTGATGGTGGAGGAGGAGGTGGCATCATGGTTGACCTACCAGGCTGCTGTCTCGATGGTGGAGGGTAGTTCATCGATGGAGGTGGATAGTTCATTGAAGGAGGTGGAGGAGGTGGCGCCCTGGAGCCCGGCTGCTGCTGGGTAGCCATGGTCTCACCAATGACACTGTAGATGAACTGGGCAGTCTCTGGATTCTTGAGGTCTCTCCTCTTGATTCCAGCCTGCTGGAACAACTGCTGCCACTCGGGAGGGATGTTCTTGATCTCGAAACCATTCTCTCCCCATCCTATATGACTCTCATGCTTGAATCCAGTTGGACCAGAGATATCCATTGGTTTGTCACTTGCAGCCGTATTATCATTCTTGTGTAATATCTTTGAGAAGAATCCATTCTTTGACTTCTTTGGTTGAGCAGCTTGTTGTTGTTGTCCTAAGGATTGATTATAATTAATATCCGATGATACTTGAGTTGAATCACCCTGTTTCTTATCATGATGATGAAACAAATGCATCTTTTAAATAATATAATAGAATAAATAATGTATATACAAATAATAATAATAACTTAATAATAATAATAATTGTCTACCTTCTTAACTTACTCTTAACCTTTGGAATTATGTTGAGTATCTTTGCTTGGAAGTCGTAGGCTTCGTCCACACTCACGAAAGAGAGTCCAAAGACAGCACTGTCACCCTCGAAAGTATGGAAGAAGTCTCTTTGTCTTTGATACTCAAACCTTTCATAGATCTCTTGCTCGAATATAGTCTTTGTCGTCTGTCAATTCAATGGATAATTTAGGTGTGTTGGTGTGAGTGAGTGTGTGTGGGTGGACAGGAGGGGGTATGTTCAACAACTTCGCTCTCAATGAAGAGTGAGAGAGGACATCCAATCCTAGGATTCTCTACTTCTCAACTTGAACAAGAATGAATGTATACATACTTGGAGGTCAACGATTCTGATGTAAAGTGCCTTTTCAACTCGATTGTAGACTATTGAGATTGCACCTTGGATACCGGTGTACTCCCATTTGCAATTGAATCCTTGATACAATCTAGCAACTGTCAATGCAATCACATCACAACTACTTCCATTTACAAAAGCAACCTTTCCTCTTTCCTGTTCATTCAAAGTTTGAACAGCTGGCATCTTATTCTATATCTTCTTCTTTGTCTACTACTAATATTTATTAAACTAATCTAATTTATATAATAATATAGTATTTGATGATGATCAATAAAACAAACTAGGAACTATTCAGATGAAGACAAGACAGGACAGGACAGGACATACACAATACAGATAACAATTGATATAACGTAGGAAATAGTGTGAGCTAGTTTCAATGAACACAAAGGGGTTTGTTCACTTAAAGAGCATAATTATAACTCACACTCTGACTTTATTATTATATGTTTGACACACTTAATCATATACAGATACATGTAAACGTATTACTTCCAATCGATTTATGTATAGGTATATATATACCAAATAATAATAAGGATTGTGGGGATTAAATAATAATAATAATAATTGATAAGATAAGCTTCTGATGTTACTTTTGAATTGTATTGTTATAATGTACACTACATTGAAACAAACAAACAAACAATGGATTGATGATTTATTATTTACAAAATGTGATTGGTTGCGCACCTAACTCTCAATAGAGGTCTCCAAGTAATGTTGGCTCCTGTACGGTACCATTGGTGATTTCGATACAACGCTGGAGGAGATCGTTTTGGATTTCTTGAGAGACGACAGAGTCCTGTTGGTAGGCTGGATGGCTCTGGACAAACTGTCTGGTCCATGCTGACATGGTCTGCAGCTCGCCACTGGCACGCTTGGAGATGAGTGAGAAGTATCTGTTGACCAATGTCGAAGTCTCTGAGTCAAAGTTGAGAGTGCGTACATAGTCGCGGAGAACATTGATCAGACCGGCAAACTGTCCATTGCTGTTTCCATTGAAGATCTCATTGATGGTCATTGGCTCGTACTCCTCCTCGACTGGTCCGCTCGACATTGACTGACGGATGTTCTTGCGGAACAAGAACTTCTCATTGAGAACTGCACCGAGATGATGCGCTGTCTTCATGTTCTCATCGACCTTGGTGATGGGCATGTAGAAGTTGAGCTTCAGGTCAGAGATGGCGCGCATCAGGATGGCGACAAACACTGCGTAGGCGGCGTTCTCAAAGTCGGTGAGCTGCACCTCCATTGGACGGAACTCCACACGCCAGCCAATGTCTGAGCCTGGGGGAGGTGGCTTGAAGCGCATTGTCTGCCAGTTGGTCGACTGGATGTTCTCAAAGTGATCGGCGTGCTTGGTGTCGTCCAACTCGATCTTGTCAGAGTAGATGACCAATGGGTCGCGAATGAACAAGTGTGCAAAGTGGCGGGCAAGGATCTCGTCCATTCCAGCATCGATCAATGTGTTGTATGTTTCGCGATCATACACCAAGGGCAAGTCATTGTACTCGCTGCGGAGCATTGATCCGCTGGACAAGAAGCTGTCGATTGAGTCGTATCTTGACTTGTTGATGATGTGCTTGTTGCGACGAAGTGGCTTGTGTCCAAGCTCCTCCTCAGTGCGGTCGTCGACCGATTGAGAGATGACCGTCCATCTGGCGTCAATGTCCGAGAGATATCCCTTGAAGATGGCACTGGTGGCAGTCAATGCCAGCATGATTGGTGCCATCACAGCCATTTGGTCATAGACAGAGCGTGCCTCCTCGATGTTGGACATCTGGAAAGTTGTCTGGAGACAACATGCGCCCATGCCAAAGCCCATAGCGTCCATGTATATGTTGTAGGGCTGATTGATTGGATCCTTCTCGTTCTTTGTTGGTGATGTGTAGGTCAGGCGGTCCTGATATGGTGCGGTCTTGGTGTCGCGGAACATTGGGATGTTGATCGAGACATTCTTTCCGCGACGCTTGCGGATGTTGGCTGTCAATGTGCTGAATCTAAAGTGTGGATTGATCACGCTGTCTGGCAGGAACTGCGACTCGGCCACGTTGCCCTTGGGCAATGCAGTAGGCACGGTGAAGTCCTGGGCACCCATCCTTGGGTATGCAGACATTGTGACGATCCTCTCATTCTGGCCGAGATTGTTGTTTATCTCTGCTCTTCTCTTTACCAAGCTGTCCTCGATGCCAAGCAATTGGCGACCGAGTCCCCGATATGGCTGGCCTGGTGTACCTTCAATCATAAAGCGTCCATATTCAGGTCTCCACAAGAACTCAACATTTCTAATTTGATTGATTGATTGATAATTAAGAGATGAGTGAGTATGTTGTTGATGGACCGCAGATATGGATACATACTGTGGATCAGCCTTCTCCTTCTGCATCAGCTGTGCAAGAACCTCGTGAGAGCGAAGTGACAACTTAATGTCATTCGTATTCTCATCAACGTTTAGCATAATATATTCGACCTGGATTATTAGATTGATTGAATTATGTAAGTTGATATGTCATCATTATCGTTTGGAATAATTCCTTGTGATCTTGGAACTTACCTCATCTCCCCATTTGAAACTATCGCCCATTCTATCCTTGTTATTCTTCCAAATATTCAACAACTGTTGGACTCCATGTTTCTTGACATAATCAATAAACTTCTCCGAGTCCTCCCAGCCCAATGTATTTCCTTCAGCGATGAATCCCATTATTATATTATTATGGATGGATGGATTGATATCTAAATAATTAATTAATAATGAATGGTAATATGGTTAATATGTATAATTAATTATTTGATGGACATTGAGATAAAGAATTGATAATGAATGAATGAATGGTTACTGTTGTTCATGAGTTAACAAATGATATAAGATCCTAATGATAGCAACACCGTTCATTCTTTCATTCATTCTTTCATTCATTGTACTAGGCGCGCGCACATGCAAAGGGGTGGAAGGATGGAATCTGATAAGTATTCCAAGGGGGTGACCTTGGAAGCGTGTGTGGTGTGTAATCTTAACAACGAGATGACTTCGATATCGAGTCGGTGTGTCAGTGTGTGTGAGATATGTGAGGGGGTATTCGAGAATGAGATATAGTGTGAGAGAGGAGGGGAGGTGGAGGAGCAGGACGAGTGGTCAGAGATGAAGAAAGAAGAGGCTTTTGAAATGATGCCATTGGTCAATGGATTAGGCAATGTGTAGTCTCGCTGCCATCCTCGATTTCAATACATATATAAGGTTAAGGTGTAGGTGTATGTCAGTGTGCCTACCCTTCTGGAGCAAAGAAGGATATGATCTGGGCACCGGCTATTGTCAAAGGGCACAATAATTAGATGGATGCAAAGTTCAAAACGTGAAGCTAATGGGTATCTAGTCTAGTCTGGCGCATGACCAGGTCACTGCTCTGACCTTCATCTTCATCGAAAATGACCTGTGTGTATGTGCTTGTGTTTGTGTGTGTTGCAGATGACGCCCAATAATGGTACAAGAATTTAACGAAACACTTTGACCTCTGATGAACAGTTGTGGTCCAAGAGGAGGAGGAGGTCCTGAAGTGAACATATTGTGGGATACTTGTTTGTAATGTTGACTCTTACCCTTATTGTGATTGATTTGATTTGATTGGTTGTTGTTGTTGGATGGATTTGATGTTACAAAGATATTATTATTATTAATAATAGAATAAATATTTATATGTATATATATGTTTGTTTGATTGTTTGTACAGCAACAAATGAGATTAATGATGGATGTTTATAAAGTTGTAAATATAATAATAGTAAGTTTTGGTGAACTATATTTAAGATGTAAATTTCGTAATGGAACGATCATCAAGACTGAGTCCAAGAACAAGGGTGTTGCCGATGATGAATCTTGGACAATGGAAGCACCCGCTTCCATCCGACACCCCACAACCCCCACTTACACGTAGAATCAGTCGGTCAGCAAGGTTCGCTGATGCAACTCACGTGTGTGGAGTTCCATCAAAAAATTGATGACCAGTTTGATGGGTCTGTGTTCGAGAAGTGATCGCTCTCTCCACTACAAACATTATGAATGATTGAAGTGAACAAGAACATCTGTTTCGGTTGGTTGGGAGAACTCTAGTATGAAGGAATCTTGCCACCTCCCAACCAACAACCTGGTACCGCGTGTGATGGATAAAGTCAACAAACCTGGTGTGATCACTCTGATGTGTTGCTGACTCGACTAGCCCATTGTTGCTTCCAACATAGAATACAACACCAATAGGCATAAGCATTGGCATAGGCATGTACGCTAATGTACCTACCTATAATTCCAAAATAGATCGGCACTCTAGTATAAGGATTCGTGGTCACCACTCACCTGAACATCATAATGATCAATACACCAAATGGATTGTGCTTCCAGATACACAACATTAGCATCATCAAGCATCAGAGTCATACCTGTTGCTGATGATCATTCATCAATCAATCAGTCAACCTATCGACCTATCGACCTTATTTTGAAATGTCAACCTAAAGTCAAACATACATTGATATGGTGTCATTGAGGTTGCCATCATTATGATCATTCCAATCCTGTCTTGTCTGTTTCTGCTGCGCTAATGTTTGATGTACTTTGATACTATGATTGATAGATCTGTTTATTGTACCATTGGTGTTTCTCCTTCGACACCTCTAACGTATAAAACATTATTACATCTGTTTGATTGATTGAATGATTGATTGAATGAATGATTGTGATGGACGTCATGTTAGTGAATTTGTTCAATGTGCTGTGCTGATCAACAGTACTATCTTATTGTTTGTTACACATCATACCTAATTAAAACTTCTCCAAGTGTATCGATCATTGCGCCGTCAATCCATTCTTCTGTTGCTGCCAACTAGTTTGTGTAAAGATGATAACAATACATGTTAGTTAATCGATGAATAATACACTCCTCACATGCGTATCATCTACGTCTCGTCTGCATGTCTACGTGTGTTTGCCTGTCTGTTGTTATCATACCTGTAAGTTCATATAGTTGTCTACTGAGGCAAGAATGCCTCTGTACTCCATTCCTCCCCACTTTAGACGCACTGCTATCTTCTTTCCTTTCAACTCATAGAGGAATGGCTTTGGTGATAATGACTCAACTTTGTTCTACATTCGTTCATGATTATGTGTTGATGATAGATAGATATGTTAGTTGTGTCTTTCATCCATTCTCTCTTGCATGTCATTCATTCATTCATTGATCTAGATCATACCATCTTATTTACAAGTTATAATAATATATGTATATGTATTTATGTTGTTGGATGTGTATCAAGTGATTGATTGCTCAAACTCAAGAGTTCATATTCACACGACACCTCAGTTCATTTCATTACAATTCAACAATCAATCTAGATGTAACAGAGTAAGAGTTACTCAAAGTTAACAACAAGAATGATTATACCAGTTTGCTTGATCATAGGACAGGGACTATACCAACCACTCATTAATCAATGAATGGAATGGAATGATACTCTTTAAACTCAAGATGCTCTCGAGATACCCTCTTCAACTTCATTGAATCAATCTCGGAACTTGTGACATACCTTCAATAAGATATTGACCAATCATGAGCTACCTTGCGACCTAGCCAAAGTTACTTTAACACCTAAGTGTGTCAATGGTTGCCAACATCTTCTCAAATGGATAATAATAAGATTTCTTCTAAGTCAGCGATTCATTATTGTGTGTGTGTGTGTGGATGCCGACAATCAAAAAGATCATTATAACATCATCTACATGAACAATCATTCAACATAACCAATATCATACATACTTAACTTATAAAGTACATCACATCATACCATAATGACAGAAAACAAGGAACCAGAGCGCAGTATTGTCGAGGAGCTAAGCTGGATCAACTGTGACATTCCAGGCCTAAGAGACTGTGACGGCACTTATGATACATACAATGACATCCCGCCATTGGCCAATCCAGTTGAGTGTGACCTCAACGAAGTGGAATCACCAACGGCCTGCTACGTGATTGAAGGCAAAGAGTACGCATCCACATATCAAGTTGGCGACATCACCATGTCATCATACTACAACGACCAACAAGACTGCGTCTCATGGTTCCGGGGCTCGGACGGCCGCGTCTACTACAACTATGACGGTGGCTATCGATTCCATCTATGTGCTCGTTCCAAGGCAGAGTTTGACACACGCATTCAGATCGAGGCCAATCTCTGGTTCAAACTATCACACTCATCTGGCAGCAGACAAGATATCACCAACCTCAAAGACCGACTCACTCCACAAGAATGGCTCTATGTCGAGTACTATCTTGCGAAACAAGAAGCCGCCGAACTACTGGCTGCAGAAAAAGCTGCAGCTGCTGCTGAACTTAAAGCTGCAGAGTCCGCAGCTGTTGTATCATCAACATAATAAATGTGCTTGTACTGTTCACTCACTAAGTCGTTGTGATGATGTGCCGTCTGACCGGTGAGTGGGTATGAACGTTTGATTGAACATCATACTTCAAAGTTGTGATTGATTGATTGATTGATATTGTTGCAACTTCATCCATACTTGTTTGAAGCAGAGATGATGTTGATGATATATCATTCATTGTATTGTTATAATTACAACAATGAATAGATAAACGATTGAAGAAAAATAGTGAATGGATCGCGCCAAAAGTGAAAGAGACAACTTGGTGAACATACCATAACAAAAGTGACGAACGAAATGAATAAAAGTCACCTTTCTGCAACCAAGCAAATCACTTCTCAAAGCATTTTGCTTTGATCATGTGTAGTATCTGTTCTAGAAAGCTTAATCTCTTTCTGTCTTGACACGTTCAAGACATTATTGATTAAACTAATTTATTCAGAGGGATTGGAACAACATGGTATGGGCATGCCCTTACCGTTCCATTCATGTATTTGCTCGGTATCGCACTACTTCCGAGATTCTAAGGTACGCCTCAACCTCCTCCAAACAATCTAAAGTTAAACAAACAATCGATCATCCAATCAATCAAAATAATAATAATACAATATTATCACTATGAAGTGGAATGAAGATGTATCGTTCCCAGATAGACTTGCAGAGTATTGTCATCAACATTATGAGACCAAGTTGCAAAAGAAAGGAAAGCCTAGCGAGAGGGAATGGACTGTGATGGCTGCTTTTGTGGCGGTCGAGCAACTTGAAGACAGTGGATGGCACTTCAAACATCTGTTGGCAATGGGCACTGGTAATAGATGTCTTGGCAAACAGTCAATGTCAAAGGATGGAGATGTAGTCAATGACTCGCATGCAGAGATCATATGTAAACGATCATTTCAACGTTTACTTTACAATGACGTCAAGTGTCTATTGACCGGCCAACAACAAACTACATCAAGTGTAATACTTGATCATTGTAATGCATCGGACTCAACTTCATCACTATACAGACTCAAAGACAACATTACCATTCATATGTATGTCAATCAAACTCCTTGTACGTTATCTAATTGTTGCACTCCTGAAGGATTAAAACTGACTCTATCTGTTATAGGTGGTGATTGCTCAATATACCCTCTCATCGAGGAGGATGGAGACTCGACAAAGAAGCGCAAACGAGATGACAATGGGGACGATGTGGACGAAATGAACAAGAAGCACAAGGTTGGTGGTGAATCACCAACCAACAATGACATCCAGAGAACTGGCGCAAAGGGTGTGAAGGGCGAGCCAGAGGATATGAGAGGTGACGGATCGGATTATCATCAGTGTGGCATTCTCCGAGTGAAGCCAGGTCGTGGCGACCCAACAGTGTCAATGTCATGCAGCGATAAGATTGCAAGATGGAACGTGTTGGGTGTACAGGGTGCATTATTATCACAATTTGTCCAGCCAATCTATCTATCCAGCATCACCATTGGTGACCTTTACAACAATGACAGCTGTCAACGAGCATTGTACGATCGTATCAATGTGTTCAACACTGAGCAGACACCTCCCTTGCCCTTTACCTTCAATCATTCATTCCGAATCTTTGGTACCAAGCTCAACTTTATCCATTCCAAACAACAACTTGAAGATCGTGTGGCTAAATCAGTATCGTCTGGATTCGGTAAGTGTAGCCAGTTAATTGATTGATTGATTGATTGATTGTCAGCCATACTCACTCAATTACTCAATCACTCAATCAGCAATCAGCTTTGGTTATCCAAATGCCAATGAAGTGATTATAAGCAGCAATGGCAAGAAGATGGGTACCATTGCCAAGAACTTCAATAATCCATCTCAGCGTTCATCCTTATGCAAGCTCAACCTATTCAAATTGTTCAAGGAGTCTCTAGACATCAAACAAAGCCGACAACAACAACATCAGTACATACCAAAGGAGCATTTGGACACCATCGATGGCAATGTCGACAGCACTGAGACATCGACTACAACTACAACTACAACTACGTCCACAACCACAACGACAACAACCACAACAACGTCGGCTAATGGTATCGGTGAACTCCAAACATACCATGACTTCAAACATTCATCTCTAGCATACTACCAAGCATATTCATTGCTAAAGACACTTCGCTTTGCCAATTGGATAACTAATGATAAAGAATACGAGATGTTCAAGTTGTAAACTAAACTTTGTTATGGGAAAGCTTGACGTTCAATCTTTTCGAGGAATTGGACATTTGCCGATTGAATGAAAGAAAGTATGAACTTGTCATTGTTAGTCTTCTTACTTGTACATATATATATACATAACACATAATAATGAATATATTGGATGATGATTATGATGAGTTGATAATCAATGCATCAAAGTCGGTGGATGTAGTGCAATCATTCTCTCAACTACTGGCACCACAACATTCATCCCAATCACTCAGTCAGACAGATGCAAACCCTCAGCAACAGCACAGGTCTTCACATGATGAGCGATCTCTTTTAGAATTGGTCAAGGAAATAGACGAGGAGTCATTGTCAGGCTATCTAAATGCAAGAATCGAGCGATCCAGACCAATGTATGATCTGCTCAAGGCCGTGTTCAAAGCGTTGCTGCAACAACAGCAATCACAATCCGCTGGCGACACACCAAAAGACTATCTCAAGTTGAGTAGTCAAGGTATCATCTGCAGCTTCCTCAGCACCATCATTGAGTCCACAGCACCATTGACTGAAAGGGACCTATTACAATGCATTGACTTGATGCTCTATGAAGTGAGTATGAGATGTTGAATGAATGATTGGTTGGGCCACAACATACTCACTCACATCTCTTCCAAACAGTGCGACTCACTTGATACCAATGCACTACAAGACATAATCAACTTGCTCTGTAGATCGATCGAAACGAATACAAAGGGTTCAATATACATGCTGTTGCCAAAGTGCATGATGCTGCGCTCTCACCTCAGTTCAAGCGAGAGTGAGCATGCCGAATTCCAGAACAACACAATCAATGATATCATACAGTCAGATTGGCCAAAGCGCACATACAGTGCCATTGTCATTGCCCTTAACGACTTGCCACTGACAAAGGAGAACCTCACCAAGATCATCCAGAAGATTGAGCGCGATCTTCCCTCCATCCCCTTCCCCGACATCCCTCAGACCGTCTATCAACTGCTGCTCCTCGCATCTCAGGGTCAGCGCGGCCTGATCCTCAAGACAATCTGCCAGCACTTTGAGCAAACCGAGCAAGAGCTGCACGACTCTGATCAGTTTGAGCAGTTGCTCAACATCGAAGCGACCATCGTCGTCCAAATCAGTTTCTCAATCAAACAGGACATGGACTTGGGCAAGGAGTACATCAAGATGGATCAAACACTGTCTCCATTCAACATTGCGCTGATGCTCACAATCTCCAAGATACCAAGGTTCAAGCAGCTGGTGCTCAGCAGTCTGAAAGCATTGGTCGTGCAGCATTGCAAGGGCGACCAACTCCATATCCAACAGTGCTGCTCGATCATCATGGAGATTGTCAGGTACACGTCCACCAGCTGGGAGCCAATTGTCGAGCCATTTATGTACTTTGCCATTGCCCTTATCGACACCAATGCCATCGTTGTCACTGAGGCCATAAGACAGATCAGAAACCTGGGCACGGAGATCCTGCTCGGCCTGTTTGAGCACCACGAGACAATCAGAGAGAAGGTGATCGACGAGATCATCGCACGCATTCAGATGAAGGCAGAGAATCTACAGGCTTGGTTCAGTTTGCTGTCAAAGATATCGCGCAAGTCGCCTCACGCACTGCTCAAGTCAGTGCCCAAGCTCAAAGAGTCATTCGAATACATTCAATACTTCTCGACCAACACGGTACAACAGTTGATTCTGGCATTCGATCCCATTCTCCCTTTGGTACCATCATTCCTCGACTCGATCATTCTCACCCTCAGGAAGTCAATGTTCAAGCCTGAGGCTGAAGCGCGTTCCAGCGCCATTGGTGGATTCCTTCAATTGTTAAAGAACATATCATATCAGAAGCCTTTGGATGGGCTTGGCATTGAGATACTCGGCATCATCAAGCGTGGACTGAGCCAACAAGGACCCATTCGATCACAACTATACACGGGCCTCAAGGAACTGGTCCAGACGCGTCCACACATTGGAGAGTACATTTGCGATCTACTGCTCCTCCAGCTCTCCAACTACTACGACCCGGCCGCCAAGCAAATCCCGCCCATTCAGCTGAGCAATTGTATCGAGATGCAGAGTGGCAGCGTTGTCACACTGACAGAGCCAATCGACAAGCTGGTGCACTGTATCCAATTGTGTATCAAGATGACCAACACTGCACAACGTGCTGCCCATGAGCAGCAACAAAAGATCGCCGCCAGTCAATCTACGACCAACGTCTCATTAATGCCACAACAGAGTCACTCGCTGGAGCGACTCACCAACATGTTCAACAAGTTTGCCGAGGGCATGGCACATTGTGAGCTGTCCACATTCCCCGAGCTGTACGACAAGCCAGAGCTGTTCAAGACGATGTCCAACCTGCTGCTGGGCATCATCGAATCATTGATCGAGTACAGCGTGAACAAAGGAAACAATCAATCCAACAAGCTCGATCAAATCCTACATCTCTTCTCCATCCATACACAGATCAAAGACCTGCAGCAGAAGAACATGGCAAAGGGCTCAGGCTCGGGTGGCAAGTCCAAGGGCGGCAAGGGTGGCGGCAAAGGTGGTGGTGGCGGAGCCAAGAAGAAGGGAAAGAAGAGAAAGGTGGATGAGGACGATGATGGAGATGGAGAGCCAGTGGACGATGACATGATGGACGATAACAACAACAACAGCGACCCAAAAAAGAAGCGTTCAACATCAAAGGTCACTGTAGACAATGCCGAGGAAACCAAAGAAACACTATCGCCAGACTGCATCAAGGAGTTGTTCCGCTTCATCAACGACATCGATCCAAATGAGGTCAGGTCGCGCCAGATCGAGTTCAAGAGTTTCTGCCACTTTGTTCACATGACCTGCTACAACTACTTGAACAAGGTATGTCCAATTCTTCCACTCAATCACTCGATCAATCACTTACTAACTCGATCACTCATTCACAGATGTTTGTAGATACAAAGAACTTCCAGGATACACACTTAGACTCTGTTACATTGCCTTCACATGAGCATCCGATCAGGAGGAACATTATATTCTGCAGGAACTTTATGCCCCACCTTTGGAAGGCTGTGGAGACCAAAGGTTGGACCAAGCCCGATGTAAATAACAACACCTCAACCTCATCAGCAGCTGCCAGTGCCAAGCTGAATGCCAAGAACATGCCCGCTCAGACTCTGGCACTTACATCAATCGATCTAATTGTAAGCCCACTCGCTCACTCACTCAATCAATCACTAACACTTCACCATTACCAAGATTAAATATGTTACAGAGCATGGCAATGAGACCAGTATTGCCAATCTGTTTGTCACAGCAGTGCCAGCCAACAAGGCAGAGGTGATAGAGGTCATCAATAGGAACATTTGCAAGCTTGAGGACATATGCATGGACTCGGCAATCTCACATCAGTTCTGGGATGAAGCCGACCTACTCACGACCATCATGTCAAGACTGTACAAATCGCTGACCAACAAGATGTTGGAGCCACATCTAGAGTTCATCCTCAATATTTGGAAGATCGATCAGGCCGTGCCATCGGCGCAATTTGCATCGACCACGGCCAGAGTGCTCATGAGCCTGAGCGATCGCCTCAAGAGGTTGGATCTGATTACCAGCGTGGCTACTGATATCGAAGAATACTTGACACATCCCGAGGACGAGGACGAAGACGATGAGGACGTTGACGAGGACGACAAACTGGCAAAGAGGATACTTAACAAGAAGACACATGTGGCAGTCGAAGCCGAGTTCCTAAAGTACCTCAACACGTTGATTGACAGGTCGAAGGACAACATCGTGTTGATAAAGAAGGATTGGCGAAACAATCAGTCGGAGGAGGAAGAGCAGATGCGCATTGGTCATCTTGGCAAGGCATTCGTGCTTCTGAAGCACCACACCGAGCTCCTGTACAAGCTAACACTAGTACCTGCGTCCAACCTCAACACCAAGACCTGCGAGAAGTTTATCAAGACCGTCAAGAAGCTATTCACAGTGTTGACAACGGTTGTCACTTCGGTATGTATCCAAGGCAAGACAGGCACATCCACGAGTCCTTGGACTTTGCTGACTTTCTCCTTCCACCCTCGCCAATCTAGATGGGAGTGCTCAACCTGCAACCAAACGACAAGTTCAAACAAATGGTATTGGCCTCATCATTGTTGGCCACTCATACTCAAACATTCATCACAAACATGGAGGTCGGACCAAAGAATAGGGAGGTCAGCCGCGCGGATAAGATGCGTATTATCCGTGAGTCCAAGTTCTTGCCATTGGTGACGTTCACGTTGGAGAAGTACGAGACGTCAGTCATCACGTACGAGAAGAAGATGAAGATCAACGAGCGACTTGGAAAGCACTTTACAAGCGTGGCCCTGCGCGACTTTAGAATCGACGCCAATATAGTTGCCGACAAGATTGGAGAGGACGAGGATGCTGATGCCGCCGGCGACGAGCCAAAGTCCAAGTCCAAGCCAAAAGCAGCTGCCAGGAAGACATCCAAAGCAAAACAGCATCAGGATGACGATGACGATGACAGTGACAAGCCCAAGGTCAAGAGGAAGCCTGCCAGGCCCAAACAACAAGTGAGCAAGTCTCTTGGAGGAAGGAGACCAGGTGGCATGGGTCGTAAACAACAGGATGATGATGATTGATTAAATGGTCTTTGTTATTATGAGTGTGACCCACTCTTGTCGTCTTTGTGATCAATCAAAACGAATGAACAACACACATTAACATCATCATTACATTGTTCCCAACATATATATTATCATTATAACAATGAATAACTTGTTACAACTGTGGAGATGTGGCGCCAGTAGATGCGCAACACAGTTGACTCGAAGCGTGATGATGCCATCTATGACTTCATGGACGTCAACATCAATGTTGTTCACAAACAACAAGAGTGAACACATGCAGGACCAACAGAGAAGAACAATGATGATGATCAAGGTGGACTTGGACGAGGATGACGACGAAACCGAGACACCAGCACAACAGAAGAAGCAATTGACACCAGAGGAGCAGGCCAAGTTGAAGGCAAAGAAGGCTGAGGAGCGAGCCGCGCGTGAGATACAGAAGAAGGAGAATAGACAAAAGATGATGGAGCGATCGAAGGAACAGCGCCAACAAAAGGAGGAGAAGGAGGCCAAGAGCAAGGAGAGGATGGAGAAGCAGCTGAAGGAGCGCGAGAAGGCTCGTCGTCCCTCCATCTTTGATCCAGACTACGAGGGTCCAGATGTTTACGAGCGATCATCAGGTAACGATGACCTACATCAGCCCGCAGCCGAGAAGAAGGTCAAAGTGAAGCCAAACATCAAGAAGCCCAACAACAACAAGAACTTTGTAAATAGATAAATTCAAACCAAGTCAGACAGTCAGCCAGACAGGCGTGTCATACAATACTGGTGTTGTCTGGAATGCATTGGACCGTGGTCATGTAATGTACTACACTCACTCCCTCCATCAAGGCTTACTACCTTACTACATGTAATGAATGTAATCACGATTGGTCGATCCAAGTCCATCACGAAGGACTAATTAGTCCTCTTTGAGGCTGGATGTTGGGCAGTACAAGGCTTGCCTCCAGGCGATTAATAGCCCAACAGTTTGATTTTGGAGTTGATCTCTCTTTTGCTCATTCTTCCATCCATCATAATACTGGACTCGTGAGTCTGATGAATGAATGAATGAATCCAATCACAACGACATTGTGGTGAGTGGGGGAGCGAGTAAGTAATTATAAGTGTTGATGTGTGTGTGTGCATGTTAGAGTGGGAAGTGAATGAATGCAATGGGTGTGTTTGTTTGTTTGATGTTTGTGTTTGTTTGACACAGAATTGGACAACCACCATTCAATTTCATTCATTTTTTATTACTCCATAAGGCTAGCCCAGATTGTTGTTAGTTTGTTGGCACTCATCTATGCAACCACATTAACACAACAGAAGCAACACTCAATCACTCACTCTCAACTCAACTCACTTAACTTAAACCCTTACGCAAACAAACAAACAAACAAACATACACACACATATACACATATCATTATATATATTTATATATTATATATACTTTGTGTCATTCATTCACCAGTGTTAGTAGTTACACCTTGACCTGCGAACTGTCATTCTCATCACAAAACGCACCCTCTATTGTTATATTAATAAGGTGTTGGTTGGCTTTCACCATTACAGTCACAGTCAGTCATTCATTCATCCAATCAAACAAACAATCAATCATTCACAACAGTCATTGGATTTAGACAACACAACAATCATTCATTTTCTCAATTATATAAGAAGAACATATAACATATAAACATATACTTAAACATATACTTATACATATACATAACACATACAAATAATAATAATAATGGATTCAATAGAGAAGGATTTGACAAACTTGGTATTGGATGGAGATGAGAGTGTAGATCAACATCAGAGATTGATGGAGACACTGCGAGAGAAGAAGTTTCAGATGTTGTTGAGACGTGATCCAACTCGTGTGGTCATTCTGGAGAATATTGAAATGGATACCAGTCAGTCCGTACAGACAATGATAGAACAATACATTAGAAACGAGTCGATGCCAAGTCTAGTGCTGGTGCGCTACATCACAATGATGCGATCGATGATCATGGTATTTGTACATCGCGATGATGCCAAACTATGCAAACTACTCCTTGAGCGTCAGCCTCTAATCGATCTACAAGATGTTATTATATACTTTGGAAAGGTATGTTAATATGCAACATTCATTCATTCATTCATTCATACATTCAAACACATATACTGACACTCATACATACTTCAGGACCTGAGCGATGAGTTGATAAAGAAGCACCAACTACTTCCACCATTCCCACAGAGACAGTATTTGATATCACCGCCTCTGAGTCCACCTGAGGACTGGGCTGCACCAGGTGATGGACTGGAGCAGCCTCCACCAGAGCATCCAGACGAGTCACATTTCTCTGGATTCGACCCAAAGAAACTGACCGAGAAGCTACAGGTCATCTACCAAGACAACACATCCAATGGTTTCCCATCAATCACACTGGAGTTCTGTACATAGACTAGCGCGCGCCATGCGTGCACCAAAGGAGTCCAATCTATCGCATCAAAAGAAAGGTTATCATTATTATTATATTAATTTGTAGAAGAATAAGAGAGAAGAAGAAAAAGACAACCGAGTTCGACAGAATCAGAGATACACATGTGCGATGAGTGATCACTCGCATCTAGTTCAAACCATTCCGTCGAGCCCCTCCCAGGCATTACTGGCACTGGAGCAACCTGTAGCCAAACATATGTTGGCAGTTCTAGAGACTGCCAATGGAGCCAGCAGACAGTCGTGGTCAAACTTGCGATCAATCATCCATCATTCATTCATTAGACCATTCATGTGATGGATGAATGGATGGAGGGTGTTGTTGGGCAACCATGTCAGACACATCATCACCTTCATCATCAACATCAATCGCTTGATTGCCAAACCAACAATAACAAACAACCATTCAATGTCCAAACATACATTGAACTAAGGACAAACAACAGACATGACAAGACTTAGGTTATACGATATTTTTAGGCTTTAATTGTAGAAACTAATCTTAATTAATATATATGATTGATTGGATGATTGATTGAATGATTGATTGATGTACATCTCTACTTCTTGGACACAGCAGAGCGCGACAGTGATGATGCCGACGACGTCAGTGTGCTCTGTCTTGGCAGTGGCGCCTTCAGTCCGCTGCTTGATGGTGCACTAGTTGTAGATGTTGTGGTGGTAGAGGAGACAGTGGTGGCAGGTTTCCTCAGCATGGAGGTCTTGGTTGCGACGGCAGGCTCAGAGGTAGTTGACTTGGTAACTGGAGCGGTGGCGGTGGCGGTGGCTGGAAGTCCCTTCTCCTGGATGAGCTTCAATCTCTTCTCCTTCATCTCGGCAAGGTTCTTCTTGCGCTCCTCAAGCGAGAGTCCGCTTGTGCTGCTGGCTGTGGTCGTGGTGGCAGTCCTCTGGATCTTGGACTCCTCTGTGGCGGTCTTGACTGCGGACAGTGTCTCAGAGATGGTACGCTTCTTTGACTCGCTGCTGGCGGTTGGCATCATCAGACTGGATGACTTTGACGATGAGGCGGCCATCTTACTTCTCATGGTCTCCAATCTGCTCTTCCACTGTGAGCTGATTGAGGCGCTGTCTCTCTTGGGGGCCTCAGTGGTAGTGGTCGTGGTCGTGGCAGTGGTAGTGGCAGTGGCGGTGGCGGGGATGGCGACGGGCTCAGATTCAATGATCATTTTCTCCTCAGCCTCCTGCTTCTCAGCGGCGGCCAGCTTCTCCTCGGCGGCAAACTTCTCCTCGGCAGCCAACTTCTCTGCTGCGGCCAACTTCTTCTCTTCGGCCAACTTCTCAGCCTCGAGGATCTCCTTCTCCAGGGCGATCTTCTCTTGAGCCAGCTTCTCTTGTTCGGCGGCAATCCTCTCCTGCTCCAAAATCTCTTGCTCAGCCTTCATCTGCTCCAACTTCTCCTCCTCCTTCCTGGCCTGCTCCAACATCTCCTCCTCCTTCTTTGCATTCTCAAACTGAATGAGCCACTCCATCTGTAACTTCTCCTGCTCAGCCTTGTCCTTCTCCAACTTCTCCTGTTCCAATCTTGCCTTCTCCATCTGGGCCTGCTCCTTCTCCAGTCTCTCTTGCTCGAGTCTGGCAGCAGCCTCAATCCTCTCTTGTTCAGCTCTAGCAGCAGCCTCCTTCTCTTGCGCGATCCTCTCCTCAAGTCTGGCAGCAGCCTCAATCCTCTCTTGCTCAACTCTAGCGGCCTCAATCCTCTCTTGCTCGAGTCTGGCGGCCTCAATTCTCTCTTGCTCGATTCTCTCCTGCTCAAGCTTCTCTTGCTCGGCCTTCTCCTTGGCAACTCTCTCTTGCTCGAGGGCCTCAAGCCTGGCCTGCTCCATCTTGTGATTGGCCAACTCTGCGAGGTACTTCTTTCTCTGGATGCTCATGCGGACGACGGCCTGGATGCGGATGGCGGAGCCTCGCAGTCTGAGGAAGTGGGTGCGGGCACGGTGCTGTCTGAACACGGACTGGATGAGAACGGCGGCCTTCTTCTGCTTGAGGAACACGTTTCTCTGAGCGCGCGCTCTGATTGCGCTGGTGATGGTGAAGGCGGCATTGTCTTGCTCGACCTCCTCCTTCTTGGCCTCCACAGTGGTGGCCGACAGCGAGTCTGGGATATACATTGTCTTTCTCTTTCTCATGCGTCTATTGATCGACTCCTCCTTCTTTGTGACGTCACCATGGAAGATACAATCATCAGTCTTCATTGGCTCGGCAGTGCAAGTCGACTGCTGCTTCTGTTGCTGTGTGTTTGACTTGTTGGCAATGTTGATATTGTCCTTGAGTGGCATTGTAATATTCAATGTCTTTTGGACATAGTTGAGCATTGCATCCTTTGTTGACTGTCTTGCTGGTGCTTCATTCTCCTTGTTATTGTTGTTCACGTTCTCAATGAAGCGAACATTGTTCACAGTTGAGAACTTGACTGACTTTGATGGTGTGAGTGTTGGAAGGTGATCCATATTACTTTACTAATCTATCTAATATTATGTACACTTGTCTAGTTGTTGTAGTTGTAGTTGATTAAATGATATAGTTTGGTTTAGTGAGAGATTATTAGTTGTGGATGGGGTAGCGCTCAAAACAGGTTGGCGCCCACCCGTTAATTCAACGGATGATAGGAATTCAAATTTGAATTCAAATTGAAACCAAAACAACGAAGTTCGTTCAGTCACTTTGAAGAGTCTTAGTCAAAAGAACCACCAAACAATAAAACGAGTGTTTATTTGTTAATTAAATATATATTGTTTGATTAATTACATAGAGATATAAATATTTAAATACACTGTATTACTATGCATTTAATACATGATAATGGTTATAACTCATTCAACAATAACAACAACAACTCAAACAACAACAGCCCATCATCTGAAATTGATGACGATCAAACAACTAATAACATAAATATCTTAAAGCAACAACAACAAAGTGATAGTTTTGTAAACGATTATATATCATCATATGAATATAGTAATACAATGTGGAGTGATAATCACAATCACAATCACAACAGCCATCGAGGCGGTGCAGGTGGACTCGGTATCTCACCATCGTCTTCATACGAGTCACAATCATTGATCGATCATATAACGGCATCGGCATCAGCAGCGACAATGTCACCAAGCCAACACAACATGTTGACAATGGAGGATGCCCTATGTTTCAGTGATCATATCACAGCCAGTCACAACAGTACCAGCAGCAACAGCAGCAGTGGCAGTAGTATGAGTGGTGGACACCACAACGATGTCACCAAGTCACTATTCGATCACATGATGATATCGCCTGGTATTGACATTGGAATGGTGTCAAGCGCACCTCTCTCACCTGCACCCGTTATGCAACGTTATGTTGATGTTGGTAGCACGAGCGACAACTTCAACAACAACAACTCAAACACAAACAAAAACACAAGAAAGAGGAAAGATGGTACATCACTGGCCCGCTCAACACCAACTACAACAACGACAACACAACCAACAGAGACATTATATTGCAAGAGATGTCAAGGCGTTGCATTGGTCGACTATTATATCAACTTTGAGGAGAAGATATATTGTTGTCCTCAATGTCCCTATCCACTCGATTGTCAAGACGACTCAATATCAAACTTCATCTTCTCATCTGGCCACTCACAACGAAAGCATCTAAAGAGGAGTACTCCACAGTCAATCTCACACCAATCGTCAAGCTCAACGCACAGCCTGTACAAGTCTGGCTGAATGTATTAGAGAGCGAGGCTCGCTCCAGAGCCAACAATCAGTCATCCACTCTTCAAGTCGTTTTAACATGGCAATCATAGGAAAGGAAACAAGACTCAGTCTCCCTTTAGTTCGAGACAATAGCTCGCGAGTCCCAGAGGAGTGAGGGCACCATAGACTGCCCAGCCTCCCACCTGTGGATCTACTCCATGCGCCTCTATGAGAGGCGAAGCATAGCATGGGCCACGAGGCCGAGATATTTAAGTAAAGTACGTCATTCGATCATTGTCAGTTTGACAAACAGACAGACAATGAATAGTTTATTATTATTCTTATTTAGGAGCTCTTGGTCAAGGCGATGGTGTTGGCTGCGACATCAATCATACCACCAGATGGGGCATTGGTTGGCTGGAAGCTGGTGAAGGAACCAACGAATGCGCTCTTGGCGGCCTGGAAAGTGTAGGTCTGACCATCGTAGGACATGCCGCTCTCTGGGCCATAGTTCAGGCTGCCACTGAGAGAGGCAGTGATGGTCCTGATTGCTGGAGTGGAGACGTAGGCAGCGGATGGACGCACAGAGACAACAGAGAGGCCGTTGAGCTCGAGGTTTCCGTTGATGGTCAGGGTCTCGCCGACGTTGACGTACATCTGGCCGGAAGTCGTGACCTGGATGTCTCCATTGACGGTGATGTCACCCTTGATGTATAGCTGGCCGGCAACAATGAGACCCTTAGTGTTGACCTCAGTGTTGTGCTTCAAATTGAGGTAGACAAAGAATCCCTTGGGGACGTCGATGTAGTTGCAGGTGAAGGTTGCACTGTTGATGGCCAAAGTACCAGTTCCGACGCTGACATTGGCGTACGTTGGGTTGGCCTGGAGCACACGGTTCTCACCACCTGCGTTGGTCAAGCTTGGGGTTGAGCACGGTAACACCTCCGTAGAGTGAGATGGAGGTATTTCCATGGATCACAATGTTTGGTCCCATCGTGATGTTGCCGTTGGTGTCTCCAATCCAGAACTCAGCCGAGTCAACAATAATTGTTGACGAATCGCTCAGGTCCAGGAAGCTAAAGTAAAGTTGGCACTTGCCTGGATTGATGCTCAGGGTAATCTCGGGGTAGACAGTCAACTTGTTGCACTGGAACAAGCATCCCTCGAAGGTCATTGCTGAGGTCTCGTTGTTGCCTAGAACGATCTCGGTGACAGCAGTCAGCTGTCCTAGGAAGGTGGATTAAGAGTTGACGGCGACGTTACGACCAGAGATGGAGGCATGTTCTGCGACAAAGGTGGGGGCGTTGATCACGGTGTCCAAGTAGGAGTTCATAATGGCCTTATCGTTGAGATTGACCATACCATCAAGGTATGAGTTTCCAGAGAAGAAACGGGCATCATCATTTAAGTTGACTTCAGATGCGGCGTCTATGGTGAAGTTGGAGGAGGGAATCCCATCCAACACTTGCATCATGGTCGAGTTGTTCATGGTGAAGGAAGAATCAGCCAAGGTGAGGAAGTTGATAAACAACTTGGCATCACCAAGCATGGCGAAGGTCACGGTGGTCAGAGTCATGGAAGCTCCCTTAAAGATATATGGTAGGTGTTGGGTTCCAACAACATTGAGTTGGGTGTTGTGGCCACCAGTAACAAGTAAAGAGTCGATTGGTTAGGTGTGGTGGAGTTATCATCGATGATTAAGAGGGCAGGGTTGTTGTTGCCTCCTAGATCAATGATGAAAGTGTAGAAACTAGGGTTCTTGCTCCAGTTGGGGTCTGACCAGTATGAAGTTTGGCTAAAGATTGAACAACCCTCGGCTGTATAGCAAGAAGGTTGAACAATAAAATTGGTGTTCTTGGCTGTCGCCAAGCTGGCAGAAACCACAACAATTACTAACAAAGCAATAATAATTTTGGTATTAAGATTAAATCAAGACCGACTATCAATTGTGGCTACCCAAATGAAGAGATACACCAACATATTACATCTTGGTCATTGCAATTACATTCAATTAAATTGCTCACAATTGCAACTTTCAACAACATTCGCAAGCTACACCTGATAGTCTCACAATATCAGGGTTCTGCCAGGGACTTGCCCCCATTGTTGCAGTCGTACTTCAAAGACGAGAGGTCACAGATTCTAACCTCTCTCAAGTTTGATACTGATTATTTTGTTGCCGATATCATACGTATGATGCCAGAGGTCACAACACGTATCAAATCGATCAAGGTAAACAACTACCTCTACAACATACAGTCAAGACACGATGATCGTACAAAAGTTACAAAACTGGTTGAACACCTGTCACAGCCAATATTCTCGGATCTCAACAATCTGTCCATCAACTTTTGCAAAAAAAATCTATCTGATTGGTCCCCGCCAACTCCAGCCATCTCAACCATGTTATATCGCCATTATCAAAGATGCTGTCCCTCATGTCCACTCAAACAACATAGACTTGGTATATTTTTGGAAGAATAATAATAAATTGATTGATTGGCATAAATTAAATTAACATTGCAAGTACAAATGAATGGTTGTTCAAAATAATTAATGATTGTTCAAAATATTCACATTGGATCTTAGATCAAGAACGTTGGATCGTCTTAGTGCACCAAAAGCTAAACATATTATACATGTGTATTTGACCAATTTTCTCATTTAATAATATAGCATTTTGTATGGGAGTAATATGCTATGTCTCAAAGATATTGGGCCTTTCATCACCAACAACAAACATTGTGAACAACAACTAGAGAAATCATATGAGATTGTTCTTCTCTCTGGTAAATCAGTCGAGCAATCACTTTCCCCAGCACACCAACTTAAGTTGAAAACTAGACCTGGTAACCAGAGATCCATGTTGTATCGATTGTACCAGAGATGCTGCGCATCATGCCCACTCAAAAAACAGACACTTGGCACATTGCTGGATGAATGAAGTAATAAATAAGATTGGCTGACCCATCCAGAGAATGGGCAGGGCCAGCCAGGTAACTGTACATTTATGTTATTGCTGTGGCTGTTGTTGCTGCTGTTGTTGCTTTGGCTCAAGCAAGAGTGATTTGTCATACATCTCATCGTCATTGAGTATCGGTCTATCTGTGATCTTTGCCTGCATTTGGACATTGGGCTTCATTGGGTAGGCCAACTGTCTATATCCATTGGATGCGCTGACTATTGATTGAATAGACCTCAGCTTCTCCAGATTCAGTATCTGTGCACTCTCGTCCAACAATGTTTGTGATGCATCGCCAACCACAAACAAGTCCTTGCTGTATATTCCAATGTATGGTACGAGTGGCGGCTTGGTGATGTGTAGACGATCACGATAAGCCTTGTGATTGGAGTCGGTGGAGAACACCGCCTGCAGCGTGGCAAACACCTGCATCGACTTCTTTGACACGCGGTCCCAGCTCTGAGCCAGACGCTTGATGGCATAGTGTTGCAGACCCATCGTCAGTGCGTATCCGGCATGGAAGTTCTTAAGCTCCAACAGGTTGCTGGCCACCTCAATGAATGTCTCGATGACCTGTGCTCGCTGGCTTGCTGTCACAGCGGACAGAATCTCCGAGCCCACCCACGAGCTCCATCGATTGAAGCTTGCCACCATGGCCTGGAACGTGGGCGACTGCTCAGGCTTGGCGAAGCGGTTCTTGAGCAGGTCAAAGATGGAGAGCGCGCGGAACACTCGCTCGTCCATCAATGTCATCTGAATGGCCAGCTCTTCGCGATCAGAATCGATCATGTTGAACCTGCGCATGGGCATTGTGCGAGTGGCCGCGAGGATAAAGTCGTTCTTGGCCTTGCGTGAGGGCGATGCCACTGGTCGTGTGGGTGTGGTTGGTGGACTGGTCGCGGCTGGAGGGCTGCTGTCTGAGGGAACGGCTGGATGCTGGTCCACTCGCCTGACAAAGTCCTCCAGTGAGATGACCAACTTGTTCTCTTCGAACGATGCATTGCAACGAAGATTGTTTGTGAAGCCTAGTATTGCCTTTTGAAGATTGGATCCTGTTGGGGAGGTCCAGTATTCAGTTGGCTTGGACTCGACCAATGTTCGCAGAAGGAAAAGTACACGCTCGCGTAGACGTAGTCGCCAGGCCGCCGTGCGACCTGCGCTGCTGTGCTGCTCCAAATAGATTGAGAAAAGATGTTGTGCATAGTCTGTCGTGGGCATGAAGTAGTCATCATGCGTCAGATTGAATGTGTCGAGTAGTGTGTCGTCGCGATAGTAGATATCCGATAGCTTGACAAGGACGACGCTGAGCGGGGCGGCCCGCAGCACCTGGCGACCCTTCTTGACGACGTATTGCGTGTCGGCCACGTAGTCGGCAAGTATAGCGTCGTGATGCTCCAGGATGAATTGGAGCACTCGTGTGATCCGTCTAACACTCTGGTCCGTGGCAAACGATGGCACAATTCCAACGATCAATGGACCAAACACAGAAGAGAGGTGCGCGAGCACGGTGGACGATGATGCGGGTGAGACATCTGGGCTGGCCACATGCTGATGCTGGGCCACCTTGACAAAGTGATAGACCATCGCTTTGAACAATGACCAGTGAGCCAGGTGCTGCGAGAAGATCAGCGAGCGGATCATGCTCAACTTGTACTGATGGTTGTCCACGTCGTCGCAGAGCACCAGCTCCTCGGGCATCAGCGCCTGTGGCAGCGAGCTGAGGAAGTGTTTGAAGAGCTCGCCCACCACGTGTGGAGGCGTGCCCAGCTCCTTGTACACATCCTCACGTCCACGCTTAATCTGTCGCGCGAGGATGCCTACGGGCGTCGCGCCAACATCCTCATCGCCACTCGGGTCCGTGGCCGCACGATTGATTGATTGAGTGAGACTCTTGAGCAATGTCTCATCACACTCAAAAAGACTGAGGTAGATGCTGTTGACGGCCAGGCGATCAGTGGCCACAAACTCCTCGAGATGTTGGAACAGACGCAGGGCAAACATGGGGCAGGCCGAAAACTTGTCGTCGACGCGCAGCAATCCAAGTGGCACGCCAAACACATCCTCGCGCAAGTAGTTGTTGGCCAAGTTCTCCTTGCTCTTGCGCGAGCTTAACATTGAGTTGAGCTTGTCGATTGACTCCTTGTTCTTGGCGTCTGATGCCAACTTCTTGGTGCGGCCCTTCCTCAGACCAAACAATGTGTTTGAGCGATCACGACTGCTTGTGGTGGTGTTTGTGTCCCTAGGTGGCGACGAGACGGTGGCGGCGCCACTACTGTCCGAGCCAGCATATTGCTCGGCGGAGTCCTTGGATACCATTATTGATCGTCGCACTGACTTGGAGGGCATCGTGGTTGTGGTGTTGGCCGGGGCAGGCGGCTGCTTTGGTTCAATGATGACCACTGCAGATGGTGATGAAGATGAAGTTGTTGTTGCGATTGACTTGGAGATTGGCGATGAAGCCTCTGCCAAGGCGTTGATGCTTGGTCCTCCACCATATGGACGAGGTGGCGAGCTGCTTGATGCTTCGTCGGCCTCCTCCTCTGTCTCCCAAGCCGATGTGATTGGGTGTTTCTTTGGTGGCGACACCAAGTGGTCGAGTGGGCTGCCCTTTTCCATCTGTTGCTGTGGCTTCTTCTTGGTCACAGCATATGATGGAACCGACCCGCTACGAGACCTGACCAATGTGGACCTGTTGTTGGCATTGTTGTTGTTTGTTAATGTGGTGCCAATGATATTGTTGGTGTCTTCCTTCCTCTCGACCACGCTGACAGACGTGAATCTAACACGGCCGCCTGCTGAACTTGCTCCACCTCCATTGACCCTCGAAGAGGCTTCATCAACAGCCACTGGATGTTGTTTGATCGTCTGTGTGATTGGTGCCACCTTATTATTATGTATGTTTATCATCTGAGCGTACTTCATCTGTCTCATCATTTCCCAATATGCCGTATCTGCATTCTCAAAAAGTCCAAACACATACTAAAGTGATGGGTCAGAGGATGGGGATGGGGGTGGAATGGTTCCAGGTCAGTTGATCAATCAATCCAATCAATTATCCACTCAATCAAACATACTTTGAAGTCCTCTGTTGTGATCTCGATTGAACTACCAATTATTAGTGATGACACTTTCTTGATGCCTTTGATGTCTTTGAATGGTGTGCATTCCTGGATTATGTGTGTTTGATGGGTCAGCATGGCTGGATTGATGGATGATGCCGTGGACTCGTGAGTTTTACCTTTATCTCAGAGTTGAATATCAGACTGTAGAAACATAGATGATTGGTTGTTATATATATCTTTCCGGCTTTGGACACCTTGCGTCGATATGCGCATGGATGCTCAGACACGACCACTTCCTTCCTTGACAATCCAAATATCTCTATAATGTCTATTTCCTTTCCCATGCTTGTTGTCGTTGTTGTAGTTGATGTTGTAGTAGTTGTTGGATTTGTTTGAGCTGCAGTTGTTGTTGTTGTTGTATTTGATTGAGTGGAAGTTGGAGAAGTTGGAGTTGCTGGTGGAGTTGTTGATGAGTCTTGGTTGTCCTGTTGTTGGCCATTAATCCAATCAATCCAATCAATAAAGAAAATGGTAAAACAAGAAGGAGGAATGTTGAGAACCGTTGATTAGTTATACATCATTCATCACAACTCTATCTCCAAGGAGATCAACATCACAAACAATCAAACATCACTTGAGTCAGGTCAGTCTAGTCTGACTGACCAGATGGCATTGACCGTAAGTTAATTAAAGGAGCAAGTAATGTTGGTAAAGGTAGGGTACGGTAGGGTAGTTATGGTAGGGTATGGTAGGGTAGGTAGGTAGGAGCATGAATGTGACACCCCCCAGGTGCCAAGTATGACCAGGCGGGGCCTGCCACATGTGTGTACAACTACTGCTACTACTGCTACGACTGCTACTACTTCTACATTCTCCAACACTCACATCACAACCACACTGTTGCCAACAGCTTGGATATATATAGATGTCCATCAACATCAGCTGATTGGTGTGTATGTGTGTGTGAGTGTGTGTGACAGTGGGTGATTGATTGATTGATTGAGTGTGGACCGGATCACACACCCGTCAATCACTCAACACGCATCAATCACATGACCACTCGCTCCTCTCACTTACTCACTATTACTTGCTCCATCAACCTCATTCAATCCATCAATCAATCAATTAATCAATCCACATCAACCGACTGTTGTCAGTTCAATCGTTTGTTTGAGATATACATACACTGTTGCCATTGTTACCGCCAATGCTGCTGTTGTTGTTGTTGGCGGCGATCAAATCCTTTAGCTTGCCTATAAATGTCTGTTTGCGTAGCTGTGAACTTGGTGACATAGGTGAACTGCTACCATTGTCTGATCCCATGTCACCTGATCTATGCTGCTGAGGTGGACTCCACTGTTGCTGATGTTGCTGCTGATGATGTTGTTGATGTTGTTGATGATTCTGAGTGGCAATGCTTGGAAGGTGGTTAATCGGCTTGAGACTTGGTGAGTTGTTGTAGCTGCTGCTGAGGAGGACTGGTGATGATGGTGATGAAGTTGATGGTGATGATTGGAATTGTGGCGGTGATAGTGAACGTGGTGTGGAGGAGGTCGTCTCGGACAGATGGAAGGTGGGCGAGAGATAGTGCAAGGGTACGGGAACGGATGAAGCCGCTCTGATCCTTCCAGGTGTGATTGCGTAGCGCCATGGCTGAGGCTGTCCATCCTGCAACTGAAACTGTTTATAAGATTGTTGTTGAGACAACATTGTCTGCTTCCTATACATCTCTATCGACTTGTTTGGCGTGCTACTGCCACTGCCACTGCCACCCAACTGAGGACTACTACTATAAGGAGGTAATGGAGGCAGTGACTTTAGAGGCAGTATCGGTATGCTCTTTGTTGGCGTCATTGTATTCTTCTTGATGGTGGTATTGGACATCATGGTAGTTGTCATTGTCGTTGTTGTAGTTGTCGTTGATGTAGCAGCAGACATTGCTGATGTCCCTTGTGAGTGTCACACTCCTCTCCTCTGTCTCTCTCTTCCTCTTGGGTGATTGAATAATTAAATAAATAAATAAATAATGTATATATATTAAGTGTAGTCCATCCAAAGTAAGTAAGACAACAAGTTGATGAAGTCAAAGGTGGGTTGGGTTTGATGGGTCGGAAGAGTCCCAAGATCATAGCGTTATCAAGAAGTGAGTGTTTAGGGTTGTGGGGGTTGTGTTTGTGAAACAATCTCACAAGTGAAGTGAAGTTCTGACAAAAACAAGGTCTGGTCCAAGGGTTGATCCGAAGAGTCTCACTCACTGACACTTTCATTCATTCATTCATTCATTCACTCTTCATTCATTCAATCATCTTTGATACAAACATCAACCCTGTTGAGAACAGAAAGAACTACAACAAACACTATATATATTATACACATTAAGTAACTGATCGATCACAGGTTGTATATATAATGAGCGAGTCTACAAATAGTAGTAGTAGTAATGTCACCGTCGAACCTTCATCATCATCATCATTGAATAAACAACAACAGATACATAATAATCAACAAAATATACAGCAACAGAGCCAACAACAAGGGCAACAACAACAACAGACACAACAAGCACATAATCAATCGACAGGAACAACATCATCTCTGAGAAAGTCAAAACAACATCCTAATACATCATTGATAAATGGAAAGACTACGACTGGTCCATCGACAGCAGGTACTTCAGTACAACAGTCATCACAAGTGAATGGCACTTCTTCATCAAATACAACTGCAACAACAACGACCACAACCGACACAAATCAACACCAACATCTGAGCCAACAACAAGTACTTCAACAACAACAGATGCACTTGTCACAAGCGAGTAAACTGTTGCATATGCAACAACAGGGTCCTCCCCAACTATCCCCGCCCGCTCTCTTTGGCATAATCGAGCCACAACTCTACCGCACCAACTCACTCTACCCGGTCAACTTCCCCTTCATCAAGATGCTGGGTCTCAAGACCGTTGTGCAACTGTCTCCCGAGGTCCCGATCAAGGCCGTCACCACCTTCCTCGAAGAGAACAACATCAATCTGGTAAGTATCCATCTCTGTCTCCCTGTCTTGCTCGGCCCCTCACTCACTCTCACTCAATCAATCAATCAATCAAACATCCAATAGATACATCTTGGGCTCAAGGCATGGAAGGCAGACACATCTTGGAAGCCTGTGACAGAAGAGTTGATTAAGGAGACGATGGAGATTGTGTTGAACTATGACTTCTATCCTTTGATGATCACGTGCACGTCTGGAATACACCAGACGGGTGTGCTGGTGGGATGTCTACGCCGCCTGCAGAACTGGAACCTCACGTCCATCCTGGTGGAGTACCGCAGCTTCACGGGACAGAGCAACACACGCTACGTTAACGAGCAGTTTATCGAGCTGTTTGATGTCGATCTTGTAACGTTGCCCAATAACCTGCCGCGTTGGTTCGTTGAACAACAACGTCTGTTGGAGGAAGAGGAAGAGAATGATGACTTTGATGATTGGAGACAACAGAGCGACGACGCCAACAACAGCAACAACAACAGCAACAACAACAACATTAGTGATAATCAAACAACAACAAAGCTATGACAACATCATCATTGCATCGATGTTTAGTCGTCATCCAAAGTGTAAAATATCCACATGATCATTCGTCAATCAATCATTCATTCCATCAATCAATCAATCATATGACTTGGTCAAGGATTGGTCCAGTCCAGTCCAGTCCAGTCCAGCAATCCTTTGATTGATAGGGTTGACCCTTTCCTGAAAGATCAGTGATTAGTCAGTGAGTGGTGGTTGGCTGATCGTCAACGCACCTGATCGATCAGGGTCGAGATTTTGATCACCACACTCGCACACTTGTGGTAAAAGAGTGACCCGAGAGGTGATGGCCTCGAGACTGATGGTCTTTGATTGTGGATGAATCAAATACCCACGTTTGCAGGGTCTTCTCTTCTCTTGATGAAACATTAACATAATCATTATAACATTAACATTAACATTAAACATATACTATTACTATTACTATTCATTATTATTTATTTGTAATAACAAATAATATGAGTTAAGGTGTGTCATTGGATATGACGAGCTCAATTGGCAACACAACTAATAGTGGTGGCCACAACAACAACAATGGTAGCAACTATGGTAGTGGCAGTGGCGGTGGAAGTGGTGGTAACAGTGGCAACAACAATAACAATAACAATAACAATAGCCTAAATAATAGCATTGGTAGCAACAGTAACAGCAACAGCAGTAGCAGTAGCAATAGCAGTAGCAGCAAACATCAACAACAACAACCACACACACATAACTGGGTACGCAAACACTTCTCAAGACTACCCTACTGCTTTGTTTGCACCAGACTGATATGGGATGTTGGCAAAGTAGGCTATTGTATGTACATCATTCATTCAATCATCACATGAGTCAGTCACCGATGACTAACTTGTACACACTTTACAGGCTGTACACATTGCTCATTGTCATCACATATCAAGTGCATTGATCCTACATCACCTTTGAAATCATTGCAACCATGTACCTTTACAAAGCATGATTGGGCCAAGGAGAAGCCTGATCATGCAATGTCATGCTCTGGCTGTGACAGACCAATCATTGCATTCGATGACCTAACATGTCTACATTGCCTAAAGTGTTCATTAAGGGTATGCATGATCAATGATCACTCATGGAATGATTCCATCCATCCTGACACCCCTTTCAATCATTCAATCAATCAAATAGTCACACAAACATTGTAGGAGCATGGCACCAAAGTGCGAATCAAAGACGTTGTTCTCGATTGTAAGATCATCATTCAATGATAGTGGAAGTGGAAGTAGTAGTGGAAGTGGAAGTGGGAGTGGCAATAGTAGTGGCAACTATAGTAGTCTGTTGGACAACATGGCCACGCCAACGATCAGCATCAATCCACCTCCTTTGAAGCCACTCAATGTGATGTGTTCTCAATCAATGAAGAGTCCGACGCCTTCGCCAAACAATGCTACGCCAGGTGGTCCCGGCTCCAACAACCCGGGCACGCCCACCCCAATGGCGGCCATGAGCTCGACGGCCACCTCAATGTCTGGCGGCAACACACTAAACTTTGCCGGTGCGCTGGTCACCAGCAGCACAGGATCATCGCCCACCAACTCTGGATCGTCGCCGACCATCACACTGATCCAGGGCCAGCAGCTTGGCCTCTCAATGGGCAAGACACAGTCGCCGGCCAGTCTCTTGGCCGTGCCAGACACCGAGCCCACCACCACGACCGTGTCAGTGTCATCGCGACCTTCCAGCGACTGCATGGACCAGACGTACGTCAAGTCGTACCTCACCTACCAGCTGCTGGCCATCGACAACTTCAACGAGCTGGAGCTGATCAATCTACGCGAGGTCTCCTCGACCAACCAGATGCTGCTGTTCCTCGAGCGCGTCAAGTCCATCTTTGCCAGCCTCGTGCCCAAGATGAGCACCAGCGCCACGACCACCGAGGGCTACACACGATTCAACAGCATCGTGCACATATTCCACTTTGAGATGCTGAGCTTTGGTCGCCTGCGCACCCAAGCCCAAATGGAGCACTATCGACTGGTGATGGAGCAGTTCCTCCAGGTGTACGCGCGATGTGTCAACTGGGATGAGGAGGACAACGAGTCCACGCTGCGCCTGGCCCTCGACTTTTACAATCATCTTTTCACTCATCGCACCGACCCTGAGAACGTGCTCATCGGCATGACTCCCAGCAAGGATATCCAAATGCGCATCAAGAAGTACTTTTATCTAAGCAGCGGCGGAAACAGCGGCGGCAACAGTGGCGGCAACAGCGGTGGCAATAGTGGCAACAGTGGCGGCAACAGTGGAAACAGTGGCGGCAACAATATTGGCAGTGGCGGAAACAACTCAAAGTCATCATCAAACAAACGTGCATCCAACAACAACAATGCCAATATGTTGTGGGAGTTGCGAGTGTCTCGCCAGGCACTTGTGGACAACATAATATCATGTGGCAAACTCGACGATAAGGAGTTGTTGCGCACGATAAAGGAGTTTGCGCAGCATTTGGACAAGGAGAAGATGTCGCCCAGCGACATTGTCGTGGTCAAGCTGCCCAAGAACTGGACGATGGGTCGCATGGTCGATCCCGTGCACCACGAGTTTGACGAAGGTTCGTTCGTGTACGCGCGATACATGGGCGAGGCCGACCACCTGGGCATGGACTGTTACGTGCACATCCATCCCGACCAGACCGTGGGCCGCGTACGCATACCCTACAGCCGCGTTGTCTCGCTCTCGCTTATCGACATGGCACTACCTCAGCCGCTCTCGGGCAATGAGAAGAAGATTGAGCGCTACGTCACCAACCCATTCGACGCGTTCCACACCGAGCTCAACAACGCCGTCAAGGAAGTGACGCGCAAGCATCTGGCGTCGTTCGAGGCGGGTGACACACCCCTGCCAGTGTACAACAGCGCCAAGATCATACAGATGGACAAGTTGCTGAAGCTCAAGTCAAAGATCCTGTCGCTGCGCGACAACAAACAGTTCCAGCGCGACATTGACGAGATGTCGCACATGTTCACAGTCTTCTTTGTGCGCTACCTCAAGACTGTCTACATGAACGAGCTCAAAGGACAGTTCAAGACCTTCATCAACTGCCACTGTGGCAGCAGTACGTGCCCCACGCCAGACATGGCCGCGGCCAATGCCCCGATGTCGGGTGGCGAGTGCAGCCCGCCCATCGACATCAATGTGGACGCTCCAAGACACTTGGTCGAAGAGTTCAATCGAATGAATATGAATAGCCGCGCGTCAATGTCGGGAGGGCAGACCGCCGGCGCCGCGACGCCTCAGACACCCGAACAATACTTCCAGGCGACGCCGATCAAACAGGCACAAGCGACCTATGCCAAGGTGCATAAGCAGTTCACAAAGTTCAAGCCATACATGCCGTCGCTATTCCAGCTGATACAGGACTTGGAGGCAGGACGCGTCCCATGTCTGAGTGCGCGCGATGCCCTGCTGACACTGTGCGAGGAGATCGACCTACATATCTCGACACTCAACGCCACAAACAATATGATACTGGGCGGACACAAGAAGACCGAGTTGGTCAATTGGTGGACAGCGTTGGTCAACTCCGCGGTGGACCATCACCTGGTCGGCAAAGGCTACACTCCCGTGTTGGCCGCGTCGTCACTTGGCAACTCAAAGGAGGGTGCGCCGTCCATGTCCACCATGTCAATCCTTCGCGAGAACTTGATGATTGTCAACTCCATGCTGGAACCAAACACGATGGACAAGGCCATTGATACGGCCAACCTAATCAATGGGCTGCGGAAGAAGGTCTACGACCGAGTGGACGAGTATCTAGTAATGGCGCGATTCATATTGTTGGACTATGTAAGTTGATTGGAATAGTTCCAGCCCCCTTCACTCACTGACCTGACTCACTCACTCAATCAATCACAGCTGAAACGCAACGAACATATATTTAAGGATCAGTTGTCGATTGAATGCTACACGGACAAGTATGACGATGCACACTTGGACAAGATATTGGATGTCTTGGACGGGCGATCGTCCGTGGCAATGATGACGAACTTGGTCAGAGACATGGTGCACTTTCGAGACATGCGCCTAAAGGAGGAGGAGTTGTATTATACATTGAGGTCTGCCGATGCCACCACTACTCACGTGTCAGCAATGCTTGACAACACGTCGGTCACAGGACTTGTTGTATCCAAGCTTTACAAGGCAAGACTAGAGATCAAGACAGTGCTGGAAGTGCACGATCCACAAGTACACGCATATCATTATGGCACTTAGACATATTAAAGTATTTCCATTTGGAAGTTCATCACAACATATCGTTTATTCAGACTTGGTCGTGGATATGTTCTTTAACCTTGACTCCATTATCTTGCGCTCTCGAACGTGGTGCCTGTATCTCTTGACAAACAGAATGGTTCCTAAAGAGGCGGCGATGACAAATGCACCCAAGACTACAACGATCGTTACAATCTTCCATGTTTGGAATCCTTCTTCAGACCTTGGACACAAGACATCATTATCATCCAATCCATTTGAGACTAATGCAGAGAAGTTTGGATCAACAATACATTGTTGACATTGTGGTAGATGTATACCAAAGTATGTTAAGTCCTTGGAGGTGTTGATGATCTCATTCCTCGAGTATGAAGGACGTCCATCTGATATTGCATATTGAAGGAATCTTCCATAGAAAGTAGTTCCATTGAATGATACCTTGATATACTCCAAGGAGTTTGATTGATTCTCAGATACACCATCACATGTGGACTGAGGCGCACTTACTCCCGAGGTAGTGAAGACAATGCGGAGTGAGTTGAGATTGGACATGAATGACCATCCATTGATTGAACTAATCATCTTGAGTGATGAAGCAGGGTAGAATCTTGTCTGACCAGCAAAATCAATCATTCTTGATTTGTTTGAATACTCCATGATAGTGTTGACCATGAGGTTAGAGTTGGTCAAGTTGATTGACTTGGTCATATTGGCAGTGTAGTTATATGTTTGAATATCTCCTTCCATTGTTATAAGTTGTGACCAACTGAGTGGACTTAGCTCTTGTACAACCACACCAGTGTTGTCCAATTCTTGAATTGAGACCATGTTGAATTGGAACAAAGTATCATTGGCTCTCAATGTGATTGAAGGTGATGTATCATTGGTATTGACAACCACAACAGGTAAAGATTTGAATTGACAAGCATCACCATCATATCCATCATAACATTGGCACACCTTCACGATACATTTGCCATTTCCATTGCAGTCTGCTTTACATCCATCTCTGGATACTACATTTGCGTCGACTATAGAATGATTATGTTAATTATAAATTATGGTTAATATCAATCACATGACACTTACCAACTTCCAAGATTGATCCAGATTTGAAGATATAGTTGTTGATCGTCACTGAGAGGTTGGCCATTCCAGATTTGATTGTACCATCAATATTACAAGTGATTGATGACTCAGAGATTGTTAAGACTAAACATTGTTTAGAATTGATCAAGACCAAATGTTGTTCAAAAGTATCGATTCCAAACTTTCCAAACAAGCTGACTACTCCTCCTTGGCTTGATATTGGTGGTGCCGAAGTAACAATAGGGAACCCTAGCAAACATTACTAAATTAGTATAATACATATAATAGATTGATTGGATGACTTACAAGGTAGCTTGAGATCCATGGACTTTACAAGTTGGTAATCATTTCGAATGATTAGGTTGTTGGTGTAGACTTGAGTGTTGAATGAGTTGATTTGGAATGATAGTGTACTGGTTGACTTTGATTGAATAATTGATTTGTACATGTTTAAATCAACATTATAAATCAAATTGGTATCAAATGTTCCATATATTGTACAAGTCAATGTTCTATCTAGGCGATATTGACAAGATACTTTCATTACATTGGAGTCTATAAATAAATATAATAGAGTTAATATTAGTTGATTGATTCAGATAATAATACATACTGTCTGATATCCATTGAATTGTTGCATTGAAGAATGTTGAGAATATAATTGTAACATTTCCAGATGTATTTGATGGTGTGTAGACACATAATCTATTAGGAATGACCATTGATATATTGTTGAATGGTCCCAAAGGGAAGTATCCCAAATTCCTACCATAAATAGATATTGAAGTAATATTATTTGATGGTGATAATATATAAAAGTATTTCTCAATTGATGCATCTAAAATTGATGGTCAATAATATGTATCACATCGAATTGGAACTCAGGTTACTTACTACATGAGAAGTTACTTGGTGGAGGTGGTACGGTTGAAGACATGTGTGCCTTGTGATAGTCCCAGTAACAATAAATACATTCAGGTACCTTTGCAATTGAAGTATTAATAATACTCAAGTACTTGATGTAACAAACTGACTCTGGGAGACTACCTTCCAATCCATAATTTCCATCCAAGTTGTAAGATAATGGGAAATGATCACCATAATCAAACACAGATCCATCTAACATATTGTTGGAGAAATCACTGATTTGATAGAGTTGATTGGTATTAGTCAATGTGTGAATATGTGCCGTAAATAAACATACACTGTTGATTGATTGGTCCACCATTGGTGATTGATATCTTGAATTGGGAAAGTGGATATGTTTGAATCTTGAAGTTTGAGAGTATCAAGTTTGTAGGCATTTTTGATTGAGTTTGCATGATTCATAATCACCCTGTTAAGTCTGGGGAATGTAGTTAAGTCTGTTGGTGCTACATATGCTCGAGTAAATGTCCTAAATTAAATATAATAATATTGGTTAATATTAATAATAAATAAATAATCATATAAATAATTAAAATTACATTGACTCCAATTGAGGGGCACTGGCAATATTGACATTTGATTGAATCGCATCAACCATCATAGTGTTTAATGCCCTATTAATTATTGACATAGTTAGTTTTTCAATCTTTAATCCATCTCATGGAATTAACATACAATGATTTCAAGTTTGGTAAGTCAATAATATAATTATTTCCTTGGTATGATGTTATATCACTAATTGTAATAAAAATGTTAATAATTGGATATCAATATTATGAATAATTAATAACTTACATGACTTTCAATAATGGATATCTATCATGGCTGAAGTTCATTGTTTGTATCAAGGAATAGTCTTCTGGATATTGGAGTATCCTATATTTGTTTGATTGGGCATGTTAGTAGTAAATAAATAAATTGTTTGTTCTTGACTTACAATGATACCAAGTTTGGAAATGAGAGGGAGGAGTCAAACTTTAATTCAAGTGCACTGTAGTAGAATGCTGAGATCCTTAACTCCACTAATGATGGTTTGAATAATGTCGCCGGAACACTGGATATCAATTTGCATTGTGATATGATACTGTATAAAAATATATTAATAATAGTTGATCATTCTTTCCATGATTTTTGGATATACTTACAACTTTTGCAAAGTCAATGATGTTGGAAAGAATTGTGGAATTGAGTAGGTTCCAGTGAAACTGTAAGATATGTTACGAAGTAGTTTGTTGGCAGAGTTATCAATCAATTCAAGAAAGTTGGCTGATTGATTGGCAACACTCATCGTCATATCATTTCCAATTGAGATCGACTTCAAATAAGGAAACTCCAATATTGCCTGTTGTGAATCAGGTATACCCTGGGCCTTCTGAACCTCAACAAAGATAATACTAATATTATTAATCATAAAGTTAGTCTTTGTTTGATTGATTAAGTGATTGAGTAATTGAGTTAACTTACATTGTATTGATGTTTTCTTCATTAAAGTTCCTGGTGTTTGATGAACAATCCAGGAATATTGAACCTGTTGGATTGTTGCTGTTTGAGATCTGATCACATGTACTTCCATTGATATCACAATCAACCATATATTGTTGAATTAACCATTTGAGTGATGACACTAATGTGGTTGGATGAAGTCAGTGATCGCGTGATCAAGTGTTTGAATGGACATGGGATGGAGGGGTGGTATTATACCTACACTCTTGTTGATTGAGTGTCTGGCCTGATGCTGGAGGTATGTTGTCCAAGAATAGGAATAGGACCAAGATCAATAAAGTAATTAGTAACTTATTCATTTTAATATTAATTGCAGAAATAGTCAATGAAATCAACAATAACTGATTCTACACAATTCATTATTAAAAGAGAAGTACTATCATAGGAGATCAGTAAGCCTGTCAGTGCAGTCTGAACAGTGTTGCGCTATGCATGCATAACTTGGAGTGAGGCGAGACAAAGAGTGATAGAGATAGAGAAGTAAAGTAGATCATATCCTACCCCCGCCCCCTTATCAACCAATGGGAGGAACAGATGGCTTTAACAACATTATGATGAGGATGACTGTGATGCTAATGTTTGTTTGTTTGTTTGTTTGATAGGTTCGTTGTCTCTTTGGTAATAATAATAAATTAATTAATTTAATGTTGATTCGATCCTTGATTGATTGATGATTGATTGATTAGTTTGGTTCAATTAATTAAACATCACCAGTAGCAACAGCACCATCAACATAAGCTGAGATAGATAGTTTAGCAAGATACTATTTCGAAGAGTACCACTGCCATCCAATCCATGGTCGGGTATCAAAGTGGGCTAATCACCTATCACAAGTGATTGATCTCCAATAGAAGCTCTAGATAGTTACATCGAAGTCGTCCCAAAGTCGTAACAGTTGTGTGTGTGTGTTTGATCGAATGTGTGTGTGTGTTTGATCAAAGTACATGTTGGTGTTTGGAGAATGAATGAACGAATGAATGACCTCGAGGTCCTGGCCCATCAAGTCTATGTTACCCCCATGACCTATTTTATCATTATGGATATCCCATCCAATGAAATGAAATGAAACGAATAAATATCATGATTTGATCAACACGTTGTAAACCTTGAACTTCAAGTGATTGTAATACATGTAACTAACATAACATTTATAACTAGGTATATGAATTCATGTTATAAATACAAAATAGAAATGATTAAGAACTATCCCTTATCCTTCAGCAACATTTATTTATTTTAAATAATTATTGATAAATATCTTAATGAATTATTGACCGTCTTTGAAATTAAAGATATTTTTGATCATGGATTATTATTAAGATGGGTCACAATGTCATCCAATCCCCCATTGAGATCAATCCATCTTTAATACTCCTCCCAGGATGGTCGCACTCCCATCACCAACAGGTATATGTTGGGGCTTGGGAACCAAGTCCATGTGACTGTGTTGGGTTGTGATCGAAGGAGACCTCACAAGAAAATTCATCATCACCATCATTTTGATTGTGCCCATCAAAGCCCCAAAATCAAAACAGGCCCCAAAAGGATGCACCCAACTGCTTTGAGCATGCGAAACTGAATCACTTTTGTTACTCACGTGTCACAAACAAACAAGATTTCCAACGAATAATTCGCAGCGACAGGTGACCTCTGTTCCCGATCTTTGCAGTCTGCACGCTTGCCATCTGTTGTCGTGGATCACTCTGTTTCGAATCACTATTTCGCCCGACACACGATAACCAGTAAACTATATCACTATCATCCATAGCCATCAAACGATCAACACATCTTCATCATATATAATATCTCTCTATCTGTATTATTTTTTTAAACATATATAATTATACAAATAATAATAATAATTATGTCAATCTCACAACAATATTCAATGTTGTGCACAGCATTGTTGATGTGCTCAATGATGATGGCCGCATGTTTGGCCAACAACCCACCTAATATACCATATGATCAGTCAACTGCTGAGGACTACTTGTTGTTGTCATACAATGCTTATTGTCCAGAGAGTGTTATTACTTCATGGAACTGCCAACGCTGCCAAGACGACTTCTCCATCGTCAGCAACCCAATAGTCATCTACAACAACAGCACTGACACACTGTGCTACGTGGCCACCTATGGCGAGACAGTGTTTGTGGCCTTCCGTGGCTCCACCGACATTTCCAGCTGGATCACCAACATGAAGTTCTTCCAGACCAGCTACCCCAAGGTGGCCGGCGGTGAGGTCCATCTCGGATTCTACGAGGCCTACATGTCTGTGCAGGCCGATGTCCAGAACGCCCTGTCCTACCATCTCAAGAACTGCCCATCGTGCACCAACATCGTCGTCACTGGACACTCACTGGGCGGCGCCCTCGCCACCCTCTGCATGGCCGACGTCGTCGAGTGGTTCTCAGCGCTCCCAACCATGTCCTACACATTCGGTTCGCCACGTGTCGGCAACATCATCTTTGAGGAGTACTACAACTCGATCCAGCCAAACACATGGCGTGTCGTCAACCAGAAGGACATCGTGCCCCACGTGCCACCCCAAATCCCCATCCAGTACCATCACGTCTCCAACGAGATCTGGTATCCAAAGAATGCCACTGGTCCCTACGTCGTGTGCAATGACTCTGGCGAGGACCCCAAGTGCTCAGATGCCGTCAGCCCCCTCTTCTACAACGTCTACGACCATCTCCACTACTTCAACCAAGTCAGTGGATGTCCAATGTAATGTACATTCCCAACTTATATCAATCTATCAAACGCAGCGAGCGACCCGACGCCCCAATAAAACCCCAGGGCACAGACAGTACCTTGGCGCGCCAATGGGAGGGCCTACTTCCATTGGACATTGTTATTTATATACACTGCCTAGCTAGCAGCCTGACAAGTTAATTGGCTACATGGGCCAGGGGGGGTTACTAATACTATATATGCTTGGGGGATGAATGGATGGACTGTAGTCGATCGACTTGAACTGACTTGACTCGATCCTATATTGACGAGGATGTTACATTATTGATACCACAGAAGGCTGGCAATGCTGATGCTATGACGCTGTTACAGGTACAGATGTCGTCGGCACTACAGAGACCTGCGCGTGGGATTCGTGCACATGTCCAGAGTAGGCCAAGGAGTCCCATGCCTATGCTACCATAGACGAGGAAGGCCAGGTACCACTTGTGTTGTGTCATCCATTTCCACGTGGGCTGGATTGGTAGCTTGAAGTACTTGGTCTCGAACAATGTGCATATAAACTCTGACACCAGATCAAGGCCAATGGACAGCAGGGTTTGGTTGAAGAGTGTCAGTGGTATGATCTGGCCATTGTCAAAGAAGTGGAACAACAGTGCCCACTTCTGGAAGAGGTAGATGAAGATTGGCGCGCTTATCAGACCAGAGAACTCGAGTGCAACTTGTACATTAAGGATGGCCGCGCGAAGCTTGAGGCTCTCTTGGCTGTAGACTATCTTACGGGCACGTTCACGACCGTAGAGTACCGTCAGCACCCACTCGTCACGCTTCAGGGCGACCGCGCGAAGCAACACCTCCTCAATGGCCGACACCACCATTCCAACCTCGGTAAGGTATGGCTCGGACGCGGAGAATGTGTAAACAAAGATCTTGCCAATGGTCTGATGGTGGAAGAAGGTGTGAAGGACGATGTTTGTGTTGAGCATGATGTCCTCAGTGCCAATGTCGCGCGTGAGGAACTGGCGCGCCACAATGACGATTGATGTCCAGTACAAGGGATGGACGACGAGGCGCCAGCCCAGTCTGAGGAGGTCGCTCTCAATAGAGAAGTACACTGGCAGCAGGAGGAACATGTAGAGTACGGTGAAGATGGTGACTACAATGTCTGGCGAGGAGTAGTTGTATGCGATGAGGTAGGCCTTCTTGGTCGATGGCACCACGTCATGGTTCTCCTTCTGTATCGTCATGGACATGTTGTAGGCAAATAGGAATTGGACGCCAATATACATCAGCACGATGCCAATAGCATCAATAAGGTAGTACCAGTAGTAGAAGCCCTTGAGGAACATGATCATGTAGAACATTGACACGGCCAACACCACGACCGCAGTGTACTGTAGAAGGCGAGCTTCGCGCACTCGTCTGTAGCCGTAGGATACGAGGAATCCAAGGATAATGTAGAATGGTCCAAAACACAGGATGGCAACCTGGAAGAAGATGTTGAAGGTTGTACGATTGAGGTAGATGCCTGAGCCTGGTGCACCGGTCCATGGGAGCAGAGACATGAGGTAAATGGCGATGCCCACAAAGCTGGCGACGATCAATCCAAAGACATAGCGCTGTCCCATCAGGCGGACGGTTGACCAGCCTTGCCATCCAACATCCTTGGCCGAGTACAGGTTCTCGCCCAGCTGTTCAAACTCCTTGGCCATCTCACCACCCATGCCACTGCCCATGTTGGTCTTCTTGTCGTTGTCCTCGTCGTCACAGGTGCCGACGCCGCCCTTGGTAGTTGAGTCAATGCTTAACATCTCAATGCCACTCTCTGCAAGTGATCGATGGTGGATTGCCGCTGACAATGGACCATTGGAAGTTGCATGACTGTTGGATATTGAGCTCTCGGTGAACATTAGATCGAGTGAGTCTCCAAGATCAATCTCGTTGGTTGTGTGGGGATGGCCGCCATTGACGTGAAGGCTGTGGTTGGCAGTCCGGAACGACATATTTGGATTGAATGATGTTGACAATGTTGTAAGGTTGTTTCCAAAGGATATAGTTATCAAGTCTCCTCCTTCCATGACGTCTGTCCCAGTGTTGGAACTATCATTGGCATTGACGTCATTGAGGTTATTGTTGTTGTTGTTGTTGGAGTCCATTGATTGATTGAGTGAGGTGAGTTGTAACTGTATGTCTATATTAATTAATGAATGAATGAGCCATCATTGGACTCTGGCTTGGGCTGGGATGGCTTGTACACAGCGCCTCATCCTCGCCTTGATTGCTATACTCTGTGATGATTGATTGACACAAGTAGTAACAGGCAGAAGTGATGCTATAACCGATAAGATGTTTGTGACAGCAGCATCAGCCTGAAGGATACAAACCAGCTCTCTTGTGGTGCAATCCCAATTGGTCACTCACTCTATCATCGAACAATCTCCTCGAGGTTGCGTGTGCAGCCAGACAACAACTCAGCGATACGATATTGATTTACATCGTAGTCTTTGAATGAGTGAGTTGAGTTGAGATGAATGAGGATGAGGCGTTGGTGTCATTCATTAATTCTCGTAACATCAACCTTGAGCTCATGCATCGATATCATGGGCAGTGTCAGATTGCAATGCACGCAGGCGTGTGTTACTGTGTCTTCTGTTGCCTGTTGGTCCTTACTACGTTGCCCACATCTTGACCCTACCCGCCAGATGTGATAGACATATTTAGATCGGCTGTTATCGTGTCGCTTCGTCCATCCACCAATATCCACACACCACAACTCTGCTCTTCGCTCTCCTCTCTCTCTTTGTTTTTTTGATCATCAATTTGAGGGAGTTGTGGAGATTATTTGAGATAAACCTTTGGGTTTGGAGACTCTACAAGGTGTTCGCCCTTCATTCAGACACCATGTCAATAATCAAATCAAAAGTTTATATCTCTTGTACATGTACTAACAGGTCATTTGCAGACTAACAACATTAACTAGTGTCAAGGCAATCCTCCATCATTGAAGTTAAGGTCAAACTCTGGTCCATGGATCTCCAACTTCATTACCACACACACTCACACACACTCACTCACACACTACTACTCAAGTCGACTTCGATGATTCCTCCAATCAATCACATCAACACAACCCACATCCACATTCATTCAGACAGATACACACACTTACTCCGACATTGACATTGACATTGACATTGACAATGACAATGAATTGGATACTCAATATGGCTGGATATACAAGATTGAAGTTGATTGATGTTCACCAATAGATTCATTCAATAATTGTTCTTGATGGATGGATGAATGAATGAGTGAAGATGAGTGAACTCTTTGCCTACTTACATACCTTGAGTTACTTAGCATATATGCTAAATGTGTGTCCTTGGACGGACAGGCGGATGGATAGATGGATGTTAAGTCAATCTTACCATTCTTTAACTTGTGGTTGTCATCCTAACAACAACTGTTGACTTCTATCAGATCTAACAAACTACCTCTATTCTATCTATCTTCTTAGACTTGTACAGATACCTAATATATAATAATACTACATACCTTACAAATAATAATAATATTACATTTATAATAATGATGGAACAATCAGAGGAACACATGGCAATTGAAGCCGCAGGACATCTGTTTAGGAAGATGGGAGAGTTCGATGTAAAGACGATTGCAAAGATATTGGTGAATGGGAAGCGACATCCTTTGATTAGAATGGACCGCTCATCATTGGGCGATGATGTGGTGTACATCGCAGCGGCACTCAAGCAACAGGCCATGGTCGAGACATTGGACCTTTCGAGCAATGGTATCACATCCAGCGCCATCAAAGACCTGGCCGAAGCACTCACCACCAACCAACACTTGCTCTACCTCAAATTGGACAACAACCCGATCAGCGATGACGGTGTCGCCCATCTGGCTCAAGCACTCTCTCAACCGGACATCGTGTTAAAGTCATTATATCTCTCAGACTGCCGCATCAGTGATCGCGGCGCACTTGCGTTGGCCGAGGCGCTAAAGTCCAACAAGTCGCTGGTGACTGTGCACATCAATAGTAACCGGGCCATTGGCAATGATGGCGCTTCATCCATCGCCACAGCACTGGAGCATAATACTACATTACGCAATCTCAGTATGTTCCAGTGTTCAATTGGTGATGAAGGCGCTACACGCATGCTGGCTTGCTTGGACAACACTGGCGTGCTCAATCTCAATCTCAAGTGCAACCAGATTGCCAAGACATTGATGGATCAGCTGTCAGAGTGCACGATCAACAAGAAGGTCAAGGAAAGGAACAAGCGTATCCAGGCTGTGGCACATGACCTCATCACTGAAGAGGCCGAACGAATGGTCAAGATCAAGATGATCGACCTTGGTAAAAAGGAAGAGGAGATCCAGACCAAGCAGACCGAACTCAATGTCAAGGTGAAGGAGTTTGAGAAGAAGAAAGGTATGTGTACTGGAGCAGTGCCGGAATCGATGGACTTGGACAACATACTAATTTGATTGATTGATTGATTGGATGTTTGTAGACAAGGTGGACAAGAAGGAGAATGCAAAGAAGGCCAAGGAAGAGAAGAAGAAGGAGAAGGAAGAGAAGAAAACCAGGGCCAAGGTGGAGAAGGAGGAGAAGCGAGAAAAGGACAAAGTGGAGAAGGAGCGAAGGATAAAGGTTAAAGAAATGGAGAAGGATGCAGCACTCAAGAGGAAAGGAGGTATGTTAAACATCAAATCACTCAATGGTACTATTCCACTCACTCACTCACTCACTCAATCAATCAATCAAACATCAGCCGATTCAATGACCCTGGTAATTGCTGGCGATAACAAGATTGATAAGGAAACATTGGTAGAGTTGTTCTTGGATATAGTTGAAGACACGAGTGTCCTGTCTGATTCGGACTTTGAGAAGACTGTTAAAGGATTGATGTCTGTTGAGGGCCGAACTGTGGAGTTCACAATAATCAATACAAGTGGCCATGATCGATTCTCAAGACTGAGAGCACTCCAATATGAACATGCCGATGCCGCACTGGTAGTGTACTCGGCAAGCGACCGTGTATCATTCGAGGATGTATCATTCCAGTGGCTGCCAGAGATCAACTACATGGGCAAGCGACCGATCTTTGTCTGTGGAATGCATACTGACTCACGTAACGACGAAGACTTGAGGCCGACCGACGTCTCTGCCGATGAGGGCAAGGAGCTGGCCAAACAAGTGGAGTCACGAGGCTTCTTCGAGCCCTGCACCCTAGAGGACATGCGCAAGATGATGACAACCGTCTACAAAGAGCTAAAGAAGAAGAAGTAGTGATAGTAGTAGTATAGTAAAAGTACGTCCAACATCATGGACACATTCATTTAGGTGAGGCCAGACTCAGGCCCAAGGCTAATGAGTACACTTGTGATGATATCAGACAGTTGTACTTCACTCTCAACTCCTCCAATGATCGCATCAAGTTGTCCAATGGCAGGATCAACACCTCAATGAACTCATCCTCCTCCAGCTTTTGTTTGGGTTCCTTGTTCTTCTCTCCATCGACCTGATTGATTGATTGATCGAGTGAGTGGATATGCTTGAACTCAATGCGAGTATGATACATACATTTACAATGCAATACTTGGTGTTGGCACTTGACATTCCAGGCTCGAGTGTAAGGATTGATGAGACGGTGTTGACTGAATCACATGTGTATCCAGTCTCCTCGTGTAGCTCTCTCAATGCTGCTTGCTCAGGCGTCTCACCCTTGTCCAGCAGACCGGCTGGAAACTCAATGACCAACGAGTCAACAGGTGGCCGATACTGAATGGTTAATACTATACGTCTATTATCAGTACCATTGCCAATGATTGCTATTATATCCACTCCATCTACATCGGATACACGTGTAGTGCGATCGACTGCCTCCCAAACCACCTCTCTCTTGTTTGGGTCCAAGAATGTGATCCTATTCATCGCGACCCACTTAGCCCTGTACAACTCTTCCACCTTTATCCTCTTGCTTGTCATGTTCTAGTCTGTATGTTTGTGTCTGTATATCTGTCGTTGTATTTGTTTGATTGATTGATTGATTGAATGGAGTGGAGGGGAGGGGCTTGCCTTGTTTTGGAATGAGGTGGATCTCGTGAGGCTGGGGCCGAAGCCTCCAAACAAAGGGGCGGCTGGATCAATTCCTCAAGATTAATGTGGAGTTAGAACGTTTATTGCGACAAGGGTCTTTGACATGCGGGGACCAACTGCTTAGAAAGCCTTGAACTGCTTCTTGGAGGCACCGGCGGCGTCGTGCTTGATGACGTTGAACTTGACGGTCTTGGCGAGTGGACGGCACTGACCAATGGTGACGTTGTCACCGTCCTTGATGGTGAAACATGGGGAGGCGTGGGCAGCAATGTTGGAGTGTCTCTTCTCGAAACGGTTGTACTTTCTGATGTAATGGAGGTAGTCTCTGCGCATGATGATGGTTCTTCTCATCTTGGTCGAGACGACGACACCCTTGAGGATGGTGCCACGGATCGAGACGTTGGAGGTGAATGGGCACTTCTTGTCGATGTAGGTTCCCTCGATGGCCTCCTTTGGGATTCTGTAGCCAAGACCAATGGACTTGTAGAATCTGATGCCCTCACCACCCTTGGCGGCCTTGGACTGGAAGGTCTTTGAGAAGACAACCTCTTGCTGCTGGAAAGCTTTCTCGGCCTATTGATTTAAGTTTGATTGATTGATTGATGTTAGTTCTACACTGTACTGTATAGTATTCATTCAATCAAATCATCTTTGTTGTTGTCGTTGATATCTGATGCGAGGTGTGTGCGCGTAGGTGTATTACACGCATGTTTGTTGTGTCTGTCGCAATCATATTCATCGTCGTCTTCGCCATCAACTATCCCTTTGAGAGGACCAATATTCAACATTGCGTCTTGTTGTTTGTATCTCTCAACAGAGTCATCAAGACATATCCTGATGAACAATCGCTGTCTTGTTATTGATTGTCCGTTGTCTCTCTTTCTGAATTCCGCGATGAATAACCTGTCTTCATATTGTTGTTAACCTGATCGATTGGTTGATAGCATCTGAGTGTATGTATCTGTTGTCGCGACAGTAGTTGTTTGTCTTTGTTCATTCATTCATTCATCAAACATGTAACAAGTCCAAGATCGATCTTTATCGTATGATTCAACAACACGATGTTGGTAATCACGAAGCTGACAATGATTATGATGGTTGATGTTGATATTGGTGATGTTGGTTGTTGATGATGCATACTTGAATGTCGGCCATCTTGATTAATCCACACTAATAAATGACTGAAAGGGTAATGTACTGTGTCAGGGAAGGGAGAAAAGGGAGTCTTCATTCACACTCCTCGCTGCCTATCAACCAATCCACCTCAAAGCGAGTCGTGATCCAAACTTCAAAAATTAAAAAAATTGTAATTAATCATCAAAATTACACAACTTTTACACAATTACGTAATTCTCCATCATCCAACAACCCTCAACCCTTGCCCTCGCCCTTGCCCTCGCACATTATGCGAACATGTTAATGAATGTTAATGTTACATGTATACAGATTGTTACTTTACTTTACTTTACTTGGTCTTGTCACGCTCCTCACGCTCATGCTTCTTGTTGACAAACTTCTTGAGTAGCTCTAACTTGTCTTGGGAGTTGTCTAACTTCTTGAGGTTGGGATATAGTTCATTCTCCAGTTGTGTCCAGTGATCATAGATCTCTTTGGAACTACTGGACACTGCAATGGGATATTGACTGAATGGTTGTATCACCGTTGAGATACGAAAGTGTTCGCGGGGATCCAATGTCCAAGACTCTGGCACCAACTTTGACAGCAATGATCGCCAAGAGAATGCACACATCTGTGACCATAATCCTCCATTATAAGGTTCCTCCACACGACTTAATTCATATATTGATGGTTGTTGTACTTGTCCTTGTCCTTGTTCTTGTCCTTGTTGTCCTTGTTGTTGTATATTGTTACATGTTTTTGTTGTTGTTGATGTTGATTGAGTGGACGCAGAGCCACTCTTTGATGATGACGAAGATGATTTGAAAGGGAATACGTAATGGAACATGTACCTTGCTTTGTGTAATGCTTCTTCATCTGTTAAATCATCGTCATTCTTCTTGTTGTTTGTATAAGTATGTGATTGATGTTGAGCATTGTAGATTGGATTGTGGCTCTCAAGTATGAAGTATCTATTCTTCTTCACAGGCTTCCAGAAGAAGAATAAGCCTCTTGTTTGTTTTTGTATAAAGTTACTGATCCACATAGAGATAGAGATTGAGATAGATGTATATGTATATGTATCTGTCTGTGAACGATCAATCAATCACACAAGGGAGCGTTGCCAACCTTGTGGACACGCTCATTTTTTGTTTGCCGAATCAATGAATGATGCATGCGGGTAGTGCACTTTAATTGAAGAGAGAGATTGATTGGATGGATGGATGGAGGGAGTGTAGTTGTAATTGTAATTGTAATGTAATGTTGTTACAGTGGTCTATTCGGATTGATTAGTCATCCCATCCCTCCCACTCAGTAGTGGACGTTGTCTTTTTGCTTCCTGTAGTCGTTGATGGTGATGATGATGCCGCTGCTGTTGCCTTGGTGCTCGAGGACTTGCTGTGCTTGGATGACGACTTGGCTGGAGAGGTCGTTTCCTCCTCACCCCACACCCACGAATCCTTGCCGGCGCCGCCCTCAGCATTATCATTGTCGCTGCTTGGCTTGCTGTTGTTGTTCGAGCTGCTGTTGCTCTTGTTGCTGTTGCCGCTCTTGCTAATGGTTTTGTCATTGTCGTCGTCACTGTCGCTCTTGACGTCCCAGCCAACAAACTCGTCGTCGTCGGCCACCTGAGACTTCTTGATCGAGGTGCTGCCAGACTTGATGCCGCTGCTGCTGCTGCCCTTGGCTCCACTGGACGATGTCTTGAGCGAGCTGTTGGACGATGACATCTTGGCGCTGCTGCTGTTGCTGCTGCCACTGTTTCTCAGGTTGTCATTGCCATTACCGTTGCCATTTCCATAGCCACCACCGCCATTTCCATTACTGCTTCGCATACTGTCGCTGCCGTAGCCGCCAGAGTTGTAGCCGTAGCCGCCACCAGAGTTGTATCCACTTCCACCGCCGCCATACGACGAACTATCCGATTCATTGCCATTGACAATGTCCTTGGCCTTCTGGAGGTAGTTATTTATGAGGTTGGATGCATCGTTCATTAATGTGCCATCTTGATACTTGTTGGACACGGTCTATATTGAGGTGAGGAGTATGAGTATGAGCGAATGAGTGAGCGAATGAGCACAGTAAACAACTTACGCTGGCCACAGTTGTAAGCTTTTGGAATCCCTCTCCGATCAGGGACATGCCATAGTCGATTGCTGAGCCGTTGTTGTTGTTGTTGTTATATGATCGTTGGTAGTTGTTGCCGCCGCCATTGTTGTCGCCATAGTAGTCCGCGCTTGAGATTGATCGAGCGTTGCTAAACTGTTGCAGACGGGGATCGCTTGTGTTTGCCGAACTGTTGCTGCTGCCGCTGTTGTATGAGTATGACTTTGACGACGAAGACGAGTAGTTGTTGCTGCTGGAGTTGGAGGGTGGCGAATCGTTTGAGCTGAATGACGACGAGTTGGAGGAGAATGATCGACTGCTAGTGTTGTAGCCGCCAGATGAGTTGACGAGTGATTGTTTCGAGGTTGCTGGAGGTGTTGAGTCTCTCTCGCGCTCACGATCTCTCTCGCGCTCTCTCTCTTTATCCTTCTTGATGACGGTTGGTGATGAGGCCGACTGCTTCTTGGCCGACGACTTGTCCCAGTCATCCCAATCGTCGAATCCTCTCGATACAACAGTGCTACTCTTCTTTGCTGTTGGAGTTGATGGTGCTGATGATGAAGATGAAGATGATGATGATTGTTTGGTTGATGATGGTGCTGGTGAAGCAGAGGCGTCTGGCTCCCTCCACGACTTTTGCTCGGCCAATGCAGTTATCTTCTCCCTATATAACGCGCAACCCTTGTGATTGTACTTGTTCTTGATGTCCGATCCATCGGGAACACCATGCTTCTTAAAGAACTCTCGACACTTTGTGTTTCCACCAACAGACATTGCCTCCAACTGCTTGTCCGACCACTTATCCATTGAAAGACTTCTAACAAAGCTATATATTATATAACATGTTAGTATGTTTGATGTCATGATATGTTATCAAGTACTTGTGAAGACTTACCTGAGATGTACGCCTAGACTCCTGTGCACACCACTGCACTCTAGACAGATGAAGATGCCATAGGACACTGATGCCCATTGAGGATTGGCAGCCCTGCATTCGAAACAGACCTTATTCGAAGGGTCCTCCTCTCTAAGTTTCTTAAAGAGTTCCTTTGCTCTTGCAATGTTATTCTCTGCACTTGCTGGTAGTGACATTGTTATATATTGTGTTGTGTATACACCAATCAATCAATCTCAATCAATCGATCAATCTGTATATATGTATATGTATGTAATAGTAATATATATTAGTTGTAACAATGATAATGATAATGATAATAATAACACTGACTGACAACTACAAAGACACTGTCCTTAATTGATGAGGGAGAGAGCGAGACGGGGTTGATGAGAGTGGACGAATCGTTGCAAGATTCTCATAGATTCAAAAAAAATGGATGACGGTTGTGAATGAAAAAAAGGTCTTGGATTATTCATTCGTTTATCGATAGCTGGGATGTCAGTTGTTGACATTTATTTGACCAGGAGTAATAATAATAGATTGTTTGGAATGATTGATTGAATGATTGATGTTTAGCAGGCGATATAGGAATCCATTTGTAATGCATAGTCCTTGATGAGTGCACATGAAGAATCGTAGAGTCGTGGCTCACCTATTGCGACTATCAAGGCCTTCTTGGTCATGGAATCATTGATTGGCCTAATGACATGGATATATGGTCGACCCATGGCTATCCTGTTGGTGATTCATTCATCCATTGTGGCCCTCAATGAGGGCGAGGTTGTTGGAGTCCGAACTTCCAAATGAGGCACTTGCCACCTCGCAAACCAACAATGTTGGGCATAACCAGGGTGGTACYTTATCCATTCAAGGAATGATATAAACACCCTTCAAATCAATCAATCAATCAATAAATCTCAGTTGACTCAACTCATTCATCCCATCAATCAATCAATCACCTTTACAAATAATAACAGACATACATTCAAAATGATGGTGATCCTTGATCACAACAAAAATATTAGTATTCATTCAGTGTTCCACAATCAAGTATTATGTAGATTGATCTTTGGACATGTTAGTGATATTCACAAACGATGGTCCAATCTCCCAAAGCCAGACATCACTCAACCACCCACTGCTACTGGTGATGATCAGGTTGTACCTCGCATAACCAACACAATCAAAGGTGGCAAACTGTATGCCGATGGTGACCTGGGCGTCATGCTCCAATACAACGCCACAGCAATGTTCTTGGAGGCATTCGATAGAGTGGCCGACGACTACCCCGTCAACAATGACCTGTTGTCAAGAGCCATGAGGTTCAACAATACTGCCGCACTCAAACGTCTTGCTGCACACCCCAACATGGTCATGTCAACAAAGAATCTGTCAAGCATCATCTCCACAGGCAATGTCGAGATGCTCCAACACTACCTCGCTGCCACCCTGCATCACTGTGTGCCGGATGTGTCGATCTGGATAGGACACAAAATCGACGACTTGGACGAGCAGAGCGTCCGACTGTTACTCAAACACATATCAGTGGACACCCTCGATGGTCATCGTGGTACGCTCTCAACACACAGCTTTGGGAAGCGTGGCATCAGTCTTGGTGTGCTCAAGGTGTTGCACGAGGAGTTCAACTGTCTCTACTCATTGGATTCGCTGTGGGTCAACGCCATGGCTCATTGTGCCAGATGTAATCTTGTCGACAGCTTCAAGTACATGGTCGACAACATCCCAACAGGCAATAGAAGTTCGTTCTTGGACAATGCCGTCAAGAACAGCTTGAAGAACTGCGCTAGCAATGGCAACATCGAGGTATTTGACCTCCTCTGGAGCTCAACGACCACCAATAAGTACCTCTCGGAGAAAGAGCTCAACAACGCCATTCGCACTGCAGCCAAGCATGGACAACCGACGATGGTCGACCATCTCTTTAAGTGCCTTGCCAAGGTCACCACTGAATCATCATCGAGTCGCAAACAACAAATCCACTTAAGACAGGGTGAGGAGACACCCACCATGGAGATGTCGGAGGCCATGCTCCAAGCATCATTGGCACAATCGATACACAACGACGACATGATCAATGTGGAGGCACAAATCGATTGCATTGGTGAGCTCCATTCAGAGATGTGTGTGAAGATGTCCACTTCAATGGCTCAACTCATCACGACATATCGATCGCCACGTCTCACATTCAAGGGCCAGTCACTCTTCCACATGGTCAAGGCCATTGGTCAGCCTGGCAGCAACATCACGCCAGAGATAGTGTGTCAGTTCATCGACAATTGCGACATACCATCACCAGATCAACTCAAAGAGACTTTTGAGTTGGCCGCAGACTGCTCCCTGGCATTGCTCCAGCGCATCCACACTCATTTCAATCTTCCATACACGGACAAGTATCTGTCGAGGGCGGTACACAGAGGTCTGCCGGATATTGTTATCTATCTGGCCAGTCAACAGACAGATGAGGACTTTATCTCTGAGGCAGTGTTCAAACTGATCGCTTGGCATCCAATCACAAAGGACGACCTCACATTGATACTGGACACACTCCCATTCGTCAAGAGCAACCCAGAGATATGTGCATGGGCAGTGTGCAACCCATCGTTCGAGGTGTTCAAACACGTGCTCTCATTGTTCACCAACGAGCAGTTGGAGGGTACTGATCATCTTAAGGACCTATTTACTCAAGCATTGCTTGAGAACAACTCTCGGTATCTGGATTTCATCCAACAACGCTTTGTCAACACCAAGTTGGAGGTGCCTGAGCTTGATGCCCAAACATTGATGGATGAGGCCAGCAAGAATCGATACCTTTTGATCGAGAGGCATCTCGACTCACAATCATTCACCAAGTTACCAGCCGTACAACAACATCGAACACTTCATTCATTATTATACCATTCCTATCGCTTTGGTACCACTCGCATCATCAAACTCTGCAAAGACCGCATCCACACACTTGAAGGAGTTAATGTGTAAATATCACTCAATCATTCATTCACTCATCAATCATACTAACTCACTCATTCAGAGAACAAGTTGATCAGGAGATGGACATTGATCAATCCAAGTTCGATCTACTGCCTGTAGCTGCATCACCCAAGTTGGAATCAACACTTCACATGGTGATGAGTGATGAGAAGCTTGGCAAGATGATCATGACACAGATTGGATCGATTCATAACAAACTTGGCATTGATCACAAACAGGTGATCACTGGCAAGCAGTTGCTTTACAATCACAACCTGCGTGATTACATCAAGTATGGCGCAACGGAATGGTTCCTTCAATCATACGATGACAATGGCGCCAAACTCCGATACAATGAGACTCTGCTTCTCGAGGCCTTTGCCAGATGTGACATGCGTGCCCTGAACGTGCTTCTGACCGACCCTCACATGTCCCTTAACGGCAGATTCGACAAACACTTTGTGACCAACGTGTCGTCCTGCTCACATCCACAATGGGAGAGTGTGTTGGAGAAGTATTTCCAGCATCTGTGCCTTGAGGTTCTCGAGCCAGCCGACATTGTCATCACCGGAAAGGTTCTGGCACATGTCCGCCACCCATCATTCCTCCGCAAGCTCATTGAGATGGATGTCCAACTTAAGCCCATTGACGACGACGGCGAGCGAAACAAATGGAGATGGCAGAAACCATTGAAAAGTAGCTTCACAGCCATTCTGGTCGATGCGTGGCTCACCAAACAATATGCCGCCGAGATGCTACAGCTGTTGTTTGAACACAAACTCCTCACGACCAGGACTTGCCGAGCACTTCTTCTCCAGGCCATTGAGCGCAAACTGACCCCATTGATTGAACTGCTGGTCAGCCAAACATTTGGTGATGGTGGTGGTGACGCCGATGTCGATCGTGATGGTGGTAGTGACGCCGATGTCGATGGTGATGGTGGTGGTGACGCTGATGTCGATGGTGATGGTGGTGGTGAACTCGATGCCGATGAATTGAGACACTACATCGGCTCACTAATTGAGTCCTGTTGCAAGTTTGGCAGCGTGGAGTCATTGGATATTGTCATTGCACATGTCCCATCAACACAACTCGAAGCGACCTTGAGCTCGCTGAGTCGACATTGTAAAGAAGCAGTGACCAGAGGACACTTCAACATACTGATACGTGCTCAAGAGTTGCTTGGCAGCACATTCAAACCTTGGAGGTATATTGAGGAGGCACTCTGTGCAGGTCACATGGACATTGTCAACTTCATCCTCAACTCTCCACTCCCATCAGAGTCATCATCGACAAAAGGGGCAGATGATTATAGGTACAGTGATGAGATTTGCATCTCCAACATCCACCACAGTATCTTGTCAATCGAGTTGATTGAACGTCTGCTTTCGATGCGACCAATTGTCAATGGCAGGTACAATGAGGTGATGGCCAGCGCCATCAGAGCTGGCAACAAGGAGCTCATCAACATGATTGAGCGCAACGATGGCAATGTGTACAACACCAACTATACAGCAGCATTGGCGACGGCACTGGATGTCGGCGATTTTGACACGGCCAAGAAGATCATCACCGATCATCCGCCACCCGCACCCTCAAATAGAATGATGTGGTGCTGTGGCCGCTCCAGCAAGTTGGATATGGCCGGTAGAAAGCATGAACTGAGTCCAAGTATCGGCCTCTTCTGTCCATTGATCGAGCGATTGGGTATGCCCAACAGCGACGTTACCGAGAGCACATTCATCGAGTTGGCCAATATGCTGACCAAACATCGAGGTTTGGAGCGTATGATGGGCTCAAATGAGGGAGACCTCGTCAAGGCATTGAAGATAGCTGCTTCCAAGTCAGTAGCCACCATCAAGTTGGTACTCTCCCACCTCACAAACTATGATACCAAGCCAGATAGCTTAAAACATTCGATAAGTAGTGAGGTCATCTCAGCTTTGATTGAAGAGTGCATCAAACATAGTGACACAGAGTCGATTGAGTACATAATCCAAATGGCGTACAAAGTATCATCAAAGAATGATAATCATGATCGTGTCCTCACAGCACTGGACGTCATCCCATTGAAGATCACCAACATACACGTGCTCACATTCCTCATTGACAAGCAATACTACAAGTTGGATGGTGATCGCAACCATACATTGTCCAAACTAGTTGATTGGGCATGTGAGGACGGACACCTGGAGGTCATTCGTCTCGTTCACCAACAATGCACAACAAGCGAGCAAATTCAGAGACATCTACCATCATTGTCCACCATCCACAAGGCATTGGACAACAGCCATCATCAAGTTGTCCACTATCTCTTTGAAGGTGATTCATCACCATTCAAACAGGCAATGATCGAACCACAATACCTCATTCCCATACTCAACAGTATTCGTGACTATGCCACTGATGATGGAAGTATTAGAATCATTTCCATGTGTGATGGTATCATCTCATCACTTGCTGCCAAGACATTATCACTTTAAGAAATAAACTCTCTCTTTACTCTACCCTTGCCCTCGTCCTCGCCCTTGCCCTTGCCCTAACCCTGGCACACTTTGTAACGTGATTCAACCAGATCATATCATCAAGTTAATTGAAGAGTGCATCAAACGTAGTGACACTGAATCAATCGAATACCTGGTCCATGTGGCTGCCAATTTATCATCAGGCAAAGATAACCATTTTGGTGCCCTCACAGCACTGGACGTCATCCCATTGAAGATCACCAACATACTAGTGCTCACATTCCGAGGAAGCTGGAGGGAGATCACTATCACACGTTGTCCAAACTGGTTGATTGGGCCTGTGAGCAAGGAAAGACCCAAGTTATTCGTCTCGTGCACCAACGATGCACATCATGTGTGCAACTTCAGAGACACCTACGATCGATGGCTGCCATCCAAAAGGCATTGGACCAACATCGAATGGTACACTATCACTTTGGAGGTGATAACGATGATGATGCCCCATTCAAACAGGCAATTATCGAGCCACAATACTTCATCCCGTTCCTCAAGAGTGTTCGCATCCATGCCACAAAGGATGGAAGTCTTTGCATCATAACCATGTGTGAACGTCTCCTTGCCAAGATCAAGTAGGTTTATTGAAATACATTTATTCATCCAACTGGATATAGATGGAGGGAGGGAGGATATACTTGTTACATGTGTGCTTAATATGATATGATTGAATATCAAATGATCAATCACTGTACCAGTTGATCACAAACATTCCAGAGACGGGCAGCTTCAGGTTGATGATCGAGAGCACTTGAGTGGATTGTTCGTATGTGAAGTCTGTGTAGCCGTGTCCATCGACCATCACTTGTGTCACTGGGTCGGCAGCGCCATACACAGTGACCGTCTCCATGAACATGTTGTCAGCATCAGCATAGCCTTGCTGAATGATCGACGCCTCCAGAGCAAAGATCTGGTCTTTCAGATTTAGCTGGAAGTTGACCAAAGTGTACTGTCCATCCTCGTATGTGTTGGGCGAGATTCCATCGTCCACGTACAACTGGCCAGACGCCTGGTTGTTATTGTCGATGGCCACCAGCAGTCGGAGTGGCAGGGTTCGCGCAATCGTCGTGGTGATTGGATAGCCCGATACATTGTAGACTGAGGTGGGCTGAGTTGGGATGATTGATCCACCACGCATGTGCACGTTGATTACGTTGAGTGGCGCCACCAGTGTCGCGTACAGGCTGTCTGGAACCCTGGTGCCATTGAAGTAGTCGTACCAGGGGCCGGCTGGGAAGTAGGCAACCACTGCCGTGGCGCCCTGATCCAACACGGGCGACACTAGAAGGCTGGTGCCAACCAGGAACTGGGTATCGAGTGCGTAGGTGTTGGGGTCGTTCGGGAACTCAAAGAATAGAGGACGGACGACGGGCGTGCCCAGTGCATGTGCCTGATAGAACAGCGTGTAGTAGAATGGCAACAGTGTGTACTTTCCATTGATAGCTGCGATCGATATGGCCGTGACCTCCTCGTTGAATGTATAAGGTTCCTGTGACATCGATCCGATTGCATTGTGATTGCGACTATTTGGAGTAGGTGTATCAGTCAATGATTGAATGATTGATTGGTTGATTGGGGTGAGGAACACAACACATACGAGAAAGGATAGAAGTTACCAAGTTGCATCCAGCGTGCACATAGCTCAGCTGTTGTGTTGCCGCCAAAGCCACAGATGTCTGCGCCAACCATGGGGATGCCAAACATGTTCATGTTGAGTATGCCTGGGATTGAGTAGTACATGTCGGCAAACTCACTGTTGTTATCACCCAGCCAATGACCTGCGTGATGACCAGAGCCGGGGAAGGTGGATCGCGAGATGACCGTGGCGCGCGTCTGTAAGATGTCGATTGCTGCGGCCACAGTGACCATTGTCTCACTGTATCCATACAGGTTGTGTGTGTTGTACACTGACATATTTCCATACTGTACACATGTGAGGTTGATGGTGTGCATGTCCAGGCTGACATTGCCTGGCAGATATGGTGGGTTGTTGGGGTCGAAGCTGTGCAATGACACCTGCTGCTGAGCAGCGTGGCTATTGTCTGATGTTAACTGAGATGAACATACATCGCCGTTGCAGAAGCTGGACACCTCATTCATGTCGATCCAGATACCATCGTACTGGACCATATCGTGGAAGGCTGCCAATTGTCCCTGCCAGAAGTGAGTCGTTGCTGGATTAAAGAAGTCTGGGAAGATAGTAAATCCTGGCCACACCTTTCCAACATAAGCCGATCCATCAGGTCTAGTAATGTATCCTCCGGACTGATTTATGGGCAAGGTGTAAGTCTATGATTGATTGATTGATTGATTGAATGAATGTGATGGATTGTCTTACGCTTAAAAGTTGATTGTAAGGTGCGTAGGAGGTGTCTGTGTTGATGCCTGGATCAATGATCATGATGTAGTGTTGATTGTTGGTATGCAGATACTCAATCATCAACTTCATCTCATCAGCTGGGAAGTTAACTGGGTCGAGAGTGAAGTCCTGGAACATGTTCATATAGTCAATGTCATTCCACATAGTCTCCAACTTGATTGATTGATTGATTGATTGGATTGATTGAGTGTGTGAGTGATCATGCTGGGCATTGGGACATAAGGTACACATACTGGTATGTTGTTTTGAGCATATTTGTAGATGACCTCGAATGTCTCATTGGCGCTCTTGTAGCCCCAACGACATTGGTGCCAGCCAAGTGACCAATAGGACGGCATGTAGGGCGTGCCAATCACCTGGGAGTACTGCTGCACGACACTCTCTGGTGTCGGACCCATGAAGAAGAAGAAGTCAAACACACCTCCAATCACCTTGTATGTTAACGAGCGTGGTTGCATCACAACGTCCATGGCATTAGAGTTGAGCAAGAATGCGCCAAACGCGTTGCCACTCGGGCTCAGATGCATGTAGAATGGATGCGAGCCGTACAGATTGAGGTCGACTGGCGTGCCCTGGTCCTTTGCAAACAGTGTATACGTGAAGTTGTTCTGTAGCCTCAGTGGTGCCACGCGCTCGCCCAATCCATACAAGTTTGGATTAGTCTCCTGGAACCTATTTGTCATTTCGAGGTAGTTGTCCTCGTACTGGAATGGAGCACCCATGTGTCAGTCAGTCAGTTGATTGATTGATTGATCATCATCATAATACATACGATCATGCCACTTGTGTAGCAGTCGGCTGGCGGTGAAGTGTTGAAGAGCACCTCGCCATTGGAGACTCGGGTGATTGAGAATCCAAAGTTATCGCGTTGGAACTTGATGTTGTAGTCGATGAATTGTGGCTTGTTGGTGGGCAATGGCATTTGGTTGACATAGGGTACCTCCCAACGTTGCGTGGTCGGGTCGATAATCTTGATGCGAACGATCTGCTGCGTTTGGAAGTAGACAAACAGTTGCAATGTCTTTACATCACCGCCGTACGGGCCGGGATTGACCAGATTGAGTGCACCCGTATATCCATAGTTTGTCGGTGTCAAGTTTGACAATGAGTAATGTTGGCATTGTGATGATGTCTGTGTATCTTTATCTTTATCTGCATCTGCATTTGTATATGTATCTGTATCTGTATCTGTATATGTTTGAGTGTTTGCTGATGCTGAACAAACACTTGCTATGAGTAGCAACAATAGCAACATCAAGGTGATACTGAGTCGTCTCGCATCACAAAGTGTTGTTGTCGTTGTTGCCATTCTTATACTACTAATGTTAGGTTTTGAATGAATGGTCAATGTTGTATTTGTTCATTCATTCATTCATTCATGAACTTAAACACCAACATTGTTTCGAAAAAGACGCAAAAGACATCGATGTTGCCTTTGCCTAGTGAAGCAAACACAAGATATTTGTTATTGTTTTTGGGATTCAGTGGTATTCATTGCAATTCCTATGAATAGGAGTTCAGATTAGATAACTCTCAAGAGTTCTCTCAAAAAGTGTAGATAATCATCATCACATAATAACTCTAAACAATCAAAGATGTTTGCACAATATTTGCTTGCTGATATAAACATTAATAAATAAGTGTATACACCAATATTTATTTATACAACAAGGACCAAACATAATTGTTCTGTTCATTGCTAAACTTGTAATCCTGAGTTTTAACACTTATGTTTGTGTTTGTGTTTGTGATTGTGTTTGTGTTTGTGTTTGTGTCTGTTGGGTGATTGAAGTTGAGAAGAGGACGAAGTAGAAGCCTTTTGTACACTGATTTATGGCATGTGTGTGAATGAGTGTGATTAACAATTTAAAGATGGACCATCATCATCATCATCATCATCATCTTATAAACACTCAATTACTCTCTATCTTACACTCACACTAATGAACCAATCAATCAATCTTTAAACTCATTGTGTTTGTTGTATGGACCATTCATTCATTCATTCATTCCATTTGATCGTTCCCCTCCCACTTGGAGAAGCATAACAACGTCGTTATGCCTTGCCCATACTCGTTCCACTGTGGGAAACAAATAACCATCCATCCATCCAATCCTTCATTGGCTAACACTTGGACACACACACACACACACACTCACTGAAGCGAGGGTATTCGCCAAGGGCCTCTACTCATTCATATGCATTCATTTCATGATTGATTGATTGAACAGAATGATCATTCTTGAGAGTGAGTACGTACGAAAGTGAACACAACATTGTTGTGTTAGTGCGAGTGAGTGAGTTATTGATTGTGGTGCAGACAACCGTCCTTGGACGGTGGTAGATAGAGCTCGAGATATATATACAAGTTGCCTATTAAGGATGGACAGTGGGCTGGCCTGCAGTCCTTGCATCGTCTCGTGGAACCCCCCTTGGGCTTCGATGACCGTTCAGTGATCTCAAAATACCTTTGATGATGGTTGATCCTCCACTTTTCACTCACTTCACTCAGTCAGCCACCTTGCTTGATTGTTTGTGTTACGTGGGGCGATGTCTGATTGGCCGGCGGGCTGGTTGGCTAGTTGGCTGACTGAATGACAGGATCATCATCATCAGCTGATGATCGCATCGCATTATTCGCGTGTGTGTGTGTGGTGTGGAACATTCATTCATTTCTAATCATGTGCCCTCATTTCCTCCATCCAGCAGCTCTCAATGCTCATCAAGTAGAATAACTCCCCAAGTCCATTCGCCTTCTCCAATCATAATTGTTATTATTGATTGTCCATGAACAAAGAGGTAAGCAATTGTAAGGTAAAGTATTATCGTGATGAAATGTAGTTTATAGGTGTGTCCTTCCAACATGCGCTGGAGTGCTGGACGGTCAGCGCACCACTGGGTCTTTGACCACAATCTTTGCTTGCCAACATCGGGCTCCATTAATTCCAAAAAAATGGTAAGTGTCGTGTCCTCGTCATCCACACATTTGATTGATTGATTGTACTAATATATTCATTCGCGAATATATAGAGTCTGATGGACAAGGAAAGATTCTGGTCGGACCCTATGTGGGGCCGCGGGCTTGTCATCCTAACTGACCCACTAACCTTTGTCTCTTCTCCTCCACTTCATTCATTCCAGCAAACTTAGGTAGTCTGGCGACGTGGAAACTGATGAACAGGTAGATCCAATATCCTATCCATCTCAACCAATCATGGTCATTGCAATGCTATTGTCGAGAATACAATGAATGGTGATGTCAAGTGTGTCTGATATTTATCTTTTCTAGATGAAGAGGTGTGTGTCTGTGTACCAAGTATTGGGGGTGGGAAGTCGAATGGTCGTTCATTAGTCGTGTTGCTGATCTCCCTCACACTTTTGAAAGTGATCATGATCAACACGACACCCTTTATTTTATTTTTTCTGTTTTGAACAACCAAAAAAAGATATCTTCACCAACATTATTTATTTTGAATGAATGATCCTGATGGATGACAGGTGATCGATTGCTGGCCTTGTGTGTGGTGTTATGATGGCTTGCTCTTGCTTTGACCAGAAAACAACAACAAACTAATGAATGGCGAGTGTTTGGGACCACCTTGATCCAACACCACACGTCACACGCCAGAATGACTTGAACAACTTAACTTAACCTCAGTCAGACCCTCTCACCTCACCTCACGAACGATGATTATAACTTCAGTCATCATCATCATCATTATTCACACATACAACAACAGATAACATAACTATATATATATATTATATATAATACTCATTTCAATCACTCACTGCTCCAACTTTCCAAACTAGTCAGCAGTTCCTTTCATTAACCATCCGAAGGTATGAATCATTCAACATCACCATCCAACATCCAACATCCATCCATCCGATTACTTGTGTATATGTGTGTCTACCACTCGATCACTTATAAGTGTGTGCGTGTGTGGTGAGTTGATCAATCACTTGGTTGATGATGTGGGGCCGTGAATGCTCGAGCAGGGCTCGCTTCTGGCGAGTGGTGCACACATGAACACACTACACATGCATGCTATACCAAAAAGAAATCGGAGTGAAGGACCATCATTCATTCATTCATTAGTATTGTGATTATAATGATGGTGATCAATACAAGTCCAGAGGAGTGGAGTGCACTACCAATCAATCAATCATTCATTCATTGACATTATCATAAAATATACAGGAACAAGCCAGCTAGAGAGATAAGAAACCAAATACTTGGAGTTAGTTATTATTACAATTAATCTCAATCACTTCACACTTTATCCACCAACTTCCACAACTCCATCTTCAACTTCAACTTCAACTTCAGCATCACATCCATCACATATCACCATCTCATCACATATATACACATGAACGACACATTGGGACAGATCGTCTACCAGCCAACCAATGCATTGGAGGCATTGTGGTTCAATTTCGTGGACTACTTTGGCGAGGACTTCTTGATAAGCTATGGCACATTCTTTGCCCACGAGATCTTCTACTTCCTCGCTTTCCTGCCCTTCTTCCTGTGCGACTTTGTGCATGCACTCAGGAAGTACAAGATACAGCCAGTAAGTATACCACCTTGTTGGAATGATCATGTGATCGATCGCTCTCTCACTCACTCACTCACTCACTCACACAATCACATTAGACAAAGGTCAATGATTGGAAGACTCAATTCAATTGCCTGCTCAAAGTGATGGGCACTCACATATTTGTACAACTCCCGATGATGATTGTATTTCATCCGGCCATCCATAGTATTGGACTGCGCGCGAGAGTACCTTTGCCATCGGGTTGGTACCTGCTGTTTGTGCTGGCCGTCTCCTTTGTGCTGGAGGACGCCTACTTCTACTTTGTTCACCGCTTCCTGCACCAGGGCTTCTGGTACAAGTACATCCACAAGGTGCACCACGACCACGCCTCGCCCTTTGGCATGGCGGCCGAGTACGCGCACCCCATCGAGACGCTGATCCTGGGCGTGGGCACCTGTCTGGGACCATTCCTCCTGTCACGTGACCTCTTCACACTCTGGGCATGGCTCGCCGTCCGTCTCTTCCAAACAGTCGAGTGTCACAGCGGCTATGACTTCCCCTGGAACCCAACCAAATTGATCCCATTCTGGGGTGGCGCGCACTTCCACGACTTCCATCACGAGACCTTTGTATGTGTCCACGCCTCAGGACTTGAGTCTGTGCACGGACTAACCTTCATTCCTTCACCACATTCATTAGGTTGGAAACTACTCGTCGACCTTTACATACTTTGATCGTTTGTTTGGAACATCTGACAAGTATTATGCGAGGATGGAGATGAGAAAGAAGGAAGAGGAGCTTCTTGCTAACAAGAAGGCCAAATAATCAATCGGTGTGTCTGTAGCATGGTCATTCATTGTCGTTCGGTCGGTCGGTCTGTCTGACTGTCTGTCTGTCTGTCGTATATCTGTGTCGGTGTGTCCCGTCATTGACGGGGACTACTATCCAACCAGTCGCGACTGACTGACTTGATGTCCGGCCGGCCCCATCAATGTTTACCATAGTCGTCCGTCCACTGTCTTTTGTCTTTTTGGTACTTTCCCTCTTTCTTCTTCACCTTTCGTTCACATGTCCAATCAATCATCCATACTTCCTCTCATTTTCCTACAACTCGCGAGCGCTCGAAAACCATCGCTCGTCATCAAAACATCCAACAACCTTTCGTTTCCAACACACAGTCAATCAATCAATCACACGCACGCCACTCCACGTCAACACCTTACCACCTCCAACGCAATAAACACACACATATATGACCGACCAGGTCCAACCAACTTCAAGTCTTAATCATACACACAATACATAATGTAACCATTCGCGAGTCCAAATGCCGACATGCCCATTCTTGTGACCCTGAAGGCCTTATTTTAGCAATGTGTGTGTGGAGGCCTTTGTGAACGCGCAATTCCTTCCGACCTTAACTTTAACTTGATCAAATATCTGTATCTTCTTGGTAGAGGGGGCGGGGTAAGGCCTCGTCGCATGTCTCCATGTCCAAAGGTCTGGATTGATTAATAGATCAATCTTATTATTATATCTCATCAACTCCATCATTCATTCATTCTTCAATAGATACTTACATTACATATATATATACATATAATATAACAATGATGAAGACATCACCAACATGTTTGATCACTTTGATGATGATGATGATGTTGTTGGGAGTGACCCATGCTAGTTGGAACATAAGTCAACAATCATTGTTATTGCATAGGAAGTCGGATATGCTTGGTATGCACTTTGACTATGCTCTGATGGATGTACCGCTGGATCGCGAGATGTTCATGTACACATCGACAGCATGCCCCAACTATACATTCACGCCACCAGTCTATGAGATAGACTGTACATGCGATTATATCAATCCGGCCACATGTGGCACAGTCATCAGCAACAATAGTCAATGTCCGCGATGTTTAGAAACAGATATTGTAAACTACTGCAATAACACCGCTTTCATAAAGTATATCATCCAAGCCAACCAGACAATGGTCGTCGATATTCCACCATTAGCCAAGGGGTCACTTGTGTCAGTCATCCAATTCCGTTACAATTACAGCCTCATGTCTCCATCACTAGAGTCACTCTTGGTATGTATACTCACTCATCAATTACATCATCCAGGAATAATTCCACTCTTCAATAATTCTATCAACATATATGAGTAATCAATCAGTCTTTGCACTCAGTGCACTCATATATCTTGATCATATATCTTGATCATATATCTTGATCATAGATCTTGATCATTCAGTGCACCCATATATCTTGATCATTTCAATCACTCAATCAATCAATCAATCACACTAACTAACTAACTCATTCCTGCCCATCCCATCACATCATAACCAAGTTTCAACCAGAGTTAATTGGCCGCACTAAAGATACTCAAATATTATATTGGAGTTCAACGACGGTAGCCCCTGACTCGTATTTCCAACTATGTCCAACAGACTCGATACAAATGCCCAACATAACAAGTAGGGTATTATTGTTTTCTGTCCAGGTCATCAATTTCGTCGGTGGCAAACTATCTGTAACTCTGCGCTCGGCACAGGTGCCGCCGGTGGACCCGACCGCCAGCTGCACAAATGTGTCGCCAGACCACCAGTGCATCGTTGATGGCAAAGAAATCGTCGCGACCAACACATCCAAGCCCTTCACATTCCTTGTCGATCGACCCATAGTACTATCGCTTCGTTGCGCTCCAATAGAAAGAACAGTTAATACTAGAGATCTCATGATGACCCTCGATCTCTTCATCTCAGACTCAGAGCCATATCCATCATTATCAAACCATCAAGCTCGATTCTATCCCTTGGATGGTACGTATCACTCAATCAAACCCTTGCCCTCGCCCTCAACCCCTTTCCCTCGACCCTCGCCCTCAACCATCGCGCTCAACCCTTGGCTTCAACCCTTGCCCTCAACCCTCGCGCTCAACCCTTGCCTTAATCAAACAACTGACTCTTATCTTATTCATCCTAGACTATAATCATATCTTGTATACTCAAGGCATCACTGGAGCATTGCCAGTGGCACCATGGACCAATGGAACAAGCAAAGTGCTCTACATCAATGTGTTTGCGCCAGTGGGCTTGATATGTGTATTCACATCACATGTAAAGACATGGAAGGACCCAGTTTTAACAAGCGACAGACTGTCATCAATCAAACGATTATATAATGGCGCCACTCTAGTCTATCCAGATGGATCACTACAGACAACACCATACACCATCCCAGAAACACAGCGCAGTGGACCATTCATGCACACTTATCCGACAATGGACCCAACTCCATTCTCACCAATGCCCACAACATTACTCAATGATCAATATCTCAATCAATTATACCCTTCCAAATCACTGGGGCAGATCAACATTCCCCTCATCCCATTTAAGCCCAACTCATTCCAGTCCAACTTCTTGCTCTCCAAACAAGTGAATGACTACCGAGTCCTCATCCGCGACTTTGACTCCCTATCCAAGACCAAGCTAAAGTTCTCAGGTGTGATCATTGACATTGATGGAGTTGTAAGTTGTTTCATTGATTGGACACTAAATCAAATATATATATATATATTTGATCAACTGACATGGAATGGTTCCACCCCTCCCCATCCCACCCCTCACTTAGCCCCTGGATGACACAGTTGAGTTGAAAGTCCCCTCCCAAACAGCATGCAATTATACACAGTTTGAGGCCATACTCGCACAGATCAAGCAGTACCAACTCAATCTATCTTTGACCAATGATACAGTTGAGTTGATGGAGTTGAGGTACAACATGGACACGCTGTCATTCACAGAGGCATGGCAGTATTGTGTCAATCAATCATCAAACTACATGACGCTTCATAACAAGAACGTGACGATGACCACCAACTCATGCCCCAATACATACTCCAACCCCAACGACTACCTCACCGACTCGTGTTGTAATAAGTACGCCAAATTCTCACAGTGTTGCCAGCCGCGCGAGGTCACCGTCACGGTGAGCAGCCTGACCGGCTTCCAGACCGGCCAGCTGGACCGGTGCTCGAGTCCAGCATGCGCGCAATCAGTACTTCAAGACTACTTCACATCGTCGAGTCGTGTGGCTAATGGCGAATGCACTCTATCATTCAAGGATTATAATAAGGGACAGTATGAGATGGTCCAGTTGTTGCAGCGATGCAAGGACCTGGTATACACGAGGATCTGGTGCGACAACGACACGCAATGTCCAGCCAATACCATATGCAGTATATACACGCGTCAGTGCCAAGTGCCCCTGGAACAGCAAGACAGAGCGTACATCATGTGCGTGCTCAATGGCTCATCAATCTCAACATTGTACAATCTTCAACAACAGCTTGGTGTGGCCAACTCCAACTCCAAGACCAACACATCGTCATCACCGTCATCATTGATGTTGTTGGATCAGTCACTACCCGATCTCGTGGACTTGGTGTACAACACATACAGGATGGATGATTGCACCTCGTTCATGTCCAACGACTACCGCACACAATTCGACATATTGTCCACGTTCTTTCTCCAATCATATATTGCTCGCCCATTATGTCTGGACTCATACTGTCCTCTGATTCATGTTATCGGGTCAGACTATGACATCCTTCGTGTGAGAAAGGCGAGGCAAATACCTCTGACATCATGCTCAGGCCTTGGCGTATGCGCCAATGCTTCGACTTGCCTCGGACAGGATAACTGCTACCAATGCAAGGACATGAGCTTCTGCGGCCACTGCGCGACCAACCAAACGATGTGCCACGTGTTGCGCGAGTTCAACAGCACCCAATGCCCAACAAACACCTCCATCTGTATGACCCAAAATGGAAACTACGACAGATGGGCCACGCCAGAGCAGTGCGACGAGAGGGGCACATGCACAACCAACTGTGGCTACATGTGCTACGGCTCCACATACTGCTATGCACCCAATCTCAACCGGAGCTCCTGCATATCTCCCAATATCTTCTCCAATGGCATGTGCTGGATCAACTCTACAAACCGTACCAAAGAGTACTGCACTGGTAGCGGATACTTATGGATGGACTGCGAGCAATTGACTCTAGGCGAGTGTAGCGGGACTTTAGGCAGGAGCCAGTGCTGGGTAATGCCACGGCCATGCACGAAGGACCAGTGCGCTACCGTGGGCGGCACTTGCTCGGACTGGCCCTACTTTGCCAATCAGACCGACCAGGGCAGGGTCAGGGACGGCGTATGTGTGCGAAGCCACACCGTTTTCATCGAGCCGTTGAAGCAGCCCGCTTGCACAGTGGGCGAGATCGACTCTCCCATGGGATGTTTCGATCAATGGAATATCGTGTCAAAGGCTCAATGCCATGCCAAGGGACCGACCTATAGGTGGTGGCCCGTCTCCATCAATCAATCAATATGCGAGTCTTACATGGGTTGTCAGATGACCGACTACTCCAACACGACATCGGGTCAGGTGCGATTCAATGAGATGACACAAGAGCAGTGCACACAATGCCAGTCGACTGGCGACAACTACATGTGGACCAAAATGTTCAAATGGACACCTGGTCGATGGCTCCCTGGCATCATGGTCAAGCCGACATGGTACCAAAGCCTATCATTCTCTCCAACGACCAAGTATGGCGACTCATTCAGTCTTGATGGATTTGGAAGTGCGCTGTCCAACATTATGAAGTATGATCTGTTGCGATCATCATGTCAATTCCAAAGTATCCAGGACAGCGTGGATGCCGTGTCCTGTTCGTGTTCGGGTGGCGGTGGCAGAGAGTGCTTCCAATCAACGTCGGCACCCACTCAATCATTGTTGGCGTGCGCCACCGAGTCCAAGAAGTACCAAGTGATAAATGGATATATCCAACTCTACGCCGATTCGGTCAATCAATCATGCACACTCTTCGAAGCGACTGAGGTCAGTCGCGAGATATATGCGTCGCCACCATCTCGCGTGCCACTCAGTGCCGAGTTCTTCTCATACCTGTCATCGACCAAGTATGGTATCACCAATAGCGAAGGAGCATTCATTGGTCTGGTGCAGAGCAATGGTGTCAGCATCCAGGGTACTTCAATCAATCGACTCACCTTGTGCCAGCTGCTCAGCCCGACCACGGGCCAGTACCCCGTCAATGACATGGCGATGAGAGTGGACAACAGTAGCAGCAGCATATTGGTGCCAATGAATGCAGAGCAGATCACTGGCGATGATGGACAGATCTACATGTGTGTGAACCTCACCTTGCCCCTGCTCATGCGTGGCGTCGATGGCGTGGCGCTGTTCCCGGTCATCCGCGCAGCCAACTCTGACTCAAACAAAGAGTTCTTCACAAGGTCGCAGCGCGTGTTGATGTACATCCTAGCCGTGATATACGCGCTGTGCGCAGCCTGGGGATTATTCCAGATTGGAGTGATCATCGTCAAGTTGGTGCGCAGGATCGAAGGACCCAAGCTGGCACACGCACTTATTGGCTCGATCACATGCTATACATTCATCCGAGCGATATACTTCTTCATCTTGCCATCTGGCGCACTATACACATCGCGAGTATCAGACTATGTGTTGGTGATACTGCCAACATTCATCTACTTCACATGCTTCTCATTCATCCTGGCGCTATGGTATATCATTGTCAGTCCCAACCTGCTGCAGGACTACACCAAACGTCTGAGTAGGACAATCATCGTGCTCAATGGTGTGCTGTACATTGCGTGCGTCACCATCATCCTCGTGTACAACGCGACCGAGTCCACTAGCTCGCTCAGCTTCTGCGGCTCGCGCGCACTAGCCAAGGTGTCAAACTCACGCGCACAGACCATCATCTCGATACTCTACGGTGTCCTCCAAGCATTGATCTCGCTGGTCTACGGCATCATGTTCATTTATCTCGGCATCAAGATCAACAAACTGCTCGGACCACTCAAAGTGGCCAGGAATGCCGATGGCAGCGTGTTGGGCATATCCGGCCGCAAGATACAATTGTTCTTGGTGACAGCATCATGCTCATCCGGGTTGATACTGCACAGTATCTTTGTGTTGGTACTGATCACTACACAGACGGCCAACAATGCATTCAGTTTCGTATTCCTGTTGCTTACAGAGGTGTTCCCGGCCATCACCATGTATGTCTTTTACAATCAAAGTCGAATGTCCTCCCCACAGAACTCTGTCGCGAGTACCTCTGCCACAGGATCATCCTCCAGCAAGATGAAGGTATTGAAATAAACCCTTACCCTTACCCTTACCCTTGCCCTTGCCCTCACACATTCAAACAAAACGTGTACTCCCCCTTCATTATTATTCATTCGATTCTTCAACAAGAGAGACTTAAGTCATCCCCAATAATACAAGCTAACATTAAACCGATGGTGCATGCACAACCAAGTGTAGGTGTAATATGGCTTGTTGCTTCGGTCAACCAAACAACCAACCAATCAATCAATCAATCAATCAATCAATCAAACCAACGACCTTAACTAATAACACAATAATGATTCAAGATGTAACATGAACAGATTGAGTCTGCAAGGCAAGTCACATGACCGACTTATACTGTAAGACTTGATGACTTACAAACTGTGCTTGAAGTGAAGTCGGAGCAAGGATCAGATTGTCGGGGCATTGAAGGCGAGTTGCGTTGGCTATATTAAGCAAGAGTTGCTTGCAATGATGATGGGCATGGTTGGTTGAAAGTGTGTGTCACTTGGACCCATGTTTGGCTATTCTTGGTCAACTATGCATCAAAAACATGCCCATAATCCACTCAGGAGTTTGCGTTTCTCCCGCGATAACCTCGCCCCGACAATCCCCTTGGCGAGGCCTGAAGAGATGACTTCATTGGTCAAGGAGGTTTCAACCTTGAATTCCAAGTCGGAGCATGCTTGTGCGAGTTTGGTGGAAGGCAGTGGCGACAAAGAGCCCAAGGAACAGCGGCTACATTGGCTAACTCGTGAGGGAAGATTGACCAACTCATGGGTCACCATCAAGGTCTGAGGCAACTACATCAAGTTCAGGTACAAACAAAAAGAGACAGATAAAGAGATAGAGAATGTCCATCAAATATATGTTATTGATGGCGCTGGTGATGGCTATGATGATGGCCATTGTGTTGCCACACTCACTAGTCCAAGCCAGCTGGAACATAACACAAACAGTTCAGTTGTCAAATAAGAAGGCTAATGTACTTGGAATGCACTTTGATTATGCAGTGATGGACCTTATATTGGATCGCGAGATCTATACCTACATGTCAATACCTTGTCCCAACACGACGTATCAGCCACCAGCTCCCAACCCCATCGATTGCTCTTGTGACTATGCCAGCAAGACAAAGTGTGGATCCACCCTCTCAGGCAATCCCACATGTCCGCCATGTAGCGACGCAGCCTATCTATGCAACCCTTCCAATACCCAATGGTACAACATCGAGCCAAACAAAACAATGATCATCAATACCCAGAACATCTCCAAGTTCCATCTTCGTTACAACTACAACGTCAACACCACCACCCCTGAGGGTCTAATGGTATGTACTACTTCTACATGGCTACGTCTGGATGTCCATCAACTCCACTAACTCACTCCAACAATCACACACTCAATCAATCATACTAGGTAACCGCCGAGTTAATTGGTAGAACCAATCCTTTCCAGAGGGTAGTGATGACAGCCTCACATAGTAGTGACAATTATTGGATATACTGTCCATCAGATATACCTAAAGGTATACAAAGAAAGACAGCATCATTGACATTGATAGTCTATGTTGAAGTACAGGACTTTGTTGGAAATGTAGCATTCACTTTGCACACATCCAATATTGTACCTCGTGTTGACAACACTGCCGCTAAATGCCAGAACGTTACAAAGTACCATCAATGCATTAATGATGGACAGATTGTACACTTGTCGGGACATGATGCCTTGTACACATTCTCGGTCGATCGTCCCATGGTCCTATCAATATTCTGTTACCTTGATTGGGACCAAGGTGAGTTCTCCCAAGGTATCCAGACCGTCAAAGATGTTGAAATCTCCATCTCTGATCAAGAAAAGTATCCCAACGCCACCAATCATAAATGGCGCTTCTACTCCATGGATCGTAAGTATAATAATGTGGAGTGATTCCAATCAACCAATCACTAACACCTCAATCAATGTGTGTGTAGCCGAGCCATATGGAGAGATGGAGTCCAGCTTCATGGGCACATTACCAGTGACACCTTTGAGTAATGGTGCGAGTAGATTGTTGTACATCAATGTGGTCACGGTAAAGAATTTATCATGTACCTTCACATCATATTCCAAGCAATGGAGGACACCGGTCTTCACCAGTGATAGGGTATCATCATTCATGCGTGCTTATAATGGTGCTCATCTACTCTATGGCGATGGTACTGTTCAGACTAGTGATGACAGATCAATGGGATTCCAACAACGTTATGGACCATATCAGAATACTTATCCAGTGATGAATGTACCCAATCCATTCATTCCAATACCAATGTCAATAATGAATGATCCCTACCTGAGTCAGTTGTATCCTTCAGATGACATAAAGCAAGTCAGAGTTGGGATGGCGCCATTCAAGACCAAGTCTTTCCAGGCGACCTTCCAACTCTCGAGACAAGTAAACGACTACCGAGTCATTTACAACGACTACGGCACTGTCTCCAACGCGGCCAAGATGCAGTTCACAGGAATCTTCGTGGACATTGATGGGAATGTAAGTACATGTGATCAATCAATCATTAAGTGCACTCTATATATTAATCACACACTAACTCAATCAATCAATCACTCGATCACAGCCATTTGATAACTTAATTGAGTTGAGCCAGACCCCAGAAATACCATGCTCATACACTAGATTGTTGTCAATTCAAGACTTAATCAAGAAGTATCAACTCAACATGTCATCAAACAATGATAACCTACAACTTATAGAGTTGAGGTACAACCTGGACATCATATCATTCATGGACGAGTGGCAGGGATGTGTCAATCAAACATCCAACCTGATGCTACTCGAGCCAAAGAATGTTACAATGACCACCAACTCATGTCCAGGCTCATTCATGATGTCGGGAGAGTCCCTCTCCGATCCCTGCTGCAACAAATTCGCCAAGTTCTCCAAATGCTGCCAATCGCGTGAGGTCACCATGAACATGGACAGTCTGGTCGGCTTCCACACCGATCGTCTCACCTCTTGTAGCAGTCCAGCTTGCACACAATCCAGTCTCCAAGACTACTACGCATCGACTGTTCGCATGAACAATGGTGAGTGCACCCTCTCACTCAACGCCTACAATCAAGGCCAGCATGGACTTGTCCAGCTCCTCCAACAATGCAAGACACAGGCTTATGTTATGCCATGGTGTGACAACGACACTCAATGCCCCTCTGGCGGCACGTGCAGTTTCTACACTCGCAAGTGTGTCGTTCCCCTCGCTGAACAGGACAGGTCATACATAACATGTGTCCTCGAGCACTCCTCCATCTCATCAGTGTTTAATCTCAAGACACAACTCGGTTTGGCCACATCTACCGCCCTGGACACCCTGGTCGAGGCCGTGTACCAATCATTCAGGATACCCGACTGCACGTCCCCCGTCTCCAACGACTACCGGACCAACTACCATTACGAAGACCCAACCCTGAGCATCCCCATCAAGTTCATGTCCGACTGTCCCGATCGATATTGTCCACTCAATCACTTAACGTACATCGATTACAACCCTCAACTGGCTCCGACCAAGGGCATGACGTCGGCAGAGAACTGTGTATACAATGGAATATGCCAGGGGTTGTCGATGCTATGCACACCTGATAGTAAGCTGTGTAGCGAGTGTAATCGAATGGACTTCTGTGGTCACTGCAGTGCGTCCAATCAAACATTATGTCATGTGATCACAGAGTTTGGATCGAACTGCTCTTCAGGAAAGCCAGTGTGTCTGCTACCGAATGGCAAATACAACACTACTATCAAAACACAGGAGGAGTGCTCCCAACTTGGAGTGTGCACTGGTGAATGTGGACTACAATGCACAGGTCCATCATACTGTTTAGCCAGCAAGCTCAACCAGGCACAATGCAACCAGACTAGCATGAACTTCACCAATGGTGCGTGCTACGTCAATGTGGGACAGCAGGCTTGTCTACAAGGCAACTACACTTGGTTTGATTGTGGCGCACTCACACCGACACAATGCAACACACCCAAGTACAGCTCAACATGCCAGGTGAAGCCGATCGCATGTACAAAGGATCAATGTACTGGTACATCAGGAACATGTTCAGATTCGCTCTACTTCACCAACTCAATCACTTCGAAAAGAAACATTGGCCTGTGCACCAAGCCACACTCAGTATTGATCGAATCAAGGAAGCAGATGGTATGCGCAAAGGATGAATATGACAGTCCCATGGGATGTTTCAATCCTTTGGCAACCTACACCACGGAGGATTGTCATGCCTTTGGAAATGGATACACTTGGTGGGAGCCTGCCTTCAATCAATCATCTTGTGAGTCCAAGATGGGATGTCTGATGTCAGACTTTTCCAACACGACTGCAGGCCAATCACGATTCAATGAGATGACTCAAGATCAATGTACACAGTGTCAATCAAGTGCCGACATGTACCAATGGACAAACAAGTTCAACTGGATACCTGGCAGATGGCTCCCAGGTGTGATGGTGGTACCAACTTGGTACTCATACGTGGACTTTATAAGCACCTCCTCATATGGTGACTCTTTTAGCATCGATGGCTTTGGAACCGCACTTTCCAACATCATGAAGTATGATCTCATCCGATCATCATGCCAATTCCAAGGAATTCAGGACAGCGTTGAGACTGTGTCATGTAGTTGTTCTGGTCCAGGAGGTAGTCCATGCTTCAATTCAACATCCGTACCAACTCAATCACTTCAAGTGTGTTCAATGGAGTCCAAGAAGTATCAAGTGATCAATGGTTATATACAATTCTATCCAGACTCTATCACTCAATCATGTATCTACATCAATGTATCTGAAATCAGTCGTGAGACCTATTCATCTGCACCTTCTCGGGTTCCACTCAGTGCCGAATTCTTCAGCTACAAGCCCCCAGTCAAGTATGGAATCACCAATGATGAGGGTGCATTCGTAGGAACGATCCAGAACAATGGTATCAGCATCCAAGGCCCGGTCAAACACTTCACTCTCTGTCAACTGATCAGTGAGACTACATCCGAGTACCCTATCAATGATATTGCCATGACCAGCATCAACAATGTAACATTGTTACCAATGGATGCAACACCAATTATTGGTCTAGACTACATCTGCATCAATATCACGCAGGTCGATAGGATCAACAACGACAGCATCACACTATTCCCCATCATAAGGATGACGGACTGGAAGACTTCCAAGGAGTTCTTCACCAAGTCACAGACGGTGATGATGTACTTCTTGGGTACGGCATATGGTCTATGTGCACTCTGGGGATTGTTCCAGATCAGTGTGATCGTTGTGAGATTGATCAGAAGGATTGAACGACCCAAGTTGGCACATGCATTGATCACCGCCATCGCTGGCTATACATTCATCAGATCAGTGTACTTCTTCATTCTTCCAACTGGCACATTGTACTCATCGTCAGTATCAGACTATGTGTTGGTGATACTGCCAACATTCATCTACTTCACATGCTTCTCATTCATTCTTGGAYTGTGGTACATCCTGGTCAGTCCCAACATTGTCCAAGACTACATGAAGCGATTGAGCAGGACGATCATCATACTCAATGGTGTGTTGTACATTGCATGCATCACAATCATCTTGGTRTACAACGCGTCAAAGAGCACGAGYTCMGTCAGCTTCTGTGGCACGCGAGCCATGGGCAAGGTGTCCAACTCGACGACACAGACCATCATCTCACTCTTTTATGGTGTTCTCCAAGCATTGATCTCATTGGTCTTTGGCATTATGTTCATCTTCCTTGGCGTCAAGATCAACAAACTGCTCGGGCCATGGAAAGTCAAGACCAAGGGTATCTTAGGAGTATCAGCTCGCAAGTTAAAGCTTCTGGCTGTGACAGTCTCTTGTTCATCGGGTCTCATCCTTCACAGTATCTTTGTGTTGGTACTCATAACATCGTCACAGGGATCCAACAATAGTACATTCAGTTTCATCTTCCTGATACTGACAGAGGTGTTCCCTGCCATTGCCATGTACATCTATTACAATCAGACAAAGCTGTCGCCCAGCACTCAAGGCAAACGATCATCAACCTCTGTCACTGGCGGAGGCAACAAGATGCAAGCATTCTCATAAACATATCTACATTACAAGTTCAAGTTTGGTTGTTTATTGATTGGATTGATTGGAATGAGTGAGGTGATGTGCTCTCGTCGGACATTTAGGAAGAGGAATGATGAAGAATGGAATGTTGTACATTGATGCACATTGTGGATTGGACTGGAGATGAAAAGGAATGGAATGGAGCAAAGTGAAGCTTTGTGATAATAAATAGGATTGAAGGATTGATTGATTGAATGTGATTGATTGATGGGAATACTACTATACTTATAATTACTAACTAACTAACTACTATTAATATCATATCGTTATGAACAGAATGACTCTGATACATCCTTAAGAAGTGCTCTCCTTGTACGAGACAGCTTCATCTCAAGGATTGGCGCAGAGTAAGCAGCTCTCTCAGCATTCAACACTGTTAAGAGGAGGGCGGCATTAATGTACTGTACCATACCATCGAGTCCAACAAACTACTATTACTTACACTTGGCGTATAAAAAGTCCTTGAAAGCTTGATCCTTCTTGAATAGACCATTGGCGGGCATGGCCGGTCCAAACTCTGGCACGGCATCCCTCGACACGATGGCCAGACGGTAGAAGCGCTCATTGTCAATCTTGACGGCCTTGACCACCAACACGACAAGTACCTGACGCGAACTGATTGTTGTGGGTCTGTAGACAGTATCGCCATCCTGGAATACAATCACCACAATGTCGTTACCAATATGTCGCTTTCTCTCCAACTGTTGCTTGTCCTTCACATTGAATGGCAGCAATGTTGACACATGGAACATTATCTCATTATTATTCCATCTTTGATAGATTGAATGTGTTCCTGTTGTTCCAGCTATAGTTGGTTGGCTATGTGTAAGTGATTGATTGATCTATTGAATGATTGAATGGAGTATTTACATCTAACATCTAATCCTGCTCTGAAGTTGCCCCATCCATTGAGCTGTACTCTATCGCCAAGGAAATCAATAAACTCATCAAACTCTGGGCTGCATTGAACATTGGCAAACATCTCGTCCTCCTTGTTCTGTCCATCCATTGAATATAGTATACCAAACTTGAATCCTTTGATTGCCTAGTATAGTGAGTATGAATGAGTTAGTGTGATTGAGTGATTGAGTGATTGATCAACAATCAAACAAACATACCTGCTTTTCCTCAAGGTTCAAGAGTGCCTGTGGCAATGAAGTGTCGGTGATGAGCTTCATTCCCTTCTGATACTGTGGTGCCATTGCCTTTAGAATGTCGAATGGCGATGGACCTGACTTGAACAGATTTCTCCACCAAGTTGTCTTAACACTGCTTGCTGCAACATTGACACGTTCGTTACCCTATGAGTGATTGAATGTACATTTGTTAGCATCACATTGTGATCAACTTCAGCTTGCTTTCTTGCTGCTTGCTTACAGTTGCGGTTCTAATGAGACCACTATAGTTCTTTCCATCTGTGTCCAATATGATTGAGATACAGACAGGGTTCTCTGGGAGACCCTTTGCAATGAAGTTGCTATGATCTAATATGTTTGAATCAAAGTGAGTGATTGATCGAATGAGATTGAATGATTGATTGAATGAATGAATATACCTTTATCTAGGAATGTTTCGCGGAAGTATCTCGAATCATTATCAGAGAGATCAAAGACGCCCTCGAATACATTTGGTATTGAAGAGCAATCGAATGTCTTTGGTTCCTGATCAGCTGAACCCTCAATCCTGTATCCAACACTTGGTGCAATGAATACGTTGTTACTCATTCTTAGTAATAATAATAAATAAATAAATATATAATGTTTGTTATATATATAACGAATGAATGTATGAATGAATGTTGGGAGAAAATAGAATAGACTAGACTAGAATGGACTTGCAAGCATGAATAGTAACAAACACAGTACATCACAACACCATGCACCTCTCCACGAGAGTGGTGGGTCTTTGCAACCTTTAATTATTTTGAAAAGAGCGTGATTTCGTGTTTGTTGTGAGTGTGTATGTGTTTGAGTATCAAACAGGGTCTAGATGATCAAAAATAGTTAACATAATTGTTTTGTCCTGTTCATTGAACAATAATTCGTATTGTTGGTTTTGTGGGCATTCCAAGGAATATTGATGCAAAATAACATTGTGTCTGATTGGTGAAAAAGTAATGTCTTTTAATATTTATTTGTTTTTAAAAGATATAGATAAAGATAAAAACTAACATTCATTATTTACTTATCTTCATCTTGATGATCTCACTTCATTTGATGTTGGGTATCCAACAAGAGAATCTGGAAGCTTGCACCAAGCTAATCCACTACCAACCCCAATAGTGTTCTTTGCATGGCCCGTTGATCCCACAGATTCAATGTCCAAAGAGACATACCACATCACGTGTGTTACTGAAAGGGCATGAGGAGTGAACACACTACCCACCAACACCGAACAACCCTTTTCCCCACCCAGACAACAATCCAAGCAGTAACACAACTTGAATGTGTGTGTGTGTGCTTCCGGAATGAATGAATGAATGAATGAATAGAGGTCACTAAAAGATGAGATGAATGTAGTGAAGTTGAAGTGCACAGTCCAAAGTGTTAAATATTCTTAATCCTCAACACATATTCCATTCATACTTATCTTATAATATAGATAGAGATAATAATAATTTAAAGAAATAATAATAATAGAATGATCGCATTTGATAAATTGGTTGATTATAAGAGTGACTTTAAGGTGGATACTGGAAAGTTCCGTGTTCTTCCAAGCCAGTCCACCGTCGAGGAGGTTGCCAAGAAGTTGGAATCACTCAATCACAAGGCAACAATTGTCAAAGATGAAGCCGCTGCCCTCGCACTCATCAAAACCCTAATTCCAAATGGTGCCTCTGTTATGAACGCTGGTTCAGTATCCCTTTCTGGTAAGCATCATCATCATGAATAATGAATGAATGATTGAATGAATGTATGAATACTTACACAAGTTGATGTTTATGAATGTAGAGATTGGTTGGATTGATTACCTCAAGGGTAGCCACCCATGGAAGAACTTGCATCATGATATCCTGGAGGAGAAGGATCCAGCCAAGCAGGCGGAGCTCCGTCGTCACTCAATGTCAGCTGACTACTTTGTATCGAGTGTTTCGGCCGTGTCAAAGGATGGCGCCATCTATGTGTGTGACGCCAGTGGATCAAGAGTAGGAGGCTTCTCCTTTGCTGCCAAGAACATCATCTTGGTGGTTGGCACTCACAAGATCGTTGAGAATGACAAGGATGGTCACTCCAGAGTATGGGACTTCTGTTTGCCATCCGAGTCAGTGCGCGCTCACGTTGCCTACAAAGTACCAGGCAGCCAAGTCCAGAACATGTTGCGTATTGCCAACAGCAATGTACCAGGCAGGATCCATGTCATCTTTGTACCAAAGATGCTCGGATATTAGATATATACCCGAGTGTGTTGGTTGCATCCAGAGTGAGCGCCTACTAGTCAATAAATATGTGTAAGTCATCAATGCTTCATGATATATATATATGTACATCGTTGATCACTCCTGTTTAATGATTGATTGATCGATTGATTGAATGATTGAGCGAACAAACAATGACTACTACTACTGCTCCTTGTCGAGCCATTTATCATTGCTAGAGTCCTCTCGCTTGGGATAGAAGGACTCGATTGAGACGATGTTCTTGGCCCACTTGACCATGGGCATGTCTATCATCTTGCCATCGAGCTCGAATGCTCCCTTGCCCTGTGCCTGGAACACCTCATTCTGCTCGATGATGCGACTGGCAAAGTCAAACTTCTGCGGCGACGGCCTGTAGAGCTCGCAAATGATGTCTATCTGATTGGGATGGATTGCCTGCTTGCCGTGGAAGCCCATGCGGATGCCCTCGCTGGCCTCGCGGCGCAGATAGTCTGGGTCCTTGTAGTTGATGCACACCATATCGATGGCTTGCAGGCCGCTGGCGATCGCGTGGTTTACCACGTGACTGCGCGCGTACAGCAGCTCCTGGGCCTCGGGCGTGCGTGTGATGCCCGTATCGGCGCAGTAGTCCTCCGAGGCAAAGATCAGCGCGTCCAGCTGGCTCTCCTCGTTGGCCAGGCGGTGATAGTTGCATATCTCCTTGAGGTGCACGAGGCTGCGCGCCGACTCGACCGACGCCAGTATCTTGAGTTGCTTCTTGAACTTGTAGTGGCGCAGCAATGCAGTTACGTACTGCAGGTGCGCGGCGTCGTCAACCTTGGGTACGACAATGCCGTCGATGTATGACGCGACCTTGGCCAGCATCTCGAGATCGGCTTCGAGCAGCCCGCTGTCCACGCCATTGACGCGCACCAGCACCTCAGACGTAATGTACTTGTCGTTGACGACTGAGCGTGCGATCTCATCGCGTGCCTCTTGCTTCTGATTGATTGCGACGCCGTCCTCAATGTCCAGCACGATCGAGTCGATCTTGTTTGAGAGGCCGACTGCCTTGGCAACCTTGCGCTTATCACTACCGGGCACATTGAACAGTACACGACGCAGAGGTTTGTCGTAGATTGATTGTGAGAGGTTGGGGATGACAGGTTTGACTGGTAGTGTGCCATCGGAGTAGTTGCGGACATGTTGTTGTAGTAGTAGACTTGAGGGTAGGGCAACAGTCTTCAAAGTATGTTGTTGTGTCATTAGTTGTGTAGACAACACAGTCCTTGAGGCTAGCTTTATCATTGTTATATGTGTCTATCTGTTGTAGGCTGGAAGGAGAATGAATGAATGAATGAGTGAATGAAACTTCAATTAATTAAACATTTTGTGAAGTTCACACAAGGCTGGTGTGGTGGGGACGAACGATAGTTCGCTAAAGTGATTGATTGATTGAGTGCACTCAAGTGAGTGATTGGGTGGAATAGTTCCAAAGGAAGGTGGAGTTTATTATGAACATGGGTATTGTTGAGTGAATGAAAGAGTAGACGGACATCTTCTTAAGCATGGGTGGCAGGGGCAGCGGCAGCTCTTGCCTCGGCGGCACCAGCAATCATGGTGGAAGCGACAACGTTATAGGCGTCGGCCCAGGCATTGGTGTACTCGGCCTTCCAGGCATCTCCGGCGATGGCTGCCATTGAGGCCAACAGAACCTGTCCAACAACGGCGTAGTGGGCATCCTCTGTGCCGTACTTGACGTGACGGGCGCCCATTGCCTGCAGGGCTGGGACGATTGATGGCAAATCGCGCAATGATTTGCGGACCAGTACCAAGGCCGACAGCAACATTCCCTTTTGCTTCTTCAAGTCGACGGAAGCAAACAGTGGCTGCACTGATGGTGCCACCTCGAACAACTTGGAGTAAAATGTGTCCATCAACAAATCACCCTGTGGGGCAATAAGGTCAAAGCTATTCTCGAGTAGTTCAATTTGGAGTGACATTATTATTATTATTATTACAAGTTATTATTATATATTTGTATAATTATTATGTGATGATGTATTTGATAAATGAAGGCTCACTTTTGTTTGGTCCTAGGGTACACCTGGGCCAGGCCATCTGATTGAATCGAGTGTGTCAGTGTATGAGTGAGGGAATGTTGTTGTGATGATGTGCACAATGACGACAAGATTGTACCTTGTGTCAGGTCTAACCTGACCAACTCTAAAAATATCTTTCTTTTTTGACAAAGCAAAGGCCCTCAAACTGACCCGATTTGTTTCAAAATCGGTTTCTAACCCACATTCGTTTGAATTGATTTTCTTCAGATCCTTGGTAAGAATTTGTTTCAAGTTCCATCAACATCTCACGTGACATTCAACACAATCTTGTCAAGTTATAACTTCCACATTGTTGTAATATAATACATAATAATGACATACATATATTTACTTAATAACCTTCATCTTGTTACCAAAACCAGATGATGATGATGTTGATGCTGTTGTAGAGTTGTTGCTGGCTGCTGGTGAAGATGATGAGGAACGTGAGAACTTGGTTTGATTGTAAAAGATGAACATGGTGATGGCAGGGAACACCTCTGTGATGATCAGGAATACAAAGCTGAATGCACTATTACTACTAGAGTTCTGTGTAGTGATCAATACAAGTACATAGATTGAATGCATGATCAAACCGAATGAGCAAGACAGTGCAACAGCGAATAGTTGTACCTTTTGTGCGGACAATCCAAACAGACTCTTATGACTATCCCTCACTCTCCATGGTCCGAGCAGTTTGTTGATCTTGATGCCGAGATAGATGAACATGATGCCAAAGACCAGTGATATCAATGCTTGGAGAACACCATAAAAGAGTGAGATGATGGTCTGTGTCGTCGAGTTGGACACCTTGCCCATGGCTCGCGTGCCACAGAAGCTGACTGAACTCGTGCTCTTTGACGCGTTGTATACCAAGATGATTGTGATGCATGCAATGTA